AAATCCAACGGCTCTTACATACCCCTCAAAAAAACCCCTTATAACTTTCCACTCACTATAGAAGCACTCTTTCCTTTGTGTCTACAAGCTATTGTTGCCATTCTGGAGTATTTTAAACTGGCTTAGGATGTACGAGTATTTTGAGGACTTTTCGATCATGTGCATTTTTGTTTTTTCACCAATGTTATTTCACAAAGCTACATTAAACAATATATAATTTTGGATTGATTTTATACATATATATTTTATAATTTTGAATTGATTTGACGATTATATCCCTGGACTTAACAGTTTTTTTTGACAGAACAATTATTTAAGAGCACCTATATTAACGTTAAGGACCATGAGTGATACAAAAAAACTTTCAAAAATGCAACATGATAGTTTCGCAAACGTCAGGGACGTTTTGTGATAAAAAAACATTAAACAAGACCACAAATATTCTAGAGCAATTTTTTTATAAATATTTTGAACGGAGCGTTGCGAATGTATGAGTATTTTCTATTATATATATATATATATATATATATAAATATTTTGAAGAGTTTAGACTAATGTTATTTCCCAACAGGGCGTGACAAGACTGATGTTATATCACAGCGCTCTCTTTTCTTCTAGAATAACTAGAAATTTGTGAGCGCACACCATGTATCCAAGTTGCCAAATTGGTCTAGCTTTTCCTTTCCAATACAGCTATATAAACAGACAATCATTGAAAGGTCATGATGGAATTTCTTACTTTCTCTGCACCTTTTCTCTTTTACATTCTCTATCTCGTTTGGTAAGTCATATTGTACTGTCTTGGATTTTTTGTTTTTGGTCGTAGTACTGTCTTGGGTGGCATTGACTATATTGTCCTAATACACAATAAAGCAAAGATTGTACCAAATCCGTACATAAAATTAGTAAAAGAACTAAGTAACAAGAATACAATTTGAGATGATTAGAAACTATAAATCTTTGTACAATGCTGTATAACAACGATGGGCTACTTTTGTACCTCCGTAGAGAGAAACTATGGATCTGTACTTAAATTCCATTATAATAGATTAGTCAAACAAGAAATTTAAAACAAAAAACAAGAAATTGGCTGAGACCTTATTAAAGGACTTTGGCTGAGAACTTTTCTGTTTATATAGAGCTCTAGGAAATAGCTCATGTGAACAATCTAACCAATAAGCAGGCTAACGAATGGCAACTCCAAATAGCTACTTGGAGTACAAAAGAGCACAATTTCAAAAGCAAATGAGAAGTAAACACATCCCTGCTGGTATCGATTATATGAACTGGCGAATTTGTGTACACAATTATAAAATGCAAGCATATTCCTACTACAAAATGGATACTATTTATCTGCCATGTCTAGATGTCTGTGCCCCGTGTAAGGCAATTAGGCACTGCTTACTACTCTATGATATTACCTATCACCATTTAGAACATGCTCATAGACCCTGGAAATGCTTTCAATTTGCTATGCAGAATGACTAAAGTGAATAGCTCTATGAACCTGGATGGATCACCACATAAAATAGCTCCATCAGAGCTTCAATGTCTACATAATCAAAGTCATCTTGGATTTCTGTCACTAATTCTTCCTATGGCTGCAGCCTGCACTGGAATGATGAAAAAAGATGATTAAAGACATCATCTTGCTGAGTGCAAGTGAATTAGATATCAGATCACAGCTGATTCAGTAAATTCTTATCAAACTTCATAGTGGCATTTGTGACAAAATGTAACTTGCAGTGAACTTGCAAAAATCTATTTATGATAAGCACGAAACTAATAGTCACGTAAAGAAGGATTGGTGATTCTTTGGATCTCAGACTCAATATTTAATTTCTAAGCATAGAACATGTGCCTGTTAATTAAATTGGTAAGCTGGGCCTCATATCAATTGAATAAGACAATTAAAAAAAGATGCAAAGGGGAAAGAAAACAAAAAGAAAAAAGAAAGCAAAGTTAAAAAGGGAAGACGATACCAATGAATGTTGTTTAAGATAGAGACCAATTGAAAAGTACAGACACAAGAGATGCCAATAAAAAGAGAAACAAGTAAAGGCACATTACATCAAAAGCTGAAAAAGTCGGAAACGAAGAACCTAATCACCAAGTTAAATATTCTTTACACACGTTTACCAAATTGAATCAACACATACCAGTCAAATATATAAACACGAATAAAACCGTGACACACTGAAAAATTTGGAAACTAAGAACCTAATTGCCGGGTTAAATATTATTTATGCATGCCTGCCAAACTATCAACACATACCAGTCAAGTATAATAATACGAAGAAAACCAGACATGCGCGCACACACACACCTATTTCATAATGATTACACCACAAGCATCACATACTTCAAAGTATTCTCTTGGGTCACTTTGGTAATATATATGCATATTCTATAAATATATTCACAAACAAAAATGTACGGCAATGATTTGTGCGCTGAATTGGCACAGAGTGTCCAAAACTGAACCTTCACTCAAGAGTACCTATTTTAATGTGCATTTTTGGAACTACAAATTTATTGAACATAATTTATATATGTTTCAGAATTGATCACTTGAAGAAGAAAGAGCCACTTCCCCCAAAAGGAAAAAGAAGAAGAAACAACCACAAATATCAGACTAATATGAAACTAGTAACAATGCAATGTGTAGCACATCCTTAAATGGTGATATTACAGTCCCAATTGGTTAACAACCTTCTTGATTTTGACTAGTGCCATCAACCCTAGGGATATTGGTATACAGGTCAAAGTTTGCACACCACATCCCTGCACTAGTTCTTTTATATTTATATATTTTCAAATAAACAAAACTTATTTAGGCATTCCAATGAATGTTAGAAATAGGTAAGACCCAAGTGTTCTGTCCTTCACTGCCTGACACTGAAACTTTACTATTGATCCTACAGAGTGTACCATATATGCATGCAGAAAACATGTATAAAATTTGAAGATCGCAAAAATTTAAAATTAAGTTCTATTCAATATTAAAGTACACTAGTCTGGAGTACAGACAACTATTGAATGTGAAATAAAAATGAAACGCATATAGTTAGGATTACATCAATGGTAATTACTAATTAAAGTTTCTACGTTAAATGCAACTTAAGCTATTGCTGAACAAGGCATCCTATGAAGCACGGATACTAAAAAAATTTCAAGAATGGAGTAGCTGATACTGATACGCTCTTGCTACTTAATGACTACTCGAAATTTGTATCCATTTGACTTTTGGATACGGGATGAATAAGCAAGTGATACGCAGGGAATACAAGAGGGCATATTCTGTAACTTTTTAGACAAAGAAAAACAAAAATGTGAGGCTAATTCAAAAACATTCTGGACTTGTTTTTCTACTTCAAAAAGATAAAAAGAACTTGAGTGTACTGTAGAATGTTAGGGGCTACTAAGAAAACAAAAGAAAACAAAAATAATTAAACGAAAAAGAGACAATTCACATATAAATATAGATATATTATCTTATTGTCGTATCCTTACCATATACATATCCTAGTTTTTGTAGACTTGTCGTATCATATCGCATATCTTGTATTGTATCCGTGCAACATAGGCAATTACAAGGGCAGCCTCATGGGCCCAGCCATTAATTGTCCTCATTGGAGAGTTTTGGAAACTAAAAAGAGACATGTGCCACATCAGCATTCATATAAAGGGAAAATTGTACTATTAACTTTTCAACTCATAATTCAAGATTAATTGCATTAACCAATCATAATTAATGGAACTTCAACAATCAAATACATTCAGTTAAGAGAGAACTCCTAGCTCTGCAATGATAGTTCAATTATAATTTCAAAGGATTCTGAGCTGACATTGAATAAAGAGGTACAGCTCATAGAACCTTAACATTCAAGAAGGCTAAAATGAGGAATTGTTCGCGGAAGCCTATGGAACCAAAAAGTTAGTTCTTTCATTTCTCTTGTTAGTTTTACTTTTCCCCTAAATGTATTAAACGGTTTGAAAGTTTATTCAGTGCAGTTTTAGATCATCATTTCAGGGATCGACATGAGAGTTCACAATAAATGAAATAAGTCAATCAGATCACACTTCCAAAAGATGTAGGTTTTCAAATCTATTTTTCAATTCTTATAATAGAAGACAAAGCAAACAGATAAACTTCAAACCTACATATTTTAGGGAACAATTTAGCTATTCCCCCCCGAATTATTGAACTTGTTCCATATTGCACCCTTGACTTTCAATTCTCTCTCTCTCTCTCTCTCCTCTCTCTCTCCTCTCTCTCTCTCTCTCTCTCTCTCTCTCTCGGGTTGTTCTTTTTTGGTTTGGATTGTTTTATTTTGATTGAGTTATTGAATGTTTGCTTGATTACTACAATTACTTGGAACTGACTACTGAGCATAAAATGATTGATTGGTATTTTGGCTGAAAGGAACAGTCAACAAGCCTAGCCCATGTGGCAAATCTAATCTTAGTACTCGAGCATCATCACCATTCAACCATGACTGAATTTATAACCAATGATAGAAAAATAAATTCAGCTTTTGGCAGAGAAGATTGTAGAGACAGACAAAAGAGAGAAAGGAGAGAAAAGAGAAATAAAAGAGAAGTAGAGGAAGAGAAAGAAGAAAAAGCAAAGTGACGAAAATATACTTAAAAAACTCATCATGTGCTTGGTACGTGGCTACAATCAACAGAAAGTGTAACAGAATTGACAATAGGGGCTACATTGGAACATTTTGAAAGTTTAAGTGGGTTGAAAACCAAATTGAAAATTCAGCGGGCAATTTGAAACAAGGGTAACAGCTCAGGGGAGTATGCTAATTTTTTACCCAAATTCTATTGTACTTTTTGTTGGTTGCTTTTCCAAAAGAGGTCATTGCCGGTGTCTATCAATTCCGACAACCTAATTGATAAAATTGGGAACACAAATTTTAAAAGAAATCAAGTAAAAAACTAAAAAAATTTGAAAGACCATGCCAAATTACTCACTCTCAATGCAGAGGCTATCTATGTTGCGAAAGCTCCCGATCTATGGACTCAAATTCTTTAAGATTGCTTACAACATTTTGAACTTTCTTCGATAGCTGGTCACTATACTCTTCAACAATTTTCGTAAATGCTGTTAGCTGTTCCTGATATGTTGTGCACAACCGTTTCTTATTCCGAAGCTCTGCAGTTAATTCTTGAATTTTCTTATCCTTCTCATCCTACAGAAGAAAGCACAACACACAAAAGAAATGACTTAGATCATACCTGATGCTTGAATATAGAGACTATAAACCATATCACCTATAGTACAGAAACTTTAGACCTAATTTGGGATCAATACAACATATTCATCAACTTGTCTTCAAAGGTAATACAAAAAAGGTTCCTAGTCTGAGCTGTATTTTACCACTTGCCTGCTATAAACAGCCAGTAGGGTTGCCTGAACCAAATTTTAGCTCCTGAAGAAGCCCTCATCGAAATATAAAATAAATTTAAATAAAACACCTCAATGATGATGCAGTTTACTATTGGCTTTCACATTGTCGGTAAGGATAATATCACTATTTTTTTTATCTTCGTATTTAAAAAGGGATTGTTAGCAGTTTCTAGCTACAGATATGCTGTAAGAAAGAAATTATAACACATTACTTAATTTTCTTTTTCCTAAAATTATTGATACTCATCAAATTTTGCAGGGTATCTTATTAGAAGCAAGCAAAATTAGAATTTAAGAGCCACATGGGAAAAACACTACCATAACCTCAATAAGGAGTACATAAATATTTTTCTATTTCTGAAGGAACACTCAGGATACAAATACAAGAATTGTTTCTAAAAGGAGAGTGTAAGTGTAACTTCTCACAACTTAAAATGTTCACCACCTGGAAAATTAATAACCCCCAGACACTGGAAGTTTAATTATTCATAGGAGTTATTGAATGTTACTAAATATGAGAAAATAACTCACCATTGTTTGACGAGCTTCACGTGGGGACACCACAAGTGGATGATTATGATCCTTTATGAATTTGGTAATCACCCATTTACTGGATTTATCATACTTCACGTGAATCATTGCCTTACAACCTTCCCTTGTACTCGCTCGTGGTTTTCGAACTGGCCCAAATTTACCTCGAATACTAACACAGTGGCCCTCCTTATTACACCCAAGTCGACGGGCAAGAATCCTACCATCTCTCTCAGATCGACGGCATGACATCACACGCATTACAAATCCAACACGTCGTGCATACTCATCATAAAATATCTTGGCAGCATCTTCAGATTCAAATTCCATACCCTCATAAGGTTCCAAAATGGAATCTGCTTCATATAAAACCAGTGCCTGTGAGGAAGAACTCTCCACTGCTCTAGCCCCCTCATCTGAATCCACTGCCAGACATTTTCCGTTATTTATTTTCGAAGCCCAAAATTCACAACCAATAAACTGTTTAACAAAAGAATAAAGACTGTATCTTTTGGGTTGAAACAATAGGCAACTTGAGGAAATGGGTGAGATTCCCGGTTTATGATTGTATGATTCTAATTTCTAACTAACCAAAACAAGCTTGTTCCTGTTTTTATTCAATTGTTATAAACCAAATAAAACATGTCGTTTCTTAGTTACTTTATCAAACAGGTGGTGAGCACAATAGAAATACATACTCATAAACACTATATACGCTATAAATTCCATGACAAATCTAACTTTTCAGCCATTGCAAACTAAATTACATCCCACACCCAATAAAAGAGAGACAGTAGCAGCTAAACCATTAATAGAACTACAAATTTTACGCATTTGACAGTGACAAAGCAGCAGCCAACTAACGTTCTTCAATCCCAGTGCAAAAAAGAAAAATAAACGCATGAAATGAGAACCGAATTATGAAATAAAACAACAGGAAAGCCCAAAAAATTAAAACCAATTAGAATTTAAACAAATTTTGATCCAGATTCAGTCTTTAGATATGAACTTGCAGACTCACAAGGCAACAAACTGACCATGAAGGGCCAAAAAATGGAGGGTTTCAGTAAGAGTGAGCCAGAACAAATAAGTATTCTTCGTTTTATGATTAGGAATCGAGCGCTTACTTGATTCGAGCAAGCTAAGCAGATCTTCGTTTTCCGGTCGGGAGTGGAAATTCCGTTGGCTCGTAAAAGCTTCAAAATGTGAGTGCTTTGTTTTATCTTTATCTTTTTCGAAAAAATAGACCACGTCAGGCCAACTTAAAAGGCAAATTGTTATTTGCAGACTACTCCTCTCAAGTTCTAATTCATGGTGTGTTTGAAAAAAAAAAACACACTTGTTTGATTTTATTTTTTTTGGCTAAAATATAGAGGGAAAAGAAGGAGAACGGAAGTGGGTATGAGAGTGAAGATGAGATTGAGAGGGAAGATTAAGGGGGAAGATGAAAGAGATGAGTAACAAAAGTGAAAACAAAAACTAAAAATGAAAACTAAAAATTAGAATTAAAAAGGCTATCAAACGGGCCCTTAGTTGCAACGGCAAAAGTCTTTCCCTTGAAAAACCACTCACTTTTCTAGTTCATACTAGGGGTGGGTATCGAGACCGGAAAACCGGAGCACCGAGCCACATCGGTTGGGAAAAAACTGGTATTTTAAAAATAAATAAAAAAACACCATGTTGACTAAAAATTCAACAAACCAACACAGAATCGGATCGGACCGATTCAAACCGATTCCCATATCGGTTTCGTACCTTACAAAATTAAATCGAATCGGACTGGCTATTTATCTTTATATATATATTTTTTAATTATTTAAGTCCAATGCTAAATTTCTAATCCCATAACTAGAATTTCCTCAAGCTCAACTTGCACCTCTTTTTTCTAGGCCCAATCATTTCTCTTGGCATGAAATTGGGTCATTTGTGAATTTTTAAGCCCAAAAAATAAAAAAATTGTTGGAATTTGTGAAACAACATAATTTTAGAATAATAATAAATAAAAAATCCAGTCCAAAATCGAAAAAACAGGAAACTAAACAGGAATCGGTTTAAACTGAACCGACCAGTTTCATAAATTTTTTTCACCAAAATTGGACCAAACCGCATCGGTTAAATAGTACCAGTTCCATTGTGATGTAAGACCCTGATATTTTTTTGAGGTGCTTAGAAAATAAGTTGTGATTTATCTGTGGTTGTATTGAATTTTCGAGAGATAATTTTAAGCTTGATTTTGAATTAAATATTAGGCTTAAATTGAATGGAAAAGAGAATGTGTAATTCGGTGATAAATGGAGAGATTTTAGGGTTAGGCAGCAAATATCCTACACCTAAAGTCCCTCATCCAACGCCACCTCAACTTCCATCATCATTATTATTTTAATCCATTTGTCTCCCAAGCATGCTCCTCATGTTTTCCCAACTGTGTATTATGTTTCCCACGCTGGTTAGTTCCTTTGGTAACTCCCACACAATTATTCCTTCCATTTCTCAAAGAAAACTCTCCCAAACTCCTCACAGACTTCCAAACGAGAAACATTAACGTGAAACAGGGATATCATTATTTTGCTATTCTCGGCCAATCACGATATGTCACACATGATAACTTTTCCATGTGGTAGTATGTGATTGGTCGGGGATAGCAAAATAGTGTTATCCCTTTAAAACCCAACTCTCCTAAGCTCAAATCAAAATACTTCCTTCTTCAAACATGTTCATCTGCTTGTCTACTAGACGATATCAAACATTAAGACAAACTAAGCAATCTAGACATCTCCAAGTCTATTTCAGTAACAAGTTGTTTGTCCTGATCCGAATTTTTGCTGAAGTCTTGGGTTTGGCCTTGCATGGCTATTTCCACTGCTCGTTTGGTGAAGTAGTCTTCATCAAATGTGTTCCCCCATTAGAGAGCTATGATATATCCAACACTCAAGGTAATTGGAGATTTCTATCTACTTGAAATCGTGTTCAAGGTGAGACTAGTCTTCTTTTTCTTCCTGTCTGCTGGTTCCATACTAGTGTGAACTTATTCACTCTTGCATGTGGCCTTCCCCTTATCTAATGGCTTCATTCCCTTCATTAAAGTTGTTTATCTATATCTTGGCTATCGTCTATGAAAAGGTGAGCTTCATCCAAGAAATAGAGCCATCTCAAGATGTATCTAATTGTAACATGTTCATCCTGATCTCTTGTGTTTATGTAGACTGGGATTCTCCTTTGCATATCAATTTCTATTGCTCATTCGACAAATCGTTCTTCATAAACGTTGTTCCTCAGTTAGACAAATATAACATATACAAATTTCATAGCCATTGGAGTTCTCTAACCACCTAAAACCTTGTTCAAGGTTAGCTAGTCATCTATCTACTATTCTGACTATACAACACCTTACTCACTCTTGCATGTCAATTTATCTTACTCAGATCGCAACGTTTCCTTCCTAAATGTTGCTCTGTTTTTCTGTTTTCTACAACATATCCAAAAATCGTGTCCATCCAACAAGTTTAGGCCTCTCGGATGTAGTACAACTGAAACAAGCTTTTCTTTTTGGAAGCCTTTATATTGTTCATTTCATATCAATACAAAGGATTGAAGTAAGGATTTAAGTGGGACAGAAGTGAAATTCTTGTTTAATTGAGGGCCTAAGTGATACTACAAAAGTCTCAAGGATCTAAGAAGTAATAAAAGGAAGTTAAAAGAGGAATTTGTGAATACTTGGTTACTATATAAGGATTATATAGTAAAATGTGTTTTATTGTGGACTAGGAACTTCTTTTACTCAAACGTGGTGTTGACAACGTTGTTGTTGTGTGACGAGCCTTGTGGGACCACGTAGCATCATTGGACTCTCGATAGGGGACCATTAAACCCAGACTTGTATTTTCTTGTATGTATGAAGTAGTAGTTATGTTTGCATGAGAAATATGCATGAAATTTGGATGCCATTATTGTGTGGTTTTATTATGTGATGTGCACCGGCTTCGTGCGTTAACGGTGTTCCGAATGGCCTCCGAAGGCAGTTGTACGACGGACTAACTATTCCAAAAGACCCATTAGGTGAGGATAGTCTATGTGCTATAACCTTTGAAATGGACACTCTCGCTACTGTGCCACTTGAGTTGCATAAATTGGTCTTATGGGTAGTTGGCCTGCAAGGATCGGTCATCAAAAGAATATTACTGGATATTTGAAAATTTGGTTTTAAAAGGTTGTATGAGCATCCCTGATCTATTGTAAGTAAGTGAAACATCTATTTATGTTGTGTATTATGATTTTGATTTTTAAGATGAAATGGGATCCAACTATACTTAGAGCATCTCCAGCAGACTCTTTATTCTCTCATCCCTATCCACTTTGGCTAAAAAGAAGGAAAATCCTCCTTCCAGCAGACTCTCTACTGGGCTCTCTATTTCGGAGAACCAACTTTTGGCTCTCTACATGTAACATCCTTGACCCAATTTAATTGTTTTATTCAATTTAATTCTTTTTTTGAAATTACAATTTTGCCCTTGGGGGTAGGGTTACTCTAGTCACTTTTTAATCCAAAAGGATTTTGGGGAATTGAGTGACACCGTTGCATTGAGCTCGTCAATACGAATTCGTAGACACGTAGTGGTCCCAAATCGGAGTTTTAATGAAAAAGATACGGTCAACGAAAGTGCAATGGCACAACCATAATTTCTTTGAAGTTGAATTTTTAAAACCCCAACCTATTTTCTCTCTCTCTTCCTCGACCCTCTCCCTCGCGACGCACGCAGAACCAACCATTGTGTGGCCGGTTATCTCCACTGTCTGAACACCCTCACGGCTGAGACCAATTGGGATTTGATCGTGAGGGGTCGGTGATCATGACTAGACGGAAGCTCAGCTAAGACCGCCGCTCAGGGAGGTGCTGGGAGCTCGGAATAGGCCGCGACTGAGCCAGTCTTTCATCTCCGTTCTAGACGATTCCGAGCACCATTTTTTATGAACGAGGTATGAATTTCGATCCTCTCCACGTGCTATAGATGTCTGTATGGTTGGATTAGATCAATTTTGAAGTTTTGAAACTCAAACTAAAACCTAGAAATTTCCAGTTTTTGGATCTATTTTCCGGTCACTTTCTGGCCAAATTAGAGGTAGGCCCAATTGTATAAATTGCTCCCTTGGTTGTCCTGATCACGTAGGTATAGATATTGTTAGGTGATTTGAGAAATTTTCGTCGCAAGAAATTTACTCAAGCCATCCATGTGTTGCCGGTGTGTGTGGCGGCTCGTGGGCCACTCTCTAGCTAGCTATTGTATCCTAAAACAATCCCCATGTCGTCCCGAGCACGACAGTATGCTCGGATTCAAATTTGGTTATCGTATGACAGTCGAACAAATTTACGCCTATTAGGCAATAGCCGGGTTCGATATGTTCGAACTTTGGATCGGCTCCACTTCCATGTAGGAACTCACGGATGGAGAATCGGAGTCTTGGATACTCCAAATCAATAATTGTAAGGTTACGTAAATCGGTGACCGTCCGATCGTGCGATCTAGAGCGATCCGACTGCTCGATCAAGACCAAACTTGCAGAACGTGTTAGGGGACTTGGCTGAACCCATGGGAACTTTCGAATCAGAAATTGGAGGCCGTGGGCCCTGCGGGCCTAGTTGACCAATATGGGAAGTTTGACTCCTCGGTTGACCATGAGTCTTCAGCACAGTAAAAAAATTCGATAATTTCGCTGAAATATCGACGAAATTATCGTTTTTTTGGGGCTCCGAAATTTTAGCACATTTCCAAGTATATATCGTCATTTTATCGATATTTTCGTCGATAATTTCGAGGATATTTCGGGGAATATATTTTCGTCCAATTCGCAGTTTAAATGGTCATAATATCGCGATATTATCGATAATATCGCGATATGAACTTTCAAAAATGAAAATATCGAAGACCCAGAAAACAATCGAATCAACCCCAGATCGTGAGCCTAAACAAGACCAAAACGACACCCAATGTTTAGGATACGCGTATCAGAAAACGTCTCCACTTCTTCTTCTTTCAAATCTTCCTTCTTCTTCGATATAAATAAGAAGCCCAGATCTTCCTTCTTCTTCTTCATCTAGCGGTGCCCCCACTCATCAATTCTTCTTCTTCATCCTTAAGAAGCCCAGATCTTCCTTTTTCTTCTTCATCCAGCGACGCCCCTACTCATCAATTTCTTCTTCTTCATTCTTCATTGTCGGCGGCGTCGGGTTCTCTTCTCCATTTTCATTTTGTTTTCTCACGCGTTCTTCTCTGTTCTGATGGCTGGTCTTACCCTTTTGACAAAAGGATTTTGTTTCTTTGTTTTTTTTTGTCAAAGGATTTTGTTTGTTTAATACTCACAGTTTCACTCACACCCCACGTGATGGTTGTACTTATCGTTTTGACAAAAGGATTTTGTTTTGTTTGTCTTATTAAAAAAAATAATATTATAACCAAGACAAGTGGAAGTATGTTAAAAGTAATAATATCAAAAGTAATAATATTATCATTTTTATGTTATTTAAAATATGTTTTAAATTATATATATTGTTATTTTTAAATTTTTATATATTTTTTAAATTTCCGTATCCACGACGTATCGTATCCTAATTTTTGAAATTTGTCGTATCCCTGTGTCGTGTCGTATCGTATCCCCGTATCTGTATCCGTGTTCGTGTTCGTGTTCGTGTCCGTGCTTCTTAGCGTAAAACAGACGCCGATCCGAGATCATCAAAGAAGAAAATGGGATGAGAAAGGCAAATACCAAGAGATTGTGAGCTTGTATTTGACATAATAAGAGACTTCGTGGCGTAGGATCCACGTCCTTATTACTCCCTTACTCCATATGCCTCCATCCTTTTTTTGTCTTTGCTACGGAGTCCCTGAGTTAGAGACATTATTTGCTTGAACGTCGCACTCAGGGGTTCGAACCCCTCCTCGCTTCCAACTCCTAAGCCTCTTTGCCACCACACTAGCCATCACTTTGTGATTAGTATCTATCGAATCTGGTATTTATAACTCTTCCAAGTTGTTTCTCAAAATATAAAATAATTACTTATTGTTCTATATTGTTGATCAAATATTTAATTACTTAATATAATTTATTTCTTTCCTATTTAATCCATTTAATGTTATTGCTTATTTTATTATTCATTATAAGTACTTGCATTACTAAATTCCCCTTCAAATTGTTGCTTAATTACTTAAATCACCATAATCATTTTCTTTATTTCCTATTTAATTCTTCTTTGGATAACTTTATTTATGTTCTTAGTTAATTTTCAATCTTCACTATTATTTTTTAAGCATGATAAAGTGCTTAATTTTCATGACAAATCAAGTTGGTTTACATCTTTAATTATTTTTCAATTTTTGATAAATAATAAATATAAGAATGTGTACCATGTCATGATGTCCAATGAATAACATGAAATAAAGTTACTCACGTATCTTACCATGCAACTTATAAAGTGTAAAATATTGTAGTAAAAATGATAAATAAATTACTAGAGGGTGTTTAATTTTCTTTTATTAATTACTCTAGATTTTCTAAGTCACAGAGTTTGTCAACTCGCAATATAATCAACTTAAATCACTCAAACATGCTATGCAATGCATTTCCTTCCAATCTTTTGGGTTAAAATAATAGATGATTGACTAAATAAACTTTTTACAAAGTTTCATTAAAAATTTCCATTTATTTATCACAATTTTCATGGTTTTTATCCAATTTTTATCGATATCGATATTTTCCCGATATTTCCATCGATATTTCCGTGTTTTTGAACCACCGATATTTCCGAAACCCTCGATATTTAAGACCTTGGTCTTCAGAGGTAGTTTCACCCTTCGAGAAGTACTAGAATGACCTTATAAACAAGTATTGACTGTTATTTGAGTCATTTTGATTATGTTGGGATTATGAGATTATTTTATAGTATTTTATGGAGTTCTTGGATATTATGTTGATATTTGAAGTTTATGCAATATTTAATGTTGTGGAATATATGATTATGGGATGCTCGGTTGATTGATTGAGAAAACAAGTCTTAAGACTCGACTGTGATTATTAAGAAGTGAGTGGACTTTGTTTTGAAAGAGCATTATTTTTTATGATTAAATTACCATGCATTTAAAATGAATTATTTTGACTATGGAGTTTATGAATCGTTTAATTATGGAAGTTGAGGTTATTTTGTTATTTGAAGTTTATAATTATTTTGGATATGGATTATATGTTTTGCGAAATTTTTATTTACTTTATGATTAAATAACTAGACAAGTGATTGATAAAGTTGGGTACTTTGTTGATTGTTATGTGAGTATGTAATTGCACCATGCTAAGTACCCTCCCCTGGTTACTCTACCCACACATAGTGTTGGATTTTCCGGCGTATGGGCTCGTTTGGTTATGTTAGTACTTTATCAAACGTGGCATTGGATTATCCGGCTTGTGATAAAGCAATTTGCCCGCGTAGGACATAGCTGGTTGGGTTTGGCCACATGTAGCGTTGGATTTTCTGGCGTGTGTGATGTAGAGTGGTAGTCCCCCGGTTGGACAACTCATCCCTAGACGCAGGCTAGAAAGTTGAAACCTTGGGGGCTAGTCAAACAATCCCCGCGTTGGATTGTTTTCCCTCGATACTCGTGATGGTGTGAGGTTGTCGTATATAGATATTATATGTACATTTATGAATTTTGGGGCATATATCGATATAGTCATGAGAGTTTTCGTGGTCTATGTGTATATAATTAATTTATATATATGTATAAGCCTAATTATTTTAAAAGCTTTCCTTACATATTATGTTTTGTAAACCGATATTGCAGGATGGGGTTTGGTTAGAGTTAAAAGAGTCGAGTTTTATGTATTACTATATTATATTCGGATTGTGGAAAGTGTTGTTCGGCAACATATGTCTTGGATAGAGTATGGTTGTGGGAAAAAAATGATTTTGGAAAAATAATTTGAGTTCAGAGTAAACGGTTAGTTTTGAGTTATGAATCATGAGAAGAGAGGAATTTACTAAATATTTGGTGAGGATCTTCGACGATGGTCATGCGGTAGCTTGTGGCTTGTCAACACCTGTCTCTTTGAGTTTGTCTTGTCTTTTCTTTTGGGGAAGTTATCCGAATTGACCCTTTGTGAGATTTTCTTTGTAAATTATGGGGTTGTGACTCTGATCTAACCCTTTTTAATTACACACAAAAAGGACTTGACGTGTTTCTGGAATACTTGGGAGTATGACGCACTGGCGATTGAGAGTTGTGACTGAGTTTCCAGGGCGTGACATGTGAGGTGGAAATCGGACTAGACTGGACCATGCCCACCCCTAGTTCAGTCTACTTTTGTATTATTAAAAAAAGGCGTCAATGGCATCATAATTGTGTGTGTGTGAAAAATCTCCCTCCCTTGTAGTGAAATAAAAAAATAAAAGGCAAATTGTACTTTACGAAACTTTATTTTCCCTATTTTATGTTTCTTCTACCAGCATTAAATTTCAGAAAATAATTACCATTATTTTTAATATTTACTTTTTATTTTATAAATCAGTCTATCATTAATTTAAAAAAAACTGTAAAAATTAACAACTGAAAAAAAACATTATTAGATAAGCCAGTAAATTATTTTCTTTCGGTTACAAGGTTGAGAAAATATTTATTAAACCATTAAACTACATGAGATGATAGATCCTAGCTAGCTAGAAATAATACAAACAAAAAAAAAAAAAAAAAAAAAAAAAAAAAAAAAAAAACTTTAATTCGAAGTAAGACGTTAAACATGACTTTGATCGAAGTGTACACAAAAACAATAGCCTTCCTTTGGTCCTCCGGGAAATTCTTGAATATATTCCCGTACTTCATTTCGGCGAGGGTCATTTGAGGGTTCTTTCTGTAGAGCGCAACAGCTTCATAGACAACCCAAGCTAAATCAATTGGCTTAACCAATATGATACTAAGCAACTCTAAAAGCCCTTCTGTCAGACAGCATAGGTCTCTTAACTCCCCACTCGCAGTAAACAACACACACTTGGTTTTTGTTTTTCTCACAAATTCTTGCATCAAACTAAGAAATCTCTTCAGGCCACTATGACGAAGGTCCAGCATCAGCTGCAGCATTGAAGCTACCAAATTCTTCAATTGAACGATCGAATTACAGGCTGCATCCGTCCATTTACTCATATGTTCCGTTGCTTTCGCTATAGTGTCGTCAATGGCGCACTTAGATTTCACAAGGGCTTCTTTGAATTCCTCCGAAAAATTGTCGAAAAACCGCCTTGCTACGTTGAGAAGCTCCGTTGCGTTGTTTGACAAATACTGAAGAAAATCCTTGATTTCGGATGCAATCCATTGAGAAGCTTCACCAATTTTCTCCATGACTACGCCTCCAGTCTTCGCCATAGAAAATAATCGTTGTATTTTTTTTGAAGTACTTTGTGATCTTACTTGAGAATTAAGTAACGTGCCCTTTGTATATATAGAAGTCTTAAGACTCAGTGTGGAAGCATCTATTAATTTTCTCAATAAAATTTTTTTAATTCAGTTTAAGTGGACTACTGCTAATTCAGTTTCTCTAGTGGAGAATATGAAAAGTTGCACCTAGGCTGCATGATCTAAGTATAGCTAATAATTATAATTTTGGGTTCAAGTGATTATATATAAATAGAGAAAGCGCTTCAATTGAGGAATCCCTCGAATAAGTTTATTTGAAGGACACACTTTTCACTCGTATTCTTAATCTCGTTTTCCTCTACACTCTAATACAAAATATAAAAACTAAAATTGAAATAGTACTAAAATTGTATAAAAACTTAAAGTACTATGTGCTGCTAAAATCGTATTCTTTCATTTTTGTACTGCTATTCGGTTAAGCACATAGCCAATGAATAAAAGCATCGCGAATTTTAGTACTATTTCAATTTTAGTTTTATTTGATTTAGAATCTGCTTTTGTTGGGTACCAGTCGAAGCATTTGGAGGGTGCTGCAGGTGAATAAATTCCCCATTGTGGGATTTGGTGCTAACGCTATCCTGATTCCTAATAATGTGGGCCATTTATACCAGATAAAAAGTGAGATACAAAGTGAATGTTGCGATAATTATATAATTAGTTGAGAATTAGGACAAAGTCTAACTTACCTTATTTGTCTTTTTGTAATTATTCTTAAAACTCTGAATTTCAACTTGGTATTAGATCGCGTCTTTGACTGTCGTGGCTCCGATCGATTCAACACCATTTTCGAACCCACACGATCTCTCAGTCCAGATCGTGATTGGAAAAGAAATTCAAGATTTCACACATTTGCTGAACTGCTTTGAAGACCATGAACCAACCCACTAAACCGGTTGAATAGTACCCGAATTTCGTATGTCACATACACTGCCCGACTTTTTGGCTTGAATCACACGTTCAGATGGGATCTGAGCGATATTGCACCTATTGTGGTAAAACCTTGTTGGAAATTATATATTATAATATTTAATTTTAATGTGTGAATGAAAACAGTTATTATGTTTAAATATGAAAAATCACATAGCATACAAACCTGATGCAATTCAATTAGAGAAGTTGCATCTTCCCTTTTGCATGGGTGGCGCCAATTAGTGAACAGCCACCATTGCTATTTATATAAACCTAAGCAATATGACATTCCAGAGGAGTGTTGATAAGGAGTTTTTACCCACTCATGCTATCTTAGAGTATCAATCTTCAAGTTTCCTTCCTAAGTGTCTTGAGAGTACAAATATATAATTGGTTCGTCAGAGTCTTAAATTAAAGTGCTTCAATTTAAGATTATCGATTGTTGAATCCTGGAAGATAAACGCCTATAGAATTGCGAGCACAAGGGCATATGCGAAATCTTTCTTTAGGACTTTGCGATTCTTGCAAGCCTCAATCGCTAAAGTTGTCAGTATTTCTACACATTTGTGTTTGTTGATTTACATCAATTTCATGTAAATTTGTTATATATTTGATGGTTACAATTTTATTGAGAACTATTATAATCTAAATTCATATTTTATATTGTTCCGCGAATCTAAAGACAGAATTTATGGAACAATGAGAAAAATGAATATGCGAAAGACAGAGAATTGACCAAATTGAATTGGGCTATGTTGATGTATATTTAGTATACAAAACGGTTATATATGTGATTATACATATATGAGAGCAGTGCATAAATGATTAGTCTCTTTAGACCATCAAGTATGCAATTTTCAAGTATTACCTTTCAAATGATGTATATTCAGTATACATAATAGCACAATCGATATAACTTTCAAATTGGCTTTGAGGATGGGGACATGTGGTGTTGAACAAGTAAACTGTTTGTTTTGTTAACCGTTATGTCTGCTAAATCCCATGTACTGGGTTGGGATTATGATGTTTGCAAGAATGAATTACATCAGTTTATTGCATCTATTTCACTAGTTGATTAAAGTGCTCATATACCAATTTTTTTGGTATAAGTGACATCGATAACATGGTTTATGTGACTAATAACAAATTAATTGATAATCCCCCGTTGATTCAAACAAGAGTTTATATGTTGTTTACCCGGTTAAGTTCAAAGGTTGCTCTTACATCTTTGTATGATACTCCAACGCTAAAACTATTTAACTAAATTAGGTTCTTTGGTGCAGTCGAATGTACTAGTCTGACGTAAATTTTAAGAAGTGCCTAAATGTCGCCATAAGCGAACTTCTAGTTCATAGTTATGGATTTAGAGCGAACTTCTAGTTCATAGTTATGGATTTAGAGGTGGATGCTTTTTTTTACGGGAGTATTGTTATATTTGAATTGTACCACTTTTATTAGCATTCTTCTGTTTCCTAAAATGGATTCTTGAAAAAGTTCATTCCTAAGCTCATTCAAGGATATGGGATTTAATGACTCCCGTCGTAGTGTCTGGGAATAATGGGTATTAAGGTAACCAAAAATAGTTTTTAGGCTTGTTCCCCTCTTTGGTATGTACAATAGTTTTTAGGCCACACAAAATGTGTTCTATGAAAACATGCCACTAACAATGCACATTTACCACAACCTTAATATATTATTTTTTACAACGAGAGCTAAACTACGTATAAAGTAACTTGTAATTATCAAACATTCAAGTTTATTCTATAGGAAACACAAGACACCCTTACTATATTGAAAGTCTGAACGTACGCATCCCCTACTGGTTCCTCCTAAATGTCGGGATAATTGTACACAAGAATGTTTGAAATAGTTCATAAATAAAATGCTGGAATAAGGCTTCAAATTCAAGATATTGAATTAGTCTGGTTTTGCCATTGTTGGTCATCTCTCTGATGCCATTCTCTCTCTTTTGTATTATTAAAAAAAAGCGTCAATGACATCATAATTGTGTGTGTGAAAAATCTTCCTCCCTTGTAGTGTAATAAAAAAAATATAAGGCAAATTGTACATTACAAAACTTTATTTTCCCTATTTTATGTTTCTTCTACCCGCATTAAATTTCAGAAAATAATTACCATTATTTTTAATTTTTACTTTTTATTTTATAAATCAGTCTATCATTAATTTAAAAAAAAAAACTGTAAACATTAACAACTAAAAAAAACATTATTAGATAAGCCAGTAAATTATTTTCTTTCGGTTACAAGGTTGAGAAAATCTTTATTAAACCATCAAACTACATGAGATGGTAGATCCTAGTTAGCTAGAAATAATACCTAACAAAAAGAGTACCCAAAAAAAAAACTTAATACTGGCTCTAAGAACTCCATTAGACTATAATGCATTCCATAAACCAACTCAGACTGAGAACTCATTATTTTATAACTTAAATACTTTGATCGAAGTATAAACAAAAACAATAGCCTTCCTTTGGTCCTCCGGGAAAGTCTTGAATATGTTCCCATACTTCATTTCGGCAGGGGTCATTTGAGGGTTCTTTATGTAGCGCACAACAGCTTCATAGACAACATAAAATAAATCACTTGGCTTAACCAACATATTAAGCAACTCTAAAAGCCCTTTTGTCAGACAGATTATGTCTGTTAACTCCCCACTCGCAGGAAACAACACACACTTGGTTTTTGTTTTTCTCACCAATTCTTGCATCAAACTAAGAAATCTCTTCAGGCCGCTACGATGAAGGTCTAGCATCAGCTTCAGCATTGAAACTACCAAATTCTTCAATTGAACGATCGAATTACAGGCCGCATCCGTCCATTTACTCATCATCTCCGTTGCTTTCGCTATAGTGTCGTCAATAACGCACTTAGATTTCACAAGGGCTTCTTTGAATTCCTCCGAAAAATTGTCGAAAAACCGCCGTGCTACGTTGAGAAGCTCTGTTGCCTTGTTCGACAAATACTGAAGAAAATCCTTGATTTTGGATGCAATCCATTGAGAAGCTTCACCAATTTTCTCCATGACTACGCCTCCAGTCTTCGCCATAGAAAATAATCGTTGTATTTTTTTTGAAGTACTTTGTGATCTTACTTGAGAATTAAGTAATGTGCCCTTTGTATATATAGAAGTCTTAAGACTCAGTGTGGAAGCATCTATTAATTTTCTCAATAAAAAATTAATCAATTTAAGTGGACTGCTACTTTAGTTTCTCATGACGTAAAGAAGATGACGTATCATTATTATTCAATTTAAGTGGACTACTAATATTCAGTTTCTCTAGTGGAGAATATGAGAAGTTGCACCTAGGCGGCGTGATCTACGTATAGCTAATAATTATGGTTTTGGATTTAAGTGATTATATATAGCGAGCACTTTAGTTGAGGAATGCTTTGAATAAGTTTATTTGAAGGACGCACTTTTCAATCATATTCTCAATCTCATTTTCCTCTACACTGACAAAAAATTAAAAATTAAAATTGAAATAGTTATTAAACGAGCCATGAGTTTCTTACTCGGGTTGGGTCTAATTGTAATCCAAGCCCTATGTGCTATTGTGGTTCCGAAAAAGTAAAGCCTTGAGGACAAGGCTGCTATTCGGTTAAGCACATAGCCAATGAATAAAAGCGTCGCGAATTTTAGTACTATTTCAATTTTAGTTTTTATTTGATTTAGAATCTGCTTTTGTTGGGTACCAGTCGAAGCATTTGGAGGGTGCTGCAGGTGAATAAATTCCCCATTGTGGGATTTGGTGCTAACGCTATCCAGATTCCTAATAATGTGGGCCATTTATACCAGATAAAAAGTGAGATTAGCAATTCTTTTCTTTGCATTTTGGTAGTGAATGTTGCGATAATTATATAATTAGTAGAGAATTAGGACAAAGTCTAACTTACCTTATTTATCTTTTTGTAATTATTCTTAAAACTCTGAATTTCAACTTGGTATTAGATCGCGTCTTTGACTGTCGTGGCTCCGATCGATTCAACACCATTTTCGAACCCACACGATCTCTCAGTCCAGATCGTGATCGGAAAAGAAATTCAAGATTTCACACATTTGCTGAACTGCTTTGAAGACCATGAACCGATCCCACTAAACCGGTTGAACAGTACCCGAATTTCGCCCGACTTTTTGGCTTGAATCATGCGCTCAGATGGGATCTGAGCGATATTGCACCTTGTGTGGTAAAACCTTGTTGGAAATTATATATTATAATATTTAATTTTAATGTGTGAATGAAAACAGTTATTATGTTTCAATATGAAAACTCGCATAGCATACAAACCTGATGCAATTTAATTAGAGAAGTTGCATCTTCCCTTTTGCATGGGTGGCGTCAATTAGTGAATAGCCACCGTTGCTATTTATATAAACCTAAGCTATATGACATTCCAGAGGAGTGTTGATAAGTAGTTTTTCCCCACTCATGCTATGTTAGAGGATCAATTTTCAAGTTTTCTTTCTAAGTGTCTTGAGAGTACAAATATATAATTGGTTCGCTAAAGTTTTAAATTGAAGTGCTTCAATTTGGATTATCGATTATTGAATTCTGGAAGATAAACGCTTATAGAATTGCGAGCACAAGGGCAGAGGTGAAATCTTTTTTTAGGATTTCGTGATTCTTGCAAGCCACAATCGCTAAAGTTGTCAGTATTTCTACACATTTGTATTTGTTGATTTACATCAATTTCATGTGAATTTGTTGTATATGTGATGGTTACAATTTTATTGAGAACTATTATAATATATATTCATATTTTCTCACAATGCAAGCAGGAAGAAAACTCCAAATCGGATTTCTTCAATTTTAATAAGATCTATGAACAGTTACCATGTGAAATATATGGCAACTCAATCCTTTTTCTAAAACTAGAGGCCACCTTAGGCAAAAAGGATGAGGACCATTCACCTTCGATAAGATTTGACTCAACTACTCTAGTAGAAGAAAATGATGAATCTTATAAGTTCAGATATTAGAATTATCATTTTTCGGACCTTGCATGTTAAATCTCTCTTGTTGCTTAGATTGTTGCATCTTTATGATAACATCTTAAGAAAGAAAAAAGAAAGAAAGCATGAATGCCCAATTTCAACCTCTAGTCTTTCAATGGAACAAAACATACCACATTCAAATACCTGCTCAATGTTATATCCAGGGCTTGGATCATTGGAGAGTGTTAATACCCTGTCGAATCAATCCAAGCAATTTCCAACAGCATATCAATGGTCTCTCCAAAGATTTGATACCTCCCTTCACTATATGCAATTACCTGTGCGTTCCCACACTGACATACAACACAACAGGATCATATGCACCTGTCACAATCCTTCCCATCTCAATATGTGCACTGCAATGATTAACTGCAACAATGGGTTTCTTCCAAAGCTGTGAAAGAACCTAACAACAATGGCAGCAACTTGTAATGGTGCTCCCAATCCAGGACCCTTGGTGTAACAAAGCAATCAATTTCCTAGGGCGTTATTTGGGCAGTTTCCAAAGCAGATTTAATCAGCGGGTTAATGTGTTGGAGATGGTGCGGTGCAGTTTCGCGGGAAGGAACCCTTGGCCATGAGGGGTAATGTATGTGTTGCGTGAGTTTGACAAAATTGTTACCCCAACACCAATCTTGTTGGCTGAACCCTCAAACCCTAGAGCTATCATCTTCTTCATTCTTGTAGAAGGCACACACTGTAAATCAAAAGGAAATTCAAACAAAGTCCAAAATGTTCGACTCACAAATACTTTTTATGAACCTTGTCTGCAATATATTCTGGGTGGCTTAATTTCCATGGAACTGGCAAAGTTTGATCAGCGGATACGATTCAAATGGGCAAAAGGCTGAGGATCAGCTTTGGGAGCTGGTTTAACCTCCTTAGGGTCCCCAAAAACATTCCATAACTTCAGTGTTTCATGAGCTGCTGATGCTACTGTGCAACCATTTGGGCTCTGAGCCATATAAAGGACTGTAGAAGTATGACCAGTGAGTTCTGCAATTCTACACATTGATGGGTATTTCCAAAGAGTAAGCTGATTCTGAGAAAACCCATGTGCGCTAAGCAGCTCTCGTTCATTCATATTCCACAGCAAAGCACAAACCTCAAAGCCAGTGTCAACAGAGTTCAGGCATGCACCTGTGTGAGTGTTCCAGAACTTTATGCACCCATCATCATTCCCACCTCCACCAGAAGCTAGCAAATTTCTCTGGAAAGGACACCAAGCAAGGGCTTTTACAACAGCTGTATGACCTTGGAGCCTGTGAAGCCACTGTGTTCGTGAATATGATCTGTTGTCCCATATATGGAGCAGGTTATCATTTCCTCCACTTGCTAATTGCTGGCCTGAAGCCGACCATTTAAGCCCACAAACCTCTTGCTCATGTCCTCTGTATGTCTCAACAACAATGTGGGATCCAATTCTTACATCATTGTTAACGATGCGGCCATCCATTCCTCCAGTTGTAAGAATGTGATTGTTCCATGCCAGTGAGCCTACTCCCGATAGGTGGCAACCTCTCAAGGTTATCACATGAGAACTGGCAGCTGTATCCCATAGCTCTACTTCGGAATTGTTCAGTCCAATGGCAATCTGGCATCCATCAATAGCCCAGTTGACGCTGGTAACAGGTCCCCTTTCATCCTCAAATGTGGCCAGTTCCCAAGTAGAATCATCGGTAGCATCCCACAAATAAACTTTGTTTGCAAGAGCTATTGCAAGAACAATGGAGCTTCCCCAATCCAACAAATTAAGGTAGTAATCACCCATAAGGTCGGGAGCATCAAGTGTTCTGTCTGCACTTTGAGAAATATATCTTCTTCGTGCCTTGGGGGGTTTGATTCAGTAGGTTTATCTGAAGAGAAGTTGCTTGGGAAGAGCTCTACGGGGGTAGGAGTCTTGTTCTTGAAAGCAAGAATTCTACTGCGGTTCATGTTCATGGCCTCAGCCAACTGCTTCCGATAGCCTACTCCATTTCTAGGTGGGTTTTCCTTACCTTTCCTAGTACTACTACCTTGATGAGTAAGCATGTAAAATGCATAATCAAAGTCCATGGCGGACCGGTTTGGTATGAACCGGTCCCAATTTTCTCGGGAATTCCTTTTCTGAAGAAGCTGTTGTTCAAGAGGGCACCACCTAGACTGTGACCTCAAGGTACTCATTGTTACATTTGCAAATATGAAACCCAAAAATTAAAAATTAAAAAACAGAGAATATGAGAGACACAGACAAATAAACAGGGAGAGAGAGCAGTCAAAAATCAGTATAATTGAAGCAGATTTTCCTTCAGAACAAACAAAATCATATGCAAACTTCAAAAACCAACTAAGATCCTGTAGAAACCCTAAGAAATCAAACTTCAGAAAAACAGAGAATATGAGAGACACAGATAAATAAACAGAGAGAGGAGTCGAAAATCAGTATAATTGAAGCACAACCAAAAGCATATACAAACTTCAAAAACCAACTAAGCTCCCGTAGAAACCCTAAATGAAATCAAATTTAATTAAAGGCAATAGAAACGCAGACAGGGCTCGGATCTTGTCAATTCAAAATTTTAGCAGAAAAATACACACAAAAAAACTGAGTTTAACTAACCGAATTATCGATACAACGGGACCTAAATTGCCTCCGAACAAAGCATTGAGCTGAGGCTTTCGATTGGTTTCTTCGCCATATGTATTCTCAGTCAGAGATGTGTATATGAATGCAGGAGATCGAATCGAAGAAAATTGAACTCGGGTTTGATGCTCAACGTATATATACGTATGTTTGACGCATAGAATACTCGTGGATTTGATCTAATTTTACTGATCTAATTTTGGTGAATTTGATAATACGTCTGTCACTAATTTTCACTTAAATTTGCAGAAAATAGAGGAAATTGTAGTAAGAATTCTTGCAAACTAAAATATTCAAAAGTATCTGTAATAAGAGCTAAAGCCCAACAAAACAGTATCAATACACTGAATCTCAGTGATTCAAAGTTAATGATATTATGTGCTTCTTGGCCTTGGAAAATCATTCCAAACAACGCAATAAGCCTTGAAAGGACTTTAGCCTTGCCTGATAAACCTAATAAAAAACAACACATTAATCTACAGAGCCAAATGGAGATCGAATTGAGGTTGATGCATACATCATTTTTTTCAATACCAAGGTACATCAAGGGCTTGAACCTGTCAATTGGAAAACATGAAAACATTGTAAGCAAAGCAAAGAGGATTTAATTTCACCTATATATTTTTTTAACATTCGTTTAAGGAAAAGAAAGATCTCTTCAAACTATCTTTCAAGTGTAAGGGAGAAAAACAAATATTGTCTACTAATCTAACCATTTTTCTTCCTCAGTCATCAAACAATCCTCTATGAGGAAGTTATGTGAAGTAAACACCTTCACAACTCATGTGGAATGAAGAAATAGGCCGTGTGACAGACTAATTGGAGTTCCTAATCTGGCTTTGCAGCTGTTTTCAATATGAAGTTTGATGCAGGAGCAGCAGGACAGAAGCTTATATACATGCATACACATATAGACATACGCAGAAAAACACACACAAAAGCATATGCACACATAAACACGTGCTCACACATTAACATACTGTTATTTTGATTTGTGTCTTTTAGTGTTATTTAATTGGATTTTCATTTTGGGAAAAGAAACTCAAAAACAAACTTTAGTGATAAAGAGAAGAAAAATTACAGGCATGGACAAGATAAGTACTCCTTAGGTGCTTAAAGCAGGAAAAGATATAAAAATTAATATGAACGACGTATTCCTTAGGCAAAGGCTTAGACAATCATACTAAACAGTCTTTACATAGTTCAATGGTAGGAAACTCAAAGCTAACTACTCATGCAAATATCTTCCCAAGTGTCAATTCTTTCTGTACAAGAAACACCATACCTCAAGAATTATAAGATTTAGGTAGTCTCATCCATGAACCCGTTTAAGTTTTTCTGACTCCTCTTTTAGTCTCCAGATTGCTTCCACTTCATCAGTTCGGAACCGTTGCGTAAAAGTCGATTCCTCAAACGGGGTTGATGCGCCATGAGCAAAAGCAAGAAGACCTGTATAAGCAATCATGGCACCGTTATCAATACAATACCTATCATCAGTTGCAAACAACCTTCCATCCCGTTCAGAGCACATAGTTCTCATCATCTCTTGCAAGCGTTCGTTGCAACCTACACCGCCAACAATAAGGACATCTTTCTTGTCACAATGTGCCATTGCACGCTCCGTTATCTCCACAAGCATTGCAAACACATTTTCCTGAACCAAATTAATAAAATTAAATAAATCATGTAAGTAGTCCATCATTACAGTCATCATTCTTCCTCCTTTGCTTGCAGAGTTTATTAAATTGGAAATTCTTTGTCGCTCTTTTTTCCTGATAAGTCCCATTTGCTAAAACCTATTTTCCCATCAAAATAGCTTTGATTCCAAAGTTTACCTGGAGTGAGTAGCATAGATCTGCAGGGGTGCACTCGCTATTCTTGAGCTTCTCCACAGCAGTGGCTTCAATGTAGCTCAAAATTCCACTAAAAGACACATCCATCCCTTTCACAGCATAAGGAAGGTCTATATACTGTTCTCCTTTCTTTGCAAGCTGGGAGGGGAAGGAATCACACAAGTCATGATGGAAGCACTTCCACAAAATATTCAACTAAAGCATGGGATAGAAACATAGCTCAAATCAAACAATAAGCATAATAGTGGTAATAATGATGACACTAACGATTATGATAATTCAACTTCAAGAGTTATTACATATGGATTTCTTATGCCCATTCAGTTCAATAAGATTGACTGCATCACCTGATCACCCTAAAATTTGGCAAACTATATGACTCTAGTTTATAGAGATGACTATGAGTTTGAAACCGTCTGTAAACATTATGGAACTATAAATGTATTAAAAAGATAATCAACTACCCAACCATGATGGGTTCACACACTTCAAATTGATTCACCATATACAGGAATGCAATAGGGCACCCACAATAGAATATATAGAAATCATATCGGCAGCATTTTAAATTTCAAAAAAGTTCATAAAAAAAAGTACAGAAATTAACAACCAACATTCTCACAATGCAAGCGGGAAGAAAACTCCAAATCAGATTTCTTCAATTTTAATGAGATCTATGAACACGTACCATGTGAAATAGATCATACAAAATTTGGCAACTCAACCTCTTCTCTAAAACTAGAGGCCAGTTACGCAAAAAGGAAGAGGGAAGCCATTTCACCTTCTGTCTAAAAAAATGCCACTAGCTCCCATATGATACACTTTTCCTGTTTCGTTTTCTTTTTGGGGTCACAATAAGATTTAACTGAACTACTCTAGTAGAAGAAAATGCTGTATCATATAAGGTCAATTATTAGAATTATCCTTTTTCAGACCTTGCATGTTAAATCTCTCTTGTTGCTAGATTGTTGCATCTTTATGATTAAGAAATCAAATTCAGTCCAGCCCAAGTTAAACTCCAACATAGTAACAAGTAAGAACAGCTAGTTCTCAAATTTCTTGGAAAGAGAAAGGAAATCTTGATAAGATAACAACTTAAAAGGATTCCACAGAAAAAGAAAAGAAAGCATGAATGCCAATTTCAACCTCTACTGATTCAATGGAACAAAACATACCACATTAAAATACCTGCTCAATGTTATATCCAGGGCTTGGGTCATTGGAGAGTGTTAATACCCTGGCGAACCGATCCAAGCAATTTCCAACAGCGATATCAATGGTCTCTCCAAAGATTCGATACCTCCCTTCACTGTATGCAATTACCTGTGTGTTCCCACCACTGACATACAACACAACAGGATCATCTGCACCTGTCACAATCCTCCCCATCTCAATATGTGCAACGCAATGATTAACTGCAACAATGGGCTTCTTCCAAAGCTGTGAAAGAACCCTAACAACAATGGCAGCAACTTGTAATGGTGCTCCCATGCCAGGACCCTTGGTGTAACAAAGGCAATCAATTTCCTTGGGCGTTATTTGGGCAGTTTCCAGAGCAGATTTAATCAACGGGAGAATGTGTTGGAGATGGTGTTGTGCAGTTTCGCGGGGAAGGAACCCTTGGCCGGGAGGGGTAATGTATGTGTGGCGTGGGTTTGACAAAATTGTGCCATCTAAGGTGACAACCCCAACACCAATCTTGTTGGCTGAACCCTCAAACCCTAGAGCTATCATCTTCTTCATTTTTGTAGAAGAACTCAGGCACACCCTGTAAATCAAAAGCAAATTTAAACAAAGTCCAACATATATATATATATATATATATATATGCAATTTCAAGCCCAAATAGAGACACTAAAATGCCAAAATTATTTTCAAATACATTTGTATATGTAGATACACGAAATAAACCTTCACCTTTCAGAAATTAACAGGCACTGTTTTTCAGAAACACATACACTCCTTTGACTGAAACTGAACTGACGATACAGCAAGTCAACGTGAAAAAGAACTTATCTTCCAAAAATATCCCAAAATTGTAAACAAACAAAAACAATGCAACCTAATGAGCCAGAACGGTAAAAGTTTAAAAGGATATTGCCCTATAAATCAAAAGGAAGGAGGAAAGGATATAAAGGAGGTCCCAACACAGAGGGAACACAGGGTGGGTCAAACCGACAACGTGGAAGCGCTTCTGGGCAAACCTATGGAGTCGCAAGAGAAGGTGAGACGAAGCGTGACGACAGACAGAAGAAATGCTAAAAAGAAGGGACATGGAATGGGCCTAGGCATATCGGTGTGGCCCAAAAAGGATAATCACAGTGGGCCGAAAGAGAAAAACATTTTACTTGGGTCTAATGATGCACCCAAATGTTACAGTGACGGTGGGACCTATTATGCGAACAGTGAGGGCTTGTTTTGGGCCTTCAATATCTGATTTCTATCGTAAAATGAATTATATATGCGGAAATATTGAACTATACGTGAAGTAAATGAGACATAATATTTAACGTGATTCGGTCATGCCAACGTCTTTGGAGAGTAGCAGCATTAACTTTTCCACTATGTAAAATAATATGACTACAACCAGTGGCGGACCTGTGCAGGCGCAAGGAGGTGCACCTCCACCTCTGGTCGCCGGAAAAGTCCATTACCACAGCTGGAATTGCACCTCTGCTTCATAAATGAGATGCACAGAACCTATTCGACGAAATGCCCAAACCACCTGGGCTGGGAGAGTTGCATCGCTATGCGCTGAGCACTTTGTTTTAAACAAAAACGACGTCGTTTAAAAAAAAAAACCTGGCCAAAACGAAGTCCAGGGTTTTTTTATAAAAAAAAACGTAAAAATATAAGGAAACTGCTGTGCTATTGGGCCATTTTGTTGGGCTTCTTAATTTATATTATTCCTTACTTAATTGGGATTGGAATTCTCTATATAAAGGACCAATTTATTCAATTGTGTATGCATCATACGAATCCTACGTTTTTTCTTCTTCTTGAGTACGCCAATCCAAAGTAAGTCACATGCTTTTTTTTTTCTTGAGCAAACGCCAATTTTGTTTATTCTTTTTTTAATAAATTTATTTTTTTCTTATTTAGCTATTAGTAAGATCAGTAGCAAACTCGAGAAAGAAGAGGCTACTAGACATGCTATTCAAGGTATAATTAATTTTTATTTGTTTATTTAATTGATAATTTGATATTGATTTGTTTATTTAATTGATAAATTATAGTCAATGAGTCATAGTAATATATATAAAACCCTTATTTTGTTTTAATTGTACAGTAATGGAACTGTACTTTCAAAGAAAGAGTTTAAATCCTCCTTCAAATAATCCGAGTAGTTCAAATCCTCCCTCAAATAATCCAGCTAGTTCCAACCCTTCTTCAAATAATCCAGCTAGTTCAAATCAACCTTCAAATAATCTGCCTACTTCACATCCTCCCTTAAATAATTCGGGTAGTCCAAAACGATCGCAAGTCACAATAATTGTAGGTTAATTATATTAGTAATGCAAATATAATGCGACGTTTTCATGATATGAAAGCTCGTCGGCAACAATTGTAGGTTAATTGTAATGTTATTATTTTAATTAATTATGAATAACATTAGTATTGTTTAAATTATAAGGATGCTTAATTATCCTTTTTTTGTTTTTGTTTTTTTGAGCTCTTAGCTTTTAAAAATTTCACATCCTCTGAAAAATTCCTAGGTCCGTTGCTGGCTACAACTTTAGTGTTTACAATATCTGTGGCTCACTAATTTTTCTCCCTTGGAGAATTTATCTCTACTCTCTTTTCTCTCCCCTCACTTTCCTTTCTTTCTTCCTTTCTCTCTGCCTAGGCTCTCATTTTCTTCTCTAATGGCTGGTTATAGACATAATTATGTGGCTACTCACTCAAAAGTCTTTGACTTCACGTGGGTGTTGGCAGACAAGCTTCACCATTATTTTTCTTATTTTCTTTATGTGGGCTCCACCACATTATTTATAACACTCTTCCTTGGAGACCACAAGTAACATATTGTTGCCTCAATAAAATCTTGCTAGAAGGAAACTCAGTGAGGTAGAAAACTGATGGAAGGAAGAAGAGTGCATTAATCAGTGTAGCATACTTTTGGATGCTCCCCCCGATATCTTCAAGACTATCTTTTTGGAGAGAAAATCTTTCGGAGTGAGTGGAGGATGTAGCCATAAAAAATTCCTTAGTTGAGTAAGTAAATATATTTCCAGTGAGAGATTTCTATGTAAATCATAGAAATTTCCAGAGTTTGCGTATTCAACAAAACCAGGGCTATTTGTAAATTCACTTTAGTTTAATAAGCATGTATATGATGTTATGCAGAGATAGCATCAAATATGCCTCACATCATCCCAAAGTGGTGGTGATGGAGCTGAGCTTTATCTGGAAAATACAATGTCCTGTGTAGTATACTTCCAAAAAATTATTTAAGTGCCCAACGAATAACCCACATAAAAATGCTTCAATACTTTCTTAGTATTTCTTGACACATTATATAGCTTTATACCCAGCTATTTGTTCTGCTTATACATTTTTAGGGAATCGCTTCTGGCAATATGCTTCCATGCATTTAATAACCCTTAAAGATAGCATGTTGGTCTTCGTAAATGTGCAAAAAGACAACATGATTGCATCCGTAAATATGGAGAACCTCAACATTCCTTGTTTCTACCAAAAATATTGTGTCATATAAAGTGAGTATATTACTCTTTATTCCGAACACCCATATATAACCTTCAGGGTTAACATCTTTCGAGGTTTGTACTATGGATTTGTTCTTTCACGTTCATTCTTATATGTTATGGAATTGCCTCTTTCCATTTTGGCCAATGATTTTGTCCACATTTAATAATAGAATGGGGTTCCAATCAACACAGCCCACTGATGATTTGAGTAGCCACTCTAAAACCAAAAATTGTCATTCATCAATTCATGATCCCATCATTCTCATGTGCATGCATCAATTGTAAGTATTTCTTTGATTTTGGGTACCCAAGCCACTTCAGAGACTTTTATTGTCTCTTTCCAAACAAACATCTCTTGTAAGATGAATTATGAGAGAATATGGATCATAATCTCCAATGGATCGTTATTTTATAGTATAGCGTGGATAATCTCCATTCAAGGAGTTGGAACATTTAGAACCCATATATTTGTCATGCTAACTAAAACCAAACTGCGGCATAACATGAAGATCGTAATCCCGAACTAAAAAGAAACTAAAGCGGTATAAGGCCAACAAAAACAAAAAAGAACACATAAGAGCGTAAAGCCCACAAAAGACAATAACCCCGCGTAAGGCTAGAATCCCACATAAAACCTAAGACAAACAAGGAAATGATAGTTGTCACAAGAAAACCAAGATAATCAAACCTCAAAACATACACCACTCGAGCTTCACCAACAGTATTGAAATTGAGCCCGTTCAAACATTTAAAAGAAAGCATCCAGCAAACAGAGAATGAGAAATTGCATCTCAAAGCAAACATGTAACCATAACCAACAGACAAGAAGAATGTGGTGCAAGTACCCGAGCTATAGCTCTACACACCTTCCAATAAATACACGTCAAAACGCGTTTAATGTTTGCAACTGCAAGTCGAGGATGAAGCAAGATCAAAAGGGATATGTGGGAAAATAGGTGAGTAAGCGGAAAGGTCATGAGTAAGGTCGTCATGATAACCAAAATGAGATTTTGAAATGGAAAAGATCCTTCCAGTAAAGAACTGTCAAATGAATGCACAACCCTTAACAATTCCATGAGGGGCTGTTTGGTATGCCTCACTATGCCTCACTGATTGGATTGGATTACATAAGACTTGGAACCCATGTTTGGCATGAGAAGATTAACTTAAATGAGATTATATTGTCCAACAATTGAAAAAACCAGGATTCGCATGTCTAATATAACGAGCTCTAAATTGGGTTCGCAAAATAGCATACTCCCTATTTTGAACAGGCGAGTCTGGCTGATTTCCTTATGGTTTGAATCAAAACCTCATCACCACACACGCCGGATAGGCAGAACCCAGAGCCCATGCCCCCCCTGGATTTCTTCTCCCCCATGACCACCACCCTCAGGCCATGCACAAATCCAACACAAAGAAGCCTAATCCACTCGCAAAACATCTTTCTTCGCCATCCCAGCCACCAGCAGAACTCAAAACCATCTCTCTTCTCCATCTTAGTCCAATGCATAACAGTTCCAAAAAAATAAATGGAAAATAATGAACCAGAAATAGAGAGAAGAAAGAAGGAAAGAAAGAGGAAGAAAAGAAAAGAAGAAGAAACCTGGGTCTGCGCATGATGCTGCTCCTATTTCTATTTGGTAGCTTTCTTCTTGCTGATGATGTTAGTGGCGTAGTTAAAGAAGAAGAAAATGAGAGAGAGAGAGAGAGAGAGAGAGAGAGAGAGAGAGGAGAGAGAGAGAGAGAGAGAGAGAGAGAATAAGAATAGAATACTAGGAAAAAAAAACCTAAAAAAGAGAGAGAGATGTGGCAGCATCATATTTTATTCTTATCTAGGTTTTTTTTTCACTTATCTAGTTTTTTTTTTCAATTCACACGGTTGGCTTGTATAATAATTTTTTTTTAGGTTAAAATCTTTAATTAAATTTAAATATTAAAATAATTATTTTTTAGTCCAACAGAGCACCAAACATAGGTCTTCACTATTTTTACCACCCAGCTTCTTAGTCTAACACATCACCAAACGTAGGTCAGTACTTAATCCGAGCTAATCCAATATAGTCCCAAAATTTAGTCTAGTCTATGACAGTCTGCTTTACCAAACGACCCCTGACAGTAGTATCATGACGCACATGTGGATGTTGGCCAGCCACTACCGCTAGATATCTTCCATCTATGCTCCTCCGCTTTCATTAGTTCCAATGCGACAACATCCATAGGGATGCACTAAAATGTCAAAATTATTTTCAATTACATTTTTATATGTAGATACACGAAATAGACCTTCACCTTTTAGAAATTAACATGCAACTGTTTTCCAGTAACACATACACTCTTTTGACTGAAATTGAACTGACGATACAGTAACCCAACTTACAGCTTAAGTAGAATTGAATTAAAAACAGCAACTCAATGTTTAAAAAAATGATGTTAAACAACTTATCTTCCAAAATACGGTCACAACATGTAGAGGGGCAAAATAGTAATTTGATACAAAATCATATTTCTAAAATCTGACCTTCTCTTCTCTCTCTCTCTGGCTCTCTCTGCGAATCAACCCCCCCTCGATCTCCTTGAGCCGACACCACCACCCTCCACCATAAATCACCATTATCCGACCGCCATCAGCCACCAGACTAGTCAGGTCAGAACCGCCGCCAGCCCAGCAGCCCATCCCGACCAACTCCGACGTCAGCCACTACCGAAGTCCGTCGGAAACAGCTGCGAAAGTCGTTGGATTTTGACAAATTTTTCGTTGGAGATTTCTCTCTCCTACGGCCACCAAATCGGACGAATTAGGTATGGATTTCTAGCTATTTTTCATGCTATAGTTGATGGTTGGGTCGGATTTGAGAAATTTCTAAGTTTGGTGGGTTAATTTTCGAATTGGAATTCGACCGATTTTGGGTTCGCAATTCTGGCCACTTTCGACCACTTTTCGGGATAGGTCTAAGAACAAAAGTGGTTCTGAATAGGGTGTTTCACATATGGTAGGAGTTTTGAGTCGTAATTTTGAGATTTTCATGCGAAGCGTTATGGCTTTGGGTACCCATGCGCTGCCAACGTGTGGGCAGCATGGTGGGGACCACAGTCCTAGAATAATCCTTTGGTCATCTTGAGCACGTAGGAATTCGCGGATCTCATTTCGGACAACGTTTGAACCTCGAATGGATCTCGCATATTGTGCGATTTCCAAGTTCGATACGTTTGAGCCATTGGATCATAGTTATTCTCAGATATGTTAATCTAGATAATTCCAGGATCGTGAATCGGAGTCCTGGATGCCCCGAAAATGTTAACCCTAGGGTTAAGATTACTAGAACCGTCCGGTGGTGTGATCGTGAGCAATCCGACCGTCCGAAAAAGACCGAACTCTCGGGACATGTGTCCTAGGCATAGAGGAATCTTTAGGAACGTCCGGATCATAATTCTGAGGTCGTGGACTCCACGGGGTCCCATGTTGACTTTTTGAGACTTTATCGCTTTTGAGTCTCAGGCCTCTTTTAGACCATCCTAAACATGGGAAAAGCTCATGTGGGCTTAGGAATGACTTTAAACCCAATAAACACATTTCTAGGAGCTGGGGGTCAAGGTTTCGGATTAACTGTTTATGTTGAATTCTATTGGAAGTTATTTATTTATTGTGTTGATTATTATCATTTTATCTGGCTGAGTATTATTGGATGATTTAATGTTCTTGAGTTGCTATGTAATTGAAATTACTTTTTTAAGGATATTATATTGTGTTCAGATGTGAAGAGTTGGGAATGATTTGTAAATCAGATTTCGAAAGAAATAGAAATTAAGTAAATGTCCAAGTACATGTTATTATATATATATATATATATATGTAATGTAAATTCAAAGGTAGTTGAGAACTGAGGTTTAGAAAGATGAGCACAGATATAAAATATGGATTTGTTGAATTAAAGGAAGGTTTGTGATAAGTCTTGGTATATGGTTTTCAAACCCACCGCGAGGGTACCCCCCAGTTGCCTTGAGACAGTTTGTTATTTATGATAATGCCCCACGAGTTTCGGGGACGCCTGAACCGTGTGGTGCGAGGATTGCGGCTCAGGCTGACCAATGGTCCCCTGAGGCCTGTGAGGAATGCAGCTTCGATGGACTTGGTGTCTCTGGGACCTACGAGGATTGCGGCTCAGATTGAAGTATTATCTCTAAGACCTACGAGGAATGCGGCTCGGTTAACTTTATGGTTCCGAGACCTGCGAGGATGGAATTGACAGACTAACATTGGAATTGACGGATATATGGAATTGACGGCATATATGGAATTGACGGTATTAAAGGAATTGACGGATCAGAAATGGGGGTACACCTAGGTGGAGAGAATTTAGATTTTAAAATTCTTTTAAATTAAATTGAGGATTTTATATGGCTACCATTATTTTCTTAAGCGTCACATTTGTTTTACAAGTGTTAGATGGAAACATACATATATATTTTAATTAAGTTGTTGATATATATATATTTATTTATGAACCTTACGGGAATTTCAATACAAGGATACAAGGGTCTTCGAAGCTTATAAATCTTTTACTTTCTTTATTTCATTTTATTTTATTTAGTATGCTTATTTATCTTTATCTTTTCTTATTTTATATAGTATTAAATATCTTAAGTTTTTCTAGCATATTTTGCCCCACGAGTCTTAGAGTTATCCGGACTGTAGGAGTGAGGATTGCGGACTAGGTGGACCAGATGTCTCTTGAGTCCAGCGAGAATTACAAGTTAGGACGTGTCACCATTGGTGTCACGAGGAATTGATGGTTATGGCTTTCCAAGCATGATTACTTGATATAAATGCATTTATTTCTTCGTTTGATTATATATTGCCATGTGCGAAATGCCAGGAAGCCTGAAACAGAAAGCTGAGATGAAATTTGAGAACTAGAGTGGTTTTGCAATGAAAGAACTACGTGTGGCTTGATCCCTCAATAAGAGTACGTAGGCAGCCTATGGTTACAAGGTGCAACCACGAGTTAGAATTTTTGAGATTACCAATGCATTATTGTTGTTCTGAAAGTTCAGATGAATTTTATTAGCATATTGATTATTTGATTTGTTGTAACTTGAGACCAGAATATTATGATGCTTAATTTGTTTGAAAAGTATGAAGTTGATTTTGAGCACATATATTGGAGGTATATACCGAGTGGAGCTAAGCACAAGATGTGATGAGGTTACAGTTGGTGTAAGTTGAGTCGATGTTTGTATGCTATGCCGAGCCGACCACAATAGATAATGTAACATGAAGGTGGTGTGAGAATCCTTATTATTAAAAACGTTAATACTTTATTTTGGTAAGTATTAAATTATAATTATAATTATTTTATAAAAGTCTATGTTTTATTTAATGCAAATTCAATAATTTTGATGATATTATTAAAACATGCTTTTAATATTAATTTTATTTAATGGTAGTAGGATTTTTGTCCTTAGCTATCTAGAGTTTCATGCATTATTATTATTCTATTATATATATATATATATATGTACATATAAAATATTACGTGCTATACTTTCATAAATATTATCACTAATAAATATATACTTTAAATAAATATCTGGATATATTTTATTTTCGTTGCAACTCGTGCATGTTATTAATACTTGGTGGCTAAGTTAAGGTTTGTAGTGATCAACTTTGATTGATATTAGTGATAGACATGTCCATTTTTTTATAGCCAAGCAAGAAGCACAATCACCTTGTGAGTTGTCATCTGCATATCTTGAGTTTACTTAGCTTTAAACACCTCCTGCTACAATTTCTTATAGCTGGCAGCATTACAGTCTTATGCACATGCCAATTGACACCACTTAGTTGAGATGCCGACTTTCCCCTCCTATATCATCTTTAGCCGACTTTTATTGTACTATAAATAGGAATCATTTCCTTAACTTAGTTTTTAGGACATGCATGGTAACGCATGATAGAAGAAGAAAAGTGATAGAGAGAGGAAAAAGGAGGGAAAATATTAGAAAGCGTTAAACAAGAAAGACTTTGGAGGAACTCAAGGTGTTGAGTTATCTTATGTTTAAGGTAGGGGTTTCCTGGGGGTCTTTACGGGGATTGATCTAATTAATTTCGTGAGCAATATATTATGTGTGATATTGTATAATGTTCTTGATATACTATATTTACGTATTGTGAATTATTTGAATAATGTTGGCATAATTATATTATGTCATGGTAATTGGTTGGAGTTGTTGGGTGGAGAAGATAATGATGGAAAAGAGGGTAATGGAAATAGTCTTTTGTGTAGTTGAGTCTAACTCTTGGCAGGTACCAGGTCTCAGGGATCCCACAGTGCACATGATTTTTATTGGGTGATTCGGGACTGGCGAAAGGGAGTTAGACAAGATGACTAACAAAAAAGGAATTACGGGATGATTGAAATGGGTGTTAGTTCATATAAATGGGCATTTGGAACCAAATGGTATAAGCATGGTATGGGACGTGCAGGTCTGCTTGTCCAGTTATATGAATTAACGGGATTAGATGAAGAGCATTCATGCATTGTTACTAATAATGTGAAATTTGGTTGCTTGATTATTTATCACTTAATTTAGTTATATCAATTTATCGTAAAAAGGCTTATGTCCCTACTGAGCTGTGGTTTCGCTCACCCCTTAATAGATTTTGCAGGTACCAAACCCGAAATCTAGAGCTTGTGATGATTTTTTTGGCATGTCTATAAAGTGTATTATAGCTTATGGATGAATAATGAGCTACTCTTTTAGTGAACTCTCGAGTAGTTATGACTTGTAAAATAATGTAAAATTTTTATGGTTTCAGATGTTATCATTTCCGTGTTTCTACTGAATATTTTATGTGAAATATTTATTTTATTTATTTAAATATTTTCTTCACATTTTAGTTATAGTTTTTAAATTCTATAATTAATGTGTGAATCACGTCTTAACCCACGGTTTTGTAAATCCGAGGGTTGGGGTGTGACAGGTGGTTCGACTAATCCCACGTAACTTCACTGAATAGCACCTATGCTGATAGAAGTCAGCAATTGTATGTGTTAATTTCCAAGCATATATATATATGTGTGTGTGTGTGTGTGTGTGTGTGTGTGTGTGTTGTAAATGCATGAGTTGGTGGATGATCATCATACCTCTTAGCATTCACCCTTTCTAATTCTATGTAACCTATATACTAAATATCATAGTTATGAGCTTAATGGAGTTAATGTTGAAATTATGAATAAACATGACTGATACTTATGGTCGTGCCAGAAGCATATTAATCATAATTTGCTTTATATCAACTCATTTTCTGAGATGTGAAAATTTTATTTTTTGATTGAATAGTTTTGTAGATCATGGTATTTATATTAAAGTATATATTGAGCAAACCTGAAGATTTTGCTTCACATTATCATCTTTATATTATTTATATTTGGTCCCTGAAGGACAACACTTACCACTCCAATCAAATAAGCATTATTTTGATGAGACCAATTTCGCGTTGTTAGGGGGAGAAAAGGTTGTTCCTAAAGAAAGACGTGAATTGCTATGAAATGCATTCATTATTGTTTCATCAAAATTTTGTGTCACCTAATGTTAAGTAAGGTATGAAAGAAATCGCAATCTAGAAGATTGCAAGTCAAATGCTAGAAGCATTTTAAAAACACTAATGAAGTGACATATCACATCAAAATGTTGATTTCCTAATTAGGCAATCTAAAGTGGTGGCAAATGATTTATCTTGTTGTGTGCCTAAGTAGTCCAAATTGGCTCTGTTGAAGTTAAGACTATATAAAAAGGTCCAAGCATCCCAAATAATATAATGCTATATCAAAATATTCATATTTCCTATATATTTAATACAAATTTATAAATAAACCCAATTCTAGACATGTATTTATAAAAAAACCCAAGCACTATTTAAACATAGAAACACACCCAAAATCAACCCCAAATTCAACTTTTTGGGTGTGTTTATAAATGGGTTTTGAGTGTGTGTAATGATGGGTTTTGGGTGTGTTTATATGTTTAAATAGTGCTTGAGTTTTTTTATAATTTCAGACCCCATTTTGGGTGTTTTAGTGAAACTCCCTATATTTAATATTGGAATAGAAGAGATACAGTCTTATAAGAAGACATAAGTCCATTAGAAAACAATGAAAGCCCTTGAAGATGCACAGGTACCCAGTGACTATGAAAATGTCTATATCTTATGCATGCATAAAGAGAAATGTGGATTTATAAATTGATGATCATCAATGATATTGTTTATATATAGTAAGTACTAAAGTTTAAAAAGGCTATGATGATATTGATCCACATTGTATTATGATTGTCAACAATGTAAAGAAAGATTTGCCAAACTGGAAGAGGCAATCCAGTAAAATTGAATATTTTTGGAAAACACCAAAATATATGAAATTGTATAGGTTACAAATCGGTGTTTGCGATGAAGTGAAATAAAATCACTTGATATGGCAAAATGTATCCATGTAAAGACATGGAATTTTTATAATATTCTCCTAGTATATTATGTAGATGCAGCCATGTTTCTTCTTACGAAGCGTGTTAACTGCATATTTATGGAGACTTGCATTTATATGCAAATTTAAAATATTATGAAGTTAAGCATATCGCCAGAAGTTATTTTTTGAAGAATACATAGGAATAAATTTTGAGAGATGTAAAATGTCATACATTATATAAATTATTGAAAGAAAATCTCTAAGAAGTTAAGGAGCATGAAGCTCAATGTCTATACTCAATTTTCAAGAAATGAAAATGATCTTCATTTCCTCAAGTGAGTATATTGATTGAGTTATGAATTCGAATTCAAGTTCAATATCGTTACAATGTATTCAAAATTTTAAAGAAGTTATCAGAATATTTAGGTCTTTTGAAGAGCCTATGACATGCTAGCATAGTATACAAAAAATTTATATGAATAGCTTATTACATCATGCAATCTTATACTCTTGTCCTTGTAACGGTAACGTATGAGTTTGCTTATATTATTATTTTGATGATGTTATTTTAAGAATTGTTAATGTGAAAGGATTTTGAAAATAGTCTAGATATTTTTAATATCACTCTAACCTCAATAGAGATTCAAATGAATGACAAACATACATCCTCTAATGATAATATTGAAGAAATTTTTATACAAAGCATTACCAAAGCTTGCTCTGCGGGAGGACAATGAGATATCAATATCATTTGTGTTGTATCTTCAAATAATTCAAGTTTGTCGTCATTAAGGGGAGGATTCAACAATTTTCTACATATAGGACATATGCTATACTCTTTTCCCTTCGATTAGGTTTTTGTCCCACCGGGTTTTTCCTATCAAGGTTTTAACGAGGCAACATAAGCGCGTCCAACACCATATCAATGATCCAGAAGAATGTTGCACTCTTTTTCCCTTTGCTTAGGTTTTGTCCCACTGAGTTTTCCAAGCCAGGTTTTTAATGAGGCAACAATGTCAATTGTATGGTGGACATCCAAATGGGAGTGTTGTAAATGCATGAGTTGGTGGATGATCGCCATACCTCTTAGCATTCACCATTTCTAATTCTATGTAACCTATACACTAAATACCATAGTTATAGGCTTGTAATTTATGAGTCGTTAATGTCTTCTTATCATTGTAATCAAGATGAGATAGACAAGTTGATTGACACAAATTCTATTGTCTTCCTCTACTTTCCAATTCTCTCTATAATTTTCCCTTAGTTATATAACAATATATATATGTATTCACTTGGACCACAGGAGTCTAAGAGATTGTGGTCACCCACTATTGGATATTAATCCAATGGTTCGAAAATATTTCTTAAAAGGAATGCAAGAGTGAGTGAACCGTTGAAATTACATCCAATGGTGAGTGACCACAAATCTCTTGGACCCCTGTAATCCGAGAGATTAAGACTGTATATATGTATATGCATATTTTAATACTATTACTCGGCAACACTTTGTGCTTTTCCCAAAAGACCACGTGATTGCCTTTAGCATATACCATTATTATTATATTATTATTGTATTATTTTTAGAGATTAACATGACACCATATTTTAATGTAAAATGAGGGAGAGAAAGATATCTCTTATCTCTTTATTCGATCTCTAACTGGAATAGGTGCAAAGTGTATAGCCAGTTGCACAGCCCATTTGGGCTTGCGTGGGTTTGCTTGACACGACAATTTTGCTTAGCTTATTTATGAGCAATAGAGATGGGATCATGGGAGAAAGTCTGGTCGGTTCTCCTTTATTCTGTGGTTAGTGGTACTGAGCCGAGTTGTTTCTTTCTTTCTCCTTTGGCATGCTTCTCTTTGTCTGAGCAGAGAGAGAGAGTTCCTTGGCCCCTTTGAGACAGAAGAGGGCATGGGTGCCTTGAGCAAACATTTGGCTGAGAAAGGACCCAATCAAACAATATGAGGTAGAATATTTTCTGATATATTTTTATTCTCCAAAAATGGGTATTTATAATACAAGTGTGTAAACCCTAGTAGGGTTATACAAGGAAACAAATAAACTCCTAATTACACAAGATTTGTACACAAGAAAAAGAAATAAAATCCTAATAGAATAGGAAATAAATCTCCTAATCAAACTAGGATTTCGCCAACACTTCCCCTCAAGTTGGAGTAAAGATGTCACGCATGCCCAACTTGTCAAGCGAGTAAGTGAGTTAAGAAAGACAGTAGTAGACATAGCTTTCGTAAAAACATCTGCTAGCTGATACTCGGATGATATGAACGAAAAAGAAATAATGTCAACATCCAATTTCTCTTTAATAAAATGTCGATCAACCTTCACATACTTTGTACGATCATGTTGCACATGGTTATGAGCAATCACAATTACATCTTATTATCACAATACAAATCCATGGGTTTCTGGGGCTCAAACTCAAGATCTCCAAACAATCTCTTCAACCATAGTAACTCGCACACACCTTGAGCCATCCCATAATACTCGACTTCGGCACTAGACTGAGACACCACTTTTTGCTTTTTACTCCTCCAAGTAACAAGATTACCACCAACAAATGTGAAATACCCAAACGTAGAACGTCTATCAATAAATGAACCAGCACAATCAACATTTGTATACCCTTCTACATCCATATGACCATACTTGGAAAACATTAACCTCTTGCTATAAGTTACTTTCAGATACCTCAAAATACGCATCACAGCACCCATATCATATTTACTAGAAGAATGCATAAACTGACTCACTATACTCACTGAATATGCTATATCAGGACGTGTATGAGCTAAATAAATTAATTTCCCCACAAACCATTGATAACGCTCCTTATTGGTGGAGACTTGATCAGAATATAACCTGAGCTTATGATTTTGTTCACTCCCTACAAGCCATTGATAACGCTCGTTATCGGTGGGGACTTGATCAGGATATAACCCCAACTTATGATTTTGTTCACTAGATGTATCAATTGGTTTATAATCCAATATTCTAGTCTCCACAAGTAAATCCAAAACATACTTCTTTCGGGACGGAAATATACCATGCTTAGATCTAGCAACTTCAATCCCAAGAAAATACTTCAAGTCACCCAATGACTTCATCTCAAACTCGAAAGCCAAATACTTATGAAGATTTTTCATTTTTGCCTGATCATCTCTAGTCACAATCATATCATAAATATAAATAATTAAAGCTGTCAATTTACCTTTATAAAGATAACAAAGTATAGTCCGAGTTACTCTGTACATACCCAAATTTCTTCATACACGCAACAAACCATGCTTTTGGAGACTGCTTTAATCCATATAAGGATTGCCGTATCTTACACACAACACCCTCCTTGGAGGTTACAAGAATAACAGGAGGAAGATACATGTATATTTCTTCTTTGAGGTCACTATGTAGGAATGCATTTTTGACATTAAACTGCAACAAGGGCCCTTCATGATTAGCAGCCAGGGACAAGAGTACAGGCACAGTATTGAGCTTTGCTACTGGAGCAAATGTCTCTAGGTAATCTACTTCATAGGTATGAGTATAACCCTTTGCTACCAATCTAGCCTTGTAATGGTCAATGAAACCGTCAGCCTTATGCTTCAAAGTAAACACCCATCTACACCCAACAGCTTTCTTCCCCCTTGGTAAAGGGATCCTAAGTTTCATTCTTGTTTAAAGCTTCCATTTCAACATTCATGCCATCCACTTATTTGGGGTCAGAAAGAGCATCCTGCAACTTAGTTGGCACACATACACTAAATAATTGACACAAATATGATTATATGACTTAGATAACCGATGAGCTGACACATAGTGGCTAATGAAATATTTAGACTTAGCATGTATATCAGGTGAGTATTGTGCTTTAGGTTTCCCACGAGTGGTACGTAGGGGCAATTGGTAACTTGGCATAGATGATTCACCAGAGATTACCTCACTTAGCTTATTCTTATGACTTGATTGGAGCAATGGCAAGGCAGAGGCGGGTCTTGCATTGAACTTGTCTACACAAGAGTCACAAGAATCATTGTCACACTCTTCAACGATGGGTGACCGGTCAGTTCCTGAATGTCGACCGGTCGTTTCATCACAGAGAGCATTTTCTTCATCTTTAGCGATAGGCAACCAATCGTTTCCAGAGTGTCGACCGGTCGTTTCGTCACTAAGAGCAATATCTTTACCTATAAACCTTGGGGACCGGTCGCCTTTTGCTATGCGAGCAATCGTTTCCTTCCCAAGGGCAACATCTTCATATATAGTATTTTGGCCATCAAGTCCAAGATCTTCCAATCTAAGACTCTCAAATTCACTCCCCTTCTACCCTTGAATTGGAGATGAGGGAGAAACATAATATGACACTTCGTCATGGAAGGTTACATCCAAAGTAACATGCACCTTCTGGGTAAGAGAATGATAATACTTATAACTTTTCTGAGTAGAAAAGTAGCCAATAAAGACACAACGCAAAGCACAAGGATCAAGTTTACTCTGTTGATGAAAGTAGACATGAACATAAGCAACACACCCAAAAACTTTAGGGGGCAACTTGGAGAAAGAGATAGGGGAAACATGGTCACCGAACACATTATACGGAGTCCTAAAATCAAGAACTCGGCTAGGAGTACGATCAACCAAATAGGCAGTAGACAGAACAACATGCCCCAAAAAATGATGGGGAACAGACATATCAAATATGAGTGAGCAGGCAACTTCAAGCAAGTGTCGATTCTTCCTTTCAGACACACCATTTTGTTGAGGGGTAAAAGGGGTTATTGTTTGGTGAATAATACCTTGAGCACGAAAGAAACATGCCAAAGTATTATTCACATATTCTCCTCCATTATCAGTCTGAAATACTTTGGCCCGAGCATGAAACTGAGTAGACATCATAGTACAAAACTCTGGAAGGATGGAAGCAACATCATGTTTATATGTCAACAAGAAAACCCCAGTTAGTTGGGTACAATCATCAATAAATGTGACGAACCAACGGCATCTGTTCGAAGTTACCCGAGCCGAACCCCACACATTAGAATGGACTAAATCAAAAGGCTTTGCAACTTTCCTTTCACTTAAAGGAAACACAGTACAATGACTCTTGGCCAAAATACATGTCTCACACTTAAAACTGGACTCATCACAAGAGCTGAATAAAGATTAAAACAGATGCTTAAGGTAGACAAACGACAGGTGTCCCAAGTGACGATGCCATAACCAAATTTGTTGTTTATCTTTGACACTGCAACTTTGAATAGTATTAACGACACGATCACGAACTGGTGTGGAAGGCAATGTCAAATAATATAACCCCTTATCCGTTTACCATGCCCAATCGTCTCTTAAGTCTTGCGATCCTAAAAAGAGCAATGTGTATGATAGAAAGTAACAGAAGCATTAAGTATATCAAGTATTTGACCAACAGAAGTTACAATGGATGTTGAGAATTAGTAATACATGAGACAAGGAAATGGTAGGAGTGAGAGAGATTATGCCCTCACCAATAATTGGAGAAGGCAAGTCATTATCACTAGTTATGTATGGGTTGCGAGTGTTACTAGATAACTCATAAAAAATTTAGCATCATAAGTCATATGATCAGTAGCACCAATGTCAATTATCCAAGTATTGGAGCCAATACCTGGAATAGAGTCAGAAACACACAAATTTGTAGAAGCAGCAACAACAACACCAACAATGAAGTTATCACCCATGATTGCAGCGAAAACTCAATAGATCACAGTATAATACACAACTAAACACAGTAGAGACACAAATACGACAGATGCACGAAGACGAGAACGACACAAACACAAAACAACACACAAACCCAAGAGGGCACACACAGCACAGGTAGAAAAAAAAATGGGGCTAGAACACCGATGGGCACAACACACAGGTCACCAGAAAGTCAGTTGTGATACCAAGTCAAACAATATAAGGTAGAATATTTTCTGATATATTTTTATTCTTCAAAAGTAAGTATTTATAATACAAGTGTGTAAACCCTAGTAGGGTTATACAAAGAAACAATAAACTCCTAATTACACAAGATTTATACAAAAGAAAAAGAAATAAAATCCTAATAGAATAGGAAATAAAATCTCGCCAACAGATCCAACTTGGCTGCCTCATTTTCCGAGGTTAATAGGTCTAGTCGTCGGTGTTGAGACTTGATCGTGATCGATGACAGTGGTAAGGTTCGATAGGCAGCGATGTAACCAGCGAGTCAGCGACAATGGCGAGGTTTGGTCGGTAACCATGGTGAGATCGGGTCGGCAGCTATGATGAGATCGGGTTAGCAAAAGTGGTGGACTTGGTCTGGTCAGAACCAATGAGTGACAGGCGAAGCTGGGTGGTAGGTTGAGCCGAACCGATCTGCTTCTCCCCCTCTCCTTTTGGTTGCTGCTTTCTATGTGAGCTAAGAGAGAGATTTTCCAACAAAGGGTGAGACTCTTGGTCTCTTCGAGAGAGAAGAGGGCACGTGTGCCTTGAGCAAACATGTGGTTAAGGAGAGTCTTTTGTTTTCCGCTTTGCCAGGGAGACGGCGGTCATTAACGATGAGGGTGGGCGACTGCTTCTCCATTGTTTCTTTGAGGAAGAAGGTTCATGGGTGCCTTTATCAATTTCTGGTATTTGATTCCTCTCGCATTCTTTTGGTTGTTTGTTGCTGGAGTTGTGACTATGGAAAAGAAAGCTTAGTTTCTTCTTTGTTGCTCCATGGGACACATGTGGGATAAGATGAAGGTGATTTTTCATAAGCACCCTTTGTATTCTCCACGAGAGATGAGCCAATAAGAGAAACAGTAGGTTTGTGCCCCTTATTTTGGTCTGAATCGAGAGTGTCAAGAGTGGAAATTGTGTTTTGATCGGAGAGCCAAGAGATAATGGGCTCAGGGACGGCGCAGGACCAGGGTTGTTTTTTTATGTTCTTGGCAGAGATGATGAAACCTATAAGAGAGTGGTGAGAACGACATGGATATTTGTTGTGAGTCCCACAGATGGCGCCAAATGTTAACAAGTGAATTTGTACCTAACGGATTAAGACATAATCACACACATAACACAAGTGTTTGAGTGGTTTACCCACTATACATCCACTATAGTTTATAGCTTTGTATTTGTATTTGTATTTGAATTTAAATATGGAGATTACGTTGTACATAAGAGAGATATGGAGAGAGATGCTCGAAAGCTAAGAGAAATAGAGAGCTTGGGAGAGCTATCTCTTGGAGAAGTAGAGAGTGGCAGCCGATCGTCCCCTTGCTTGGAGGTGGTGAGTTCCCTTTTATAGTCCAAGTTGGAGTAGACAAGGTTGCTTGATTGTTGGGACTTTTGCATGGCTCCCCTTGATTTGGGGTCTTGGGCATTGACAAGGCATAGGAGGTGGCATGGCTACTCCTTGTTTGGTGGAATGTGAGGTGTGACAAGCAAGGGTTATCCCTTGATTTGTAGGATTTGCTTAAGAAGGAGGTGAGGTCAACATGGTGTCAGCAATATAAAATAAAATAAACCTAACAAGGCATGATCATTCAGAGCCAAAATTAAAAATAAAAACAAGGCATGAGTAATGCATTAGAATACTCAGCTTTCAGAAAATCCATCACCCAGCGACAACTAAACCAAAATCATTAACAGACCAATATCAAAATGCAAAAGCTCTATTTAGAAGGGCAAGTACAATATTTTTGATGCTATACAAAACAAACCTCATATCAAATTTCACGTGTCGTGCGCATGGCTCGATTCAACTTTCCTTGGGACATTCTAATACTGCTATATGTTATTGCATTGTTAAGCACAATTCATACGGAATGGATGGCTTAAATAAACTGTACATGGACTCAACAACTTTCCTACTGACCAGTTGCTGCAGACAACAACTTATGCCAAGCAGTCCAATGAATGCCATTGACAAAAACATCCCAAGCTATATAAAACTAACTAGACACCTAAAACTCCGGCGAACGACAATGTATATTGTAAGCCAACACTGAAATCAAAACAATGTCCGCAGCATTCTCCACTGCATTGCTTTGATTCTGTGTTTCACCAAAACAAAAAGTGCTTTGATTGCCATAGAAAAACTATCTGTGTTGTTGCTGTTCTTTGCCTTCGATCTCCTTCACACTCTCTACTATGTGTTGGATCTTCTTTGAAAGACTCTCATTGTGCTCTTCAATGTGCTCAAATATTAGGTCGAGATGTCTTTTATAGGTAGCAGCACGCTTTTTCTCTATGGCCAGCTGCTGAGATAGTTCCCGAATCTTGTCATGTTCATTCTGAATAAGAAGGCAAAAGGTAAATTAAAATACATAACAAGCTATTATTAGAAAAAAGATATAATATTTTGATACTTAAAACTTCAAATCGATGGCTGTTTTGAGCACAAATCACAAGGTCATTGTATATTACCATTGTTTACAACTTTCAAACAGAATATCTAGCATTCATGAATTCAAACCCGTTTCAGAATTTTCACAAAAATAACACCTACATTTTCTGTCCATGATTTTGAGCATGAATCCATAAAAAATTCTCTGTGCAGGATGTCCATTTTTGTTAAAGTGGACGCACAACGATATTGTTAAAATGTATCAATAACATGTCGGTATGTTTTGTTGGTAACAATGATATGGACACTGGACGTCCGTTCCATGGGTGGACTAATCAATCCATTTTAATGTATGGATTAGTGACTATGAAGTATGGTGGAAAAAGAACGTAACTCTTACATGTAATGTATTGGTTTGTAAACTCAACTTACTGCATAAACTTATAATACTACGCAGAATTAATTAAATCATTCACAAACCAAGATCGTCCATACGAAGATACACAGAAGTACATTCAACCAGGAAATCTTTCCATTTCAACTACAATACCATAATAGGCTAAAAATCTTGTTTCAATGATCTTGTCACAATACTTAATAATTAGAACTGCATGGTGTTTGCCAAAATACAGATATGCAGCCAGCTGTACTGTATGTTATAAGGCGCTAGGTAATTAAGTAATAATTACGATTAGATTCTACAATATGGGGATATATGGGATAAGATGTATATATCATCAATACATGTGAAAAGCTCAAATGTAAGGAACAGATTGTCATATGCTACCCATAATTTGTAACAGACGTATATGCAATTTTGCCTAGCATTAATGCCCAAAAGAGAAGAACAATAACTAACCGGATATTGATCATATATGCAATCCCTTCGACCTTTCCCAGGTGTCAGAGGATGAGTGTGCTCCTTTACAAATTTTGTAACGACCCATTTACCAGAACTTACTTTCCTCACCAAAATCATTGCCCTGCAACCGACCCTGGTCTCTGCTCTCTGCCTTACAATTTTTTCGCGCTTGTCAGGCATTCTATAACCCTCTTTGTTACATACAAGTGCACGACCAATGGCAGATCCATCACGCCTTGATCGAGAGAGTTTGCTTACACGAATTATGAATCCCACACGAGTGGCATATGCATTATAAAATGCATGCGCAGCTGCTTCGGTTTCAAACTCTTGACCCACATATGGCTCATCTGCTGGAACCACTGACACAACTGGAACTGCTTGTGGAATTATATCCTTTCCAGGGGAATCTTGATTCATTTTATCATCCTGACCCAGTTGGAATGCTCCTTCAATAGAACTTCCACCTGTCTCATTTTCATCACCTGCTCTACTAATTTCTAGCTCAGCAGAACTTCCTACCACCTCGCCACTAACATCACCATCAACCGAAAATTCCACTGCAGTAACAAGAAAATTTTCAATAATTTACCCCACAAACATGTGATGTTCAGCAGACGCAGATTTGCAAACATCTTATTATTTGCCAGATATAATGTGGAAAGAAAATCTACACACATATCAGAATGTTCTGTTTAGATAACAACACGAACTTCAGAAAAGGACACGATAATTGTATAAGACTTGGGTTAAACCCAAATTCTTTGGTTCATAGCCAAAGAACCAAAAAGAGAAAAAAGAAATTTCCAGTCTTGTTTTCTATGTCAATTAGGCTACCTTGAATCAAATAATAAAAAAACCAACCTAACTAATTGGCAACTGAATAAGCTTTGCATAAATGGAAAGAAGTTAAGATAAAGGATCAAAGAGATTGATAAGCGACATTTGACGATTCAATTTCTTCTTCTCTCTTCCCACATTCCCTCAGCAATCAAACAGAGCCCGAGTTCTAGTTTTCCTTAATAACCATATCCAATTTCATAAAGAAAAAGCCAATTGCTAATTAAATTCTAGAGCTGTGCCTTCCATTGGTAAGAGAGTCAAAAGGCAAAACAATCCAAAGTCAAAAGCTTTTTTCACCACCATTCATATTCCCACATTTCTCAGCAACCAAACGGAAAACTAATCGAGAAAAACAATCAGAGATATATGAATCCATGCAAATTATCACATAAAACGCAAGAATTGACCAGAAAAAAACCCTAAAATAGTCACATAAAAAAAGAAAAGAAAAATTCCCCAAATTTAAAATCAAACTAATTTCCAACGATAAGAGACTTACTGAAAATTCGTGACGACCCTTTTGTTAGATGATCATGGAGGACATGGAAACGCTTGTTTTTGGGTCTCGACGCCACAGAGAGAGAGAGAGAGAGAGAGAGAGAGAGGCAAGGGTTCAGGTTGTAAATATGAGGACTCAAGTTCATTTGACGTGTCAAAAGAACATTGGACACGGAAAGATAAAAAAGTCAACATTTAGCATTAAGATGCTGATGTTTGGACACGTGGTTTATTGGGTGGACCTGGGCTTGTGGAATCGCAGCTCGTATTATAAACCGCCGGTCCATAGCGGTTTGAATCCGGTCTAGAGCTCGACCGTGCAGTCTTATTTCTCTGCTCTCTCTCTCCCTGAAAATTTGTTAGTAAAATGGCAAGAGCTGTGTTTGTTATTGCTGTTCGTAGAGCTTCTTCGATTCTCAAATCGTCACCTTCCAAACCTCTCTTCCTAAGGTATTCTCTCTCTCTCTCTCTCTCTCTCTCTCTCTCTCTGTGCATCATATGTTGCCATATATTGTTTGTTTGGTTGTTTTCTGCTATCTAAGATCAATTTTCTCTGTATCCAAACTCTTTGCTCCACACAACCCATCGAACCGCTTAATTGGTTTATAAGAAATTAACTTGTCGTCCTACTAAACTCTTTAAAACTGAAACCTATATGGATTCTCAAGAATGCAAGTCCTATCCAGCCAAATACTTAACTCACTGAGCCCCCGTTGATGGGTTCTTTAGATAATGATTTTTTTACTGTGGAAAATCTGTATGGAATGGGGTTATAGGAAATGGAGTAGTGAGAATGAGGAAATAATTGGCTATTTTGATCACTAGGTCACTCACTTACACATTAGCATTGCGTTTTCACGACGTTCTTGCCACATTTTCTTTCTCTTCCAGGTCAGGTTTTCCAACTCAAGAACCAATTTTCTTTCCACCCGAACACTTGCCTCTGCCAAACCCACCAAACTCATCATGGGGTTTTCAGAAACTTGAGCCATGGAACGGTGAATTTGGTTATATCACAAGGGAAACCCAAGTTCGAGATGCACGAGATCGATCCTCCGAAAAAGTTTAGGTGGAAGACCAAGAAGAGGTTTAAGCTACAGAGAATGAGAGAGAAGCAGGAGAGAAAAGCGGCCAATAGGAAGGACCCGCGTCGGCTTGGCATCAAGAGGAAGAAAAGGCAGAAGTTTGCCACTGCTGAGGAGAGGATCAAGTACAAGCTTGAAAAGGTGAGCTGAATCAACTTGTCTTTCCTATGGATGTAACCACGTCATTGGCTTTATGATCATGATCCAAAGAGGAAGAGCTATTGTATGGATAGAAAGCTTTAATGATCTTAAGTGTTGGTCCACTTCCTAGAACCTAGCAAGCATAAATTTCATGTTTTCCCCATGGAAAGTTTGAAAAAGAGGCTAAGAAGTTGGAGTGATGGTGGTTTTCGCAGGTAAATAGTGTTCAGATTCCTATCGAGTCTAGCGTTGACCATCCTTAATCATTGGCTAGATGAGGTTCATGTTGTGACACTTACAAGAGTTTCTGGATGAGTTGCCACCCATGAGACATATTGACCTTGCTATTTATCTAGTCCCTTGATCTTAGTTTCCTAATTTTCCATATTATAGCATAACGATGAATCCTAAGGAGCATTGCAAGTTGAATAAGTTAGTAGAAGGTCTTTTAGATAGGGTTCCTATTGGTCATAGTTTTAGTACTTGTGCTGTTTCTGCTTAGAAAGTTTTGGTGGATGTGGGTAAAATTCATGTCAATAAAATAGAGGACAGTCAACTATAGGTTTCCCATTCACCACTCGGCCATTCATAGGCTTGAGAACATCAGAAATAGTGGTAGGTTCTAGTTCGTTCTCCAAGGTGGATTTTAGTAGTGTATATCAGCAAATCAGGATTCGACTTGGAAATAAGTTGGAACATTGCCTTTGGTTTGTATAGTGTATGTTTACGAGGCTTATAAAATGTCTTACGTCCGTGTATAGCTAGATAAGTTTGTGGAATGTTTTATCATATTCAGATTTATAAAATTCTAAAGAACTCTTAGTGTTAGGTAACATTTTTAATAATTCCGTTACACCAAAAAGAAAAATGTTTAAGAACACTTCAGATTTTCTTGATTCGGAGAGTTAAGGAAACTGGATATCAACCTTACGAAATGCTCTTTCTGCAGACCAAGTGCTTTCCTTAGTGCACAATGACTTACAACAAACTCTAAATAAGGTCAATACTATTAGGGATTGGCCTTAATAAGGCTAGTCTTTAGGTTTGTAGTGTCCATGATCCACTTTCTGAAACTTTCTTAAAAAAATATGAAAATCTTAGTGTATGAAATTGAAGTTTATGGAGTGCTTATGCATATAAGACTAATTTGGGACTGAACTGGAAAAAAGAAAAGAAAAGAGAAATAAGAATACCATGTTCGGAACCAAGCTAACTTTCTAGTATATTTTTGGGAAGGAAAAACATTTGTTAACGAACTTTTCTTAGTGGTCGGGATTTCAGTTTGATTGTTTAGTATTAAAAAGGTGATAACTCCCAAGGGACAACCATGGCAAAAGTTTGACTCTCACCCTTCCTCACCCTCCCCTGAATTTGTTTTTTATTTTATTTAAAGAAGTTTATTTTAAAACAAATTGTGTCAGGGAAGATGCTAGTGTTTATGAATCCTCTCATTATAGCCGCTCTGTTCTTCAAAGATAGATATTTTGTGCTTTTTTTATTAGGAAGCTATCTCCTTGCCTTCATTGGGGGACTTGGGCAATTATGTTTAGATAATGTAATTGTACCTTTTCTAACGATGACCTGTGATCAACTTCTTTTTATTTTATTGTTATTTTTTGCTTTGTTCTATTAACATGTTGGATTCTTTCCCTTTTTTACCTCCCGATTTCACAAGACCTCATACATTTTCCTCCTTTTGCGTGCACTAGAATAGAAGACTTAAGTTCCATTTCACTGTCATTGGTTTCTTATGGATGGTAGGGTTGAAGTCATTTAAACACTTCTAAACCAAATATCAATACTTTCAAACACAAATGCTGTCCCTCCTATCCTGCTTGTTTTGTCATTCCTTTTAAAAATCTCTTTTGATAGCACTACACTTCTAAAGATTATAATTTATTGGCTTTTTATCACAAATGGCCCTTGAGGTTTGCGAAATTATCACCTTAAGGTTACCCTCCTCACATCAAAATGGTCCCTGTTGTTAACTTCCGTCAAATATTCTGTTAAATTGTTGATGTGGCACATGTGGGGCCACACATCCAATGGTTTAGAGCCACGTGGCTTTAAATATAATATAATATTTTTAAAATATTTTTAAAACTTAAAATCCATTTAAATTTTTTTAAAAAACTTAAGTCTTTTTATAAATAAAATATATTAAAACAAAAACAAAAAACAAAAAGACCTACACCATTCCCTCTGTGTTCTCCCTCTTCCAGTGCCAACCCCCTTGCAGACCCACTCCTCTCTCCCTCCTCTTCCTCCCTTCTCTCTCTCTCTCCCTCTCCCAGCACCTCACAACACCATTCCTTGCACAACAACTAGTCATTTTTCCTCCTTAAAAATTGGATTTTTCTTTCGAAACCCCAATCTTATGGATCCTCCAAACCTTGATAATTGTCTCCTTAATTACTTGTTGCTGTTAACAAACTGTCACAGCCACCTGGGTCTTCTCCAAATCCCCTGATAAAAAAACTCTTGCAACATTCAGACGGTCAAGACTTGGGTTGGTATTGTTCTACTTGTAGAAAACATATACCTTTTTCTTATTCTTCTTCTTCTTCTTCCTCTAAAGTTTAAAGTTTCAAACCCTTTGGAAGTGTGTCGGTTTATAAGCACAGCAGGGACTTCAAAGAAAGAGGAGGAATTTAAGGCCAGTATGAGAGAGAGAGAGAGAGAGAGAGAGAGAGAGAGGCGAAGAATGGGTCTTCCAGGGGGAGGGAGGAAGGCGTTGGCAGAGGAAGAACGCAGAAGGGATGGTACAGGTCTTTTTTGTGTTTTTTTTTAGTTTTAATATTTTTTATTTATAAAATATTTAAGTTTCTTTTAATATTTTTTTATGGATTTTAAGTTTTAAAAATATATTATATTTAAAGCCACGTGGCTCTATACCATTGGATGTGTGGGCTCCCCACATGTGCCACGTCAGCAATTTAACAGAATATTTGACGGAAGCTAACAGCAGGAACCATTGATGTGTGGAGGGTAACCTTAAGGACCATTAGTGGCACAAAAAAACGTTAGGGATGAGAGGTGATAATTTCGCAAACCTCAGGGACCATTTGTGATAAAAATAAAAGCCTAATTTATTATCCCAGTCTTTGCTTTTCTTGACTTTGTTTACTGTTCAGGCTAGAATAAAGGAAGCTTTGCTGATTGAAAGACTTAAGAGGTATGAAGTTCCAAAAGTTCAGGGTCCTGAAGTAAAACCAGATGACTTGACAGGTGAGGAGCGGTTTTATATGAAGAAAATGGCCCAAAAGAAGTCTAATTATGCACCAATTGGCAAACGAGGAATTTTCGGAGGTGTTATTCTTAACATGCATATGCATTGGAAGAAACATGAAACCGTCAAGGTGATTTGCAAGCCATGTAAACCTGGACAAGTACATGAATATGCCCAGGAAATTGCCAGACTGAGTGGTGGGATCCCAATTCAAATAGTTGGAGATGACACCATAGTATTTTATCGAGGAAAGAACTATGTGCAGCCAAAAGTTATGTCACCTGTAAATACTTTGTCCAAGAAAAAGGTGAGTTTTCAAGCTTCCTCTATTCAAATGCTGCATATGTCTCTCTTCTTTCTCATTTTTATAACTCTGTACAATTTGAACTCAAATTTATTGCATTTTCCATTTGAGTTTGAAATGTGAGGAGAAGCACTTATGTAACTAGATATTGCACTGGCATCTCTTCCAATTTTTCCTTCCCAGCCCCTTCTTTACGTACGTATGCTGAGATTGCACTCTCTCAAAATATACATGACATGTTAGTTCTTTGGATCATGCAACATCTTAGAATGTAAAATAATTGTTGGCTTCACATCATAACAATTTCTGTTTTGGGGAACATTGAAGAACCAACCAAATTTAACATGATTTTGATTCCCTGGAATTGCAATCTGATACGTGAGGGGGAGTGTTTTGTTGCCTTAGTTCTTGGGTTTGTGATGCAGAATGCATATTATTAGTTTTCCTAATTCTACTTGGATTAGTTTTCCTAATTCTTAAGATTCCTTCTTAGTAAAGGATCTCTTATTAGTTAATTTGTTTTCCTAATTCTTAAAGATTCCTTCTTGTTAAAGGATCTCTTATTAGTTAATTTGCTTTCCTATTTCTTAAAGTTTACTTTTCCTTTTCCTAGACTAAAAAGGATTTTGCCTCTATAATAGAGTTGTTTGTAATCTTTTAAGGCAGACTTGATTAATGATAAATTTCCTTACTTTGAACTCTCTGATTCCTTCCCCTTTCCTTCGTCTCTTCGATCTCTAATTCTTCTCTTCGATCCCTTATTCTTCTCTGTTCTATTGCTCAAGTGTTTACTCTAAACCTATGGGCTGTTCTACATCAGTTTGTCATTTTATTTGTTCATCAAATGGATGTGGATGTGATATCCACTCTTGATACAACATAAACATTAAATTATTTGCATAAAACTTCTTAGCTATAAGTGAAAATTAGCATGCATACTTTGATACTTCTTGTGCCTTCTCTCACAATTCACTGTGAGGTCTCATATGTTGTATTCTAAGATTTCCACTGTATGTTATCGCTTCTGGCCAGCTCTCTTTAGTATTATTGTGTGTCCCTTTAAAAATGGATGCCATCAATAATGTGCTGATGTGGGTCTTAAAGAAGTATCATCAGGTTCCTCACAGAATTTGTCTAATGACTGACACTACCTTGGCTTATTTATGGTGAAGACAACATTTTTTTCAATAACTTTTCCTCAAATCAATAGAAACTCTTTATTATTTTGTGTGGTGATAAAACATTTGCCAGTACGAAATTTATGGCAGTCATATTCACATCATTTTGGTCAACGGCCTGGCCTGCTAATTGCCCTGACCTCCAGATGAAGTTTCTGATCTAGCGTGAACCAACTTCAAAGACACATTACAGTCCAACTCCTCTGTCCAGCTAATCTGTGTTGATGCTCCTGACAAAATGTTTTTCTCAAAAGTGATGAAAATTCATGAGCATTTTGATGCCTTCATGTTGTCTTCCTGATGTTTGACTGATGCTGAAGATTAGCTCAGACTATTCTATCCTTGATCTCTGATGGTTTAACCCACCCAACCATAAATCATTTCACTGAACCCATTTTGAATCCTTTCAGCTGCATAGTTGTAAATGAGTTTGTAGCACTAGGATGAAAATTGAATAGTAAGTATTTCGAAGTCCATGAAATTCAACTTTAATGACTAGGAGCTGATAAATATTGAAGATTTGGTTATAAAAATACCTTTTTTTCTTACATGTAAAAAAAATGAGTATGTTACTGCAAAAATCTTAGGCCTAGTATTGAAGCCGGAACTTCCAGATAGAGGCAATGCCATGCAATTTGCATTATCCGTCCTTATATGTAGTTTCTTGAATTTGTTTCCCTTTGATTGTTTGGAGTGTGTTTGTTAGGTAGACTGGAAAACTTGATTTTGTGGTACTTCAATGCAAAAATTATCCTTGAATAAAGAAAATGGTATGTTTAATCTATTCAGAAGCGTTGATGAGCAGAGGGTGCTTGGGGTAAATCTATTTATTTATTTTTTTTATTTTTTTATTTTGTCATAGATTATATCTTTGGTGAATTGCTGTTGTAATGGAGGCTGAAACTTTTTTTTTTTGGTTCGAAAGAGGCTGAAACTTATGAGTGGTGGTCTCACGCTACTGAGTTTGTTTCCCCTGTTTACAGGCACTGGAAAAGTTTAAGTACGAGCAATCTCTCGAGTCTGTGCGGCACTTCATTGCTATTGCTGAGAAAGAATTGGAGCTCTACTACAGGCATATTGCACTTTACGGCGACCCAAATGACAGAAATCCCTTGTCAATCTTGGATAGCCAACAGAAAAGACCAAGGAATCAGGGAACCTTAAAATACTTAGAAAGCAAAAACTAGAGTCCACTAGTGATTTCTTTTCCGCGGGTCTCTCAGGGACAGAAGCAGATTCTTCAAACTCTGAGCTATCAGAAACTGATGGTTCTGAACATGACAACTTATCACTAAGTGAATCAGATTCTGAAGATGACAAGATATATAGTTCTGATGATGAAGCAAGCACCTCGAAGACGCAACTGTCTGATTTTAAGCATGAGAGATTGGAACGTAGACGAGAAAATTTGATATGAATCTTTATTTTATTCTTTTTATTTTATTTTCTCCTCATCTTTGGAGCACTAAGGTAAGGTACCTGGTACCCTTGGCTTGTCCTCTTCTTCTTTTGTATATATTGAAAGATAAAGATGTATAATGGAAAGACTTTTCTTTATTTTTTTATTTTTTATTTTTCATTGGTGGAAGAAGTATATTTGATAGGTAAGGATGGGAATTATTGCTAATGGGCGTGCGAAAAGCAGTGATGTTTGGTATGGTTGTTAAGCATCTATGTTTCAATTTTTTATTTTTTCTGTCATAGAGATGTTTCAATTTAAGCAGATTTTATTCTCAAAATGTCATTTAACTTTTCCCACTTTAGCCAGTTTTTATCCAAAGCCATTGATTAAAAGACAAGTTACCTATTTCTCATACGGTTCCTACAACAACTTAGGGCTCGTTTAATAACCATTTCAATTTTCGGTTGATAGATGTTAGTTTTTAGTTTGCATTTTTCATTTTTATTTTTGAAGTTTGGTAACTAATTTCAGTTTTCAAAAAAATTGAAAACTGAACAAAAGTTTTTTGGCAATTTATTTCAGTTTTATGTGGAACTTGGAAATGCAATTTTTGAGGTCAAATTGTAAATTTGAGATCATAGAATGAAAGTGCATGTTACAAAGAGTTCGTGGTATTTTTCAGTGAATTTTTTTGAATTAGCTTGGATTGTTTTTATGAATTTTGGATCTATAGGAAAATGCTAAGGAGATCGCATTTTATATACCACCTTGTGTAGCACCTGGTCTAATAGAGGTGGAACCCATTGTATTGATTGGTTTCACCTCTATTAAAAAGGTGGTACACAAGGTGATATATAAAATGTGATCTAATTAGCATGACCCATATTCATATATAATTATGCATACTGTAATACAAAGTCATATGTATGATGTATCCATTAGGGTGTATAGTTGCGATGAAAGAAATACACACTAAACATTTGGTTGATATAGTAATAAATTTTGTAGATTTTATTTAAGTTTTTGTATGAATATTAAAACTTACCACAAAACAAAAAAAAAAAAAAAAAGAAAAAAAAAAAAAGGAAAAAGAGACAATTTGGAATTCAGCCACGGAATAATTTGAGAATTTGTTATAATTTGGGGTGATTTTTAAATAATTGGTACATATTTTTTTATAATATAATATTTTAAATTATTCTAAACGTATGGAAAAAGGAATCAAATTCAAGTGTAAGGGACGAACACACTGTTTTAACAACCCAAATATGCATGCATATAATATACTTTCTACTTATAATTTGCTTCAACCTTAGAATACCAGTTTCAAGCCGCATTGAATTGAAAAGTAATACCACGAGCTATTCACCAAATCCATGTCCAGCACATGCCAAAGTGGTGCACATCATGCCCACCTTTTTGTATTTGGACTCTCATATGGCAGTGTATGCTTTTGCTTGGTAATGAAAATTTTCATTTCCTTTGACCAAAAAAAACGCAACTAGTACTAATCTAATGCCCTCTATTTATTTTTCTTTATTGTTTATTTATTTTTATAATAATAGGGCAATGTGAGTTGTGAAAAAAGTTATTTACATTAATGCTCCTGAGGTTTTCCCTTTTTTTACAAAATCCCTTAAGGTTTCAGAAATTACAAGAACAACCACTGAGGTTTCAAAGATTTTCATAAAACCCCTTTATGTTGATTTTTCGTTCAAAAAATGAAGATTTTATATATATAAAAAATCTCCAAATACAAAAACTAGCCTTTAAAATTAGACTGCGGTTAAATTGATCATTTACATAATTTTTTAATTATAAAATCATTAATTTTTGGACGAATAATCAACAAAAATAAGTTTCATAGGAGGTGTTCGTGTAATTTGTGAAACCTCAATAGTTTGTGAAAACGTCAAAAACCTCAAAGGGTGTGTAAATAAAATAAAAATGAAAATTTAATTTAAAAAAAAAAAAAAAAAAAAAAAAAAAAAAATAAGAGGGTGCCATGTGATGTACTACGTACTTTCCTCAGCTCATCATGTGCCTAGGAAAATCCAACCACAATAGACAACATGAAATCATCAAAACTTAAAGATATGATATTGTTTTGTTCAAACTCCTTTTGTCGATTGATGATCAACAAAAAATTGTCGTTCTTTGTGTGAAACCATGAACCGACTCACTTACGCCATAACTGTTGGCTGAGAGTTCGTGCTGAAATAATCTATGTGCACAAATTATAAAATAAATAATAATAATAAATCTTTACTTTATGTATAAAATTAGAACTCAGAGACTTGTAGAACGAATTAAAACTTCGGTTATTTTCTCGTTAAAAATGTGCTAATTATTAAGAATAAAATAGGTTAATTACACAAATAGTCTTGAGGTTAAACTTATTTTTATTAGAGATCCCATACTTCTGGAATTTCATAAAGATGAATGAGAAATAAAAATGGATGAGGGTGTCAACATTAGATAGACGTTGAACTAGATGATTTCAACATTAATCTTTTTATTTATTTTTAAAAGTGGTTTATAATCTATGGATCCTAAGCCTCTACATTTAGAAAAGAAAAGAAAGTCAATGGTCCACAAGTCACGCTAACACTCCTCCTCACGTTGTTGCATAGATGTCGCTAAAGCTCAACTGATCCAGTGAATTGTGGAACGCTCTACTAGAAATTGTTTTTGTCAAAATATCCGCTAATTGATTCTCGGACTTCTGTACGGAGGCGAATTTCTTCGTTTTCCAAGTTGGTCTAATTCTGCTCTTCATTGCGTATCTCCCTCTGAAGCATAGAATTGGATGTTAGGTCATGGAAGAACATCTCAAATTCCAGAAAGGTCACATTCAAAGTGACATAGGTACGTGGGGTAGGAGGGTGATAACGACAGTAGCCTTTTTGATGAGTGACATAACCCACAAAAACACAACAAAGCGCACATGGATCAAGTTTGCTACATTGATTTTTGTGAAGATGAACGAAGCTTGTGTTGCATAAGCACTTTTAAGAGAGTTTTAAAGTTCAATACATCAGAAGGCATGCGGCTGATTAGCTGTTTCAAGAAGATGTCGATTCTTTCGTTCAGGAACACCATTTTGTTGTAGTGACTGATGATAAGTCGTCTCATGGATAATTCCATGTTGTTGGAAGTAAGCTTGAAAGTCATTATTACAAATTCTCCACCATTGTTTGAGCAAAGAATTAATATTTGAGCATTGAACTGAGTTTTCATTTGTTTTGTGGAAGAATTGAAAACGGGAAAACACTTTTTTTTTATTCTTCAGCAAATAAAGTCATGTCATCTATGTACAATCATCTACGAATGTGACAAACCACTGAATGCCAGAAGGCGCAGTGATAGGTGAAGTTCCCCAGACATCATAGTGAATTAACGTAAACAGAGTAGTAAACTTCCTCGTACTCAACGGATAGGGCACACGGCGACTCTTGGCCAAAATACAAGTATCACATTTGAAGTCAGAGTTTTTGAAATCTGAGAATAAATATGTTATAAGATGCTTTTGATAACTAAAGATAGATGTCTCAATCGACAGTGCCATAACCAGATTTGCTTTTGTTTGCTATCAGAGGGATGTGTCACACTGTTAGCCATGACGGGACTAAAGTTATCTACATAATAGAGCCCCCCTCTCTTAGTAATACGACCAAGAATCTTCTTAGTGTAAATATCCTGAAGCAAACAAAAACTTGAGTAAATGAGTACACAAAAATTCAATTATTCAGTAATTTGACTAGTAGACATCAATTTATTGGATAAAGATAAAACAAGTAAAGTATTAGATAGTGAGAGAATGGATGCGAGGGCAACAATGTCAGCCCTTGTCACAGGATAAGTAACTCTATTGGCATTAACAATACAAGTTCGTCAGGGTTGGGTAGTATTCAGAAAATCATCAAGATCAAACGTCATATGATTAGTTGCACCGGAATCAATTATCCAGCTCGTGAAATCACTCTTATTCGAAGTATGGAATCCATAACCAGTACCATTACTGGCCGTATCTCGTTGTGTTCGATCTTGGAGAGTAGCCCACCAATCGGGGTAGCCATGCAATTTAAAACAAGTCTCACGAGTGTGTCTCACCACAGTATGCGCAATCTCGTCCATGTGTCTGGGTCATTAGTCGGGAAGTCATAATATGTGTAATGAAAGATGCATAGGATATAGGTTTAGTAGGAATCTGGATCGGAATTTGAGCTTGAGTCGGAGTTGGAGTCAGAGTCGAAGTCGGGATCTGGGACTGAATCATAGATAGATTTAGGGTTGGGGTAGTCATCTGAGTCGGGGTTGGGGTCGTCGTTGTAGTCGGGGTCAGGGTAGTCAAAATAGGATCCTGATTTAGGATCGGATTTGGGATCATTAAAATAGGATCCTGATTCAGGATCGGGTGTGGGGTCGAAGTTTGTATTTGTAGGAGTTGAGCCACTTGGGCACTTAACTCGGCTATGGTTAGTTGAGACGGAGTCGGTGGTGCTACCTCCATGAGGTATGAAAAAATCATCAACCCCCATAGTAGCGGCAGGGGTTTGAAATTAGAGTCAGCAATTCCAAGATTGCCGCTCTGATACCATGCTAGAATATGAAACTTAATATGAGAATATTTGTTTGTGAGAATTTTCTGTATATTCCTCTCCTTGTATGAGGTCATATTTATAATACAACGGAGCCTTAGTGACTAAGTAAATAATAAATTCCTGTTTCTATTTATAGTGGGAAATCATGAATTAAAGTAAATCAAATACAATTATAATGGGAATCCTTGGTGTGTAAGGAAAGAAAGTCAATAGTCCACAAGTCACGTCAACATATTTATTTGCATTTCGCTAAATCTCAACCGTTGTAACAATCGATCCGCCTAAAACACGATACGCAGTCAAGCTTTGAGTTTAGTTTTTTTTTCTCTTCTAAATGTTAAAACGACGTTAACCATGATGATGAGGATCCACTGCCCATTCCTCTTTTCTCAAGTCATTGTGGGGTCTCTTCTTTCTGCTTTATTGATCCCTTTATGTAAATTCAAATCTTTCTCTCTCACACGTTTGAAACAAATAAGAGAGCTTCATTTTCAGAGGGGCCAAACAAAGATCTGAAAATTTGAACTTTCATATCAAGCAATTTGATGCCTACTTGATCATCTGAGCTTCATTTTGAAGAAACCCCAAAATTGGTAGTCATAATTTTTTCTAGTTTGAGAATTATATTCAAGGTTCAGAGTCATAATTTTTTCTAGTTCGAGAATTATGTTCAAGGTTCAGAGGGGTGAATTTATGGAGCAGAGCAAATATGCATGCAAGCTTCTCCAAATTTGAATTTCGTTGAGAATATTTAAATTAAAAGTAAACAAGCAATTGACAGAAGATCCTCTTCAAATATGTGAGAGAGAGATTTGGATTTATAGAAGTAAATAAGCAAATTGATGAGAGACCTTCTCGCATTCTCTTTCATTCCCAGAAAATTTCCAAGGCGAAGGCAAAAAAACAAGCAATCTATAAACAAACTAATGATTTCAATGTCAACGGAAGCAAGAAACGATAAAACTCAAAGTTTGATGACGTGTCATGTTTTAAGCAGATAGATTATTACAACAATTGAGATTTAGAAAAATGCGGGTAAATGCACTACCTCTAAATGTAGAGGATCAAAATTCATAATCTAAATACCAAAAATTTTAGGGCCCGTCTGGTAACGTTTTCAGAGAATATTTTCAAAGAATGAAAACAAGAAAACAAATTTGCATTTTCAGGAAATGAAAATGGGTATAGTAGATTAATTAGAAAACAAAAACAATGAAAACGTGTCTGGTAGTACAATTGTTTTTTAGGTGCATTTTTGCTAATTTCAGTTCTAATTTTTTTAAATTATGATATTTTTATAGGCTAAAATTATTATAAACAATGAAAAAAATTTAAGCTAAAAAACTATCTTATCTCCTTTCTTTCTTTTTTTTCTTCTTCTTTTTCTCCTTTTCTATCTTTCCTCCTCTTTTCTTCTTCTTTTCCTTCGCATGGCTGTTTCTTTTTTCTCTTTTTCTTCATCTTTCTTTCTTTCTTCCCCTTTTCTTCCCAAGGCCGTTTCTTTTTTCTCCTTTCCTTCCCAGGCCGCACCTACTCCTCCTTCCTTCCATGGTATGAATCCCATACACCCACCCATATATATATATATATATATATCTCTCTCTCTCTCTCTCTCTCTCTCTCGGTCCACTAATTAAACTGCTGGAGGGGCTCCTTGGAAAAGATGGAAAGAGAGATGGTTTTGACAAAAAGAGATGGAATTTACACATGAAAGATAGGTGGAAGTAGGCCTATGTGCGTACGAAAATGGCAGTTTTTCTTGTTCATTGGCCGGACATAGGGGACTCATTGCTAGCCCTCGGCGATTGGGAGGGATATGTGCTAATGGTTGTGGTGGTTTGATTGGGTGATGATGGTGGTTGAGCTGGGTATGTGGTGGTTCTTCTTCCTGTCTCTGTTTTTCTTTTTTCCTTCCTCTGTATTTTTTTTTCTTATTAATTTGCAAATTTGTGTTATTTTGGGTCGGAGAAGATGGGTGTTGTTCCTGTTGGTGGGTTTATCGGTTGTCAAGAGAGAGAGCTAGAGTTGTTGATGGGATGCATTCTCGTGTCTTCGGAAAACACTGAAAATGAAATCACTGAAAACAACTTTTTTTTATTTTCAAATTTTGTTCACAAAGTCAGATTTGTTTTCAGAAAACGTTTTGTGAGGGAAAACGAAAATGATGCATCGAACGTGTATTTGTGAAAAACATGAACTAAAAACAGAAAACAGGCTCTAAAAACATTACTGAACGGGGGTATTTAAAATGAAAACAGTGTTGAATTTGCTCATTATGTAAGTTATCATTTCAATCAAATATGTCGTGTATTTTAATTATAGTTACTATTTTGTAGTAAATTAGATTAGAAACATTACATCCTTCTAAGGAAAGTGTGGTATATAAGGTGAGAATGAATTGAGTTGAAAGAAGGAAAATATGTGTAAAAGTAGTAATTAAGTGGAAGTTGAGTCAGGGTTTCAGAGTGATTTTGGATAGGCTAATAATCACTATAAATGACTTTATGGAGAAGCACATGGTAGGTTCTTCCCCCTAGAATCGCTCTCGTTAAACCCTAGCCCCCTCTATCCAAAAAGACACTCCTAGAGCAGTTTTCACTTTGAGGGGGGAGGAAGCCATTGTTTTCCTAAGTGATTTTATGGAGAAGCACATGCTATTCATGTGCTTTTGTGATAATTTTAATATGGGGAAGGGCTTCATAAAATATTTTATGTTAAAGATTGATTAAATACTTCTAATTTCGGCCATTGAATCATATGTATGGTACATTTTGACCCACAAACACATCAAATGGATGATTGAGATTAGGATTTTTATTTATTTATGATTTATATTGAAGACATAATTATATAGAAGTTTGAGAACCATATAATTTAGAAATAAACTAAAAAGTTCAACTAAAAAACAAGCATAATATGAAAATCCTAAAAAGATTAACAGAACATTCAAACTCATATACCAACTAGCCTTTAGTTTAGTCTAGTGATATTTTTCTTCACTTAATTAAAGGAGGTTTGAGGTTCTCTAATGGTTGACGACGACGATATATATATTTGCAATGAGTTCGATACCTAATTAGTTATGATTAAGCTTCATTATAATGGTAGGTGTAGCTTGTCGTAGGACTATTAGTCAAAAGTTCTAAAAAGTATCCAAAAAAAAATAAAAAAAAAAAAAAAAAAAAAAAAAAAACCAAAAAAAAAAAAAAAAAAACAAAAAAAAAAAATCAAATCATTTTCGTACTACTATTGTATTCTAAAAAGTGTCAAACCCTAAATCAAACTTGTATTCTATTTAAGATTTATTAAAAGTGAAACCAAATAAGATTATAAGTCCATTTATCCAAGGACAAATAAACTAAACAAAAGTGGAAAATGCTTCAAAAGATTGAGAAAGAAGAGGTGGATAGTACTTATACTTCAGCACCCAAACTTGACCATGACACCACACTCCCCCCCGGCCCCCTACAACAAATACAATAATATGATCCACTTGCGGTAAGAAACGTGACAGATAAACCTATTTCCATATCACAAATCCCACACACAAAAAATTCTTAAAACTTTGACCCCAAAAAAAATAAAACATCTTAAAACCCAAATAAAATTATCCATAAACAAAACCTATGTCAATCTCACAAATCCCACAAAGGTCTTAAAAATCAAAATTAAATACCATTAAATACCCATAAATACGTTAACAAAAAGGGACATTAGTGAATTGAGTAATTAATTAATGAAAAAGGATGATTGGTACTATTTTTTTTTTCTCCTTTGTTGGGCTCGGTATCCCAAGTGGGCCCTACAAAATGAGAGAAATTAATTACCCACCAGAATCAAGGCAATAGGATTGAAATGGTAGTTAGGTTAATTTCACCTATAATATATTTTTTTGAAGACTAAAAAAAAAATTATAGATTTATATAATAGTGAAAATATTTAGAATATTCCAAAAAAAAATAAAAAAATATCATAAAATGTTATTAATTAATGAAAATATTAAGAGTTAAAAATATTAATTAAACAAAAATCATATAATTATTTTACAGTTTTTCATATTAAAAATATTTAATAAAAAATAAAATTAGAACATAAGTCCTATTTTTATGTAACAGAACTAGATTCCTTTTAACTTTCTTAAAAATAAAAAAAACTAAAATAGAATAAATAAATAAACAACGACACGTGTTCCAAGAAATTAGTAAATTATTTGGAAAATTTTATTTTTCTCACAATCCTTTCTTTTTAAAGGTCTCCTCACAAAATCATAATCCATTTCACTCTCGGACCCCTCACAATCCATATTATCATAATTTAATTTTAATTTAATTAGAAATCTAATCCTTCCTTTTTAAGGCTTCCTCTCATAATCATAATTCATAATTCATAATCCATTTTATTTTCGGATCATCCTCTTCCTCGGTTTCTCCCACTCCTATAAATACTCCCCCCCACCTTCCATCCCCATTCTCTCTCTCTCTCTCTTAATATTTCCCTCACCAGCCGCCAAACCTTTCTCTCTCTTCTCTCTCTGCTCTCTTTCTCTAACAGCTATGGCTAACAATGGCGTACCGGCGACCGGAAAAGGCCTGATCGTGAGTTTCGGCGAGATGCTTATCGACTTTGTGCCCACCGAATCGGGCGTTTCGCTGGCGGAGGCTCCGGGCTTCCTCAAGGCCCCCGGTGGTGCCCCCGCCAACGTGGCGATTGCTGTGGCCCGCCTTGGCGGGAAGGCGGCGTTCGTCGGAAAACTCGGAGACGACGAGTTCGGCCACATGCTCGCCGGCATCCTGAAGCAATACGGCGTCACCGGAGAGGGCATCCTCTTCGATCAGGGCGCCCGCACCGCCCTGGCCTTCGTGACCCTACGCGCCGACGGCGAGCGTGAGTTCATGTTCTACCGCAACCCTAGCGCCGATATGCTGCTCAAGCCCGACGAGCTCAACTTCGAGCTCATCAAATCCGTACGTTTTCTCTGTCTATCTGACTATTCTTTTTGGTCTGCGTTTTTTGTGCCTTTTTGTATTTTTGTCGGGAAATTTGGAGGGAGGAGGGGGCGAGGGTAGGCGGGATAATCTCACCAGCCGTTGACGGAACAGTTATTGCTGACTTTTGACACGTAAGCGCCACCGGCCTGGGACCCAAGACTAGATCTAGGATCCACTGGACTGGATCTCACTCACTCGCCTCTCGGCACCCGTAATTTTCTGATGCGGGGTGGGTCCCGCTTATCACAGATCTATTTGTAATGTTAGTCCAAAACATCCGTTCAAAAGTTTGGCAGCGTGTGGATTTGGGAGCGTCTGTGTTTTCTTTCATCACACGTTCTGGTAGGGGAGTGGGGGGTGTGATCCACAGTGTCTTTTGTTTACTTAGACCAGATGTCTCCCCACGCGCACCAATATGACTTTTCAATCATTTAAAAGAAATAATTGTTGAAATTTTTACCCAAAAAGAAAAAAAAAGCCTTGAACAAAAGGGTAACCCATCATCACGGCATGGGAAATGATTTCAAATGTTTATATTATTTTCCCACTTTTTTCTCTTTTTCTTAGTCCATTGATGGAAACGAGTCCCATCACTCCTTTTCACTTTTTTTTTGTTACATACGCTTATGTTTTTAATTGAAATGTTGGTCATGGGCCCTACTGGTTTATATAAATTGGTGCAGTGTTACCCAAATCCAGCTTAGCAAGCATGTGCCATGGACAAGCACTATTCATGGTTGTTAGCTAAGACCAATTTTGGTTTTGTGTACATATAGGCCAAGGTGTTCCACTATGGATCCATAAGCTTGATTGTGGAGCCATGCAGATCAGCCCATCTAAAGGCAATGGAGGTGGCCAAAGATGCCGGTGCATTGCTCTCCTACGACCCGAACCTGCGGCTGCCGCTGTGGCCGTCTGCGGAGGAGGCACGCAAGCAGATCATGAGCATATGGGAGAAGGCTGATGTGATCAAGGTTAGCGATGTGGAGCTTGAGTTCCTCACAGGTAGCCCTAAAATCGATGATGAGAATGCATTGACTCTGTGGAAGGACAACTTGAAGCTCCTCCTCGTCACTCTTGGTGACAACGGTTGCAGATACTACACCAAGGTCAGTTCATTTTCATGTTCAGCTCATCCAATACAATACAATAACGTTTCTTGCATCTTTGTATAGTTTTGACAGAGTTCTAACTTAGGTGCAAGGACGCATACTGCCTTAACCAACTGACCTTACCAACATTATTCTGACTTTTTGTTGCTTTGGGCATTGGGGTTAGGTGGTGTTAGGTCATTCTCATGATTTCGGTTTGTGGACAAAGGAAGTTGGATTAGTGGGACCCATATCTCAGTATCCCCTTTTATTTTTTTCCGTTAGTGGGACCCATATTCTAAAGTCTCCCCTAATATATCTTGATCTTAAAGGAATCATATCGTGATCTATTGATTTGAATATTAAAAAAAAAGAAAATAACAACAGAACCTTTTCAAAATAACAAATGAAATTGGAAAGTGGATTTGAGTTATTTGTTCTTTATTTTGGTGACAACTTTTGGAATTTAGTATGTTTTTATAGATAGGGGTTTGGAGGTATTGTATTCTCTTTAATGTGGGGGGGGGGAGGATGGGCATCTGGGTGGTTGAGTTTTATTTATTTATTTATTGCTTTTGTTTAATGGAATCTACGCATGGAGGGGGGGACTTAAGCATGATGCAAATAACTCAGTTGCAAATATGTGACATGTTAGTTAAGGTCTCATAACGCAGGCATTGCTGGTTTGCTCCAATTGATTGATTTTTTTTTCTTTTCCGGGTCGATTGCTTTGATTGATTGTTGTTCTTTTCGTTTCGGTTTGATTAGTTTGATTGATTGTGTGCTTATGAAACAAATGCAGCATTTCCGGGGATCCGTGGAAGCCTTCCATGTCAAAGCAGTGGACACTACTGGCGCTGGTGATTCGTTTGTGGGTGCTCTCCTTGCAAAGATTGTTGATGACCAATCTATTCTTGAAGTAAGTATTATTATTATCCTAAAAAAAAACAATAAATATTATGGATTTGATCCATATGCATGTTAGTGCTAGAAAGAAGAAAAACATAATGAATTATTTAATTTATGTGATTGAATGAATGTGCAGGATGAGCAGAGGTTGAGAGGGGTGCTGAAATTTGCAAATGCATGTGGAGCCATTACAACCACCAAGAAGGGAGCAATCCCTGCCCTTCCCAGCGAGTCTGAAGCCTTCACCCTAATCAAGGAAGCTTAGAAGAAGAAGATCTCAAAACAAAAATACTTTTGCTCTCATTTTTTTTTCTTCTTCTTTTTAACTTTGTAGGACCTCTGTTTCAATTTCCTTTGCTTATTGATTGGAGAGGGGTTTTCCAACCTCAGTTTCTTTTTTCCTTATCTTTTTGCCTCTGCGTGTTATGATGGAAAATTGGCATCGCTGAATAAGTATATAATTTCCTCGCACATTTTCAGTTTATTTAGTTTTTGGATGTTAGCTATTAGTATTATTTTATTATTCTATTTGTTATTATAAAAGTAATTTCCAAGAAAACTAAGTGGGTAGGAACTTGAAAAAAGTTCCAAAGTAGGTTTAGACTTGAGAAAACCAAAAGCTGCAATTAAAATTGAGAAGGGAATTTCTATATATCACACAACTTTCTTTTTATTTTATTTTTATACAAGCGATATTCTATTTTAATCTAATTCGAGGAGGATTCGAACTTTGGTGCAGAGTGAGGAGCACATCTGTTCTAACCAACTTGGCTAACCCCATATCAGCATCCTACACCAAACTTTTATCCTATCCTAAAAAGTTCCCATTTACCCTATGAAAAAAGGCTAAAAAATAAAGAGGTTTGGCCCTCTAGGGATTTAAAACAAAAGTGGGGTATAATGATCAACTGGTATTGTGTACATACAATTTCCCATTTGAAAAGGGCACAGATTTATAATATAGGCCTTAGGATTGATGACTTTATGCATGCGGTTGCCTAGAGAAGCCCATGTTGCGCTCACTGTTCTACATAACATGGTCTTGCAAAGGAGGGGGGCTCTCCTCCATGGCTGGAGAGGAGCCTCCTCATTTACTAACTTCAACACTTCAGGGAACAAATTCTTAAAATTCAGGAAAATATAGCAGGGAGAGTTCCTTGCTGAGAAAAACCAAAAACCAAAAAAGAAAAAAAAATTCCTAACCAGAGAATCCGGAAGGCCATCTCTCGCCCTTACATTTAGAAGCCGTAAGTTAGTCGAACAAAAACCACAATGCGTTTTAAAACCGTTCAACCATGTCTATAGTAAAGTGTTTTTCTGAATCTTCAAGCCTGTAAAATCTTCTTTATAAAAAATATGGCCAATATCACATAGAACTAAAAGTTGGGTCAGGATTAGCAGGAAATTTGATTGATAATGACGCATAAATATCTCTTATGTCATTAGCTAATTTAGCTTTCACAAAACATGACGAATACCCATAAAACTATATTATTTAGTCTGGCTGTACATGATGCATACAAAAAATGTCCTTTTGCATTACTCTGCAACCACATTACCATTGCAAAAAGCCGTGCAAAAAAGCAAATTAAACCTTGAAAATACCAAGGTATCAAGAACTTCGGCCAACATCATGCTAAACTAACAACACTACTTACATACATAATCAAAATATTTGCAAAAACAATTTCAGCTCCGTGAAGAAACAAGAAACATTTTATTGAAGCTCAAGAGTCAACAAGAGAAGATGACCCCACTAAAAAAAACAAAGTAAAAACAAATTATGTGGAGCAAGCATACAACAAGGTGCTCGACCACGCTTTGCAATCATGCAAATTTAACGCATTTTTGGGGCCAAGAAACACTAAGGGATTTATGTCAGCTTTGCACAGTAACGCAAAAAGACAAGCAAGGCCAAGTGGCTTACAACTAATTTGAACTATGTACAACGACTACTAATCTAAACTACTACCAACCTCTTTTTTTCGCCGTGATTTCCATCTGACAGATTTTCTGCTTGCATTTGGGGCAAGCCAATAGTATCAATCAACATTATCCTCTCTTCCTCTTTTAGTTGTTCCCTATGAAGTTTTTCCCACTTATTTGAAATAAGCTCTTGATCTTGAGAATACCTTCAAAGATGCTTCTCGTTTCACTTATCCTCCACTTCTTTTTCTCTGTTCTAAATTCTTGGAAGACAACCTTGCAGGCACAGTCGAATTGTCTTGAACGTAATAAATCTTTTTCCTTAAAAAATTCTTTGCGACCATTCTGTCTACTGGCCTTTCCAAGCTGATAGATGTATCACTTGCAACATCATCTTCCCTTAAACTTATTGAATCTGGAGAAGGAGATGACATTCCCAGACTCACACTTTTTCTATATTTGGCTTTTTCTTCAAACTAGTCACCATACATTTCTTATTGTGTTTCAGTACTTGCCCAACAGTGTAGAAATTGAAATGCGGTCATCTCCATCGGCGGTATTATCTGGAAAAGTACATAAAATAAATAATTCGAAAATCTGAAAAGTGAAACTATAAAGATAAAAACGTATTAAATATTATTACCCTATTTGATCGTTGACACCACTTTGTTTCATTGCTTTAATCTGGGCATAGTACCCACAAAAATAATGCACTGCAAATTGCATGGCTGAGCAACAGTCCATTAGAGAATCAGCAAAACGCTCAAAAGTAAATTTCTTTCCCTTGTTGAAATACTCCCATATTCTTTTCCAATACCCACTACTTTTTTGCTCATCTCCATTATCTGCATCTAAGCAAACATTGAGCCAAACAGACACAAGCTGATTGTCTTCATCGATTGATAAGTTACGAGATCTTTGTTCCATTTTGATGGATTCTTTTTTAGCAGGATTTTGAGATGATAGAAGAGATTCATTGGAAGATTTATCAATCGACATGTGGCGTTGAAAAGGTATCGCTAGGGACTGCATCGCTGGTATTCTCTGTGGTCATTATGCCTATTGGTCTCTACAGGCTAATAGATTTATCACTTGCAACATCATCTTCCCTAAAATTTATTGAGTCTGGAGTAGAAGGAGAAGTTGTAGGACTTACAATTTTACTTATTTTCGACATCTGTTTTTTCGGAAGTGTCCACCATACACATTGTATTGTCCTTCAATACTTCTTAAGAGTTAAGGGAAAACACTAACAAGAAATTGCATCAAGGTGGATGGAGAAAAAAAAATCCGTAAAAATGAAAAATCCCTACCATGTTTCCCTACAAGTATTACAAGGCACAATCCAAAAAGGATTCATAGCCTTATGGTACACATGTTAGTCCAATCATGTAATAGAATGAGAAACCAAAAATAAAAGTCTGCATATAAAAAGAATACTAAATTGTAAAATGCAAGAAAAAATCTAAAATTTCCATTCTGAAGTTTAAACTCACCTCCAGAGGATTGCAATATGCAAATTCAAAGATCTACAATATATATGAACTTCATTGTGACAAATAACATCAAACTCCTTAACCCAGTATTTCTCAGATTGAACCTAACAAGGAAGTTTTCTTGGAGGATACATGATTGCATAAATACCATTTCAGTCCATTTTCGTTTTATTAACTCTATTTTTGAGGACGGTGAGTGAAGGAGTGAAAGTGGTCAGTTTACAGTGCAATGGGCCGTGGTTTTAGTTCACTAACCTCCATCTGCAAATACCTCCAAGCAGGCTTGCATATTTCCCACTTCCCCTGCATATGAGCCAAAAATGCCTCTGCCCATTTTTCCTTGCTCCCTCTCATGCTTAGATCGTAGGGGACCGAGAAACTATTCAACCATTTAACAAAAAGTAAATTCCAGTCATGTTGGTTATAAACCATCAAAATAATCATTACGATATTAAAAGTTTGGCCGTCTAAATGATGAACATGGTTATCACAATACTATGCCATCTCACAATTCGAAATAATAAAAAGCGACTCTTATGACCATAATTTCTAGATTTCTGACTTTTTTCCAACATGAAACCCAACTGAAACAATGAATGACTTCTTTGTCAGAATGATAAGAAAAAACTACTAGATTTTCTTTTTTATGCCCATCAATTGATTGAGCAGTTGAACGAGGGAGAAAATGGATGGTCAATCAATCAATTGAAGTACAATTTGAAAGAAAAATTTGGAGCTGATTCAAGCAGCCAATTCGCACCCCAAATCCTCATTTCCCTTTGCATATTGAAACTAAATCCAACTTCACCCAATGCTCCTTTTTCCCTTCTCCTTGGCTCTCCCACAAAACCCTCATAAGTCTTTTAACTCTGCTGCCACCTAACTTGGGATTCTGAACAAAGACAAAGAATGAGTAGGTAAACTTTCCAAACCGATTGCAGTAATGTGTGCCTCCCTACCCCTTGATAAGAAAACATTCTTCCACCCTTCCAAACTCTTTCTCACTTAGTAGACAACAGGGTCCCAAAACTTACACCCTCTGGAGTTTCACCCACATACGCAAGATGCAGATGAGACAATAGGTCCTCTGTCTATGTCCCTTAAAATCCCAAATTTTCCCCATGGCCATCCATTTTTCATTAATCATTACTGAATACTGACATCCTTGGCTCTACCTCATCCATCTCCGACCAAAACCCTTTTCCTGTAGCACAAAGTTCAAAATTCCTATTCCACATTATCATAAGCATTCTTTAAATCAATCTACTCTCTAACTCCTCTTTCCTAATTTTCCCACAATCCTCTATCAGCCCATTAGCCACAATTCATCTGAATTGGTCTCTCTTGATTAGAATTTTACGCAGACATGAAACCAAGCTGATCAACCTAAAATTACTACTCTTCAATGAATCCGACTTCTTCAATATAAAGCAAATATAAGCTGAATTAATTTTCCCATTAGAAAACCCTTCCTAAATAACTCCTCAAAAACCTTCCTAAAGTCTAAATTTATAAACTCCAACAATGTTGAAAGAAATCCATTGAAAATTAGTATTTCACTGTACAAGGCAATAAGTCATCCTTCCTAAAAAGACACAGTCCTAAGTGCAACAGCATGGAATCCCTAAGCCCGAATTGAAGGACTACGTAGGAATATGGGGTGAGGTTCAAAACAACACAAAAGTCACCTCAGGTAATAGCAGAGATGCATGAACCACAAAACATCTCCTTCATCTTCCGTACTGGTGTACTCATTCCCTAATGGATTTTTTATATATTAATATAATCCATAGTTCGTGCACTTAAAAGCAGGCTTTTCTGTCTTATTCATTATTCTTTTCTATTCGCATCAGATATCCATTAAGAATAACACTAAGTAAAAATTTATTGGAGTGTTACCTCAAGAGTTCTTCTAGTTCAGATTCTTTATTGGGGGTTCCGTTCCTGCAAGAATTACAAACTTTTATGTCAACAAGCTACATGTATAAGTCTCAATGTACCATACATACACTACTTTAATTTAAGCAATGTATTTGTAAGAAGACTGACATTTGGTTCGTACTATTACGTAAATTAATTGCTCAAAATTGAGAACTATTTCATAGTTTTCCACGCATCTTACGAGGACAATGAGAGATTGGTATTCACACTAGTTTCTTAAGCTGAAGTTCATTGGAACAAGCAAATGTACCACAAACACAAATTTACTTTTATTGGTTATTGGACTTCTTGCAATCCTAGACATTGCGTCTCATTACTCCTTTTTCCCCTAAATGAAATACATGTAGGATGCCATGTTAGTACTTTTAAAAGAACAAAAATATGTATATGCGGCCCAAGAAGGACATTGAATATCCTAGTAATTGATAGGTGCTGGTTTAGTTGGATTCATGTCATTGGCCCAATTGGAAATAGAAGAGTGGTCCACGTGGCAGCCTTCTCACCTTTCAATTTTATTCAGTTGTGGGCTGTTTGTTAGTCGGTTTTGGGGTTGTCAGATTAGTAGTTAAGTCTGCAGTTTAGGCGGGAATATTAGTTACGAGTGCTAACCCAGTTTATAAGCTAGTTTTGTAAAGCTTTCTGTTGTTGAATTGTATTGTAAAAGTTCTGAGTCAATAAAGTTACTCGTTTGCTTACACGAGTCAAGGTTGAGACCATTGGGTTCCTATCATTGGTATCGAGAAACAAGAATCCGAAAAACTAACCTGCATACTGATATTCTATAGATGTGAAGATACTTGCTAGAAATATTACGAACAGCCTTAACGCCGTGCTCCTTGATGAACATGTACACAACTGGATAACCAAGAAGCCATCTGAAGCAGTTAAACAGGTATTTTTAGCGTATCAGACTGAAATGCTAATCCAAACATTCTGGATAGAAGAGAAATGAAAAATGATAATAGAATTTCATACTATGTAGGCAAAGGTAGATACTCTTGATTTTAATTTTTTAACAATTACGCAACGGTAATTATAAAACAATGCGATGCAGCCATGGAAAAACAGCTTGGCAATCATAGAAGTGATCTTAAATATTGGAAACTAAGTAATATTTGAATGGGGTTTACATGCCACTTCTAAAAGAATTCCTTCCTTAAAAGGTTATGAAATTGTGTCACAATTACTTCTGGATTAAGTCAGCTTCAACTTTGAGTCAGTTTCTAACATGTCAGTATGCACATTTTCAAGTAATGCTGAATTTTTTCACAAACATTTTCAGCATCATAGAAATCTGAATCAGCACAATATTGCACCCCAGGTGTAGTAAAGTTGCATTCAAACGTGAGCTTAGGTTGTTACCCATTTAATGTTGGCAAAGTGACCTGAGTGTTTTGCATGCAGCTACTAAGATCAATAAAGTTAGATGACTGAGAAGGGATAAGTTCATTTCTGGGCGGTTTAGCATCAACCATGTTATCTATACTGTGAGATGATGATTCATCATCTTTCCTTTCACCAAGAGGAAATGACGAAGAGAACAACTTCTGAATTGATATAAGCTGCATCACCAGTGGGCTTTTTTCTGCTTCTGTTATCATCTGTAGCAGAAATGAAAGAAGTGCATTAACCAAAGAGTATAAAATAAGCATGTCAAAAGTTTAAAGGTAAAGATTACAGGGGAAAAAAAGAGCATACAGCAGGAAGCAACCTTCGGAGGATCTTGTTCAAGGTCCACAAAGAGCAGCTGTCGTTCTGAGTTCAAGCTTGACCTAACATGATCAGCAAGCGCTCTAGTGTGAACTAAATATATCATTTCTTCTATAATCATTACTCTCAGATGCTCAAAAATGGGCAAATCCTGTACAAAAGTTTTAAAGGTTATTTGAGTTTCAGAAAATCAATAACTCCTAAAAAAGAAAAAGAAAAGAGGACAGAATAATATCAAGACATGATATTGAGCACCATTTCTTAAGACCAGGTAATGCAGAATATCAGCTAAAGCTCGGACTGCATCCTAGCGGAAATATAAGGGGAAAAAAGAGAGCTGAGAGAGATAAGAAATGATATTGTGCATGGATATGAAAACCAACCAAAGACACACTAACACAGAGTAGTGTGTGTGTTTACAGAAGTATGAATAAGCTAAATGGGTGTAATATTATTTTAAATGAATTGCAATCGTTCATAACCAAAGGACAAACTGTTTCACTTACAACTTTATGCAGAGAGAGAGAGAGAGTCATAATTGTCAATATAGATATTTGATTTTAGCTATATTATTGATAGAAATATATAAAAACTTATGTTGAGTTGGAAATGCCTTTCCTACTGCCAAAAATATTAACAGAGTAAGAGTTAGCAAACTTGGATATAGTTTCAGTGTGTACTATGACAGCAGCAGCAGCAGCAATACTAATTAGTGAAGTATTAAAAACTGAAACCTTTTGACAAAGTTTTAAAAGAGCGCAAAATCTCTCTTGCAGTTCAGGCATCTTTCCACCATAGTCTATCATTATCACTGGCCTCATTCCTGTACACAAAGCTAGAATATCTGCAAGTCCACAAAATCACAAGTCAGTACACATAATGATAAGAAATAACTTAGGTTAAAAGATTTATAAATACTTTCCTAGTAAGCTAAAGGAATTTGCAGTAACAAATAAACATAAAGATTCAAGAACTTCTTCAACTTTAACAGTGAAATCATCAAAAGTATCATGACAGAGAAGAAATAGATGTGGCCTTCATAATACATGAAAATAGCACAGAAGCACAGGAATGAACTGAATAGTTTTACTTTTATTCCCATGTTTATTCTATGGAACAAGGAAAATAAAATTAAGCTTATATCTAGTCTTTATTGCTTGTTTCCATTTCGTTCATAAACAAAAAAAAAAAAAAACAATTAAATAACAAATATCATTACTATTAATCATGAGTTCTCCATTCTCACACAGATGAAACTGAAAGAAAAAAACAAATATTTCAAAAAGGAAAAAATCTTCATGAAACAAGCGCGCCCCAGAGCTATCCGACCCTGGACCGTTAGAAACTATGTTTCAATACCCTACTGAGCTCTATACAAGTATAACCATTTGGCCTAAATATGAGCTACGCTTCTAAATTCCAACAGAAATGTTGAGTTATAAAATTGAAAACCAAAAGACCCACCAGAAAAATTATCTCTAACGGAAAAGAGACGAACAAACATTTTAATCTCTAGTTTATACAGTTTCAATGAAGCATAATTAAGTCTACAATTTGAAAGAGATAAATTATTAAAACCAGAAGCTAAATTAAGTTGTGAGAATTGAAACAGACAAAAGTATTAAAACCCAGAAGCTAAATTGAGGTAGTGAGAGTTGAAAGACACCAAAACTGATAAAAACCCAAAACCAAAACAGAGAGTTCATTTGGGAAAGCAGAAAAAAAATGCTAAAACTCATAACCGAAATTGAGTAAGGAAAATAGCAGAGACTCTAGACCCAAAGAGAGAGAAAAGAAAGACCTGTCTCAAGTCGACGTCTTGCATATTTGAGTCGCCATTTGATTTGAGACAGAGAAGAATCCAACACTCTCAATGCTTCATCTAACTCGGCGACTTCAGTTAAGAATTGCTTCTCTTTTTCTTCCCGAGGATCCGCCATTGATAGAAAACACACCGCTTCCTGAAAATGCTAGTGTTTGTTATGTGAAATGCTGTTTTACCAGCAGACTAGTAGAGAAAAGAAGAGCGGCCTTTTGGCATATGACCCAAAAAGAAAAGGTGGTGTGGTGATGGTGAAAAGGAACTACAATATCGATGGTCCATCAGAAATACCGCTAGTCTAAAAGCATGGGAATTTTGATGAAAATATTGGGATATTATCGATATAGATAAAAATTGAATAAAAACCACGGAAATTGTAAGAAAACCTAGAAATTTTTATTGAAACTTTGGAGGATGTTTATTTAGTCAATTATCTATTAGTTTATCACAAAAAATTGAAACGAAATGCATTGTATGATGAGTTAACTGATTTAAGTTGATTATATAGCGAGCTGACAAACATTATGAGTGTAGAAAATATGTAGTAATTAATGAAAGAAGATTAAACACACCATGATCATTTATATACAATGATTTACTATAATATTTTACACTTTATATATTGCATGGCAAGATATATGAGTGACTTAATACCACACAAAGTTCTTATGAGGTTCAAAATTTTCACTATCTTCATCATCTCGATGTGTAGAATAATGCCATGTTTGGTACGCTTCACTGGACTGGACTGGGTTAAATAGCACTTGAAACATTTGTTTGGTAAGAGACGGGACTAACTTAAATGAGACTGTATAGTTCAATAGTGAAAAAAAACGCCTCACTCGCTTGTCTAATACAGTGAGCTTGAAAAGTGGTTCTCTAAATAGAACACGTGAGTCCGACGCCTCTCTTTAAAAAATATCATAATTTTATTTGTTTTCTTTTAATTATTGTTTTAGATCTTTGAATGAGTTTTTTTTGGCAGCATTTATTTATTTTAGATAAAAATCCTTAATTAAATTTAAATATTACAATAATTATTTTGACATTGCATTTGGAAAATCAAACTATAGTAATTTACAAATGTTTGATATTTTTTTTATATTGAAACAAATTTAATAATTCATTATGTGATGCTTTCTTTATCACAAGCAATTTTTACCTTGTCAAATTATATTTTTTAGTTTGAAGTGAAAAGTCAAATATATAAAAATTATACATATATATATAATTTATTTATTTTTTTACTTGGTCCCTGAAAAACCTATAATTATATTGAGTGAGGTTAGCTCCTTTAACAATGTTTCCACCAACTAAGATTAATCTTGAGAAGCCAAAAAGCAGATATCATAATTTTATTCTTCATAAAAAATAAAAATAAAAAGAATTTTATTTGTTTTCTTTTTATTATTGTTTAAAATCTTTTTTTGTTGTTGCCAGATATTGTTATAAATCTTTGAATTGGGTTTCTTTTTAGCATTTATTTATCTTTTAGGTCAAAAACCCCAATTAAATTTAAATATTATAAGAATTATTTTTTAGTCCGACACAGCACCAAACATAGGTCTTCACTATTTTTACAATCCAGCTTCTTAGTCCAACGCAACACCAAATGTAGGTTAGTACTTAATCCAGCTTAGGCCAATCCGAGCTAATCCAAGACAGTCTTAGGATTTAGTCTAGTTCATGACAGTCCGCTGTACCAAACCACCCCTAAGTGTATTGTGAAGAGTCGTTATCAAATGATATACCCCCAAAATAGTTTTGCTTGTAATTGTTCAAAATAAAACAACATAAATATACATATTTTAGTATATTATCACAAAAACATAAGCAACATGGTGATTAAGGCGTTGGAGGAGTGAAATGGCAACGGTTTGAATCCCCTTTGTGTGTGTGTTTTGTGTTTTTTTTCTTCATTTTTTTCATTACATCCATATTTTTGATATTATTGCGATATTTTGACTAAATATTCTGAAGTGTGAGCGAAATTATCGACATCGATATTTTTCGATATTATCGATATTTATACGATATGTGTATAGATACGTTCCGAAATATCCGACCCGAAAAAATGATAATATCCTCGATATTTTGTCGATATTATCGATATTTTAAACTATGGTGGTGAGCAAGCTATAAAATATTGATGGTTTCGAAACATGGTGTTTTGAAAACACGAAAATTTTGATAGGAATATCGAAAAATTATCGATATCAATAAAAATTGAATAAAAACCACAAAAATTGTAAGAAAAACTTAGAAATTTTCTTGAAACTGTGGAGGATGTTTATTTAGTCAATTATCTATTACTTTATCACAAAAAAATTAGAAGGAAACACATTGCATGATGAGTTTAACTAATTTAAGTTGATTATATAGCGAGCTGACAAACACTGCGAGTGTAGAAAATATATAATAATTAATGAAAGAAGATTAAACACACCATAATCATTTATTTATAATGATTTAAGGCTCGTTTGGGAGTGATTTTGGATATGCCAGAATCACTTCTAGGAAGAAGCATCTCCCATGTGCTTCTCCATATAATCACTTTAAGTGATTTTACGTGATTATGGGAAGAAGCAGCTCCCATGTGCTTCTTCATAAAATCACTTTAAATCATTTAAAGTGATTATATGGAGAAGTGATTCTCCATATAAGTGCTTTTTGGCCTATCCAGAATCACTTCCAAACGAGCCCTTACACTTTATACATTGCATGGTAAGATATATAAGTGACTTAGTACTATGTATAGTTCCTATAGGGTTCAATTTGAGTTATTTATACAAACACCCCTTGAGGTTTTCGACTTTTTCACAAAACTCCTTGAAGTTTTATAAATTATAAGACCACCCCTCAGGTTTTAAATTGTTTTCACAAAACTCATTTTCATTGATTTTTCATCCAAATATTGATGATTTTATTTTAAAAAAATCATCTAAATGACAAAGTTGGCCTTCGAGATTAGATTGCATATACTTCATTGCGGTTAATTTTGTCATTTGTACAAGTTTTTTTTTCAATGAAATCATCAATTTTTTGACAAACAATCAACAAAAATGGGTTTTGTGAAAACAAACTGAAACCTCCGGGGGTGTTCATGTAATTTTTCTAACATGAGGGGTGTTTGTGAAAATATAAGAAATCTGAGGAGGTGTTAGTGTAAATAACTCTTCAAATTTTTCATTGTCATTATCATCTAAATATTATCGATATTATAGCGATATTTTGGCCAAATTTTGCTGAAGTGTGAGAGAAATTATCGACGTCGATATTTTCTAGTATCGACGTCGATACACATATAGTATAGCAATATTATAGCGATACTTATACGATATGTGTATCGATATATTCCAAAATATCATAGACCCGAAAAGATGATAATATCCTCAATATTTTGTCGATATTATTGATATTTTAGTCTTTGGTGGTGAGTAGTAGGAGGTACTCATTCAAATTCAGCTTGTAAAAGAAACTAAAACAATTTGCTTTCTATATGTATTTTTTTCTTTTACCCTTAGTTTGGATGGAGGAAAATAACTCGGGATTTAAGCCTATGATTCCTTTTCACAACTCACCAAATGAATTTACCCATACTCATCTAATCCATAATTTCAATGATTAACATAATATCCAAGAGTTTTCATACGCTAATATAAAACACTCAAAATCCCCCCATAGCCAACATAACTCAAATAACGGTCAAGACTCGTTAATAAGGTTGTTCTAGTACTCCTCAAAGAGGGAAACTACCTCGGAAGACTCACGGTCAACCGAGAGGTCAAACTACCCCAACTTGGTCAATCGGGCCCACGTGGCCCCCGATCTCCGTTTTACGATATGAAAGTTCCTATGGGTTCCACAAGGGTTGGGATACATGTCCTGCAAGTTTGGTCCGGATCGGACGATCGGATCGCTCGCAATCGGACGGTTATTGTAAAACCCAAATTTTAAGTTATTGAATCGGAACATCCGGGGCTCTGATTCACGATCCGCGAATTCTTACACAATCCTAAGGATGTCTAGATTAACATATATTAAATTCAAGACGATCCAATAGTTCAAATCTATCGAACTCGGATAACGCACAATAGGCGAAATCCGTTCGGGGTTCAATCATCAACCAAATTGAAATCTGAGCACCCCTACATGCTCGTGAGAACCTGGAGATCACATTGGGACACAATGCCCCTTTTCTACAGTGCCCAAGGGCTGCCACACACTCCTGCAGCGTGTGGTGTCCAAAGCGATTACGCTTCACCGGAAAAACTCAAAATTGCGGCTCAAGACTCCTACCCTAGGTGTAACACCCTATTTGGAGTTGCTTTTGTTCTTGGGCCTACCCCAAAAAATGACCGGAAGTGGCCGGAATCGTGATCCCAAAACCGGCTCAAATTCAATTCGAAAATCGAACTACTAGGCTCAAAATTGATGAAATCCTACCCAACCATCAACTAGATCATGAAAAATAGGTGAGAAAGCATACCTCACCCGCCGGAATTGGTGGCCGAATGACGGAGAACGAAGTGGGAGAAATTCGTGAGAAAACCGGCCGTTTCTCTACGATTTTCAGGCAAAAACATAGCGGCAGGCAAAGGGCTTGGCTGGGGTTGGAAGAGGACAGTGGCCCGGTCATTTTGGTATTGGCCCAGTCAGCTTTGGTGGTCGGATGAGAGAACCGCCGGCCAAAATGTGGGTATTTTGATCAAACCCTTTTCACCAAAATTACGATTATGCCATTGAGGGTATTTTGATCGTATCTTTTTCGTTACAACTCCGATTCGAGCCCACTACGTGTCTACGGACTCATCTCGCCGTGCTCTACGCAACGGTTCAGTTGAAATTCCCAAATTCATTCATGGTCAAAAAGTCAACTTTAAACCTAATAAAATATTCTAGGGGGGAAATGGTCTTTTATATGAATAAATTAATAATTAATAATTTATTTAGGACCGGGTTGTTACATATTGTACATTATATCCTGACGGGCAAGTTGGAAGCTTTTATAGAAATTACAATTTCTTTTAGTCATATCAACAAAATGCTTTCATCTTATAATGCTTCCTCCAAAATTTTGCATTGATCTCTACCTCATGCAAAGTGTATTCAACTTCTTTCAAAACCCTAAAGCCCTTGTATGTCTTTAAGTGACTAGATTAGCCCTTCTAATTTCTACTTCTTCATAGACATTAGAAGTTTTTCTTGGGTTTGTACTTAATTATTGGTAATTGAGCTTTATGCTTATGTTTTGTGTTCAAATGAATGACCATTATGTGAGGAAGACATTGAAATTGAAGGTTGTTCTATTTTCATGTTTGCACAGGTAAACGCTGACCTTTGGTTTTTTCACTGGACATGAATAACTAATCTAGTAGGAGGCAGGCTTCTTATAAACCTCCAATTCATGACATCAATAAGCACCATACCAATACATATTTCATTGATGGCATTTGGCACCTAAGCGGTTCTAGCTGGCTTCTCATTGGGTCTTCATGGAAAGTGAGTTTCTATTGAATTTCTAGATATTCAGGTTAATTCCGTATGGGAAATCATTTTGAAATAAGAATGAAGATCGAATTTCATCTTAGTTTAAGAGCATCTCCAAGAGAGATGTCAAATACTAAACATCAAATTTAAATTTGATAGCTGATGTGGCAATTTGACATCTTATACAGCTTTACACTCCACCCGATATATCAAATTAAATTATTATTTTATTATATTTTAGTGTTGATTTATTTTTAATTAAAAAGAAAAGAAAAAAAAATCATTTGACATCTTTGTTTTGGGATGTCAAAAATAATAACTTAACCTTCAGCCTTCATTCCACATCAGCTTTGACACATCGATTGGAGTAATGTGAGATGTTATTTTTGGCTGTTAAATGTCTATGTGGCACTTTTGACACATTGGTTGGAGATGCTCTAAGAAATGAGAGCTATGTTTTCTTGGTTTTTGCACTACACCAGAACACATCTATAACAACGCATAAAGCACGTCGTGAATTATCATTCACGAAGTAAAACACTCAAGCAGTAAAAACCCTCGTCTTAAATAGTGTTCCACAATCACGACGTGCATGAACGTTGTAATAAAAACTTAAGACGATGTTCCTTGCGAGCCATAATTTAGTTGAAGTAATTACGACACGCTTTGTGCGCCTTAAAAGAATAATTACGGCATGTTCCATGTGCCTTCGTAAATGACTAATTATGGCATAGAATGCGTGCCTTAAAAGAGTAATTAATTATCATTTAAGACGTTCTGTGCACACGTGTTTAACTTTAAATTTTTTTTAAAAAATTATTAATTCCCTGCCTGCTCATGTTTCATATTTACAATATACTTATATCATCTATCACTTCCCTAGATACAAAATTTCACAAAACGAAAAGTAGTATTGCAGCCAAACTTGAAAGAAAGAACTATTTCATTGAAAACTATACCAATCATAATCAATTCCAAATTCAAACTCTATAAAGTATTAAAGAAACACATAATTGTGTTGTCAAATTTACAATTAACTTGTACATAGCCTCCAACTTATTCACTCATGATAGTGATGCCAAACCTACAACGTAACCTATGCAAAAACCTCATGATAGCACTGTCAGTAGACACCATCTAACAAGAATCAAACTCATACTTGATCTGCCACCTGCATTTTGTTTGAAAACTCATTTTAGCAACTTAACCATTGTAATTTGCCAAAGGAAAAACCTCATAACAGAAGGGCAAAACTAAGCCTGAATGTTATGATTGAAATGTGCATCATTAAGGAAAAAAATTTCTATAGGAAAGAATAAAATCAAAACAAAGCAAGAATATTAGAAGACAAAATGTTAACTTTGTTTTACCTACCACCCAACATATTAATTAATTTAAAAAAGGGAACAAAAGTGAATTAAAACACTGAGATCAGCTCGCTTATATGAAAATCCTTGTACACTTATCAGGAATGAGCATTTATATTTATTCAACAAAGTCATTATTCAATTAGAAAAGGGCATGTATCTTCAATTGCTCAACATAATTTTGTTTTTACAAATTAACATAATGGTTACCTCAATTAAGAGCTAGTCGAAGGAGATGAACTTGATTAGCCATGCGGTTGTACTGAGAACTACATCTTTAATAAGAAAAAATTCACGTGTTGGCCGAAATAAGGGTTGGCCTCCTACAAGTACCTCAAGGACCCAAACTTTCCAACAATCCAGTCCAAATGGCACAAAGTGCACATTATCTTAAGGGTTTGTGGATGAAATTTCAGCAAGTGAAACAACTTATCCAATTCCTGTCCAATGAAGTAGTTTGCACTTTTTCCCTTGAAAATTGTCAGAATTTCCATGATGGTGAGTAGAAAAGGCCTCAAGGTTAACTGATTTGGATAGAAGGTTGCCAGATTTAGGATTTAGCTTTATGGTGGTCGAAGAGGCTTTAAGAGCGTCATTTTCTTTCAACCTCACGGCACCTCCCTGGTGCACACCTTTCCAGCTGCTACAGTCACCACCCTACCCACACCCTAGTCCACTCAACAACACTTATTCTACTTAATCCTAGCCATTGCTCCAAACTTATTCCCAACGCCCTCGCATACAACTTTCTTCACTTACGCCTGCCCCTGTTCTAGCAGCTCTGAACCTCCCAGTTCCAGCAACTCCGAACCCCCTGGTTCTAGTAGCTTCGAATCCCCTGGTTCCAAAACCCTTGGTTCTAGCAACTTTGAAGCCCCAAGTTCCAGCAACTCCGCAATCTCCTGCCCTTGTTCCTCGCATGCGCACCTGCCTTCAGGATGGCATTCAAAAGCCCAAGGTTCATATTGATGGCACTGTCAAATATCCCCTTCTCGTGCCTTATTAACTTTGTTGAGCATACTGAACCTACTTGTTTTTCACAGGGCACTAAGCATACTGAATGGCATGACATCATGACTGAAGAGATCAATGAACTTCTCAAAAATCATACATGGTCTTTGGTACCTTCCTCTCCGTCTCAGAACTTGGTTGGGTGCAAGTGGGTTTTTCGATTAAGCGTCACTTTGATGACTCCATTGAACGCTACAAAGCTCGTCTAGTTGCCAAGGGTTTTCATAAACGTCCGAGCATAGACTATGCTAAAACCTTCAGTCCTCTTGTCAAGCCTGCCACTAATCACACTGTTCTCAGTCTTGTAGTTTCTCATGGTTGGTCCCCTCATCAACTTGACGTCAAAAATGCCTTTCTCCATGGGTTTCTTCAAGAAGATGTCTACATGGCTCAACCCCCTAGTTTCATTGATCCCACTCATCCTTCTTATGTTTGCAAGCTTCACAAAGCACTCTATGGCCTCAAATAAGCACCTCATACTTGGTTCCATCACATCAGTACTTTCCTTTTCTCTATGGGCTTTACACGGAGCCAAGTTGACACTTCATTATTTATTTTTCAACAGGCGTGCCATACCATATTTCTTCTTCTATAAGTTGACGACATCGTGATACCTGGCAGTGATTTCACTCATCTCCAACAATTCATCTCTCTTTTAGGTGGCCACTTTGAGATCAAAGACCTTGGTCCGCTCAACTATTTCTTGGGTTTACAAGTTCTTCATAAGGATGGTACTCTCCACATCAATCAACTCAAATATGCACATGATCTTTTACAGAAAGCCTATCTTCTCAACTCCAAACCAGAATCTACTCCATTGGCTGCCAAGGTTCTCCTTTCTTGGGTTTACAAGTTCTTCATAAGGATGGTACTCTCCACATCAATCAACTCAAATATGCACATGATCTTTTACAGAAAGCCAATCTTCTCAACTCCAAACTAGAATCTACTCCATTGGCTGCCAAGGTTCTCCTTTCTGTCTCTGATGGTGCTATCATCTCTAACCCAACCGAGTATCGCGAGCTTTTGGCAGTTTACAGTATCTCACTCTTACTCGCCCTGACATATCTTTTGTTGTCAACATTGTTGCTTAGTTCATGAGTGCTCCTCGCGCCTCTCACCTTGTTGCCGCCAAACGGATACTTAGGTACATCAAGAGCACTATTGATCTCGGCCTCACCTTCACTCCTCAAACTGCCACCGCTCGCCTCTCTGCTTACTCTGATGCGGATTGGGCTGGGTGCCTTAATTCTCGTCGGTCAACCACTGGATATGTGATTACTCTTGGAACCAACCTCATCTCATGGTGTTCCAAGAAACAGCCCACAGTCTCGCGCTCTAGTACCGAGTCGGAATATCGTACCCTCTCTCATGCTTGTGTCGAAACCACTTGGCTATGCTCATTTCTCCATGAATTGGGTGTGCGTCTTCGATTCCCAGTCCAACTCTTTCGTGACAATCTCAGCACCACGTACATGGCTACCAATCCAGTTTTCCATGCCCACACAAGTCACATTGAGTTGGACTATCACTTTGTTCGTGAAAAGGTTGCTCTTGGAAGTCATCAAGTTTGCTTTGTTCCTTTTGTCGACCAACCTGTGGACCTATTCACCAAAGCCCCTCACAAACCACGCCATCAGCATATGTCTTCCAAACTTGTGCATCCTGTGAAGCCCAGTTTGCCGGGAAAGGGGGTGTTAACACAACTTTCTTTTCCTAGACTACACGGAAGTCAACTTTACAATATCCTCCTAGCAATTAGCCTTTCTTGCTGTAAATCAGATTTCCTGCTATAAATTGGATTGTATTCATGTCTATATCATTTCCTACCTTAAGTAGATATCTTGTACTAGTATAAATAGGGACTTTGTGTAATCTTTTAAATACAAGGAAATATATTTTCTACACAGGGCTTTCCACAGTGCTCCAATTCTTGCTCAATATTCATCTGGAATACGACCATAGAACTGGTTGTATGACAAGTTGATTGTTGGTACCGTAACTGATCGATCAATTAGCTAGGCTAGATCATCCACGTGCCATGCTATGAGAGGTCATCACCTTCGCCAATGAAGCCTTACCACAAGTCACAAATCTAAGCAAGGCAAGGAGTCCTATATTGGAAGACTACAAGAGATGGAGACTCCCCCTCACCTATAAAAAAAAAGACTACTCTCTACTTAGAAAGGGGTCTTGGGTCTTGGATTCTTGGGCTTTGTACCTTAGGCCTTAGGCCTCCTTCCCTTTATCTTTGGGTCTAATCCCCTTGTACAAATGTAAACAAACATTATCATAATGAGAATATACTTCTCCATGGATGTAGCCCATTCATTAAGGGTGAACCACGTATATCTCGTCTTCTTTACATTCCAAATCTTCACACACCTGCTGAAGGTCCTCACCTTTACCCATCATCCACCATTCTACCTCTATCTAAGTTGACCCTCCCAAAAAGAGCTTCAACAGTTTGGCGTTGTCTGTGGGAATCGACACGGGAAGCCTTTGTCATTCTCTCCTCATTCAGTGCCCTTTGGCACCCTTTCAATCATTGCCTTTTAACTTATCGTTTAGCACCATATATGCTGAAGCCACCATGGGGTTTCAAGGAACCTGTTGAAAATAATGGACATTTGTGCTTAAGATTTCAAGAAGAATCTAGAGAATTCAAGAGCTCACAATAAAAAAGTTGCATGGTAGCAAAGAAAAATGAATATGGTGGAATATTCTAGAAAAAGTGATAAGTGAATGGCTAGAGCATGGCGGTGGAAGAAATCTCTAGAGCATACAAACATGTGGTTGGGAGAAAATGCACAAGTCGGTGGACAAAGGCTAAGTCGGCAAAGAATGCCTATAAATAGGCATGCAATGCAACAAAGCAAAGTGGAGTCAACTACTAGAACTCCCAATCTATGAGGGAGCCAAGAGCTACCCAAACAAAGTTATGTTGAGGAGCCAATAAGCTCACCAATCTAAGTGAAGGGCCAAATAGCCCAAACTAATCTAAGTGAAGGGCCAAATAGCCCAAACTAATCTAATTGAAGGGCCAAATAGCCCAAACTATTCTAAATCAAGTGTAGTGGCCAATAAGCCAATATGCTAAGAGTAGAAGGCCAATTAGCCTACACAAAGCTATGTACTATTCTCCTCCAAATATAATAAAATCACTTTGTTTCCCCTACAAATCCAACAATGGTATCAGAGCTGGTTCCATCGCATTGGGTGTCAGAGAAGGATCGCTTTGGGCATAAGGGCTGACTCGAGAGCCTTGTTCGATCAACTCGGGACGTATGGGCCAATTCTAAGGAAGCAAGGTACGTGCTATCGATACTCAATTCAAAGTTTCAAGAAATCTAGAGAAAGTTCTAGAGGAGCAGAAAGTAAAAATAAAAGAAGTAGGCATGAGAGGAAAAACTTTCCTCCGTGTGGAGTGTGCACAAAGTTAAGCCACTCAGAAAAAGAAAAAAAGAAGCCCAAATGTTGAAACTAAAAAAATTGGGCGTTGAGAAGAGAAAAATAGTACCGGCGAAGAACTATCAAGATAACTATGAACAAATAAAGTGCCACATGAGCACGGAGCTGCAACATCAACTAGAGCTTCATCGATGCTAGCTTCATGAGGTGCATGCTTGGAGAAACACAAATGCGCATTAAGGAGGAGTGTTGAAAATAATGCACATTTGTGCTTAAGATTTCAAGAAGAATCTAGAGAATTCAAGAGCTCACAATAAAGAAGTTGCATGGCAGCAAAGCAAAATGAATATGGTGGAATATTCTAGAAAAAGTGATAAGTGAATGGCTAGAGCATGGCGGTGGAAGAAATCTCTAGAGAATACAAACATGTGGTTGGGAGAAAATGCACAAGTCGGTGGACAAAGGCTAAGTTGGCAAAGAATGCCTATAAATAGGCATGCAATGCAACAAAGCAAAGTGGAGTCAACTACTAGAACTCCCAATCTATGAGGGAGCCAAGAGCTACTTAAACAAAGTTATGTTGAGGAGCCAATAAGCTCACCAATCTAAGTGAAGGGCCAAATAGCCCAAACTAATCTAAGTGAAGGGCCAAATAGCCCAAACTAATCTAATTGAAGGGCCAAATAGCCCAAACTATTCTAAATCAAGTGTAGTGGCCAATAAGCCAATATGCTAAGAGTAGAAGGCCAATTAGCCTACACAAAGCCATGTACTATTCTCCTCCAAATATAATAAAATCACTTTGTTTCCCCTACAAATCCAACAGAACCAATATGCCGAAGACATATATCTACTGAAGCAACCCACCTTTCAATCACTTTGAAGAGTCTCAATCTGGGGGTGGCGTAATATTCCAAATGCACCATGGATATCACCATGCATGGCTTACACATGGCCAAGAAAAATTGCTCCAATCTGAGGGATGCGCACGTGCATCCTCACCACAAGATAAGATTCCTTTTCTTGCATATGAATATTGTATACAAGCATGCAATGCATAAATAATTCCGTACACAATCATATTCAACAATATGAATATTAATGTATATTAATAATATAAGGTTATGGTATGCTTCAGAACCATATGATTAATCGATGGGCCACATATGCTGAGGTGCATGTGGGCAGAAGGCCCAATTAGAGCCCAGCATGCCCATCTGGAGCAAACAGAAGGAAGAATAGGGAAGAACGTGACATGCCCATCGGCACCTCTCATTGACTGAAAACAGATGTCGTCTCTCTCCTCTCGACTGTAGGTTCTTATCGGACGACAACAATCACAACAATCACAAAGCAGCCTTAAGGTTCTCACCACCAACTCATTTCAGCTTCTACAATAAATGGTGGGACTCATGACACATGGTTCAGAAGATAAAAATATGGGAGAAGCAAACCACACGTGGGATGAAGAGAAAGCCAGCACAAGTGTTGATGCCTCACGATGATCTGCAAAGATAAGAAACAATATCCTTATTTACTAATTATTTATTATTATATGATGGGCTACCACCAACAATAAAGTATATTGTTGATTAATAAATTCCAAATTGTGGCTTAGGTGTCGTTTAAACACCTCACAATTGCCATTCGACAATTCAGTAAAATATCTATGCAATAATGAAGTTGTCTTATGTTGTTCTGCGTGCAATAAAATTTTGCCCTTTTAGATTATCTCATATTTGAAGACTCTCCATACCAAAGCATCTGCACCCGCATCAAATGACAGATACGAGCTCCGGGCCAGCTCGCTAATTCCTTGTCCTACCAAGAACGGCACTGCTAATAAGAATTCCAATAAGCCAACTTTCTCAGGACACCCAAGGTGTCTTCATAAAAAATAGGAGGAAACATATCGACTGAAAATTGCTGAAAGCTCGAGAACTTGCTGGACATGGTCCACCTTCAGCCCACTCAATCGATCCGCATAGCAATACTTGGCAGCTTCATCACTTATCGACAGGCACTCAGAGAGCATTCTCCTCAAGACACCCAAAGACCCAAGTCAAAAATGAAATCAGCACCAGCAAACCCAATAGCCTTTCGGCATCTCATGCAGCACCAAAGTTGCTAACCTGACCTGTGAAGCTAATTTCCAAACAGCAAATTCAAAAATTTTAAACGGAAACCAACCATTAAATTCCACAGGACACCCCAAGAAGTTGAAGTTATCATATCTGAAGCAAGGCTCATGCAAACTATCAAATGGCACCTCATCTGCAATCGCTCATCTCCAAATTAAAGATTTATCTCATATTTGAGGCAACATGTCACACTCACCGATCTGTCTAGCCACCTAAAAATTCTCAAGACACCCATAATGTCTTCAACAGAGGAATAACTTGGATCCAGCAAGCTGAAGGTACCAATATTCCGCATGGCAATCTCGAATCAAATCTCCCAAGGCGTCATAGCATTTGAATATCCCCTCTTTTCACCACCCCATTAAGTGGGCAACAGCTTCCGTCCAAAGCTGAAGAAGCAATTCCAAAATTCCACTCCAAGATAAAGCGGTGGACCTCACCTCTTGCACATTAGTTACTACATATTGTTCTCTGAAGCCAATTGCCCAAAATTTTAAAACAAACATAGAAGAAAACATCAAACTGATCGGCACCGCCCTTACAACCATGATATCTCCGTTAGCTTCAGAAAGCTAAAAAACCAAAGAGTAACCATGCTGCACATCCTGCCGATAAACTCTATCAAGCAATAGCTCCATGATAAGGTCATAATTTCACACATTTGCATGCCTTCTTTGCTTAGTAATTTTGTTTAGTTTCTCTTTATTTGAGTTACTTACCTCTTTTTGTTTGTTTTGTAGGTTAAGATAGCAAGAGATCACATTTGATGCAATCCATGCTTGTTAAGGGCTGAGTGGCACAAGAGGAATATGAGCTCAAAGAAAAACCCAATTTGGGCCACACTCCTTGTCAGTCTAATTTCGTAGGTCATCTTGCAGGCCTCATTTCAGTAACTTACACAGGTCGGATGAGGAGACATCCTTGATAGAAGTTGTTTCAATGGGTGTCTATTATAACATATCCAAATTTCAGCCCAATTGGATAAATCTGGAGCCCTCAGCACGTCAAATACTGAACCAAGTTCATAGAAATGTTATGTTGGCTGCCATCACATTTAATGTAGCTACATCCCTAGAGCCATGTGCTACACATGGGCAGCCATACATGGGAGTAAAATCAGCTCAAGAACTCAGAAGGATGAACAAAAGTCAAGCTTTCCATAAAGAAACCATACCAAAGCATGTATTTGTCAGCTGGAGCAGTTGAGAGCAGCTAAGAGAGGTGTGCTTCACCAGCCAAAGGGGAGGATGAAATTTCACTCTATAAATAGAGAGCTGCACACTCATTCAAGGAGATTCAGAGACACATTTTCACTTCATCTATTACTCTCATACACACATTCAGATTCACCACAAAGAGAGAAGAGAGCTTAGAGCTGTCCTGGGAACTACATTGCTGTCAGCTAGTTCTTCTCTTCTCTTCTATCCTATCTATGTATTTTTTATTTTCTGTATTCATATTTATGTTTAACTAATCCATTTAGTTAGGGCTTAGGATGAAGCCTTAGTCATGAATATTCAATGTTATGGATGATTTTATAGTTAATTGATTTCCTTGCTTTCATTATCAAGTTGTTAATCTCCAGTTTATTATGTGCTTGATGTATGTTTTCTTAGAGTAGCTAACTAGGATTTTATGCATCTAGCACATGTTGAGAAGGGGTTTAGATTCACCAATTCTACTCTCTTTTCACAAGCAACACATGAATGACCTAAAAATCATTTAAGGGGTTAATAACCATAGGTTGACTAGGACAGATACCATGTTCTAGGACTTGTGTGATTATCATATTCTCAAGGAGCTTAATGACTCTTGTATGCTTTATTCTAAGTAGATACCATGCTTAGGTTGCATATTAGAGATCAAGTGTTGTATAGATACCATACACAATCACATGCCTTAGGAGAATCATGCATCCTGCACCTAGATACCATAGGCTTGTATGCGATAATCTATTATTGATAAAGCTTGAGTCAATTTCTATGCATTCATAACTTGGATAGAAAAATTAGTGGTGAATTCCAAGGCTCTAACACCTCTCAATTATTGTTTCACAATCTGTCCAGTGTTTACTTTCGAGCACTTTATTTCACTTTCTTCTTTTCATTTCAACAACAAAACCCCCCATTTCGAGTGTGTGTGTGGTGCTAGGATTCTGTCCTAGACCTTGAGTAATTAGCAAGAGGCATTGTTGAATTCAACCTTGTCTTTAGCTAGTCAGTCAGTTTCTTTGTTCTATGTTTTTCTAGCATTCTAAGTAATTTAACTTGGAACCAAGTTACTATTCTCCGTGGGATCGACCTCGTATTTACATAAGCTATACTATAAACGGTTTGTGCACTTGCGAGAATTAAAGTTGCTGTTTTTAATAACTCATTTTAGTTGTTAGGAAACGAATCAACAAGTTTTTGGCGCCGTTGTCGGGGAACCAGTAACAATGGTGCTATAGTTAGATTACTTTGATTGTTTCATTTGTTTCTTTTCGTTGGTTTTTCTTTTAGTATTTAGTTTTTGTATTTAGTTGTTATCTCCATTGAAAGCACTGAATTGAGTTCCTTTGTATGTATGTCCGAATCTGACGAGGAGAAAAGTTCACTTGAGCCACTTTCACCAAGAACCACTGCTGTACGTGCTGGTTTGAGGAGGAATTATAGTTCTTCAAGCACTAATTCTAAGAGTTATGAATATGAAGGTTCTAGCAAGATGACAGAGATTCCGAACAACAACAATAATGTTGAAGGATGTGGTGCACTTGTTGTCCAACCTCGAAAACCCCTGCGTGAGTTTTCCATTCCCAAAGTCACCGATCAACCTTCGTGCATCGTCTATCCTCAACTCATAGTTGACAGGTTTGAGCTTAAAAGTGGTATGATTCATCTTCTTCTAACTTATTATCGTAATACCACTGAGGATCCTTACATGCATATTAAGCAATTCTTTGAAATATGTGTTACGATCAAAATTCAAGGCCTTGATGATGAACAGATTAAGATGAGGCTATTCCCATTCAGTTTAAAAGATAAGGCTAAGTCTTGGTTATACTCTTTGCCTAATGCTTCAATTCATACTTGGGAAGAGCTTTCTAATAAGTTTTTGCAGAAATTCTTTCCGGCTCAAAAGACTAACAAGATTAGAAAGGAAATCCTTGATTTCACACAAAAGGAAGGAGAAGCTTTTCATGAATATTTGGAGAGGTACAAGGAGATGATAAGTTCTTGCCCATACCACAACATAGAGAGTTGGATGCAAATGCAATCTTTCTATGAAGGTTTGCTTGATTCCGAAAGGATGATGGTAAATGCAACAAGTGGAGAAGGACTGATGAACAAAACAGCAGATGAGGCTTTTACTCTCTTTGAATCCTTAACTGCTAACTCTCAATAATGGAGCCACAATAAAGGAAGAGGAGCTCCTATGAAAGCTGTGGTCTCTGAGGTAAGTATTAATAATGAGATTGCTGCAAAACTTGATATTATGTGTTATTTGCTTCAACAGGCAGTGACTGGCCCTCTAGGAAACAAAGTGGAAGTTCAAGATCAATCTTTTGTAGAGCACATGCTAGAACAAGCAAATGCCCTTCAAGCAAGGAATCCTAATAATGATCCTTACTCAAACACGTACAATCCGGGGTGGAGAAATCATCCTAATTTCAAGTGGAGCAATAACTCAAATGTGCAACAATCTCAAGGACATCCCCCAGGATTTCAAATACAACAAAGGCAATTCCAGCAAGCTCCCCAGCAAGTGCAAGAGCAAAGGGGTGACCAAATGGGAGAATTGCAAGACATGTTCAAGAATTTCATGGGGCAATAGATGCAAACCAATCAGAATCTTCAAAATGCAGTGAACAAGCTAGAAGTGCAAGTTGGGCAGATTTCATCCTTCTTGAGCAATAGAGCATCCGGAACATTTCCAAGCCAAACGGAGGTGAATCCAAGGCATCAAGAGCATGCTAAAGCAGTACACATCTTGAGAAGTGGTAAACAAGTTGATAATAAGGTTGGAGATGCCAATGAAGAGCAAGAAGATGGAGAACACATGGAGATCATTCAGCGACCACATGGGCAAGGGTCGTACCGAAACTGGATCATCCTCGACGCTCAACGAAGACTCATGGTGCTAGGGAAGCGCTGATACTCGAGCAGACCCCTTCAAATCCAGCTTGCTGAACAGCAAGGCTGTTTTTACCACCAAAGGTAGCCCCTTGGCGTAACTCCTGAGGCCTAGCACCCCAAACCACTGGGCTCGAAAGGCAGCAGTCGCGCTGAAGAACAAGGAGGCCTAAAAAAATTTTCAAATCACCCTTGCCGAATGGCAAGGGCTAGGCAGAGGTTGCGGAGATGCTTGCGCCCTCTTTTTTGTTTTACCTTGCTGAAGTCGGAGATGCACGCAATCTCCTTCTAAAATCACCCTTGCCGACGTAAGCTACGGAGGTGCGCCCCCTTCTTTTTCAAAATTACCCCTGCCGAACGGCAGTCTTTATGCTGAAGGTACACTATTACCTCACGACTAGAGATCACCCATATTCGAACCCAAGGGGCCTCACGAAAATTGCTTCAAACCAGCCTTGCTGAAGCCTCATCCCGAATGACAAGTTCTATTTCTATGCGGAACTCACACCAGATGCCAACTAGGCCTTGCCAAAGCCCAACTAGGCCTACTTGCCGAACGGCAAGTGTTGGGCCGAAGCTACCAGAGGCCCAAGCGCCAAAAAAAAAAAAAAAAAAAAAAAAAAAAAAAAAAGCATATGACATTGCCTTCAGCACATGCCTCATCAGGCAACATTTGGCAACATTTATTGGCTTCAACAATTTCCTTGCGACACGCAAGTTTTATGCCAATACCTAGCCACATCGCCTTGCGACATGCAAACTTTGTGTTGTTTTCAGTATCCCTTTTTGCCTTCGGCACCCCTGTGCCTAGCCACATCATCTTGCGACATGTAAGTTTTGTGTTGCTTTCAACATCCCCTTAACCTTCGGCACCCCCGTGTCTAAACACATTGCCTTGCGAAATGCAAGCTTTGTGTATTGGGCAACCATCTTCACTTTCGGCACCCCGTGCCTAGCCACATTGCCTTGCGACATGCAAATTTTGTGTCTCATTTGGCATCCCCTTCACCTTCGGCACCCCGTGCTTAGCCAGATTGCCTTATGACATGCAAGCTTCGTGTCTCATTTGGCATCCCCTTTGCCTTCGGCACCCTCATGCCTAGCCACATTGCCTTGCAACATGCAAGCTTTGTGTCCCCTTCGACATCCTCTTTGCCTTCGGCACCCTCTTGCCTAGCCACATTGTCTTGCAACATGCAAGCTTTGTGTCCCCTTTGACATCCTCTTTGCCTTAGGCACTCTCATGCCTAGCCATATCGCCTTGCGACATGCAAGTTTTGTATCACCTTTGGCACCTTCATGCCTAGCCATATTGTCTTGCAACATGCTACTTTCTACTTAGAAAGGAGTCTTGGGTCTTGGATTCTTGGGCTTTGTACCTTAGGCCTTGGCCCTCATTCCCTTTATTTTTGGGTCTAACCCCCTTGCACAAATGCAAACAAACATTATCATAATGAGAATATACTTCTCCATGGACGTAGCCCATTCATTAAGGGTGAACCACGTATATCTCGTCTTCTTTATATTTATTGCTTGCCCAAATCTTCACACACATGCTGAAGGTCCTCACCTTCACCCATCATCCATCATTCTACCTTTATCTAAGTTGACCCTCCCAAAAAGAGCATCAACATTGATCATTGTCAAATTCGGAAAAGTGACCAAATTGAGAGGCAAATGTCTGTGCAATTGATTTCCTTAGGCATCAAGCACAGAAAGTTGTGTTTCCCGTCCAAGAAATCTAACAACTTCTAATGTGGTGAAGTGGTTAATTGAAACATTAAGTTGAACCATTTTAGGCGAGGTAAAAAGATCTCTGTTAATGGGACCTGAAAGCCTGTGGTCACTTACATCTAGCAACCTCAGTTGTTTGAGCTTGTTCAATTGTGAAAGGTGCCCTGAGAGTATGTTATGGCTCAAGATCAATGTTCTCAAACTTGATGGAACATTTGGCATACCTCCATAGAGTTGGTTTATGCTGAGATCTAACGTCCTCAGCTGCCATAACCTGAGAGGTCAAGGATTCTGCCTATGAATCCATTGCTACATGTGCTTAAGAAGGTCAAGCTTCTTAAACAACCAATGCTTGAAGGAATGGTGCCGCTAAGTGCATTGAAAGAAATGTCTAGAGATTCCAGCCTTTTGAGAGCATTCAGTACTCTGGGAATGTTGCCTGTGAGGAAATTGTTGGACAATGAAATTCTAGTGAGCTTCTTTAGATTGGCAATGGAATCTGGGATAGGTCCTCAAAAGTGGTTTTTGTTTAGATTGATCATGGTGAGCTCTGTTAGGTTCCCTATTGATGGTGTGATAAACCCATCATAGCCACCACCATCAAGCTCAATTGCTATTATTCTGCTTGGGGAGTTGTCTAAAGGGAAACTGCACAAGATTCCCAGAACTGGCCCGATGTACTTCGCACGGATCCATGGCAAATTCCTCCCAGGTACCAAGATAGGAATTTAGGGGGATGGAGTTGGGATCAACCGAACATTTGATGTCACGGAGAAAATGAGTATCAGAATCGGGAGTTACTGAATTGATGAGCACTGGAGTAGAACTTGCAGTGATTAAAATTATATAACGTAGATAGAAGGAGCAGAAGGGAGGCATTAGCTTACCCAAATCCAAAGACAGCTAAGAGCTAGCTTATTTGGGAATTGGGATTTTGGTGGTTTCATTGGTTTTCCAAATGCCTCCTTATATGGGGCTTTTGCCGTAAGGTAAAAGGTTTGCAAGACCCTTTGAATGAGAAAAGATTTTCTTCTTAAATCTCATGGGCATGCCAAGAACTTGGATAAATTTAAATCCATTTCTTTAAAGCTTGGCTGGTATTTGAGGATTTAGTTTCCTCTTTGGTCATCCAACCTAAACCTTACTTTATCCGAACGATCTTTTTGTATTCTCATTGTTTATGCCAAACTAGGGAAGATGGTGCTACGCCATACCTTCTTTTTCACATCTTACCAAGAAATTTATTTAAAAACATATACAAGATTCCCAAGAAGATGCAATTGAGCAATTATAGCCCAAAAGCCACGTGGCAATTTCCTAAGATTTGAGGCAAGGCAAATGCAATCATCCACCACTATTTTGCCTTCCATAAAAATGAAGTAATCATACCAGGAACTAGAATATCAAAGGCAGAGCCAGAGAGCTTCAAGAAAGCGACCTAAAATTTCAACAGTTTTATGGCTCATAAACACCAACTACTGCTGTCACTTGGAATTATATTTGTGCCATATGGTCTTGTAGCCACGGAGGCAAAATTACATATGTTTATTTTATGGGTCAAATGAAAAAGACAACAGAAAAAAGCAAATCTCCCAAAATGCATTATACATTCTTAGATACCTACGTAAATACATACGGATATGTACTTAGTATGAAGATATATAATTCAACCTATCAACTAATACCATCAAGTTGATACATGCCTAAAATATGCCAAGATCAGGAACGGTAAAATGCTCATCATCATCTGAGATTTCAATCCTAGGCTTCTTGTATGGGCCGTTTGATTTTGGGGGTCTATATGAGGCAAAATTGCTTGGCTGTGATGCTGGAAGCTGAGGAACTTCAGCTGCTGCCACGGCCTCCTGAGGAAACTGCTCACCAAAAAGACCCATATCTGCTATCCATTCAAGCTCTCCAAACTCAAGTGACTCTTTCTGAAGTGAGCACAGACAAGATTTGTTGAGCATATGAATAGATGAAAGAAAAAGTAAATGGCCTATCATCAATGTTGGCATCAAATGTATATATCTTCTTCTAATCAGGTATTAACCGAAGAATTGCTTAAACCAACTAAACCAAGACCTATTAGAGGTATCAATATTACCTTCTTTTAAGCAGCAAAAGCAACCCAGACTTTTTTAATTATCTAAATTCAGAAAGTTGTGCATGATGAACGATCAAATAAAAAACATGGATAGAAAAGAAAAATGAACTCAATTTAGAACAATCATTATAAAATTAAATTATCTTGACAGTCTTAAAAACTCAAAACTTATCATTACTATCACAAGGTTATATATAAGTTTTAGAATATTTCTTTCATACAGTAGGCTTCAATGTTAACACAGCAGTATATGCCACCCAATTATCAACGAGACTTTTCCAAATACATTATCCACATTGTTCAAGACATTTGTGTCTCATATACCAAGTTCGCATGAATTACGTATTTATCTTATCACAATCATTTTCAAAGATAAATGATAAACATCTATATTCCTCCACCGTTCTGGTATATCTTTCAACCTCATCCCCAAGTTCTCCATTCAAACCATTCCATTCCATGAAAAGACAGTAATAATAATTGTGATGAGTAAAGCTAGATAATGTATAGGGATCTTTCTAACCTTGTCAGAAGATTCAAAATCTGATAATTGCAGCAAGTCATCGACGCCCCAAGGTGACGAGATGCCGGAAGCCTGTGGTGCTGAAATTTTTGTCGAAATCTGCTGTGTGCTACGCTCGGGTGGCTCCAAGCTACTTGTTTCAGCTTCCTTAGTACAACTGGAGCTCAGTGCCACTCGGATTCCAGTGGCAAGGAACCTCTGGTGGTTTGCAGAGAGGCTATTGGCTGAATGAATTGGTTCATCACAATCCTGACAAAAGAGGGCTCTGTCTTCAACGCAGAATATAAACGCTGCCTTATCCTGCCAATCAGAAGACATGTGTGAGAGAGAGAGAGAGAGAGAGAGATTGTTTAAGAAACTCATCAGAATCCAGTGACGCTAAGACAGATTGAAAAGGAAAACTTAATTATCATTCAAGAAGTCTTAGATGAGCATCTTGTTGTCCACTTAGTAGTTGAGACCACGAAAGGTGATTTCAAGAATGCAGAAATCAATCAAAGGGCAAGCTAAAATGTTGTTCAAAAAATTCAAGAAGGAAATCTTGTCTTGCGGGCTCCTATGATAATTTGAAGTACCTATCTACCTTTCTTTCCCTGATTCTGCTCATCTTAAGGAAGCTGTGGAAGCATCTCTATCTAATCTGGACTATGTTATGTTTAATTATGAAGAAAGATCATAAATTATAAATACTTCCTGAATTACTGTAAACCTAAGACTCTACTCCAGTAATTTCAGAAGGATACTTTCTCTATTATGTTAATTTCCTTGCCTTTCTCTGCTCTCCGATGCATCAATAAGATTTTTTCTCATTTCTTCTTCGTGACTTGAACCACGAAAAAAAAAACAGTTTGTACCATTTGTGCTCAAGAGGCATTTATGTTCCAACTCAATTAATAAATTCATGATTATGAATCAATCAAACAATTAATCATTATTAAAATTGAAGTAGCCACATTCTTAGAAGTCACAAGGCTGCACACCTGTTCAACCATTAGCTGACTCACATTGCAAACACTAAGATTTTCATTTACTCTCTAATCTCTTGGAAAATTTCTCTTAGATTGCTTCTTTTGTTTGAACAATATTTACCACATTGTGATTTTTTAAAGGTGTTAATGCATCATTTGTCTCGACGGGGTTTAGGTTTTTCTATCATTTACAGCGAAAAGAGGGGAACTAGGAAGACCTCTCATTTTGGGCAGGTACCTAGGTGAAACCCAGTTTCAACAATGTGAGAATAATTCAGACACCACACCCACTTTGCAAGGTTGTAAGAATACCCCAACGCAACAATGTGACAATCAGCAGCAGATTTCTCAAGTTCACCTGATTAGTCTTATTAGTTATACAACATCTAGTGGGGACGCCAAGTCTAGAGCGCACACAAATTTTTGGCATGCAGTTTGTATTACAAACCTTGTAAAGTGCCATCTGTTATTGATCGAGAGTACAAAAGAAATGTTAACTTCTTTCAACTTGCCACTATTTCCTATAGTTCACTTTAACTTTCAAACAAAGGAAACCTATAATGCTCAAAGCATCTAAGATTCTAGTATGAGGTCCTCCATGGCAGGGTCATCAAAAATCATGTCTAGAGCTAATAGCCTTATCTTAATTGGAACCTCTCATGTTGGATTTTACAATTTTAACATTGTATTGGAGAGGGTAATTCATTTATTAGCAAAGTTTTGAACCTTTAGACCCATCTCAATCTAGCTCACCCTTTACATTTATCACAAGTACACATATTAATACAATGAACTTGTAAAGTTAAACTCAGGGCAACAATTCTGACCCAAAAAAAAAACTCAGCTCAACAAAAATGGAAAAGGAAAATTGGAAATTACATAACATTTTATACAAAGAAAGTCGGAAGTGGAAATTAATTACTTGGCATATGTCACATCTAGGGAGCTTGTTGGAGAGGCAATTTAGAAGAAGCCTCTGGTGCTTGCTTGCAAGCTTATTTGCTGCGTGCACTTCAACATCACATTTGGCGCACAGAGCTGCCTCGTCGGCGCAACAAATCACCGTCGCCGGAGCCTTCTCGCACACATCACACTGAATTTTCATCTTCCTCTTGATCTCTTTCTTTCTGCTCAAGCTTGATCTGTTACTTCCAGAGAAAAAAAAAACCCACCTCACAAACTTATATGTTTCTCACTCAGAGAGACACTGAGAGATCTTTCCTCGAAGATTCAACAAAACCCACAACTCTTTACTTTACCAAAACAAAAACTACCCACAACCGAGAACAGTTGTAAAAACTGCCAGAAGATGCCTGAGGTCATCTAAGCAGCAAGCTTTCCCAGAAAGCAGAAACAGCTTATTTGTGGTAAAACCTCCAGAACCCTTCACCAAAAGTTAGGCCAGATATGAGAAAGACTGTCTAGGAATAACAAGAAAGTTTCAACAGGTAGAAATGAAGAGAGAGAGAGAGAATTAATGGAGTGATGGTTGTTTGTATGATATGAAATTAATTTCTTGGCCAAGTAAAGTAGTTGGTGGAGAGAGTTGCAGAAGAAGCTGTGAGAGGTTTGTATGTGCTGTGGAGGAGATAAGGATTTTGATTTTTTTTTTCCAATATCAAAATCAAGGCAATGGGGCGCATTTGTGGAGCCCACCAGCTTTCTGTCTTGTGGTTGTAGAGCCGTTGCAGTCTGCATGCCTCTCTCTCTCTGCATGTGCTGGTGGCTACCTACTTTTTTGATTTTTTTAAAGAGCTCTGCTACTGTGTGTTTCACTTCACTTGCATGATTACCTGGTTGAGGTGAACATTTTGTGATCATATGTTTGGTAGACTGATTTCAATCTGGACCGTTGAATTGGTCATTCATTTCAAGCAACAACAGCCATGGAAAGAGAAAAGGACTGTGTATCGTTTCTTTGGTGCAAAATATGATATCACATCATTTACCAGAAAAATAAATATCAATTCTTTTTTTATATCGCATCATTTACCAGAAAAAGAAGGTTAAGAGAGAGTTTCTAGGCTTTTCCTCTTTTTCTCATGACACGTGTTATTTTCTTTACATTCAAAATTATGTCATTAGAGCATTATATAAAATATCTTTTATTTTTCAAATTTACCCTTATTATATATATTGACTTTCATGTTTTTTTCAACTTATCAAAAAAAAAAATTGTTCATAACTTCCTTACCACCTTATTAAAAATTAAATTTTAAAAAAAGGTTATTTTTTTGCTGTTTACTTGGTTATGGTCTTGAAGTGACGTTTTTCTTCCAAAATTGTTATGTGCAACAAAATTATGGGCTTTATTACTCATATTTTTTTTTTCTCAAAAAAAAGAAGAAGAAGAAGATATTTTCCTTCAAGTTTTCTTTTATTAAATAAGGTGATAAGAAAGTTATTAATTATTTTTTGGATAAATTAAAGGAAACATAAAATTTAATACATTTAATAAGAGTAAATTTGGAAAATAAAAGATAATTTGTAAGATACATTAATAACATTGTTAAATAAAAGTAATTTAAGGTAATTATTTTTAAATAAACATACTAATTTCAACAAAAACACGTGGAAGTTGATTATCACTTTACAAGGGAATTGGTTCAACACGGCTTCTTGTCTATTAAATTTGTTTCTTCTGAACATTAGCCTGTTGATATCTTTACCAAACCCTTGTCTCCTGAAAGTGAAAGACAAACCGTGTGGGCTACCTGGGAAGAGCTTTTCCACCACACAACGATTTTCCAAGAAGCTCTCTCCTCTTCTCTTTAATCCATTATTGCCTTGCTAAAACCTCTTCTCCCCTAATCCCATAACACTAGCATCTTCTTCTCATTGTTTTCAGTTTGGGCAAGATGGAAATCAGATAATTAAAGAAAAAAAAGCAGAGGATCCGTCTTGGAAAGTTCCTTTCTTTTTCTATGTAAATTCCTCCTTTTTCTCAGTAACCAAACAGAGGTATTTATGTCTCAAAGAAAAGCACTTGCTTATTAGCTGTGGAAATTGAGAGAGCAACAACTGGTTTCCTGGTTTGCAAATACTCGTCTTAACACCTAGTAGTAATCTCTACAGGCCCTCCTTGAGTTTCAGGGATGAGCTCGCACAACCATAATCTCTATGACGAGCCCATAAAGGTAGTGGTCACACAAAACTTGATCATAACCATAGCTCGTACAACTTTAATTGAATTTATAATTAGCTAGTTACTTTTCTTCTATAGGCTACTTCAGAATCAGCAGAGTGGATATTTTTTGCCACTATCCTTGGCCTACAGATGTTGTCAGCTGCTTGTGATCAGGCTTCCTCCCCAAGAAAATCCCACTATGCACTGTTCGGTATGCTGTTGGCTATTGCAGCTGTGCTCATTTCCATCTGGGAGCTAACTTACAGAGGTAAAAAGGAAAGAGTTGTGTTGAGGAGATGGGGAATGCTCTGGTGGTTTTATCATCCACCTCCTCGTAATACGCTTTTTGGTACTCTTCCTGACATTTATGGATTAGTTGCTGGCATCTCACAGTGCATTTTCTGTATAGTTCAGTATGTTTACTGCCTTCGGCATGTTGATAATCCTTTCAAAGCATCCCTTTTGCCTGCCATATTTCTTCTGTGTTTAGGTGGTTCAAAACTAAGTAATAACCGAATGAACGCCAATACCACTGATAACAACATCTTGACAAAGCCTTTGGATAGTAATTCCTCTACCTCTACAATTATGATTTTTTTTTTCTCCTGTTAAATCTTTTTCTTTTTCTGTTAAATTAATAATGTTGTGGGTTTATACATTAGGTCAGACTATTCATGTTCAAGATAACAAGGACTCCATGGAAAATTCTTCAAGGTAAACACGAATTACTGCTCATCTGCTGCTTAATTAATTTGCATATTAAATCTTTTTGCAGCTTTTTAGTGTTAGATAATACAAAAGGAAGTCGTCTTCTTCTTTTTTTTATTTGTTTATTTAGTTTTGGAAGGAGACGATATGGAAATTATAAGAAATAATTAAGGGGATTTTAATGGATATCACATGGGAGTTCTACTTTATTTCAATCAACACAAAATGTGAAGACTAAAGTGCGAGCAGATGGAGAGAGAGTGGCTAATTAAGCTAGCTCTCTAGCTCTAATAAACAAGACAGTCGTAAAAGATTGCTTTCTTTTCTCTGTATGCTTTTTCATCTGTATGCATGGCTTCCATTCCACTGATAGAAAATGTTATCTCAATCTGTTGGTTTGTAGCACAGAAGAAACTTCTAAGCATGCAACCACGAAGTATTATGCACCTACAAATATACCATCTCTGGATGATCAGGAGGGAGAGGTACCAATTAAATTACGATTTAAATTAAATTATTTCCGAAACATATATATATATATATATTGAGGGATCTCTCAAATAATTTTATTTGAGAGACATCAGTATCCTACGAATTTTTTCCAACGATCCAAACCATCTATTTTTTTAGGTCTGCATTCAAATCATCTTTACAAAAAATTAGACAAATCGGAAACTGTTTTGACATCCAATTGTATCCTACAAAATTAATGAATACAGTGCTTCAAGAAAGTGCTAAAACTTCAATAACTCAATTGAGTGGTCAAATGATATCGGATTCAAGTGATTTTTTGTAAAGATGATCTTTGAATGATTATCTAAAACATAGATGGTTTGGATTAGTGAATTCAATGTGGAGTGGGCCCTACAAGGGTGTCCCTCAAATAAGCTAATTTGAGGGATCCTTCAATGGAAGCTCTCTGTATATATATATATATATACACACACGCACATATATAACCTTGAAATATTCATTTAAAAGTTGTCATTTGTATATATATATCATGGGAATAACTGAACAAAATAAAGGAAATCATGTTTCCATCTTTTATTTATTCATCATATTTGTATGCATATTATATGTATATATTGTTTTCGGGAGGACATGATGTATCCAAAAGGCTTAAGTTATGAAGTCCCATATATATCATGGAATATCAATTTGGAGCTCACTTTGGGAAGGCCACATCGGGATTGAATACAATAAAGAAAATTAAAAATTAGGTATTAGACATAACAACTAATTAGGATTTGAGACATAGAGTATTTTTATTTGGGTTTTAATATCTAGGAATAAAATTTGTTTTGAATTAGGCCAAAGAGGAGGCCCAGATGTGAAATAATTTTTTTTTAAAAAAAGAAACCATTGATTGTTAATATAAATATTACGTAACTGACAAAATACCACAAAAACAAGGTTGGTGAAGTGGTTTGTGAATGAGGCTTTCCTCCTTTGAGGGTCAAGGTCGTTTGAGTCTCTTCATGCACACTAAATTTCGTATTTTTTTTAGGTTGAGGGCAACATAGTTGGTTGCCGACGAGTGGCTAGCCGGGAGGTGTTGGCTGGTGATGGGCACGTCGGTGGTGGCTGGGATGAGGCGATGGCTAAGCAGGTGCAGGAATGGCAACAATGGCGGCGGCGATTGCAATGGCGCACACGTGGACATTTGATATAACTTCGAAGTAGTGGCATTGTGTGTAATTTTAATATTTTTTAATTACATTATTGTAAAAATAGGTACTATGTACTTTTTGGTGTTTGGCCTTATACTAATTATGTGAAATTGTATTCCTATCTTCCAAATTAGTAAACTATATAGTGTCTTAAAATAAAAGCTTCCTATTATTGATTGAATCTACTAATCACTTTTAATTCATTATTATATTATGTCTTTGAATGGAGGAGTGCTCCCACGAGGATGAGAATCAGGTGCTGATCGAAGAAATTAGAAGAAAAACAGGATTTAGATCTTCTGCTTTGATTTTCTCTACTAAGATCTGCTTGACTTTCACTCCCCACATGCCACGTCATTTAAATTTCAATCCAAAGAATTTAAAGTTGACACATCACCTTTAAAACAAAGACTCAAAATTTTCCTTATTAAAACATCAAATTTGTGTAAATATTGTCAGGGATAAGAACTACATTTGTCACATAGTGGCATGTAACGAAGAAATTGACGTGGAACGTAACAAATTTAATATTTCCAAAAGGATTAAAAAATGTAAACATTTAAAAGATTAAAACTAAGCTAAAATAGGATCCATAATTTGTGGGTTTTAGGTATTTAATTTTCATAAGTCACTTTTATTATCTTCTTACCAATCTGACAAAAGAAGGGTTAAATTTTTTGAAGTTCCTTAATGCCCTTGAGAAATAAATGTACTAAAACAGATGATTCGTTAATATACGAGGGCAAAATGGTAAACACAAAATAATGAAATAAAATTTGAAGGAAGAGTCTGTTCACCTGCCAAATACAAGATAGAATAATCAACATTTTAATTAGTCAATTATTTCATAATCAACGGTTGAATCAATTATGTCAGAATCTTCCCTTCTCGTATGGAAACTTTTTTGCCACGGATAACAAGCAAACAAATCCCAAAAGCGAAACAATGGGGTGGAGGAATGCGTTTGACAATGCGAAGCCAGTGTTCGTGACTATATACGCCACTGTAATAATTGGGATCATCTTCTCGTCTTTGTATGTGATATCAGCCATTTACTCTGGCAAGTCTGCTGTAGATTACACCACCTTCTGGCTTTCCCGTCAGTTTCTCTCTCTGCTTTTTCCTTTTGGGTTTCCTAGCCCATTGATTTTGTTATTGTTTCTTACGCTTATGCTTCAATTTCTATCACTTTCATTACATACTGGAAATAGGTTTTTGAGATTTTAGTTGCCCGTTGAATAATTCAAGGCTTATGTGCTTAGCACTGGAAATTGTATTTTCTTTGTCTTTTATTCTTGTGGGGTTGCAATGGTGCTCTTGTTTATACAAAATCCATTTCACTCTTCCCGCCACATCTCTAACTAATGACAACTACTAACTTAGTGATCTAACTGATTCAACTGTGATAACAAAAGCTCATTTAGAAACTAAACTCAACTTTACTCTTGTCCTGTGATTTCAAGCTTTAGACATTGTGGCACCTTTGTATGTCATTTCTTCATATTTTCATTTCCTCATATTAGTATTCTGGAGCTTTCTTGCAATATTTGGTGTTCATTCATTAAGCTTTCTGTCTGTGATTTTAGTCTTCTCCCTCTCCCTGCATGTGTTTAATTTTTATGAATTCACAAAATTGCTACAGATGTAGGTTCTCCTCCTGTAGAGCAAGCACCCAATGTTTCTCAAGTTCAAGCAGTTCCCAAACCTTCACTAGAGCCTCGAAGCATGTCAACAAGACCCATTTTGGAAGCTCCTCTACTCACAAAGAAAATGCCACCCTTGAAGAAATTTAGACTGAGCAAAGAACTGGTTCAGGAAAGAGTGAAGGATAACGTCATTATTGTGACCTTTGGGAATTATGCATTCATGGATTTTATCCTGACTTGGGTTAAACACTTGACTGATCTGGGGCTTTCTAACCTTCTCACTGGTAAGCTTCTGGGTTGTGCACTTTTATGTCTTTTTGGCCTTTCAATTTCTTTACATATCTTTTCCAGTTCCCTGTAAGGAAACATATGTTTTTGTATTTCTCTATTTATGTCTGCACCTCTGAGTTTGAAATTTGTTGATGCTCTTTTTGGGGAGGGTCAACTTAGATAGGGAGATTGGATCTTCAGCAGGGGAGAAGGTGAGGACCTTCGGTATTTGGAGAACCTACAGAAGACAAGAAGGAAGAAGGAATCATCAAGCTTCGGACATCGGTGTGGTGCTTGCCGAAAACTCTCTGATGCTTAAGTAAGCTATATGTGGTAATTTTGGCAAAGTAACAATAAAGGTGAGAAAATAGTTACCCTTTTTACTCGGGCACTATTCCCTATTTATAGAAAAGTGAGAATGGGAGTTTTGCACAAAGTTTTGATGTGGGACTTTGTGCAAACTGTTGTGGAGATGACATGTGTCCATAGCTCTAGGTTTTGTAGTCGAGAGCTTTAGTAGGTGTTTACCGCTTCAGAAGGGGGCCTTCCTTTGGTAGGCTAAGAAGGAGGTGATGTCACTCATTTTCTAAGGGCTTGTCTGTGCGCTTGTTTAGCGTGTTTACCGCTTCGGAAGGGGGCCTTCCTTTGGTAGGCTAAGAAGGAGGTGATGTCACTCATTTTCTAAGGGCTTGTCTGTGCGCTTGTTTAGCGTGTTTCCCTTTCCTTGGGAGCCGGCGTGCCTACCTAAGTGTTAGTTGTTTGATGCCGAATACGCTTGGTTGATTATGGTGTAAACAAAATTGATGGCTCAGGTGCAATGGACACTAAACAGTTGGAGGCTTTGTACTGGAAAGGTGTTCCAGTATTTGATATGGGCAGCTATATGAGCACAATAGATGTTGGATGGGGATCACCAACATTCCATAAGATGGGGAGAGAATCACTCTGCCATTCATCCTGCTTCTAATCTAGTCTTTGGTGCAAGAACCAAACTTGTTGAAGTTGATTATCATTTCACTATAGAATTGGTTCAACACAGCTTCTTACAAATTTGATTTGTTTCCTCTACAAATCAGCTTGCAGACATTTTCACGAAACCTTTATCTACTACTAGACATGTTTTTCTTCAAGACAAGCTTTCACATATGCTAATTGGGTAGGGTGTCCCATTGATCAGAGGTCTACCAGTGGCTGGTGTATCTATCTTGGTTCAAATTTAATTTCCTGGTCAGCTAAGAAACAACCAACAACTAAGAAACAACCAACTGTGTCTCGCAGTTCTACTAAAGCTGAGTATGGTGGTCTTGCTATGACTGCTGCTGAGTTACTCTATTTGTCCAAGTTATTCAAAGACATTGGCTTTCAGTTACCTTCTCCTCCTCTTCTCTGGTGTGACAATTAATCTGCCATTCATCTTGCTTCCAATCTAGTGTTTAGTGCCATAACAAAACATGTGGAAGTTGATTATCACTTTACAAGGGAATTGGTTCAACAAGGGTTCTTGTCTATTAAATTTGTTTCTTCAGAACGTCAACTTGCTGATATCTTTACCAAACCCTTATCTACTGCGAGACATTCTTTTCTTTGCACCAAGCTCATAGTGTGTTCTCCTCACTTCAGCTTGAGGAGGGCTAAAGGCATGTTTGGATCATATCTGCATGCACAGCCCAACGTTGGAGGCACAGGAAGACAAAACTCAGGATCCAAGCAATTTGGGCTTTTGTTCAAAATTGGAATCAAGAGCCTAGATAAAGAAAAACCATGTCACATTATGGGCAGCCACCAGAATCTTTTAAAAATTGGGCCAATTTCCAACAAACCCAGCCCATTTCTTTTTTCAGAAAAAGGGCCATAAGACAAAAAAAAACATTTGGGGCTTTTTATCCACTAAAAAGAGACTAGCCCAGCCTTTTTACATCATCTAAATCTCCACCCCAGGAGGTTGACAAGATCAGAAGATCTTTTTAAACAAACCCACGTGACTTCCTAAACTTTGAAAAGTCAGCGATTTCAACTAAACTGATAAGGAGTTAATGAAGGCAAGAAGAAAAGAAGGACATCTCTGAATCTCTGCCACCAGAAGATCAAAATCCCCTTTTCTATATATCTCTGCATCATGATAGGCATCATTTCCAAGAGATAAGTAGGGTGCAGGGAGTTGTTCATGTAGAAACTTACCATCACAGTGGTTTTTTGAACTCTTGTAAAGAGCAGTTAAGATTAAAGAAAGGATTAGGTTTTCTTTCAAAGAAAAATAAGGAAGTGATTGCCTTAGAACTGACTGTTGATGGTTTACTTGCCAGAATAGATAACTTCCCTTTTCTTTGACACTTAAAAAAAAATAAAGATCTTGTTTTTTAGAAAATCTGCCGCCCATTTTACAGATTAAAAAAAATTCACTCTAGCATTTTTATAAATATGAGAGAAGGTGAATAGATCAAGAGACAGCAAAAAAAAATCAATAAAAAACAAAACTCAAAATGATCACTTGATCTCAAGAGCCTTCAAAACACTGAAGCAACCAAAAGCTCATTGAGCCACAAGAAAGAAGCCAGCTACAAATCAAAATCTCCAGCTTCAGTTCAGACTTGGAGAAATAAGTCATTCAAAACGAGATTTCTCTCGTTACAAATTTGGTTCAGCATAAGCCAAATCAAGCAGAGTTCGGGTTTTTAAAAATATGAAAACCTCAACAAATTTATGGAGAGACCTGATCAAGCAGAACAGGTACCACAGTGCAGTTCCAGCTCAGTAATCATCAAGCCCAACCACTTCTGCCCTTTCTAGACTGATGAGGTCCCAATTCTGCCCGTTCAAAAAGCCTTACAGGGCTTGAAATAGATTAAAGCTATGCCAAACTCGAACGTTGGTATTGATTTACAGCTGAAACTCAACAATTGAAGTTACTGATGGTCCAGTCTAGCACAGGCACATCCAGTCCAGCCCGGATTAGAACCATCTATCCAGGCATAAATGGAAGTCCAGCCTTCTTTTTGTCTTTCTAAAGTTGGTTTTTCCTTTTTGAGTTTTGTAAAAGACAGTTCTGCCTGAAAACAGTTCATTTTCTTATCATCTATTATGGCAAGAACTACCAATCTTGTATTGTGAAAAATTGTGAACTCCTCACTAGTCTGAGGCAAGAAAAGAACTTACTTGGGAGATATTCCTCACCCAAATTCACAGTCGCTTGTTTAGAAATCAGTAACTTGGGGTGCAAGTTATCTATTTTTAAGAAGTCTGCTATGATTTTTTTTGTTAGCAGTGGCACACTCGCACACTAAAAAAAGTTGACTTGTTGACTAGTCAATGGTTTTAAAGGCAATGAGAACTTTACCCTATCATCACAGGAACAAAAATAAAACGGGTGAACAATTTGGCATGCCCGATGGGACTTCCCAGTATACATACTCCTAGAAACATCTTCTAAAGTATATGAATATTGGAAGTTCTAACCAGAATCTACGTTGCGCCATGGAAAGCGACCAAGTAACCCTCAGAGAAGGACTGGAGTCAGAGGAAAGTGATGTTAGGCAATTAGCTCACCGCAGTACCAAGAGTAGACATTCCAGGTCTGGTTCCAGAAGGCTAAACCAAATACAGGAGGCTGTGTTCTGACAGGAAGCCACAACGCAAAAGAGTCAAGATACTCTAAACAACATGACAGCCATGATGCAATGGCAAGTCAACAAGCAGTTCAGGAAGGACCGTGAGGCTGCTATGGCCAGAATTCCAAACCCAGACGTTGTGGTACAGCAGCTAGACCTCCCTTATGGACCTCCACCAGGACTGCCATGGCCATACCAAGAAAATCATCTCATCACACAGATAGCTAGAATACTAGGACATGGAGAAATCCAAGCTGGATAGAGGGGAGGACCCTTCCCATCCAAGAACATGAGGTTCCAGTTCGGCCAGAAAGCCCTGCACTAGTTCAGGTCCCCCCAGAATCAGCTAAGGCCTCCACCTATTCCACAACCTATGGCCCCACGTGATTAACCCTTGGTACTTCTGCCTGAGGCACTAGCTGTGTTGCCCTACAGACCTAGAAGGATGGATACCAATCCATTCCCTCCACCAGCGACAATGACAGGAACAGACCGGGGGCAAACTGGAGGAATCATCCAGACTTTGAAGAAGAGGAAGAACACAGGGAGGAAGTTCTGCCCAGGCCAAACAGAATGGAGCACAGGATTGACCACATCCAACCAGAACAAGGGCGAAATTCGCACCTTGTCAATGCTTTGAATGACATAGGGGCACTTCAGAGAATGATCAGGGAGATGATGGAGCCTGAAGCCAGAAGAGGAGAAAGGCCCACCTACAGGAAGCCATATTCGGCTTACATTGATCAGATACCTTTATCCCCGGGTTTCAAGGTACCAAACTTCACCTTGTTCAACGGAGAAGACCCCCATGCTTCATCGGTTGAGCATATAGGCATATTTTCTGTCCAGTGCATAGCCATAGAAAATAACCTTCTGTTGAAACTAAGGCTTTTCGGAAACTCTCTCTCTAGACAAGCCTTCACTTGGTATACTAGCCTACTAGCCAATTCTGTTCAAACCTGGGAACAGATGGAAAATGTTTTCCATGACTACTATTTCAGGATCCAGCTAGAAGTCACCATCAGTGATCTTGCCGCCCTCAAGCAGAGTGAAGATGAGCTTGCTCATGACTTCATAACCAGGTTTAGAAAGCTTAAGATGAAATGCCAAATCCCTATGGAAGAAAGACACTCCATTCAGATAGCTCAAACCACCCTTAAAATATCCCTGAGAAAGAGATTTGATGGGATGCTGTTTGGAGATCTGGCAGAACTGGGAAGAACAACAGAGGAGGAACTATTCCAAAGGCACATATTGCAAAACCCCATCTTCTTCAGTACATCTGGTTGAGGTAGAATAAGAAGAAGATACAAAAGGCTCGGAAGAAAGAGAAATTGTGGTGGCAGAAATGGCAAAGTTGAAACATCTCATCAGCTGCAAGGCTCTAACAAAGCCACCAAAGGACCAGAAGCCACCACCATTCACAGGAGGGTTTGTTCCAAACAAACCAACATAGAATAAGGTCTATTCCTTCGATCTAACCAAGGTTGATGCTTTGTTTGATGAGATGCTGCTACATAAGACAATAGAGACACCCCACAGGTTGCCCAAGCCAGAAGAACTCAAGGGTAGACAATATTGCAAATGGCAAAACTCTTGTAATCACTCTACTTGCAGTTGTGTCGTCTTCAGGGATGTTATACAAGAAGGAATCACAGTAGGAAGGCTAAAACTGGCAGAGAAACCCCCCTTAGTAACAACAAATCCCTTTCCCTAACCTCAAGTCAACATGGTCAACTTAAATTGGCCAGAATAGAAGATAGGCAGACTAACGACAGAAGCCAGTACCATCAGAAGCAAAAGAGTCACAAGGGAGGCTAATCAAAGGCCAAAGGCAACCATCTCGGCTGGGTTGGTTATGTGCAGCAAGTGCAAGTGTGAAAGTGAGTTAGAAGTGACTCTGGACAGGCAGAGTCAGCCCACACCTAGCTTTTTTTACAGGATTGGAACATCATACCAACAGGGCCCAGTTTCGACTCCATCTAAAGGCGGAGTCAGACAAAAGGACTATCTAAGGCCTGCCCAACGTAGCAGAAGAATGACAGAGCAGCCAAAGAAGGAAATACCAATTAAGATGCTTGGAAATGACAAGCCATTGTCAACTATCATAGTAGACCAACTTTGGAATTAACTAGAACTCAGAATAGGAGAATTCAAAGGCAATACTGCACCTTCCTCAAGAATAGGGATGGCACACAGGTACTTCCGGAGACCAGTTCTGCCATAAAAGGGAAGAATCCAAAAGTAGCTCCTCGGGCAGAACAAATAACATGTCAGCCACAAGAGCTGACAAAGACATAATCTCCAGGTAGACCATCCATCCACCTTGCCGCATCCTCAGTCAATCAGCTTGAACCTTCACAATCACAAGGTGAATCCGGATCCGTTCCAATAGAAGGACAAGAGGACTGGACTTAAGGATATGAAGAAGAACAGTTGGACTACGAACCATCTGCAGGCAACCAGATTAGGCTCCTCGAAACAGGAGAGCAAGAGGGATGGACAGAAGAATTTGGAGAAGAAAAAATGGAGTATGATGGAGAACTAGATGAAGAAGCTGAGGCTTTTGGTGCAGAATTAGAGAGCTTGTTACAAGGTGATATAGGCATCAATATGGTGTTTATCTTGCCAAAAACGTTCAAGGCAGCAGAAGGGCAAGAAAACACTCTGGAGGGAGATGTGTTCTCCCAGAAAAGTCTTCTGCTTCACAGATTGCTCATCAAGATGGGCAGAACAGAGAAGGACCTGATTCCAACACGCTTGATTGTCACCAACTTTGCTGAGGGCATCACTATGACTCATGGAATCCTAGATGTGGACGTCATAGTCGGAACCAAAGAGCTGAAGATTGCGTTTTTCGTGGTAGACACCACTTCTATCACTTACAATGCATTGCTTGGCAGGGACTGGATCCACTAGAGCCTATGTGTTCCTTCCACTTTACATCAGCAATTAGCCCTTTGGAATGAAGAAGGTTTCATGGAGATAGTAGAGGCTGATCCACGACCATTTCTGCTTTCTGCCATGTGTTTTGAGGCCAGGTATTATCATGATGACCTTTGGAGTCAACCAGAACGGCCACCCCCATTGTGTCATGGCCCAAAGACTCATTGAAGATGGTCTAGCTAGTTCTCTAGAGGACTGGAATAGACCTTTTGTTTTGAACCTCCAGAACTTTGATGTTTAGTCCCACTCAACAAGAAAATGATCGAGCTGCAACAATCCAATCTATTACAAAACTATTGTTGATATATTGGGGAGAAATGAAGCTCTTTTTGCAGAATCCAGCCATCAATATGGCAGAATTCACCCATGAGAGCATTGAGGAACAGGAGGAGAGTTTACAGGAAAAAGTACTAGATTTTGCACCAGCAACACTAGATGACTCTTTACCAGAAGTGGAAGATCCATTATAAGAGATAAACTTAGGGACAGAAGAGGATCCAAGACCCACTTTCATTAGTGCATTATTGAAAGAACCACTCAAGAGTGAAATCATTGCACTTTTGCATGATTTTAAAGACTGTTTTGCTTGGCATTATCATGAGATGCCTGGGTTGGACAAGAAATTGGTGGAACACAAGTTGCCAATCAAATAAGGCTACCTTCCAGTCAAACAGGCCAGAAGAAGGATGTCTATGGAGACAGAACTGAAAGTCATGGAAGTGATAGAAAGATTGGTCAAGGCAGGATTCATTAGACCAGCCATTTATGTTGATTGGCTAGCCAATATTGTGCTAGTTTTGAAAAGAAAAACAGGGGCAGTTAAGATCTGTGTGGATTATATAAATCTAAATGAAGCATCTCCCAAAGATGAATATCCTATGCCAATGGCAGACATGCTGGTAGACGAAGCTACTCGTAACCAAATGCTATCTTTTATGGATGGAAATGCAAGATATAATCAGATTATGGTGACAGAAGAAGACATCCATAAAACACCCTTCATGTGTCCAGGGCATATAGGTGCTTTTGAATACACTGTAATGCCTTTTGGCTTGAGAAATTCAGGAGCCACTTATCAAAGAGCAATGAACTCTGTTTTCCATGACATGATAGGTCATTCTCTAGAGGTGTACACAGATGATGTGGTGATTAAGTCCCCAGAAGAAGGAGATCATGTGTCAAATCTGACAAGGGCATTCGTAAGAATGAGACAACATAAGTTGAAAATGAATCCCAAGAAATGTGTTTTTGGGGTTCAAGTAGGAAATTTCTTAGGTTTCTTGGTCCACCAAAGAGACATAGAGATTGATAAAAATAAGGCAAAATCCATCATAGAAGCCTTACCGCCTCGAAACAAGAAAGAATTGCAAAGTCTCCTAGGAAAGATCAACTTTCTAAAAGATTTATATCCAATTCTGCAAGAAAAATCCAACCTTTCTCCTCCTTGTTAAGATTGAAGCAGGAACAGACATTCAAGTGGGAGGAACAACACCAGTAGGCTTTTGAGGAAACAAACACTACCTCTCAAATCCGCCAGTTCTGTCCCCACCAAAGAGAGGCATACTACTCGAATTATATGTTTTTGCATCAGAAGTGTCCATTGGGAGTCTACTAGTTCAAGATAACAAGGAAGGGAAGGAACATGTAGTCTATTTTCTAAGCAGAACTCTGACAGAAGTAGAAAGGAAATATTCTACAATTGAAAGACTGTGTCTAGCCTTATACTTCATTGCTGTGAAACTCAGACACTACATGCTGCCATTCACCATCTACATCATTACCAAGATAGACCTAATCAAATACATGTTAACAAGGCCAATGTTGAGAGGCATAATTGGCAAATGGACTCTGGCTTTGATAGAATTTGCCTTAAGATATGTTCCTCAGAAAGCTGTCAAAGGACAAGCTGTAGAAGATTTCCTAGCAGATCATCCAGGGGAAGAAATTGAAAACATGGATTCTTTGGATATAGCAAATGTAGATCTATTGACTAGAGCTCATACTTGCCTTAACAATCCCATCTATTCAGTTCACCTTACACCTTGGAAGATGTACTTTGATGGATCAAAGACTGATGTAGCCTTTAGGGCAGGAATTGTTTTGGAGGAGCCACTGGGGATCAAACACTGTTATTCTTTCCAGTTAGTTTCCAATGCAACAACAACAGGGCTGAATATGAAGCCTTAATCATTGGCCTCGAAATGCTGGTAGAATTAGGAATCCAGTCTGTGGAAATTTTGGGAGATTCCATGCTTGTGTTAAAACAGATAGCTGGAGAATATAAGTGTCCAAATCCTTCTCTAGCTGTTTATCTAGTGGCAGCTAGGAATCTTCTGACAGAATTCAGGGAAGCTACTTAGGAACATATCCCAAGAAAAGAAAACTTTGCAGCCAATGAAATGGCTCAAATAGCAACAAGGATACAAATGCCTGAAGACTGTGTGCAAAGGATCATCAAGGTAGGAAATAAAAGTTTACCATTTGTTTTGACCAGAGGAATGGAGATAGCTGTCAATTCTGCCATAATCACTGAAGATGACTGGAGAGCTCCATCGTAAACTGCTTGCAGTATCCAACTCTGCCTTTTGAAAAAAGAGTCAGAATCATGGCTTTAAAGTACTTTATGTGGGATGGAGATTTGGTTCGAAAAAGCAAAAATGAGGTACTTTTGAGGTGCCTGGGGAAGAAAGAATGCATGAAGGTCATGGGGGAAACCCATGAAGGAATCTATGGAGCTTATCAAGGTGGAAGAAAAATGTGCTGGTTAATTAGAAGGTATGGCTACTTCTGGCCAACCATGATGAAGGATTGCATTGAGTATTCCAAGGGATGTAAAGCTTTTCAAAGGCATGGTCCAATCCAACAGGCTCCTTTAGTTCCCATGAATCCAATAGTTAAGCCATGGCCATTCAAAGGATGGGCAATGGATCTCATTGGCAAGATTTACCCAGCCAGTAGCAAGAAACACTGTTTCATCATTATAGCTACATACTATTTCACCAAATGGGTAGAAGTCAAACCTATTAAGTCCACCACATCTCAGGAAATAATCACCTTCATAGAAGAACAGATTATACAAAGGTTTGGCATTCCAGAGTCAATCACAACTGACAGGGGATCTTCTTTCATATTTGGAGAGATGCTGGATATGGTAGAAGCATTCAAGTTCAAGCTACTTCAATCCACTCCTTATTATGCCCAAGCTAATGGACAAGCAGAATCAAGTAACACCGTGATCATCAACATTATCAGGAAAATGCTTAAGAAAAATCCAAAGCAACGGCATGAGAAATTATCAGAAACTCTGTGGGCATATAAGACTTCAAAGAGAGAGGGAACTGGTATGACCCCATATGCTCTAATTTATAGTCATGATGCAATTCTGCCCTGGAAATAGTAGTCCAATCTCTTAGAATTGCTTAGCAACACAATCTGACTGGAGAAGACTACTCTCAAACCATCCTGCTGGAACTAGAAGGATTGGATGCAAGTAAAATTGACACCCTCAACAAACTCTTAGCGGGAAAACACGCTGTATCAAGGGCCTACAACAAAAGAGTTAAAAACAAGAGTTTTGAAGAGGGAGAAAACACGATTTTGCCCCTTGAAACACACATAGCTGGTTATGGAAAGTGGTTACCTACATGGGAAGGTCTTGGATTGGGGGCATACAGATTACATGATCGAGATGGAGATGTTCAGGTTGCACCAATCAATGGCAAATGATTGAAGAAATTCTATCCAACTATGTGGGAATCACAGGCTGTGCAAACAGATTCTAGAATAGAGAGGGAACAAAATGAAACTGTTGTTTAAATTTCTGTTCAGAGTTTTTTTATTTTTTTATTTTATGTAATTTGTTAAGTATATTTTTTATTTTTCTGCTTTCTTTTATTTATTTTGTAAAAATAAATTGAAAATGAAGAAATTTCACAAAATAATTAACTTTTATTAAATATAGTCATTTTTATGACTTGTTGTTTATTACATTCAGAATCTAAGTTTAAAACCCTAATTTCCTAAGGGTTTCCTGCAAACTAGTCTTCTTGATTGAAAGTTCTTTCTGAAGCAGCACCCCCTGGTGGATTGAAGCCTCTGCAATCTCCAATGCTGGCCTGGAAGCTGAGACCATGCTCTGCACAAGAAAGGTAGCCTTGGCTTTTAGAACTCAATCCGGCCCCGAGCTTGTTCTGCACCTCCCTACATTCTGCCAGCTGCTTTTGGAGTTCTTCAATTTGCCTCTCCAGCTTATCGGCAGTAGCCTTGGTTTCTTTGTAACCTGCGACCATCTGGTCCAATTCTGCCTTCTGTTTTGCATAATCGGCCAAATTGGCTTTGTGAGTAGCCTTGCAGAACTCAGAGGTTTTGAAGGTAGGTTTGAGATCCTCATAACGATCGTGAAGGTTGAGCACATCTCTGGACAAGCCAAGGCTCATCTCAAGTATAGGCTTGGGAGCCATGTTCTTTCTGTGCAGTAGGTCCATGTCCTTCATCAATTGGTTAACAGCTTCCCTATTCTCATCCAGTTCCAGCTCAATGGATTGCCAGATCTTCACCCTCTCCATTGCAAGGAATGGAGCTATGCTTCTCTAGTTTGTCCAGCTGGGCATCTAGGTCCATAGCTTCAAACTCTGCCAATTCTGGATTAGCAAAGGAGGCCATGGTAGATGAACCTGGAAGAGAATGGATAGGCATCTATAGAAAAAGATTGTAAGTCTAGCACAAAAAAAAAAAAAAATTAGAAAAAAAAAAAAAAAAAAAAAAAAAAAAAAAAGAAGAAAAGGCCACAACAATACTTACAGCTACGATATGAGGCTTAAGAGGGCTGGTCATCATTGCCAAAATCCCAACAGTTCTGGGCACTTCTACCTGGGAAGACTGATAGTTAGAGAAACAAAGACAAGACAGAATTGCAGAAAAAAATAGAGATAAAATAAGAACAGGAAATTACCACAAGTCTAGGAACAGCAGCAACTATCTCCACTTCAGATTCTAGGAGTGCAACAGGAAGTTCTGCCTATTCCACAGGCTATGAAATGGATTGCTTTGCCTGCTCCTCAGATACCGGAATTGTAGTGGAGTGTTCTGCCTCTGCATCCTCAAAAAAGGCCAACTCTGAGCTAGTCAGTTCTGTCCTTGGAATCTCCTGCTACTTATGCACTAGAGCAATGCTTTCTGCAATCACTTCAGTAGGAATCTCCTCCTACAGATAGACAGAAGTCAGAAGTTAGAAGAAGAACATACACAAAAGTTCATGCAGTGATAAAAAGAGGCTCACCTCTTCTTCAAACTCTTTGTTCTTCTCTTTTAAAGGGACATCCCCTTCTTCTTGCTCCTTCTCTTGCTCTACAGCTTCAAAGGCCTCCCTTAGCTCTTCATTTATGCCAGAAGTGGTTGTGGGAGCTGCTGCAGGTTCTTCTGTGGCCACGTACTCCACCACAGTCCTTTTTCTAAGTCTTTTTGACTTAGTAGGAGGGGGAGGAGGACTTTCAGCTGTAATAAACAGGCAATAAATGATTAGAACAAAGAGCTGAATCAAATTAAGATGGAGCAGAATAGAATCAAAAAGGCTCAAACTTCAAAATTTACCTAAAGTCGCAGGCTGAACAGCACTATCATGGACTTGAGCAGTCTATTTTATCTTGTTCCTTCTACCAGAAGAACTCACCTCAACAGTTGGCTGATCTGCCAGAGTTTCATCCTCTTCATCTCTAGAGGGAAGCTCCAAGTCTTCGGCAGCAATGACAGAAGTGACTGCACAGGAAACAAACAAGTCAGAAGTCAATCCAGTAGGAAAATAATATAAGGAACAGAATGATGGAAAGCTTACCAATCACTTCTCCAGACTGGATAGATTGCCCACCTATGTTCTTTGTCAGAGAGGGATCTGTTGCAGACAGAACAAAATGTAAAAATCATCACAGAGGCAGAATAAGAAAAGCACAGACAGAATCAAGAACCTACCTTCTATGACTTCAACATTGATATCTTTGATGGTCTGCACCATGAATCTGTGGGTTTCCTCTCCTGTGTGAATAGTCCAAGAGTCCCAGCCATCAAACAGCTTTTGTAGGATTTGAGTGGAATGAGCTAAGGGCAGCCAAGCTGTCTTGCGCAGAAGTTGGGATGATAAACTTCTGCCCCCAAATGATAATTTGGAGGCTTTCCACCTCCATGGGGCAGGTGTCTCGGCAGGGTTACACTCAAGAATTTCTTCCTGAAATCTGTTATGGCAGCTTCTTCTTCTGGCTCATTCTCAAACAGCCTGTATCCGGGCCGGAACCAAGGATATGTTCTTTTGATCACCACCTGCCACTGAGCTGCATATCTCTTGGTGCAATGCCTGAAGAACATCAGGTACTCCTCAATTGAACGTTTGGGCACTTTTCCTAACATCAGAGGGAGAGCCAGGATTTGGTCCTCAGACAAAACTATACCTGAAAATCTCAACTCTGGAAAATAGACCTGCAGACAGATTTGGATCATCCAGAATGCACCTGAAGCAGACAGGTTCAGGGGATTCTCCAGGGTGGCAGTATGTAGATTCTTGAACAGATGGGCCAGGACTGTAGGCCCAAGCTCGATGTTAGCATGGTTGTGCAGTGCTTCTGCTAGGTGCCTATATTTGAGCAGAACTGCAGAAGAACGATTTGGAAACACAAATCTGTTCAGCCAGTACAGGAGCTAAACTTGTCCTTCTCAGAGCTAAACTTCTTCAAGTAATTCGAAAATGAGCAGTTCTGGTTGATTGTTGCAGGAGAAACAGTAAATGGCTTGGCCAATTTCTCTTGGTTCCTCCTCTTGTGGTAATCACCCACTGCATCTACAAGTCATCCGTAGAAATCTGGGCCATGTTGGCGTGAGAAATAACTAACACACAAATTAAACCCTATAAATCATGCAATCGTAGTACGAGTAAGTAGGGATCGTTCTATTCCGGGGATTAGGAGGGATGCTAATCAACACAAATTAAACTTATTAAACTGGAAACTAAGTTAAGGGAACAATGATTGGGGGGAATTCTGACGATTTAGACTAAAGTAAGACTGACAGTAGCAAACAACTAAGTTGTGAATGAAATATGGATTAAGGGATAGCTAGAGGATTCTTCTCCACACATGGAACATATGCACACAAATCGATCTCCAGTTACTCTTTCTATAAAGTATGAATGACAAAGCCCCAAATTAATTGTGAATGCACTAATTAACTCTCAGATTTTCCTAAGTTCATTGAATTGGACTCAGCGACGCAATCAAATTATCCTTATCAAGTTCCCTATATGAACAACATGATAGAGATACATATCAAAGATCATTAAGTTCTATGAAAATCATAAGCCTTGACAAGACAATTGTAACTATGAAAAGCATGATACTCCTGCCAAGAATTTACTTAACACAATCATGACTAGTGACTTTTACTACTTGTGAATATAAGTTCATAACGATTAGGTGAAATTCCCTTATATTCTAGCATCAAATCCCTGCATACAAACTAAGTATGCATCCTTAATAAACATGCAAGAATAAGTCCTCAATAAAACAGAAAAGTAAATCACATTCATACTTTATGAAACCATAACTGGAAGTAATCAATTCATGTAAAACATATGTCCATGGCTTCGAATTCACCTCTAACTAAGAAGAAATTCAGTTACACATGTTCATAATAATTGAAAAGCAATCTAGAATAAACATTTAAACTAATCAAGGGAAGAACTTTGGAAAACCCAATGGATGCAGCAGGTTCCGGCTCCAAGTTCTTCTTCTCCCTTTCTCCTTTCTTGCTACGGCACCAAAAGAACTCCCTTCTCCTGCGGCAACCCCTCCTTTATATATGTGGTAGATCTAGGGTAAAAGGGCCCAGCAGAAACCCACGAAATTAGGGTTTTGTTTGGCAGATTTCTTTAGGAATTATAGGGCCCAATAGAAACCCACGAAATTAGGGTTTTTTTGGTTTCCTAATCTGAAATTAATCCCCCCCCTTTTCCAGCTGGAATTTAGGTCAAATAGGATTAGGATAAGGTAAAATAAAATAAAATCAGTTAGGGTTTTTTACTTCCCAGAAGCTGATTCTTGAATTAATTTCTCCATCTTTTTAGCACATTCCTAGCCTCTTCGAACTTCAAAAACGTCCATCCATCTTGGCCCATGCATATGCTATCCATTCCAAGTCCAAAACTGCTCTAAAATGCTCCAAAATGCCCTTTCTTGCCAATCTTTCCATCTGGACCTACAATAGTACGAAAATAAGCTAAATCACTATAATAAATGGGAATTAACTAAGTAAATGCAAAGAAATAAGATAGCAAAGTCGCATAAATATGCTCCTATCACATGTCCTGCAGAGTTGGAGCTATGGGGCCTACACGAAAGTCAAACGTGTTGCTGGCAGAATTCTAGAAGTAGAAGGCAGCAGCCAAAATATTTTCATCTCTATTGATAGACGGGGCGTCATATATGTCATCCCTCTTCCAGTGAGCTCCATACCGTGGGAGGAGCCTGTTAATCTAGCCTACCCACTTCACTTGACTGTTCCTCACTTCGCTAGAGGGAAACGAGCAGCTCAGGTTCTTGCTAACCCAAGTGTGGGATGCCAAGGCAGAGGAGCTCTCGAAGCATAGAGGAGCCTCTGCATCCTCTTCAAACAGCTCTGCCATTTCAGCAGGGACAAAACCGAGCCAGTGAGGACCCAAAACTAGGGTATTCTCGAACAAATGAAGGATATTCTAGTCTAGATTTTTCTTAGCAAAAGGATGGAGCTTGCTCCTAACCTCTATCACATGGTTATCAACCCCAATCCCAGTGATGTAAACAGGAGGAACTGAAGAATAGGAATCTTGGGCACGGGTTTTTGGAGATGACATTTTTAGGAGTTTGAGCTGGAGCAAAAGAAGTAATTAGGAAAGGATCAAGGTCTGATCAAAGAAAAGGGCGAAAGGTTATGAGAAATCTGAAAGAAGTCGAAATATGAAGGAGTTAGGTTTCGGATGAATAGGAGCAAGGGGTTTGAATTTCTTTAAAAAAACTCAGAAACGTGGGAAGAAGAAGGCAAGGCGTCATCCATTGATAGCTAGCTAGTGACTAGCTAACAACTACCCTATTTCCCACGAAGTCTAGCTGAGTAGACAAGACGTGGCTGACGTGGGTTAATTGAAACGGAAGAGAGTGACGCGCAACATTAATGGCCAATCGATTCAATCTGAATCGTTAAAAATTAGAAACCACTTCCAGAAAACAGTTCCGATTCAAGGGGGCATTGTTTGGACCATAAATCTGCATGCACAACCCAGCGCTGGAGGCCTAGGAAGACAAAACTCAGGGTCCAAGCAATTTGGGCTTTTGTTCAAAATTGGAATTAAGAGCCCAGATGAAGAAAAACCATGTCACATTATGGGCAACCACCAGAATCTTTTAAAAATTTGGGCCAATTTCCAACAAACCCAACCCATTTCTTTTTTCAGAAAAAGGACCATAAGACAAAAAAAAACATTTGGGGCTTTTTATCCACTAAAAAGAGACTAACCCAGCCTTTTTACACCATCTAAATCTCTACCCCAAAAGGTTGACAAGATCAGAAGATCTTTTTAAACAAACCCACGTGACTTCCTAAACTTTGAAAAGTCAGCGATTTCAACTAAACTGATAAGGAGTTAATGAAGGTAGGAAGAAAAGGACATCTCTGAATCTCTGCCACTAGAAAATCAAAATCCCCTTTGCTATATATCTCTGCATCAGGATAGGCATTATTTCCAAGAGATAAGTAAGGTGTAGGGAGTTGTTCATGTAGAAACTTACCATCACAGTGGTTTTTTGAACTCTTGTAAAGAGCAGTTAAGATTAAAGAAAGGATTAGGTTTTCTTTCAAAGAAAAACAGGGAAGTGATTGCTTTAGAACTTACTGTTAATGGTTTACTTGCCAGAATAGATAACTTCCCTTTTTTTTGACACTTTAAAAAAAATAAAGATCTTGTTTTTTAGAAAATCTGCCGCCCATTTTAAAGATTAAAAAAAAACCCACTCCAGCATTTTTATAAATATGTGAGAAGGTGAACGTGACAGGACCTGACCCAAATTCCACTTACGTCCTTTTCGTTTCTAGCCCTTTTCTCCTTCATTACAACTCGGAATTGGGTGTGCCACATGTCTACAAACTCGTATTGTCGAGCTCTACGCAATTGTACCACCCAAATCCCCAAATTCCTTCCCAGTCAAAAAATCAACTTTAAACCTGATAAAATATTCTAGGGGTATAATTGTCTTTTACTAGCATAAATTAATAATTAAATATTAATTAAGGACCGGGTTGTTACAATCGGCCTTTATAAAAATTTCATCCTCGAAATTGGCATATCTGTCACTCAAAGAGGTGAGGGTACTAAACCCTCATCTACTCCTCGAGTCCCCCAATAATCTCCTCCATAACTTGCATGACGGGAACTTAACTTCACATATTTCCTGACTCCCCACTTGATAAAGCTTTGATTGAAGGGTCATTCAACTTTAAAACATTCCAAAACTGGCCTTTAAAACATGAATATCATCAAAATGAAAACTTAAATGCCGGAACCCCAGTACCTCTCCCGACATTTACTTACTGTTAAGGACTATAGTTTCCCCCTTCAACCACATCATGGTGAAACCAAATTCAGAATCTGTTGCGTTTTAAAGAGAAGGGGTTAAGTAAATGACCAGCATGAGAAAAATTATAGATTATACAATCAAATCGTAATTCAATAAGAAAGGGTATTGGTTCATATTATGAACATCCCCCTTATGCAGTACTACACATCCCTTGTATACGAAAGCAAAAGCTCGCGACTCACCCATTTTATGTAACTTATTCATTAACTCCTCCTAACAATTTCGTTGTTGTAATTCCTTTTAGGGAGTGATTTAAACTTTTGAAAGCCCTTAACAATTTTAACTTATCTTGCGGATTCAATACTTCCGGCTTTTCAGCTTTCTTCTTTCATTACAAGTAACCAGCAACGTTGCCAACATAATTCTTTAAAAAGAATTCCAGTAATGATCCTTCATCAATTTATAATCATCATCCACCTCACCATGGTTATAAGCAACTTGAACACTGCACGCCTACTGTAGAGAGCAATATAAGTATCTTTCAAATCTTCTCTAAATACCCTCTAAAATACTCCTTAGGCACCCCTCCATGATCTAGAGGTGCAATTAAATATCTTGAGAAATTTTGTATTCCTATGTGATTTGCTTACTTTAACTATCTTCAACGATGTTCACCATTTAATCATCTGAAACTGTTGAATCAACATCAACTTTAACCATTGGTGGCCAAATCTGGATTGTCTTTGGTGACAACATTTTATAAATTAGGAAAGTTTCCCATCCTTGTGTTTCTTACTAATGTAATTTCTTTTGAATTAATTCTTCAGGCATGGCAAAGCCAAATCCAATGAATCCAAATTCATCTGTATGAATAAGAGACTTGCCATCTTTGTAGCTAAGATTTCTCGGCTCATTTAAACATTACTCACTGACAATGTCCTCGATCTTTATAGTTGACAAATCTACTACTAAGCTCTCAGTCGAATGTGCTACTCTGTCTAACTTACGGATGCACACGAGGTGCAGGTCTATAGGAAAGTAAACCTCGCTCTGATACCAAGTTGACAGGACCCGACCCAAATGCCACTTACGTCCTTTTCGTTTCTAGTCCTTTTCTCCTTCGTTACAACTCGGAATTGGGCGTGCCGCATATCTACGAACTCGTATCGTCGAGCTCTACGCAATGGTATCACCCAAATCCCCAAATTCCTTTCCTGTCAAAAAATGAACTTTAAACCTAATAAAATATTCTAAGGGTATAATTGTCTTTTACTAGCATAAATTAATAATTAAATATTAATTAAGAAATGGGTTGTTACAGAACAGATCAAGGGATAGCAAAAAAAATAAATAAAAAATAAAACTCAAAATGATCACTTGATCTCAAGAGCCTTCAAAACACTGAAGCAACCAAAAGCTCATTAAGCCACAAGAACGAAGCCAGCTACAAATCAAAATCTCCAACTTCAGTTCAGACTTAGAGAAATAAGTCATTCAAAATGAGATTTCTCTCGTTACAAATTTGGTTCAACATAAGCCAAATCAAGCAGAATTCAGGTTTTTACAAATATGAAAACCTCAACAAATTTATGGAGAGCCCTAATCAAGCAGAATAAGTACTACAGTGCAGTTCCTCACCCAAATTCATAGTCACTTGTTTAGAAATTAGTAACTTGGGATGCTAGTTATCTATTTTCAAGAAGTCTGCTAGGATTTTTCATTGCTAGCAGTGGCACGCTCGCACACTAAAGAAAGTTGACTTGTTGATCATTTAATGGTTTTCAAGGCAATGGGGAACTTTACCCTACCATCATAGGAACAAAAATAAAATGAGTGAACAAGGCAGTAAATAATTAGTTTGTTAGTTAATCTAGTTAACTATCTATAACTAATCTAATACAACTATATTTGACAGCTCATCATTGTATTTTAATATAAAGCTCATCTTTCAGTTCATGAGAATTACAATTCTGTTAGATATCATTAGCTAGGACCTGAAAGTGAAAGATAAATCGTGTGGGCCACCTGGGAAGAGCTTTTCCACCACACTATGATTTTCCAAGAAGCTCTCTCCTTTTCTCTTTATTCTATTATTGCCTTTACTAAAGCCTCTTCTCCACTAATAACACTATAGCATCTTCTTCTCATTGTTTTCAATTCCTTTATTTTTCTGTTTAAATTCCTCCGTTTTCTCAATAACCAGACAGAGGTATTTATGTCTCCAAGAAACGCACTTGCTTATTAGCTGTGGAAATTGAGAGAGCAACAACTGGTTTCTTGGTTTGCAATCTCGTCGTGGAGATCAATCTTCTTCTGAGCCATCTTTTGATCAAGCTTCCTCCCCAAGAAAACCCCACTATGCACTATTTGGTATGTTGTTGGCTATTACAGTTGTGCTCATTTCCATCTGGGCACTAATTTACAAAGGTAAAAAGGAAAGAGTTGTGCTGAGGAGATGGGAAATGCTCTGGTGGTTTTATCATCCACCTCCTCGACATACGCCATTTGGTACTCTTCTTGACATTTATGGACTAGTTGCTGGCATCTGACAACACATTTGCTCAATAGTTCAGTATGTTTACTGCCTTTGGCATGTTGATAATCCTATCAAAGCATCCATTTTGCCTGCCATATTTCTCCCGTGGTTAGGTGGTTCAAAACTAAGTAAGAACATAAGGAACGCCAATACCACTGATAACAACATCTTGAGAAAGTCCTTGGATAGTAATTCCTCTACCCCTACCTCTACAATAACTAGCACTTCAAGTTCAAGCTCAAGGGGGTCTTCTTTGATCCAGGTGGAGAGCCCCTCGGATGCACTGGACTACCGCTCTACACACTCACTTTGTTCTTGTTGTTCAGCTTTTGGATGGCTGTGAAAGTGAGAACTAGTTGAAAATACCCATAGGATGACTTCAAACACTAAAAGCTTAAAGTCTGTGTTTTGAGTAGTCAAGAGTAATACGATAATACAAATAAAACACGCCAAAGGGATTGATACGATGTATCAATCTTATACAATTCATAACGTTAAAACAGAGAGAACATAGAAAGTATTTTACATGGTAAAACCCCACCTCTGGAAAAAATCCACGGGACCTGATAATCCAAGGCAAATCCACTATGAACAATGATTACGAGAAGTATACAAACTTGTTCTAGACACTCTAAATAGCGTACAAACTTCTTCGTAACTCAACTTCTCAAGGGATTTCTCATTCTCTCCTTATGTTGAATCAGATTCTTGACGCGATCGATCCAAGCAAATGAATGCAAAGACAAACCACCAAGATAATCTTACTCTTGATGATTTATCCTTACGAACAACAAAGCACAACAACTTTCTTTTGTGAATATGAAGACTCAAGAAAAAAACTCTTAGTATTAGAAAGTTGTATGAAAGAATGAAACCAAGCCTTGCTTTTTATAATGGTTTTCAAAACTGGAAACAAGATCAATTAGTTCCTAATCAACAGATTAATTTCCAAAAATCCGACTAATTGATTTCCAATCAAAGAAGACTTTTAATATTCAAAAATGGAAAGCAGATTCTAAATTAAATCAATCTTTCTTTAAATAGAAAAGTCTTCTTAATCATAATGTTAATTAGATTGTGAGTTTGAAATAATTTTTGAAATATCACAATCAGGATGCATGATTGAATGAAGAATTTACCTCAGTGATCGTTGATTGACATATGAGCCTTCATATCATAATTTACCATATATACTTAGTCTATTTGGTATCTAGGAAATGTCAATCACAAAATCAATACTAACAATCTCCCCCTTTGACATTTCCTAGACAAAACATCGAATTACAAAGCAAATAGGATACATTTCAAAGTGGTTTAACATCCCAACACTAATTTCAGTAATGAACCTTTAAATTTGCACAACATCAACCAAATAAACCAGTGAAGAATAACATAAACCAAACGAGTAACAAAAAGAATTGAAATTAGCACAGTGGCATCACAATAGTTCAAATGTAAACAGTACAACACATGTGATTTGCTCCCCCTAACTAATATAAATCTATAAGGCTAAACAAAAACTCCCCCTTGCTAACAAAATTCTAGCTACCATACCCATACCAATTTCTCCCCCTTTTTGGCGAGAAATCCAAAGGAACCAAAGGGCATGATCGAAGACTGAGGAAAAAAGGTGAAGGGAAACCTAACAAGAAGGACGAGTCTGAAGATGAGCCTTAATGGAGCGAAGACGGGTGTCCAGAACAGCAATGATATCACTTTGGCTGGCAAGATTTTCTTGGAAAGTTAGGAGCAAAGTCATAGTCTCATGATGTTGAACTTGAACTAATTGAAAAGAGATTATTGAGGAATGGTAAGCCCACCATCAGTGCATTGAGCATTGCTACAGTTGAGAGAGACTTGAGAGATGACCTTGATCAAACTTGCTGTGCTGAGATGTAGGATTGAGGAAGTTTCGGACAAACATGTAGAAAATACGAGACCACTGTGTCATTCAATCGGAGTGAAGTTTAGAGGGAGGCTCAGGGAGAGGACCAGTATACAGGAGATGCAGTAGAGGGTTGCGTTATATAGGGGCAAGAACGTTTGATTCAGGAGAACGTCGCGAAGTCAACCCAAGAGCAACAACAATTGAGTCTTCTGTGAGGCGAATATCTATACCCCGTACTCGAATCACCAAGGCAGGACTAGGAACAATAGCACTTGTGACAATCGAAAAATTCGCATAAAATTCACGTACAATGGAGAAATTAGGAAGTGGCAGGCCTTGAACCAAGGGAGTCCAGCGACGTTCTGTGATGAAGTGGGTGAAGGCAATCCCAAGGTCAGAAAGACTAAAGTTGTCTTCAATTAACATGGGACGCTGGACAACAATGTCATGGTAATGAGCCTTATAGGAAGCGGATGAAAAATGGTCATCAGGCGAAATGAAATGGGCAGCAGCGGCATGGAGGTTCCGAGAGGGACGACGACAAGACCGAGGTGGCAATGAGGGTGGAGCAGTCACATCCTCAAAATCAGCTTCTGGAGAAGCATGATGCACTGGTACGCTGATGACGAGAGGAAGACGCAAGTGGAGGAGAGGGGTCGCGGCTAGACTACGTACCATCGAAGGAGGTGTTGTGCGGACAAAAGCTGGAATGAGCTGAGCGAGTGGTCACCGTGGCGAAAAAGCTAAAGGGGCGAGATTTTTGGGTGTGAGCAGAAAAGGGTGGAGGCGCGACTATGAGAGTGCTGAAGAGAAAAGACCTAGCTTCACACTTAACAAACGACATTAAACAACACCGTTTATTTATATATTTTTAAGTTATATTTTTGAATTGAGGCTTATGGTGATGGAAGACCAAGACTAGTAAGCTGGAGGAGAAACAAAAAGGTGCTCAGACAAAAAACAAGAGAGGAAACCAAAAGTAAACAACTAAACAGAGATGCAAAACAACCATTCATTTTGTAGAATTTTCACAACATTTAGTCCAAGAGATTTGCAACCTGTGAAGGGAATAAAATTGAAGAACCAAAATCAAGTCCAAGTCTAAACATTCGAAGCAAAGCATTTTAGGGACAAAAGCATGAAATCATAGGAACTTACCACCCTTAGACATCATAAGGCAATTCAATGACATTGAACACAATAAAACTTACAGACTAAATCCAATGAAAAATCTCAAACTCTTGAAATATGACTAACTTTCAACAAAACACGAAGAACACCATCACCCATTATCAATCAAACTTATAGACCAACAGACACCAAATGTGCATAGCATAACCACACTGATCTCTTTATTTATTTATTTATTTATAATTTGAGATGTCCTACATTAAGCTTTCGACATGACCCAAGTAGCAGATGTTCAAACAATTAACCCAAGTCAATTGACTATAGGTCACTAGGTGAACAAGCACCCCAAGGAAATACTTATCTAGATTATGAAGGCTTCAAAGGAAATCAATGAGGCAAATGATCACGGCCTTTTTACGCGAGCCTCGACATTGGTTCGACAAGAGGCTCGATTACTCCGCAAGGATCAAGCACCAACAGTTTTATTTTATGTATTTATATCTAGAACGATCAGGGAGCATGCTAGCAATAAGGTGAAAATGATCAAAAGTCAAATGGATACACGATGGGAGGGTGTGCAGAGTGCTTTGAGAAAGATTAGGGGTGCAAGTGCCGAAGTGAGACAAGAGATTTGCAATATAGACCAGTAAATTAGTTTTGTCATAGAGAATGACAGTGAGTATGCAATTCAAGTTGACACAGTACTATAGCCCAATCTTAGTTCATCAAATGCGAGAAGTTTAAACTTGATTGTGATACAATAACACAAATCCCTACACAAGCCAACTAATCTCGTTAAACACAACCAATGAACAAACATAAATTAGAAAATGAACAACATTAACAGATTAATTAAGAGAGCAAACACCTAAAGACTTTGTAAGGGTTTCAAATCTAAGATTATCAAGAGGTTTAGTGAAAATATTCGCTAGTTGTTTATCAATGGTAATGAATTCAAGAGAAAGAATATTATCCTCAACTAAGTCACGAATGAAATGATGACGAATGTCAATGTGTTTTGTGCGAGAGTGCTGAACATGATTATTGAAAATATTAATAGCACTCAAGTTATCACAAAAAATCATCATTTTATATTGTGGAAGACCATAATCAGTGAGCATTTGTTTCTGTTAGATATATGCCCTAGAAGCCAATATAAAATGGATAATTCTAAGGAAATAATATATAATAATCAAAGGGGCAAGAATGTTGCTTTAGATACATAACGTACACAAAGTAACAAGTCCATGGATTAAGATATAAATGGAAAGTGGTCTAAAGAAGTTAGATGCACGAGACCTTTCCATACATATAAATATCATATCCTAAAATGTTCCTGGTCATAGGATCACCAATTGGACAATGGTGACCTGCAAAGACTAGTACACATTATGTCTGCTCAATTGGGAGGATGACTAGTCTCAAGTCATTCGTGTAGAGACACTGAGACAAATGTGTAGGTGCTTTATAGAAGATGGAGTCTACTGAACGTGATCAACTCTAGAATTCTTGTATGGAAATCTTACTCACAAATGTCAAACAAAGAATTCTAAGTTGGGATAATGCAATTTAATCCTTAGACCTGAGACATCACAGTTGTCTTGTGTATATGTTGTTTCTCTTTGAAAGCACTTTACAGTCGTATCAAAATGATGTGACTTAAATGTGTTCCTCAGGATTCTTAGCGTGTATGCAGAGATAGGTGAATGTACAACAAGGAATCTCTGCTCTTAGTAAGAAGAGAGAATACTCTAAAGATATGATTCGTGAATCTTTGGCCAAAGTATTGGATGGAAATTGAAACAAGAACGTTTGCAATTTCATCAAATTGAATCATATAATCTAAAGATGTCATATTAGGGATTTTGACACAAGTTTACCATATCCCGAGAATATGACATAAAGTATTGAATTAGAGAAGGATCGAATTGCATTACCATGTTGTCTACTCATTCTCTCATCCCATTCAATCCTTGGTGAAGAGCTTTGGGGCGGTGCATATCTTTGTACCTATTTGGAGAGCTACAAGCTGGAGAATCAACATCAAAGGGAGAGCCAACAACAAATTGACCACTCCATCTACTTGAACACCATTCTTGGTTTCAAGATTCGCTCCAAGACTATGAACATCTTATCTTTCTCTCAAATAGGATTTAGAGAGTCTTTGGTGCACACTTTTATAGACTTATAAAGATTAGGACCAAATGAGACTTGCATGAATCCCTAGTTTATTTTAATGCTTCCGCTCTTACTTTGATTTCATATTAGATATGGCTTGCTAGGTGATTTATACTCTCAAAGTTTGGTTGTAGAGTTTTTAGAAATCTCTGCACAGCACCATTCCCACAATATTCCCTTCAGTTTCATCCATAGTAACTGAGTGCAGCCACTTCCAATAGCAAGATTGATAGGATCTATGAATCCTGTAGCCTATTCAACATAAACTTCCTCCTGTATAACGCCATTTAAGAAGGCACTCTTGACGTCCATTTGATGTAGCTTGAACCTGAGATGGAACACAATTGACAAAAGCAACCATGCAACGGGAGCAAAAGTCTCATCAAAGTCTAACCCTTTAATTTGCATGTAAATGTCTAGCTTTGTTGGCAATAATCTGTCCTTTCTCATCTGTCTTGTTTTGAAAGATCTACTTGGTACCAATTACATTAGAGTCTTTGGGACGAGGGACAAGGTACCACACATCATTTCTTTTAAATTGATTCAATTCCTCTTGCATAGCCAAAATCCACTCGTTGTCTACAAGGGCATTCATCACATTTTTAGGTTCAAACAATGACACATAACATAAGTCATGAACATTTCCAATGATGTCAGAAGGAGAATGATCTTTCTGGACTTGTTTTGCTCCAGGTCTACGTATTAGAGGAGTGGGAGAGGTAATCGAATTGTTGTTGATAGCATCGTCAGCATCTATGGCTTCAGGTGTTGCATTATTTGTATTGTCAATACTTGGAATTGAAGGAAACATACATCTAATGCTTAGGAAATGAACTTTACCCACAACCTATACAACAAAAACATTCTAAATGGCGGATTCATTTTGTTTATACTAGTTGAGGTAAACCTGTCTCATTTTAAACCAAGTATCTTAGCCTAGTCTCTTTGAACACAAATAGAAAAAGGAAAAAGGGAATAGATATTTACCCTTGATGAACTTTTCTTGATTTCTCAAGAATGAACACCTTTGTAGGAAAGACCTTTTGTTTCTCTTGATTTTGACTCCTTCACCTTAAGGCTCCAAGATTGGAGTCATCTACCTCACAACACCAAATGCTCCTAAAGATGAAGAGATGGCAATAATCTGCCTACCAAAGTTTACCATCCGCAAAACAGTCCATGACTATTCATGCAATGAGCTATTTACTTAGTGGGTCCCTTGCCACGGGTGCCCGCTAAGAAGAAAATGATGATCATCGCCACCGACTACTTTACTAAATGGATCGAGGCCGAAGCTCTATCCTCTACTAAAGAAGCTGATGTGGAGCAATTCATCTGGAGAAACATCATTTGCCGGTTTGGCTGCCCACAATCGCTGGTTACCGACAATGGCTCACAGTTTATTGGCAAGCAGATCACCACCTTCTTTGCGAAATACAAGATCAAGCAGCACCTATCCACCCCGAGGTATCCACAAGGACATTGACAGGCTGAGGCATCCAACAAAGTCATATTAGACTGCTTGAAGAAAAAAGCTAGAAGGCTGGATGAACTCCCCGGAGTACTGTGGGCTTATCGCACCACCAAACGAAGACCGACTGGCAAAACCCATTCTTCCTTGTTTATGGGACAGAAGCGATCATCCCTTCTCACATCACTGTCCCCTCCATAAGCCTTGAAGTGGGCAGTGTTGATCAGAACTCCAAGCAGATGAGGCTCAACCTAGACTTACTTGAGGGAGAGCGAGATAAGACCATTATCTGAGTCCCCTCCTATCAGTAGCAGTTGAAGTCTTACTACGACAAAAGAGCTAAGGTCAGATAGTTCAACCAGGCGACCTCGTGCTAAGAAAGGCTTTCATCACTGCACCAAGATAAGGGTCTAAAAAGATGAATCATAATTGAGAGGGCCCTTATGTGATCAGTCGATCTGGGGGCAGAGGAAGTTACACACTGGACACTACAGATGTGAAAGAAATACCACGACAATGGAATGCTCACCATCTCCGAAAGTATTATCCGTAATGCTTCCTCCTGACTGATAGATGTTCCAAGTTTTTGTACCGAGTTATTTCTATTTTCGAATAAAGGATTGTAATCTTATGAATATCAATATAGGTTCAGTTTCTCATTCTAGCATGTCTCAGCTGCCCACAAAACATAATAGTTGCCCATAAGCAACGTCCTTCAGGAGATGCAGGGCAACGACCAGAAAAGTCCTTTGGGAGACGCAGCCCTCAAAAAGAGTCATAAGGGAGACGCAGGGTGCGCCAGGAATTTCCTAAGGGAGGTATCCAGGTTCCTATCCGTTCCCTAAGAGGGGCTGGATAGTCATACAATTGCCCATAAGGAGCGTCCTAAGGGAGATGCAGGGAGACGACCAGAAGCGTCCTTCGGGAGATACAGCCGGCAAAAAGCGATTTTCCAAAAAGAGGTCTCCATGCTTTCTGAGGGAGGTATCCAGGTTCCTATCCTTCCTAAGGGAGGCAAGATAGTCACACAGTTGCTCATAAGGAGCATCCTAAGGGAGATGCAGGCTGACAACCAAAAGCGTTCTACGGGAGACGCAACCCACAAAAAAGCGTCCTTAGGGAGACGCAGGGTGCACCAGGAATTTCCTGAGGGAGGTCTCCATGCTTCCTAAGAGAGGTATCCAAGTTCCTATCCATTTCCTAAGGAAGGTAGGATAGTTATGCAGTTGTCCATAAGTAGCGTCCTTCGAGAGACGCATGGCGACAACCAAGGCATCCTACGGGATGTGCAGAACACGCCCGAAGTCCCTCAAGGGGGACCCTGGCACTCACCAACATCCTAAAGGGAACCATCCTACGGGATATGCAAAGCACGCCTTGAGTCCCTCAAGGGGACCCTGGCACTCATATATCTCCAAAGGGAAATGTGCAATCAAAACACAGGCTGGTTACTCAAGCAGTTCACAAGTCAATATGCAAATTGAAGTTGAAAAAAATAACTGAAATTTCCATAACAAGCTGACCAACCGACCAAGTTTAACAAAAAGAAGATGGTCAAATAAGACCAATTATTCTAAACAAGAAGGCAAACTACAAAAGCTAAAATAAAAAATAAAATAAAATAAAAAATAAAAAAAGCATTCATCTACTCCGAGACGCCAGCAGGAGACCTCTGATCTGCAGTCTCTTCGGCATCCACCTGATCAGCTACGCCTTTAGCAGCTCCATCTGCCTACTCCATGACATCTGCCATCGTCTCGTCTACTGCGTCCTCCTCTACTTCATCCTCTCCGGCTGCCTGCTCTTCAGTTCCTCCGTTCACAGGGAATAAGTCAGGGCAAAGCGTCTCGATGTTTACGTCATCAATCGCATACAAGGGAGTAGTCCCATCTGCACAGTGCAGGTAGCCCAACTTGTATGCATCTATGGTGGCTTCAGACTTGGATTTTTCGGCAGACTTATGGTGGGCACGAAATCTAGCCAGGAGCTTGTCAATCTAAGGGAGATATCAAAATTGTTGCACTCAAGACGAAAGAAAACATCTTTTTGACTAGCCAAATCAGCAGCAGAAGAGTTGAGCTCGGAATCCTTCTCAGTAAGGGAGCTTTTTAGCTTAGATATCATCGCCCTCAAATCAGACGTTTTCTTCTCATAACGAGCCTGATCGGCAGAGAGCTTGCTGGCCAATTCAGCATTCTTCTTCTTTAGCTCGCTGAGCTGGGCAAAAAATGAGACAACAGTAGATGAGTTCCGGATAGTCTCAGCAGCAAAAACCAATCCTTTTCGAAGGTGCCAAGATCACCGGCCTAACGGATGTGATCGACCAACTCAGCACAGGAGGATGGGTTTGATATGATGTTCGTCTTGAGTAGATCAAACACGCATGCATCCCTTACAAGGTTAGACTTGTTCGCCTTGGGATCAACCCCTGATGCTAAAGAAGAACCCTTAGCCCGAGCAGATGACTCTCTCATCTTCTTAGCCTCTGCCAGCCTCACCTCCAAAGGAGTCAATGACACTGAATCAACTCCACACTTGACTGCTCGTGACTTAACAGCTGGATCATAAGCAGACCTTTCGCTTCAATCTCCATCTTTTGACCGATGCAGATAACTCGAACTTCGAAGAGAAATATCTGCGTCTCTTTGATGCTCGGTAGAACTAGAGCAGGCACGAACTATCTCACGAAGCAGATCATGGTTGTCAAGCTTGTAGGTAGGAACTTGACTCTTCTCAACAAAATGGGACTTTGGCTTCTTCCTTGATGGAGAACTATTCTTTGCGTGCCAAGAAGCAGCTTTTCTCTTTGAAATCGGTTCAACCAAGCACTTACCTTGTATAGCAGGTAGATCATCAGGGTCTGGACCATCCTACTTCCATCTCTCGACATCCTTGGCAAGGGGCAGTCCACCGTCTTCCTCCCAATACTTTCTCAACAGCCATCGTCACTCATGAAACTTTGGGGGGATGTTCAAAGCACATCGGACCTTAGCCATGTCAGGCCTAAGCTCCAATTGCTTGATGATGTCACTCACTACAAGCAGAAGACAGAAGTTAGTTAGCCACACTTCAAGAAATTCAAATAAAAAGAAACAAATCAAAAAACTGCAAAAAGACTTACCATCGCAATAGGTGATAGGAACAAGTGGGCTATCACCAACATCGCCCTCCCACCATCCACTGACTTCCAACACATTGTCATGCCAAGCGTGATTTCCTTGATTAAGATTGTCAAACAACTTGGCCTTATAGAAGAACTCCCACACCATCAACTCCAGCATGAAGAAACGACTCAGGTTTTCAAAACATATGATCACCCGTAGACATTCGGAGTACACTGACTCGGAGCACACCCCATGGCGCAGAACACCTCCTTGAAAATCTTTGACATCGGGAATTTGAAGCCCAAGGAGAAGTAAAAGGGATGGAAGGTGATGATTCTGGCATTTGGGTCATGTGCATCCACGCAGGGCACGACATCGGTCAAAGGCTTTGCCAACTTGATATGCACGTCGTCAGGAATTGCAGAAACGTAAGCAGGCCGCCACCTCTGGAATTGACCTTCATTCGTGCAGGTTGGCCACAAACCTCTTCTTGTACACTTCAGAACCTCCCCACAAATACAAAGGCAGCTGAGAGCTTGGAGCCTTGCTACCATCTCCGAAAGACATGGTTGGTCAACGAGTAGCTGCAAAAAGGAAAAATTCTACACGTTAGAATATGAGAAAAATTTCCAAGTTGAAAAAAAAACAAAAACAAAAGTAGTAGCAGCAGCAAACAAGAAAAGAAAAGAAAATAATTTGAGCTGCTTGGATTAGCCCAAGTCAAAGGGAGTCAGCCTAGCAGGTGGTCCAGCGCGTAGCCTAGCAGCAATCGCAGCCTAGCTCGCGCTACCAACCCAACATGTGTCTGCCAGGCCTACCGACTCCATCCCAGCGCTCCCAGGACAGTGCGGTGCACGAGGCCCGCTCCTTCCGCCTGGTCCGCTAGCTCCAAATGCCAGCATGCGCAGCCCACATCCCATGCGAAGGCCCAGCTCAAGTCCACATTGTGCCAAAGCCCAGCTCCACCTCTCTTAGCGCGAGCCCACTTCGAGCACCATGCCTGGCGCCTCCAAACCTCCGTTCAAGCCCAGCGCATGCAAGCTCAAGCCTTCTAGCCTTCCAACACCTTCCAGCCATGCTCTAGGCCCTAACGCACACCTCCAGACATGCTCCAGCCCTTCCATGCTCCAATCACGCCCTAGCCAAGCACCCCTACCTCACAGCTTGCTGTTAAAAATCGAAACAAAGAAAAAAATATGTACAGCCTAAGTTAAATTACCTTGGGTGTGCGGTGAAGACAAGGACTTAAGAGGGTTGGGAAAATTCTCCAAAGTTTTCTCTCTCTCACTAATGAAATCGGAAGAATGGATTTTTGATGTGAAGAGTAATTTGGAGGGGCCCTACATTTATAAGGAGCAAAATTCCTTGACCTACAAGGAATCTCAAACCCTTTCCAATTGGGTGTTCATAAAATTAGCAAGTTCAAACACCTCCTCCACTCGGGAGCCCAGGTCCACGAAGAAAGCCCAGTTATAGTTGGACAGTCCAATGGATAATTTACATCTCCTACATGCCACCACACGTCATGCAGAAGCTGAGGGTCATTTGTGGGAACCAAATTAAATCAGACCCTATGTCAAATAATTCCTTCCATTTGGGGATTATTTGACTTAATTGGGAATTATTCAACCTAATTGGGAGTTACTCAATTTAATTGGGGATTACCCAATTAAATGGAATGTTACCTAATTAAGTTGAGAATTGATTTGATTCCTACCACAATTCCCAATTAAATAAGGAGTTACCTAATTAAATTAGGATTTGATTTACCCTAATAAATCAAATCCCTAATCAATCAAATCAATTCCAAATCGGGGAGGAATAATTCCTTTCCATATACGAAATTATTCCTCCAAAACCCTAGCTTCCAAGACCACTATAAAAGGATGGTCACACACAAAGGTTGGGGTATGTCTGAAATCTCTACTGAAACTCTACATAAAATTCCTCTCAAACCCTAGCCACCTCCTCTCTCTCACTCTTTTACATAAGGCTCCAGTCGCCCGGTTTACACCATAAACACATCTCTGTACCCTAGTTAGCTAGTGTTTTTCTTACAAACTCTTGAACTAATTTAGGCATTGGAGGGCCTTTGGCCAACACCCCGGGTGTGGTCCTCTTATTTGTTCTATTTTGCAGGGAGAAAGAGGCGGTGAAGAAGGAAGGGGAATCTTTCCAATTGAATATTCTCGTGGGAAAATTTGCTCACACAACTATGGAGGTCTATGTAGACGACAAGCTAGTCAAAGCTTCTCAACGAGTAGACCACATCAAGAATCTTGCCGAAGCATTTAGCCTGCTTCGAAAATACAACATGAAATTGAATTCGAGTCAATGCATATTTGGAGTCTCATCTGGCCAATTTTTGGGATACTTGGCCACCCAAAGAGGCACTGAGGCACATCTAAATCAAATCAAGGTCATCCTCAACATGAAGTCACCTTCCATGACAAATTAGATATAAAATCTAATGGGCAGAGCAGCAACTCCCAATCAATTCCTCTCGAGATCTACCAACAAATGCACGTCATTCTTTAAAGCCTTGAAAAAAGGACAAAAAGACAAATGGGACGAAGAGTGCGAATGATCCAGGTGGATCTTTTCAAGATAATTAAATAATAAATATTATTTAAATTAAATAATTTATCAACCATTCGACTCGAATGGTTTAAGAAGAAATGGTTCTGAACCATTTAAAAATTAATGGTTTGAATTACCTAAAGAATTTAAACCATTTAACATTTGTGGTTTAAATTCATTTATTATTTTTAGTTTTCTATTCTAGGCATTCAGGCTTGTATATAAACCATTGTAGTTGAATGAATTAAAACAGGCAGAACTCAAAGCAGTTCCTTAGCTTCTTCCTTTTGTTTCTCTAAATTGTCTTAAAATTCCTCTCGTTCCCTTATTCCTATAAACTAGGAATTCATAGTTCTATCGACTAGAAGTTTTGGATCAAGTGGTATCAGAGCACCAGATCCGAGAGGGTGACGGTGGTTTATGGTCTCAACTCGCAACCAACGCAAAGCTTCTGGAGAAGAACTTTTAGGTCCTTTGCTCGTACACCGAAAGCCAAGGTCCAAGAGAGACAATATGACTGGAGAAAACAAACAGGATACATCTAGTGATGGCGATCGCATCACTAAACTTGAGCAACAAGTTGAAAACTTGTCTGCATCAATCCTTAAACTCGTGGAGAGTTTGAAGACTGGAAAATCTTCACGTCCATCAACTTCATCTGAGCCTGATCAAAAGCTCAAGAAAAAGGTTGTTGAGGATAGCGAAGATGAAGACGACATACAAGCTGATCCAACGAAAAAGGAAGCTGAATCAGGTGACAATAAAAATTCTATTGATACCTTAAAGATTGATTTTAAGGTTGACATCCCTATTTATAAAGGAGATATTGATCCTGAAAAGCTAGATAACTGGATAGACACATTAGAAACTTATTTCACAGTTTATAAGTATTCTAATGTGCAAAAAATAAAATATGCGAGTTTGAAACTTTCAAGCCATGCCCTTATGTGGTGGAAGTCCTATCAGAGACGGTATGATGTCTCAGAATTGACTTGGAAGAACTTCAAGAAGCTTTTGAGAAAACAATTTTATCCAGTTGGCTATGAAGATGAAAGATGGTATAAGTGGCAACACTTCAGACAAAGATTTGGGCAGCCTGTACAAGAGTATACAACAGAGTTCCACAACAAAGCTATGGTTCTGGACATTGACGTTGACGACTACGACGTTTTCATGAAGTATACCAGAGGTCTTGCCGACTACATACGGAAAGAACTAAAATTGTTCACCGTAGATACTATTGAAGATGCTACTGTGAAGGCCATAGCCATTGAGGCAAAAAAATAAAAGAACTGACAAGAAGGATGACAGATCAAAACCTGTCAACAAAACTGACTGGCAGAAAAAGGGGAAGCAGAGCAAGGAAGGTCAGACACAGAATGTCTACTGTGATCACTGTCAAACCAGCAGACATGCCAAAGACAAGTGTTGGATACTCCATCCAGAATTACGGCCAAAGCGCGAGAAAAACAACCAGGGGAGAAATGACAAAAAAGCCACCTTAACTGCACAACGGGCAGAAGAGCTTCCAGAGTTGAAGCAACCTGATGTTACACTTACCCTTATGACAAGACCAGCAGATACTGAAGACACGTACAACCGTGAAGAGCTGTTTCATGTGAATATCCAGGTGAAGCAAAGTGTTGTACAAGCTATTATTGACCCTGGAAGTCAGAAAAACCTGATTTCAGAGGCTTTAGTAAGAACAGTGGGTTTAAACACCACACCACATCCTAAGCCGTACCCGTTAGGATGGATTCAGAAGGATGTTGACTTACAGATCACGAAGCAATGTACCTTCAAATTTGCTATCACCAATCGATATATCGATGAGGTGACATGTGAGGTGGTTCCTTTGGATGTTTGCCAAGTCATATTAGGTAGTCCATATTTATGGGACCGAGATGCCATCCATTATCAAAGGCTTCGCAAGTATCGACTTGTGAAGGATGGGAAGGAGTTCCACATCAACGCTTGCAAGCCTCAAGCTACAAATAATTTGCTTACAGATAATTTGCTGACAGCTAACCAAGCCAAGAGGTTAGTCAATTCATGTGGGCGATTCGTTTTGTTGATGATTCGACCGCAAGATCAGAGTTCTAGAGCTGTGACATTGTCTACATTGTCTTTATCTCCTGCACAATGCTCAGACATAGGGAAATTACAGGAGAAGTTCAAGGACTTATTTCATGATGTGCAGGGTTTGCCACCACGGAGAGCTGTGGAGCATGAGATCCAGTTGGTAGGAGATTCACCTCTACCAAACTTGGGTTTGTATCGTACTTCTGTGACGGAATCTGACGAGATCAAGAAGCAAATTCAAGGACTTCTTGAACAAGGAGTCATCAAACCCAGCTGCTCACCATGTGGTTCGCCAGTGTTACTTGTGCCTAAGAAAGACGGAGACTGGCGTATGTGTGTAGATTATAGGGCACTCAACAAAATAACCATTAAGAATCGGTATCCATTGCCGAGGATTGATGACCTACTAGATCAACTACATGGTGCACGCTACTTCACTAAGCTTGATCTCAAATCTGGCTATCACCAAGTCCGCATCCATGACGAAGATACTTGGAAAACTGCATTCAAAACAAAGCAGGGACTATTCGAGTGGTTAGTCATGCCATTCGGATTATGCAATGCTCCAGCTACCTTCATGCGATTGATGAATGAGGTACTCCGCCCTTTCATTGACGACTTCGTCATTGTATACTTAGATGACATTCTCATATTTAGTGTCACATGGGAGGAACATCTTCATCATATTGCTCAAGTTTTGGAGGTTCTACGAACAAATCAGTTACAGTTAAATGGTAAGAAGTGTGAATTTGGGAAACAACACCTTGTATACCTGGGATTCATTGTTGGTGCAGGAGAACTGAAAGTGGACCTAGAGAAAGTGCAGGTGATTTCTCAATGGCCTACTCCCCAAACAGTGACTGAAGTTCGGAGTTTTATAGGTGCATGTCAATATTTACGAAAGTTTATTCGGCACTTTTCACAAATTGCAGCACCCTTACATTCTCTAACAAAGGCCAATCAAAAATTTGAATGGTCGAGAAACCATGAGGAATCTTTCCAGTTATTGAAACGGAAGATTACAGAGGCCCCAGTATTAGCATTACCGAATTTGCAGAGACCATTTGAAGTGGAAGCAGATGCATCGAACTATGCTATGGGAGCCGTATTATTTCAAGATGGGAAACCAGTTGCATACCATTCTGAGATGTTTAGTGGACCGGTATTGAATTATCCGACTTATGACAAGGAGTTGTATGCAATGCATCAAGCAGTGAAGCATTGGAGAGCTTACTTGTTGGGAAAAGAAGTCGTAGTTCACTCAGATCATAAACCTCTTCAGTTTTTAACTACACAGTCTAAGTTACAGCAAGCTCGCCATATGAAATGGATGTCTTACCTACAACAATTCAGTATTGTGATAAAGTACAAGAAGGGAGCAACTAATAAGTTGGCAGATATGTTATCTAGACCACCTACACCAGTTAGTTCCGCATTGCTGGTGGCTATGAAAATCCAACCCATTGTTCCTTCTGAATATGCCAAAGGGTACGACACAGATGCTGATTTCAACTCAGCCTATGCCAAGCTGGAACAAGGAAAGACTAGTGAGTTTCAATTGAAAGATGGACTAATGTATAAGGGAACACAATTGTGCATTCCAGAAGATGGTGACAGATTGCAATGGATTCGTGAGGCTCATACTTCTAAAATAGCAGGGCATTTTGGAGTTGAGAAGACTTTATTGAATCTTCGTCGCTATGTGTATTGGCCAAAGATGCATCTCGATGTTTCACGATACATTCGAGGTTGTGTTCTATGCAACACATCGAAGCCTTCCAACAGGAAGTTAGGACTGTATCTTCCATTACCAGTACCTACTCGACCTTGGGAGAGTATCTCGATGGATTTCTTAGGTGGCTTGCCTAAAACCAAGTCTGGAAATGACTACTTGTTTGTGGTGGTAGATCGTTTCAGTAAGATGGTGATTCTCATTCCATGCAAGAAGACCGTAACTGGAGAAGGAGCTGCTAAGTTATTTTTCCAATATGTTTGGAAGCATTTTGGCTTACCTACATCAATTATTTCTGACAGAGACAGTCGATTCTTAGGCCATTTCTGGAGGTCGTTATGGGGAATGATGGATACTAGATTGAAAAGAAGCACTGCATTTCATCCACAGACAGATGGGCAAACGGAGGTCGTAAACCGGACTATGGTACACTTGTTGAGGGGTTACAATTCCAAGCATCCGAAGACTTGGGATGAAAGTCTCCCTTACTTACAGTTTGCTTTCAACCGAGCAATTCATGGCTCTACACTCAAATCTCCATTTGAGGTTTGTTTGGGTTATTTACCCCAGAGTCCTTTTGATTTAGCATTCACTCTGAGTGACCAACCATTATGTGGGAAAGAAGAAGAAGAACATATTCGAGCACATAAATTTCTCGAACGAGTCAGAAAGATTCATACTGAAGTGGAGGCACAATTGAAACGTTCTCAGCAACGATATAAAGCTCGCCATGATAAGCATCGTGTGCCATGTAACTTCAAAGAAGGTGACCTAGTATGGTTACACCTTGGAAAGGAGCGGCTAACAGGTGAAGGCAAGAAACTAAAGCCTATTCGTTATGGACCGTTCAAGATCATCAAACAAATTGGTGATAATGCCTTTCAACTTGAATTACCACCATACATGCATATGTACTCGGTCATCAATGCCGAGAATCTTAAGCTTTTTGAGCCATCTCTACTTGATGATGATCCCGACGAAGACATTCGGCTTCCATCAGTTGATGACTTAAAAATTGAACTAGAAGACCCTTTGCTGAAGGATTGTATCTTAGAGCAGAAGGTTCGTGAGACCCGACATGGAAAGTATGAGTACTTTCGTATTGGCAGTAAAGGGCAACTTCCCAGCAAATCGAAATGGTATATTCGAGACAAGGCTACCCAAGAATTTCCACATCTCACCATTTAACTTGAGCAGGAGCTCAAGGTCTTAAATGGGAGAGCCATGATCCAGGTGGATCTTTTCAAGATAATTAAATAATAAATATTATTTAAATTAAATAATTTATCAACCATTCGACTCGAATGGTTTAAGAAGAAATGGTTCTGAACCATTTAAAAATTAATGGTTTGAATTACCTAAAGAATTTAAACCATTTAACATTTGTGGTTTAAATTCATTTATTATTTTTAGTTTTCTATTCTAGGCATTCAGGCTTGTATATAAACCATTGTAGTTGAATGAATTAAAACAGGCAAAACTCAAAGCAGTTCCTTAGCTTCTTCCTTTTGTTTCTCTAAATTGTCTTAAAATTCCTCTCGTTCCCTTATTCCTATAAACTAGGAATTCATAGTTCTATCGACTAGAAGTTTTGGATCAACGAAGTAGCTTTTTAAAATTTGAAGACCTACCTCACTTCAACTTCCCCGCTCTCAAAACCAATACCAGGTGAAGATTTGTTCATCTACTTGGAGGTGTCAAACTCAACTGTCAACTAGCTCTCATTCGAGAAGAGATGGTGGCACAACATCCGGTATTCTACACATCAAAATCTCTCCTCAATGCAGAGACTTGCTATCCAAAAATGGAAGGCTCATTTTATCTCTTGTAGTTTCCGCGAGAAATTTAAGGCCCTACTATTAAGCTTACCGGATAATCGTCATGACAAAATTTCCTTTGAGATTGATTCTTCACAGCCTTGACGCTTCTTAGCTACTCATGAAATCAACTATCGAACTTAGTCAATATGACCTTCTCTATCGGCCAAAGACTGCTATAAAGCATAAGCTTTAGCATATTTTATTATAGAGTTTACTCCGACAACCGAAGAAGAGAAACTAGTCATAAAAAAACAAGGAAAACTCAAAAGCATATGATACCTCCCTCGCCGATCCAGGCCTACCCGATGACATGTGGCAGTTGCTCCTAGACGGAGCGTTAAATCACAAGGGAGTTGGGGCAGGTGGCGTCATAATCATCCCAGACGGAACTTTGTTAGAACAAGCCATCACACTAAGCTTTCTAGCTTCAAACAATGAAGCAAAATACGGTGCATTGCTACCGGATTGCGCTTAACAAAAGAACTGTTGATCAAAAGATTGGCCATCTACTCAAACTCCCAACTGATCACGAATAAAGCTTCAGGCGCGTACATGGCAAAACATCCAAGATTGATCCAGTACTTCGGCAAAGTCCAAACGTTTTTGATGGAATATCTCACTTGCACTATCCAACAAGTTCCTTGGGCAGAGAACAATCAGGTCAATGCATTGGCAAGCCTAGGGTTAGCACTGGACACCCAGTTCAAGCGCTCAATCTCAGTCGAACACCTTGACTGACCCAACATTGCAGAGATAGAGAAGATTGAGTCAATGCAAATTGATGAGGACCCCATCATCTACTATTTGGTGAATAAAAATCAGCCAAAATAGAAATTTGAAGCTAGGAAGGCCCAGCAAAACGCCGCGAGATACTACATGCAAAACAACAAGCTCATTCGCAGATTTGGCCCAAATCTTTGGGTTCAGGCCTCATGGAAGACCTGCTGATGCCCTTGGACATTATCACAGGAGAAAGAATGGTGAGAAGCTGGCTAAGAAGTTCACTATCTCCTCCGCAATTGCCAACCAGAGCTACTCATTCTCCAACTTTTTGAAGAAATTAAGTACCGAGAAGGATAAGGATCAACATCACATGTTGTTCCTTTTATATTGGCTGAATAGGTTTGTCTTCCCAAACTGCTCCTCAACAGTTCTGCTTGAATCTTCATAATGCTACTTTGGATAGCCCTTTGAACATCTCAACCCCAAGTGTATTTTGGATGATATAGATCTGGCTACAAGTATATTTTCCAAAATTGAGATTTTTGGATGTAGTTTTGCCTTAAGACTAGGTCATGGCGCTTCCTCTTATGTCATCAGAAGTGCCCAAGAGGTCTTTTGAAGAGTATTTGATGTTCTTCAGGCACTATAAGAAGAGGTCTGCTGCTCAGTGGCAAGTGGTGCTCAAAAGAAGTTATCCTTTGTTCCAGCCTGAATACAGACTGTTTGAAATAGAGCCTGAGGATGAAACGGCCAGAATTGACTTCAACTCTCATCTGACCAAGGCTCTGCCTTTTGGTATAGGTAAGCCTCCCAACTCTCATCTAGGGGGAGAGGTTTATCAACCAAACTTCTGTGCCAGGCAATTTGGCTGCCCCTAAATAATTCCGCTAAAATTTTACAAGGGCTACAATAAGGGCACTTCCTGGAGAGATGCAGATGATATGGATATTCACAAGAATTGACAAGATCTTTTTGAATTGAAGGAGCTATTAACTTCAAATTTCCTGGAGCATTTTCCAACACAACGGCCTTAACTTTTTCATCATGATCCGCAAGAAATTGCAAGAGCTCTAAATAATTCCCTCTATTACTTGATTGTGCACTTTCATCATGACTACGAAAAGAAAGACCTTGTCGCAACAAATACCTAGTGCACTTAAGTGATGCATTCAAGCAAGTGCGATAAGCCGTGCAAGCTTGGCTTGTTTGCTTGATGACAATTGTTTCAATGTGTGTAGTTTGATGCATCAAATTGTAAGCAACTTCTCTAGCTTGGTTGTGAACACTACCAACCGGTCCAACATGAAGGTTAAATCTTTCTTTCGCCTTCTTCCAATTATTGAAGCCTACCCCAGTGAATGCATCACCACCCACTTGATCAAAATTTGATTTGAAGAGATAACAATGAAGACAAAACGCAGGATCTTTAGCAATGCTATATTCCAACCAATCATGATCATCAAATCAATTAGCAATGAAGCGTCTATTAATTCCTGATTGATTAGTTTGTGGGAATTTATAACTTCTAGGTTGACAAGGTCCCTTTTGTAGATATGCTCTTCGGATCTCATCCCGAATATTGGGACTATAATCCGCCATTCGAGTTCTTAGTCCAGGGTCTACCTGAAGATTAGCTAAGATCTCATCTACTTCAATTGGTCTTGCATTTGAACTACCCGGATTAGACGGAGAAGGACTATCCGTAGACAATTTTCTTTTAAAGAATCGTTCCATAAATCTACAAATCAATTAATTCAATCAATCATTAATTTTTACCCAAATTATCATATGAATATGAAAATGTCAATAACCCACTCTCAAAATTCAATATACTCCCTAAACCCATATCAATCAATATTCAATATACTAAATTATCATATCAAATATCAATTAATATTCAATATACTCAATCAATTCACATTTTCAATCAAGCATAAACTCAATCAATCTACATTAATATGATTATCACTATGATTCATATCATATCCATAAATTTCATTACATACAAAAAATATCAATATTATTCATATCCATAAATTTCAAGCATTAACTCAATAAAGCATAAATTCAATCCATCAATATGATTAATATCCATAAATTTACATTAAAAAAAAAAAAAAAAAAAAAAAAAAAAAACAACAATCAATATAAAAAATATCAACATATCCATAAATTTCATTGCCAAGCTTACTTGTAGTTGAAGGGCGGAGGGAGGAGGACGGCGGCGAACGGCGGTTGTTGGAGGTTGGGAGGTGGCCCAGCGAAGAGTTGATGATGGAGGTTGTTGGAGGTTGGGAGGTTGGGGGAGAGGTTAGGGTTTGATAGGGTGGGGAAAGGAAGTGTGAAATTGGAAATGAAGGGTTTGGGGCTGCTGTGCAGATTCGCAAGGCTGGGTTGTTCTGTTTTATTTTTATTTTTATTTTTTTATATATAAACTGGCCCAAAACAACGTCGTTTTGAGGCCAGGTCATTTAAAAAAAAAATTGGCTGAGCCTTTGCCAAACAACGTTCGTTGGGAAGGCAAAAAATTTATTTAATTTAAAAAAAAAAAAAAAAAAAAAAAAAAAAAAGCGCAGCAAGCTTCGCCTCCTCTCCTGGGACTTTCATCGAGCAGTTGGCGTGCATCCAAGGGGGCTTCCAGCAACTGTCGAAGGGGGCTTCAATGGAGTCCCAGGCCATTTTTCCAACCTTCCAAGGGGTCGTCCGACCCCTGTTGTCCCAACGTGGATCCGCCACTGATTACAGACACCTCAGCTCATAACACAATACGTTACACATGAATCAACCTTTATCTAAGGTATATTTTAGGGCTATATTCATGTATTGCACCCTTTAATGAGTTCTTTGGTCATGCACTTTTCATAAAAGCGTCCACTGTTCCTACTTAGGGTGATCCTTTTAGGGATGGGTTGAGGGTTCATGGAATTTTCTCTCTATGATGACTTTAGGTTTCAAGGAATTTAGATTGAAGATTTGTTGGGGGTGGGATTATGGTCTTTGAGAAATTATTTAATTTCATACGCGAAGGTCCAGAAGTCTAAAAGTTTTTGAGGAATTTGATAAGCTTCCAAAGTCCTACAAGGTATATGGCCATTGAGATTATTGACAATAAAAGCAAATTTTATAGTAGGTGAATAGGAATCCAATCTTGGTTGCATAGCTTTCTATGTATCAATAGCCAAATCATTTTTTTTTTTCTAATGATTGTGAAAGTGGAATCATCCATGTGTTGGGGTGTCATCAAATTCACACAGAGAATGAGGCAGTAGTCTTGGAAGACAGTGGTGTCGATGAAGAGGATAGTTTTTGGGTTTTTTTTTTAATTTTAAAAGTTTTTTTAAAATAATTTTATTTTTATTTTAAAAGTAAATATGAATGTTAAATCCAGTTATCAAAAAATAATACATGTGGCGAATTTTGAGTGAAAGTATCACCAGTTGATGTGGTGATACCGTACCATTCTATAATTTCTCCATTGTCAGAACTTGAAGGTAATCCTTTATTGTACATTTGAGATGAGACTTCAAATGCTTTTCCAATGTGAATAGAAAATGTTTACTTTTCGAATTTTTAATTTCAATTCCATATTGCTAATATTAGTGGCTATGTACCAATGTGTATTTGAGAATTTTATTCTTTAAGGATCCTTAATCGTAATTCATTGGTTCTTTTTTGGCTTGTTTGGTACATTGTATTAGATTCTGGATAGAAGTAAATAGTCCATGTCAGGTGTTTGGTGTCAACTTGTATTATTTAATTACCTGACTATTACTTAGGGACAAGTAAATATAGGCCCTTACTCTACATTAAAGTTTTGATAACTGAAATTAAGAAAATTAACCAAAAAAGAAGAAAAGAAGTCAAAGCGTCTTCTTCTCCTTCATCGTGTCTTTTGCCACTTCTTCTAACCAAAGCTATTGCCAGCTGCACTTGTATGGTTGAATTTTCTTAGCCACCAAACAGGTATTTTTGGCAAATCATATTGTGATGGTTTAAGTGGAATGGTACAGTTTGGTTAAATTAAATCCTTTTTTGTATATGTTACTGAAGTTGTGATTTTAATTGAGCTATGATATTGAGTATATGAGGATTTTGCGTAGACAAATATACAATGTTAATTATTTCTTACTAGATTAATGGAAAAAAAAAACTAAAAAAGGAGTGTAATTTGGAAAATTAAGTATAAAGAAAAAATTATATAAAAGTAAAGTAAAAAGAAATTAATGTAGGATAATGGTAGAATAGAAAAGAGAAAAATAAGAAAGAACAAAATTGATTCAAAAGTATTTAAAAAGCAAAAAGAGTGTAAGCGGAGAAAAAGGGAATTGGCAAAATTAGTATATATAAAAAAAAACACAAAAAACAAATATAGGCGAATTACAGGAATAAGAACCAGAAAAACAAGTATATCATCTTTCACAATAATCACAACTCACCCAGGGTCTCTCCATCACAATGTTCAGGCTTCTATCCAAATCCCACTCTTTCAGAAAACCAAGCTCGTCATCCTCATTTTCATCCAGTTACTCGCAAACCCATATTTGCAATTCAATATGCTCAACTTCAATCTCCCCCAATCCATCTGCATCTCCTATAGAACATTCCAATTCGCCAAAATCAACCCATTTCATAAATGGGTATCCGCACATTCAGCTTTTGGGTCGAAAGTTTTGTTTTTTAGGATCGCAGATTGGTTCTCGACGGCTGTTCTCATCTGGGTATTGTCTGAATTGTGTAAATTTAAGGGCAAATGGGTTTTTGAGAGTTCAGAGTGTTGTGGCTGAAACCAGGAGTTTCTGTAGTGAACCGGACAGAGAGTCTATTCAATATGATGTTGTCATTGTTGGAGCTGGACCGGCCGGTCTATCGGCGGCGATAAGGTTGAAGCAATTGTGCCGTGAAAAGGATGTTGATTTATCTGTGTGTGTTGTGGAGAAAGGAGCTGAAGTGGGTATGTTGCATAATATGTAGACTGTACTATATTTGGTTTTCATGGTACGGGTTGGATAGGTTGAATCTTCGTAGTACTCTTATAAATAATTATACATAAATAAAAAACGTTGAATGAGTTCTTTTGTGTGATAAATGGAATACCCTTGTGAATTGAAATGTCAAGATTGATTATTGACTTTTGTATAATTGAATTGAGATTACAGTTGCTTATAATTTTATCCTTTTGTCACTTTTCTGATTTCTAATAGGTGCTCACATTATTTCTGGCAATGTTTTTGAGCCACGGGCACTGAATGAACTTCTCCCACAATGGAAAGAGGAAGAGGTACTTATCCCCGCCCCCACCTTCCGATCGGTTTCTGTTGCCTATAAGGCACAGATTTACTTGAACCACCCTGTTTACCCTTTTCCTTTCCTTTTGAGTTACTAATTTTGTCATATGTCCAAACCACTCAAATTACAATTGGAAGGTGTTATTGTTGCTCATGTTGCCTAGTGCCGAACCCAGCTAGTTTTGGGCAGTCTATCGGTCTTCTTAAGTAGATTGCACTTTTACATGTTTGTGCTTAGTTGAATACTTTTACTTCCGAAAAAAAGGTCCGATCGAAAAAGTTTGAATGGATAGTTTTCATAATTGATTCTGATACAGCTTTCATGTTCGGTCATATTTGAACAAATGGATGTACGCTATTTTTCCCACATGCATTCCATTCTTTTGCCCCAAAATAAATGCAGGGATCAGGGTTTTATCTGATAATGTGAAATTCATTACTTGCTCGGAAGTCATTTGTAACTTAATAATTTACATTTTAATGCATTTTATTTTAATAGATTTTTTTGCCAACTTTATTTGCAGTCACCAATCACTGTCCCTGTGACTTCTGACAAGTTTTGGTTTCTTACAAAGGATCGTGCATTTTCACTGCCATCTCCTTTTAGTAATAAGGGAAATTATGTTATAAGGTACTTCAAAATTGTGCAATTGGTTGCCATGAATTTTGCACCGTTATGATTTCTTTTCTTTTTTTGGTCACTTTAGTTCTGCTGGAAGTTATCAAGAATGCACTAACTGGCAACTAAGCTATGACTTAGATATGAAATTTTTCCAGAAATTCTTCTGGGTGTTTCTCTCATAAGTCTATATGTTCTCATCCACAATGTTGATGAGCTGTTGTTTTCCCCTCGAGAACCCAGTTCTATTTAACGGCTTAATCCATATTGGAGCTAATGGAACTTAAGAAGTTCTAGTATTAAGCATGAGACCTCAACTAAAAGGTAGAAAAGAAAAAGCCAGTAAAAGTCTAAAATCAGAATTTTAGGTACCACTTTAACTCATATCTTATTTGAAGTTTTCTTATCCATGTCGGTCTTGTTGCTCCTGTGTGGTTTTGTGATAGAAATATTCCCTTCTTGAAAGAAGGGAAATAATTATCTTATTTGAATGTTGCTTTCATGTATAATCTTTGTGATACATTACAGTTACGCTTCAAATTCATAAAATAGCTCTTTACTATGGACCTTGTGATGTAGTTTAAGTCAATTGGTACGATGGATGGGAGTGAAGGCAGAAGAATTGGGAGTAGAAATATATCCAGGCTTTGCAGCTAGTGAGGTGCTCCTGTTCATTTTCTCTTGCTGTTTCTCCATGTACTGTTGAATACTTGTATTCACAAGTGATCTTATTTGTCAGATATTATATGATGCAAACGACACGGTTATTGGCATTGGAACTAATGACATGGGAGTTGCAAAAGATGGTTCAAAGAAGGAAAATTTCCAACGTGGCATAGAACTGAAAGGCAGCTCTCTCTCTCTCTCTCTCTCTCTCTCTCTCTCTCTCTCTCAGACACACACAGACAGAGACACACACCCACACATGTTGTCCTCATGCATGTAAGATATGCACATACCTGTGTGGACGAAAAAATATTTAAAATTGGAAAGCCCCACTCTGAGCATGTGTAGCACATGTTCTGTTACTAGAATCTGGTATTACCATTTTTATTACCATTTTTTTTAGATTATAAAGTAACTTGATGCAAACTTTATAGCAATGCTGCATGTTCTATTAGGATTCGTATATCTTTAAGTGATCGAGTCATGTTTTCGATCTTTCAAGGTTACTATCTTTAGGCTTTTTTCCTTCTTGTGGTGCCTGTTAGAACTGTCACAACTCCCAAGGACAGGGAATCATTTTCCACTTGCTTTAAATATCTCTGTGAACTGGTTTGCTTACATGTACTGATGAGAGTATGAGACTCATATGCAGGGCGAGTCACACTTCTAGCTGAAGGGTGTCGAGGATCATTATCGGAGGTTTCCAAAACATTTCCTTTACCTTCAACAGGTTCCATTGATTCTAAGCTTAAAATATTTGTTATCCACATGTAAATCTAATATCAGGATCTATTTCTATAACAGCAAATAATGAAAAAGTACAACTTGAGAGAGAAGGGAGATGCTCAACATCAGACATATGCTTTGGGAATTAAAGAGGTAATGCATTAATCAAAGAAGATAAATAACTCATATTTTAGATACCAGTTGTATTCTTACGGCTGTTTTGGAGAGACATTTTAGCTGATATTTATCTTTCATTTGAGGATTAAGCACACAATGTGCTCACCATTTGACAACTCTAACAGTCATAGCCGAGCTACTATCAATAATTTTAATTTGTGCAGATGTTTATATGAGAATTGGGATTACAATGATTTTAATTGACAGTGCTCAGTTTTAGTTGGCCTTCTCCTTTTCTTTTTCTATGGATTATTTAGTATTTTTTTTCTTTGACACTTTTATAATAACATGATTGTGGATTATTTATTCAGAGACAATTATGTTCTTCACTATTCAAAAAAAAAAGACAATTATGTTCTTCAAAAATGTTCTTGGGTGTAGTTGAAGTTGAGGTGGCTTTTGTTAACTAAAATAAAAGCAATTGTCACAAACAGACATACTGATACTAGTCCGAGTTGAAAGCCGGTTTGTTTGATCAACCACACAAGTTTTTGTGATTCATACACAGTCTGTGAAGATAAGCATTTTATAATACCATAATTCAACTATTTATTGGATGTAGTTTTCCCCAACACCATATGTTCTCAGGTTTGGGAAATTGATGAAGGAAAGCATGACCCCGGTGCTGTGCTGCACACTCTGGGTTGGCCCTTGGATCAAAAGACATATGGGGGTTCATTTTTGTACCACATGAAAGATAGACAGGTAGCTATATTTTTTTTATGAATAATTCTCTATTTAATAATGGTTTAAAAATATTCACTGTGCTATTCAGTACTAAAACGTGGTTCCGAGTTAGGTAGTGCAATATTAATGTGCTTCTTCACTTGATTTTTCAGATTTCTATTGGCTTTGTGGTTGCTCTGAATTATCATAACCCTTTCTTGAACCCTTATGAAGAATTCCAGGTAACAAATCATTGGTTTTTCTGAATGATCAAAATGCATCACTTCCCTTTGGACATAATGCATCTTTTCACAGATCAAGGGTCTTGTACTCTGTTTGTCTATAATTTTGTTTAAAAAAATTAGAAAGTGAGCAACAATTTATACTTCCTGGACAGACTGGTTCCAAATTCCTATTTAGGGCTGATTTGGTGTGTATATATAATGCGGATGGTCAGACCAAAAAAGTGTCTAATGTGTATATATGCGTGTTCTGCTCATCTACCTCTGCCCTATGCACGTGTGATTGGAAAAGTGGATACATGGAGCTTAAACTTACTCCTCATGTTCCTTTCCGCAGGGTGGGGTTAATATTTTTTTTCATGAATTAAGTGAAATAAAAGTTGCAGTGGAGCTTCCTATTGGATAACTGATGGAGTTAATAATTTGGGAAAATTTTCTCACATCTTTTAACATGTAGTTGTGCTGAATGTTTAGTGAATGTGATTTATATTTCAGTAGTGTCCAAGTCATTTATCTGACATGTTCAATCCTACTCAACTAACATGTATTTGTTTTCCTGCTGATAGAAATTCAAACATCATCCTGCAATCAAGCCACTGCTGGAAGGTGGGACTGTTCTTCAATATGGGGCTCGCACTTTGAATGAAGGTGGTTTTCAGGTACATTAGTAATTTCTATTTGTCCTGTTAAATTTACATGATATGTGCATGCACATGAAGAAAGTAGACTAATGTTGCATTTTCTGCACATGGCTGCATCATGTGCCCTTATAAATTATATTTCCTTGGAAAAGTTTTCAAATATGCGAAAGGATTTTCAGCCGTTTCACCCCCTGAACTATGACCCTTGTAGAATTAACCCCCTGAAATAAAAAGTCAGCCAATTTAGTCCCCGACTTAATTGAAATCGCCAATTTAACCCTTGCCGTTAATTTTTTTTGAATTTCATCCATTTTTCCGTCCAAAAAGTCACGTGGATGACAGGTGACTTACTATTTGATTTTATTATTATTATCATAAAAAACTAAAATAGTTAGGAAAAAAAACGAGACTCTCTCTCCCCGTCTCTTTCTCTCCTCTGGCCCTCCAATGAGCCACCGTCCATGAACTCAAGCAGCACCTGGATCTCGCCATTGTGGTCGAAAATGTTGTGGCACTTGACGACGTTGAGGTTGCCGACATCACAGAGGATTTCGATCTCGCGATGGATCTGGTTCCTATACCTGCATCAATAAGTTCTTAGTAAGTTACTTGTTGAGTTATGAGGTTCAAATGCAGGCACAAGAGAGAAAGAGAGAGAGAGAGAGAGAGAGAGAGAGAGAGAGAAAGAACCCCATATCCATTTCGTTGTAATCATTGTCCGCCGCCATTGTTATTCTATTTTTCTTTTTGTTTGATTTATTTATTATTTATTTTACTTGAAATTACAAATTTACCCTTCTAGTTAACAGAAAATTTGGATGAAATTCACAAAACTTAACAGCAAGGGCTAAATTGACCATTTTAATTAATTCGGGTGTTAAATTGGCTGACTTTTTAATTCGGGGGGTTAAGTTCAATTGGGGTCCTAGTTTTTTGGGGGTGGTGTACGGAAATTTACATGTTTATACAGGGTAATGTTCTGTTGGTAGACATTCTAGCACATAGCAGCATAGATGCTTATGTTGCTAGACTAAATCTGGACCACACATTCAGGCAAAAGGTGAACCTAAAATCAATGGTTTAGATTTGGCTATGTTGCTAGACTATCAAACATTGATAAGATGGATATTTGTTTGTGTGGAAACACATCTGATCTTGTCCAAGAAGAAGACCGTACATGCATTTGGTTCCCCACTGGTGTGTTCTATGCAAAATGAGTGAGGAAAACGTGGATCATCTTTTTTTACATTGCCCCTTTTCTTTAAGTCTTTGGTGGACCTCGCTGAGGGAGGTTAAGGCTGTTCGGGTTATTCCAAAAGGTTGTTTTGATTTTCTCAGTTCCCATTTTGTTGTATGGGGCAGGGGGAAGCGTGCTTCAACCTTATGAGGCTGCTTGGTGCAGTCTGTATTCTGGAACATATGGCTGGAGCGTAACAGGAGGATTTTTTTATGAGTAGGAGGGAGTGGGTGTTGGGGAATTATGGGATAGAGTTAAATTCTGGGCTGCTTTATGGGCTTCTGTCACTTCAGATTTCAAAGACTATTCTTACTCCACTATATTGAGGGATATAGCTGCTGCTGTGATGTGAAGTGTTTCTTTGTGTCTTGTTTATTTTTAGCTTTTTGCTGGATCTTGTTTTGGTTCTTTCTGGCTCATTTTCTTTGTGTCCTTATGGTGTTGCAGACTTTGTAGTTTTGGCTGGTGTCTTTGTTTTTAGGCTGTTATTCTGTTGTTGCTCGTTTGGCTTGTGGATGCCTTATCCACCTGTGTGTTCCTTTTCGGTTCTTTCAATAAATTTTGCTTCTATTAAAAAGAAAATTGATAGGAGACATTACTCTCATGACCTCTGTCTGGGTCAATATATAGTTGTATACATATGTGTGTGTGTGTGTGTATCTTTTTTTTCCCTGTTGTAAATGTTATACAAATACAAATATGATGCTAGTTAAATTTCAGTCTATCCCATATCCAGTTTTTCCTGGAGGAGCGGTTATTGGATGTTCAGCGGGTTTTTTAAATGTACCCAAAATAAAGGGAACACATACTGCTATGAAATCAGGTATCATTTACCAAATAGTTGTTCATCTGATTTGTGTTTCATCTTATTGTCAACTCAGTATGTCTAGTTATGTGAAAATAATTCTGCATGCTGAAAAGTTTAATTGTTCAGAACAAATAATGGTAGATTATATTTGTTAAATTACATCATACTTATTCATGGTAGATTGTATCTGTTAGTATCATGGTAGATTGTATCTGTTAACATTCATGGTTGATTGTGTCTGTTAGTATCATACTTCCATAAAAGACATGTTAACAGCTTCATCTTGTTTAGACGCCCAACCCTCAATCACCCCACCAAAATGAAAAAAACTTTTATGTCATGTTTCTCTAATCTTTAATTGTTTTTTTTTTAAGATCAAGTATTCTAATGACTAAATTTATATATAGTCAAGTATTCTAATGACTGGATAGCATTTTTTCAAGTGTTAACTTAGGTTCAATCAATTTCGTTCTCTCAAAAAAAAAAAAAAAAAAAAAAAAAAAAAAAAAAAAAAAAAAAACTTAACTTTTAACTGTTACACTGACATGCAACATTTTATGGACACATAGGAGCTCATGTCCATTTTAATCTTAAAAAATGTTACTTTCACATTTCAACACACCAGTCACTTTGCGGAGCTATAGCTGGGTTTTTCATGGTACATGTTATTTGGTTTCTCTAATTCACCGTAGAATCTAGCAAGTCTATTTGCAATGGCTGAATGAACATATTAGTATTATGAGTGGTACCACTTGATGCCTCCTTGATGCATCCACAAGGAATTCATATGCCCCATGTGGAATGTTTATAGGCATGCATAGGAATCCCAGAATCTTTTATGTGTTATACAAGTGCCTTACTGTAATGGATTACTTTTGAGTTCATGAACAAATATAACTTTTGAGTTATCACCTACAGGCATGCTAGCTGCAGAAGCTACATTGAGTGTACTACATGAAGGCTCAAACATGGAAAAATATTGGGATGCTTTAAGGAGTTCATGGATATGGGAAGAACTTTACAAGTCTCGGAACTTCCGACCTGTAAGTAGAAACATCCATTGTCTTTTCCTTTGTTTTTGGTTTCTATCCCCATTTTCCTACTATAGGTAAAAAAAATAAAAAGATAAAAAAATAGGTCATCATTTTGGGACTGTACTACCTCCTTTTTAGCTCTATAATAATGGATAAATCCAGATAAATGTTACTCAACTAGTCAGCTCTTGTCATGCAGTGTTTCGTGTTTGTTTTGCTCCATCTCTCATTTCTCGTTTTACTAAATAATAAGTTGAAAAGAAAAAACATTTGTTGTTTTATGCTGCTGGAATTGGAGAAGATAGCCAACTTTAAGCTTCTCCCTTAGGATTTTTAATTATAGTTTACTGTTACTAACCTTTTGTATAATTTTATTTTTTAGGCATTCGAATATGGACTTATTCCTGGACTGGCCATAAGTGCTTTAGAACAGTGAGATCATATGTTGCTTATTACCTTGACTGATTAGGATTTCCTCATAATACAATGTTCCTTCTTCATGCCTTAGTCACCAATGTTTTCTGCCTTGCAGTTATATAATGAAAGGAAGAGCCCCCTTGACGCTGAAGCATGGAAAACCAGACCATGAAGCAACAAATGTGAGACCACATTCTGAAAACCATGAATTCAAATTACAGAGACATACGTAGTAAGGACACTACAGTTTGGCACTGAATGATTCAAATTTTGGGGATTGTTTTGGGACAGAAGGGTTAGAAAATGCAGGCCTGGATACTAGGTCTTTGGTAACTTATGAACTCTTCAACTTTAAGTCTACCAGGGGGAAAAATCCCTTCCTGCAACTTGTTCATTGTTGTGAGGAGGGTTGGGATTATGCCCCCAGTTACTGTTTCTTTGTTACCAATTGACTGCCATTGGGCATCATACTAATACCTGAAATATGGGCATGGTTCTGAAATAGTTCATTTATGCATAGAAAAATGGGGGTTGGATATGCTTATCAAAACCAGTTGTGTTCTTAAACAGTGCATGAACCGTTTTGTAACAGAAGCACTGATTTGATATATTCTTCTTTCTTCTTTTCCTGGTCCATGATATAATTATTGTGGTCAACGACATATGTACTCATCTGTCGAAAACTAGAGATAACATATAGTCCTTGCCAATTTTACTTGGAAGGTTCCTCCTGAACATCTGCTGTTGAAATTTCACTTCTTGATTAAATATCTCTTACACTGGCTATTCTCAAATTACAAATATTGGAAGGGATATATTGGCCTCTTTGGATTATTATTTTTGTTCCCCACAACCTCTAAAATAGAATCAAACTTTTATTACAGGGGTATATTAGTAGTGCAGTTAATGAACTTATTTACCTGCTAAGAACTGATTTGTCCACATTCACATATGCAGGCTGCACAGTTTCACTCTCCAATTCAATATCCAAAGCCAGATGGGGTTTTATCTTTCGATATTCCAACCTCCCTACACAGGTTTTTAAATACCAATACTTACATTTTGTAGTCGTGTTTCTTTTAGTTAAAAGATTACAGTGGAACAGGGTTCAGTGTTACAACCTTGGCAACATATGTTATACTGTCGGGGTTTTCGTCCCTACTTCACCTGCCTCAGAACTTAAATATATGTGAATATAATGTCATGGAATGGAGACTTTTCAGAGTTTTACGCCTCAAGGGCACATAAAATGTTTAAATGAAATCCCAGTTCTTGGTGCAATGAACAATGCGAACATGCATGAAACTGTTGAATAGCCCAGAGTATCTCTGTGCCAATAGAGAGCCCTCTGCTATTGTAGGGGAGCTCACTTCCCTCTCGCATGCCCCTTTTAATGTCTTAAGCTTCTATGACATTTGCATGCTTGTAGCATAGATCCTCATTGAGGTTGGTGGGGGCCCATATTAACTATCTCGAGGTCTTTTCTTGTAGTGGTATATTTTTTTTCCTGCCCCAACATAGTTTTGCAGTAGGTTAAGGGAGTAATCCTATTTTAGTAGAAAGAGTTTGGCAAGGTCAACTTCCAGTACAAAGGTCAATCATTTCCCCACCCTTAGTATGCCAGGAAATTTAGGTTCTACCTCCATGTGGTTTAAGTTGGCAGATAAAGACGTGATAAGTTGCGATTTGATGGGCTGAGAGCCTAGACCAGAAAACATTCTGAAAGCCTAGATAAAAAGGACGTATTCGTTATAACAAAAATCAAACTAATTCTGTGCTCCTTGAGTTTGGGAAAGGAATAATAGTTTTGGATTTTTTCTTGTGGGTAACTAAAACCTGAAGAGTAGAAAGGATTCTTTTGGCTGACTACCAATAGCTAGGAGTTGTAGTGGGTTTTAGAAGATTGCCATTTTCTGTCATAATTTTCAAAATCACTATTAGTGGACTAAGTAAAGTAAAGGGGTGAATGTTTGTGTTTGTATAGAAATCAATTACATATTAGAAATGACCTATGCTGTCAATGCCAAATAATTCAGACACATCTACGTATATCTATCTTCTAACCATAAGAGGTATTTTTCATTTGAGGACCAGCTATATTAGATTAACATAATGTTCTCACAGAACTATATTTGTCCTTCCCCACATTTGTTGTAAGTGATGCATGTATCTTTGTTTGCTTAAACAGGAGCAACACAAATCATGAACATGACCAACCAGCTCACCTTCGGTTGAGGGACCCCAAGATTCCTGAACTTGTAAATTTGCCAGAGTATTCTGGTCCTGAGTCACGATATTGTCCTGCGCGTGTATATGAGTAATGTCCATTCTATTTTTTATTGTACTTGAGTGATCATCACTAAATGGATTATCTCTAATTCATCTCAAGTTTTGAAATGTAGGTATATCCCAGATGAAAAGGGTCAGCTGAAGTTGCAGATCAATGCTCAAAACTGCCTACATTGCAAGGTAATTTGAAAGGATGGTAGGAGCTACCTTTATGTATTTCAGATGTCCAACATATATGCATCTCCATGCACACATAAACATGGGAATGTATTATAAAGTACTAGGCTTAAAAAAGAGAGTTTAATAGTTTATTGTGTCCCTGGCCAAGATATTTGTGGCAATTCTGTTTTTTTTTTTTTTTTTTTTTTTTTTTTGCATATATATATCATGCACCTTTACTGGTTTTGCTTGCAATTCCACACACAATTGTAATTTGTGAGGTTTTTGGACTGCATTCCATTCTAAGGCACACCCATGTTGCATGATTCAAGAGACCAAAAAAAAATGTGTGAAGCATTCTTTGGTGTAGTGTCTTCTTTTGCCAACCCTCCATCAAATGAGAGGTTTACACCTCTTCTTATCCTGCACTCCTGTTATTCGGGAAGTGGTAACCATGTGCAGTCGGTGAAAGTCTTGCTTATGACAGCTACGACAATCCCTCTTACATCTACCAGTCATGTGATCAGCGCACGAGGGGTTGGCTGTGAGAGGATGCTTGTATTTAGTGGTTGTAGCCAAAACAATTTCCCTATAATGCACAAGAACAACTCCTCTTTAAAAATAGGAGGATCATAAAAGCCTAAGTGGTAGCCTATAAACTCTTTTAATTCATATTTTAACCTTGAGGGTGCAATTGCACAATTGTATGCTGAAGAAAAAACCTGACAATATGTATTGTCATTGACTTGACCAACTTGTTTGGCTAATTTTCTGCTCGTGGTTTAGACTGTTACTACTTTTTTGTCCCTTGGTTTGAAGATGTACCAATTTTGCTTTGATATGTTTCAGGCATGCGATGTCAAAGACCCAAGGCAAAACATTCAGTGGACCGCGCCAGAAGGAGGTGGTGGCCCAGGCTACTCCATAATGTAGAATTTATTTCTTCTTCTTTTCCTTTTTTGGTCGATCTCAAGAATGTAGAATAAGAACTTGTTTTACTGTTGTCACTGCGAAAGGAGAGTTCAAGTTGACAACAACTTTACAGTTTTACTCCCATATAAATAAAAGAAGAAAGTAAATGCATTGTTTACTGCAGTCTCGCATGCTACAAGCAGAGCCATTAATAAATAAGATGCGCCTCCAACTAAAAATGACACAAAAACTAAAACTAGTTGGTAGCAAATTTGGATATATAAGCACACACTTTAATGCGGGATTGGTATTTTCAATGTTATGTTGGTGTCTTTAATTGTAGAGTTAAAGTTTATTTAATGAAGTTTATCTTTGGTTATAAAAAGAAGGCACACTTTAATGCAACTTCTCTTATATAGGAAACAGACATGCAAAACCAATTAGAGTAGGTGTTTTGTAAACTATAGTTCAACTTGTACATAATTTGTTCCAACTAAATGTTAAGCATGTAGCTTTACACCGATGTATAATTAGTGGTGCGCATTAGTCCGACCCCTCGGAATTATAATGGTTGATTTGGTTTGGTTTTGACCATAAAAAAAGTCAAAAGATCTAAAACTAAAACCTAATCATAATAGTTTGGTTTGATTCCATTTTCTCGATCATTTTTGTTAAAACTGACTTGACTAAACCATTACATTATAATTGGTCCAATTTTGATTTTGAAGTAAAACCGATCTAATTCGAACCGTACCAACCACTATATATAATTCTCTTACTAATTGAAAAGGCCATCAACCAATTATTTTGATGCATCCACAATCAATCAATTATTTTCATCACAAACAGCTCACGAAGCCTCACTCCCTCGTAACGCAAAACATTAACATCGAGTTCATGCTGGAGTTTCCCATTCTCAGCCACTGCAGCAAAAATGATTGAAGGCCCTCTTTCATTAGCTACCTGCAAATCATTTTCTATTCAATCGTGTTGTTTAAAGTCAGAGAATTTGAAAATAACGTTTTCTTCTTCTTTCGTTACACATCATAAGAAAGTATTATTAGCTTTTAAACCAGCCCCTAAATTGCTGGTGCTGTTGGAAATTACAAAGAGCTTGATGAAAACCTCTCACATTTCCCTATTGCCCCAATGTTTTAAATACTATGAGAACAAAATTTCCAACCTGGGTTATAAATACAAACATTTTCAACTACAATTCAAATTCTTTCATCAGCCAGCATAAGCATGTCTTCTCCAATGAAAGTTGTGCCTCCGCCTCAGACGTATCGAAATCACCTTTCGCCTGATTATTCCTGAATCCCATGGCAGTCAAAATAAATAGGACCCTCTGATGCAAGTCTCAAAGACAAAAGAAAGGAAGACCTTGTGCAACATATCCACTGTTGGTTCATACCACCTTCACGGCTATGTCTACTGTCCTAGCCAATTCAACAGCTGCTCCAACATAACTATGCGGTGTTAACTTTTGTAGATTGGACTTTGCTTCATTAGGTAACTCCAAACCTTGTATAAAATCTACTATACTTTCCTTGGTTACTGCTCTTCCTCTGGTTAGTTCCTTCAACTTTTCATAGGGCTCAGGAACACCATATCTTCGCATAACTGTCTGTATTGGTTCAGCAAGAACTTCCCAAGTAAGGTTCAAGTCCTCACTTATGCAACCTTCATTGACCTGAAGCTTTGATATTCCCTGAAGTGTGCTTTGTAGGCAAGAAGAGAATGCCCTAATCCTAAACCCATGTTCCTTAAAACAGTTGAATCCGTCAAGTCACGCTGCCAACGCGAAATTGGCAACTTCATGCTCAGATGATAAAAACTGCCATTAGCCACACCAAGGTTACCTTCACTGTTTTCAAAATCAATAGGGTTCACCTTGTGAGGCATTGTTGAAGACCCAATCTCACCAGCCTTTGTTGTCTGCTTAAAATAACCTACAGATATGTAGTCCCATATATCTCTATCAAAGTCGATCAATATATTGTTGAACTGGCTAAATGCATGAAAAAGTTCTGCCATATAGTCATGAGGTTCAATCTGCGTAACATAGGGATTAAAACTCAACCCAAGAGATGCTACAACTCTTCAGCAATTTGGGGCCAATTAATATCAGGATATGCGACAAGATGAGCATTGTAATTTCCAACAGCACCAGCAAATTTTCCCATTATTTCCACCCGAGAGATCTCGTGCCTTTCTCTGCTTAATCTGACTGCAAAATTTGCCATTTCCTTTCCCAAAGTTGTGGGTGAAGCAGGCTGTCCATGAGTACGAGAGAGCATAGAAATATGAGCATTGTCCTTGGCCATGTTACATACTGCCTCAACCAAATCATCCATGACAGGATATATGACACTATTCACAGCTTCTTTCAACATTAATGCATGGGCAAGATTGTTGATGTCTTCGGATGTGCAAGCAAAATGAAAAAATTCCAGCACCTTAGCTATTTCTGGATGTGATTGGAATCTCTGTTTCAAGAAGTACTCCACTGCTTTCACATCATGATTTGTCACTTTCTCAATCTTCTTTATTTCTAATGCATCATTGTAACTAAATCCATCAATCATTTCTTGCAAATAAGACCGAGCATTTTCACTGAAGGTGGGTACCTCTGTGACTTCAGGAATTTGTGAAAGCCATAGCAACCATTTGATCTCAACTAGAACACGGAAGTAGATCAGACCATACTCACTCATGTAAGGAGCCAAGTCCTTGACTTTACCCCAATACCGACCATCCAATGGTGACAAAGCCATCAAATTCACAAGCTCAGATTCACTAGAAGAGTTGCCAGACACCATCTTCACCTTCTCAGTGGAAACATTGGTGTTTTTTCTGGTGGTTCTAACAGCCGTGTCTACCATCCTGCCAGTTTAACTGCTGCTCCAACATAGCTATGCGGTGTCAGATTTGATAAAATGATCTTTGGTTCCTCAGGTAATTCCAAGCCTTTAATGAACTCTCTTATTCTGTCTTTGGTAACTGTTCTTCCTCTTGTTAGTTCCTTCAGCTTCTCATAAGGCTCAGGAACACTATATCTTCGCATAACAGTTTGTATTGCTTCAGCAAGCACCTCCCAAGATTGGTTCAACTCCTCACTTATGCGAGCTTCATTAACCTGAAGCTTTGATATTCCCTGCAGTGTGCTTCTGTAAGCAAGAAGAGAGTGTCCTAGTCCAACACCCATGTTCCTCAGAACAGTAGAATCAGTCAGGTCACGCTGCAAACGCGATTTAGGCAACTTCTCACTCAAGTAGGAAAGACTTCCACTAGCCACACCAAGATTACCTTCACTATTTTCAAAATCAATGGGGTTTACTTTGTGAGGCATTGTTGATGAGCCAATTTCACCAGCCCTAGTTGTCTGCTTGAAGTAACCCAGAGATATGTAGCGCCATATATCACTATCAAAGTCAATTAATATATTATTGAATCGGTTGAATGCGTTAAAAACTTTAGACATATAATCATGAGTCTCGATCTGAGTAACATAATGATTAAAACTCACTCCAAGAGATGTTACAAACTCTTCAGCAATTTGGGGCCAATTAGTACTAGGATATGCAGCTAGATGAGCATTGTAATTTCCTACAGCACCTGCAAACTTCCCCATTATCTTTACCTCAGAAATTCTGTGCCTTTGTATGCCTAGCCGCACAGCAAAAATTGCCATTTCCTTCCCCAAAGTTGTGGGCGAAGCTGTCTGACCATGTGTGCGAGAAAGCATGGGAATGGAAGCATTATCCTTTGACATGTCACATATTGCCTCAATCAAATCGTCCATGACAGGAAATATAACATTGTTGATAGCTTCTTTTAACATCAATGCATGAGCAAGATTGTTGATGTCCTCAGATGTGCAAGCAAAATGAAAAAATTCAAGCACCTAAAATAAGAAAAAGCATTATGTGATTCTCAAAAACTAGAAATAAAGTGATCAATATAAGTGTACCAAATACAAAGGAGCAGAGTGTTTCAGAATTAACAAACTAATAGAGGGAATGTCAACCTTTGCTATTTCTGGATGTGAGCTGCATTTCTGTTTCAAGAAGTACTCCACTGCTTTTACATCATGGTTAGTCATTTTCTCAATCCTCTTGATTTCTAATGCATCACTGATGCAAAATCCATTTATAATTTCTTGCAAGTAAGACTGAGCATCGTCACTGAAACCGGGCACCTCTGTGACTTCAAGAATTTGTGATAGTTTCAACAACCATTTGATCTGTCATACAGTTCATTAATATAAATGACACCTTCACCCCAAAAAAAAACTTCCACAAGAACCCAATTTACAATATATATTCTTCTTAAAATGTGATGTTTTGATACTGAAAACATAATTTATATGCTTGGGCAGTCGTGTTAAGTCAACAAAAATTGAAATGGTTCACTGGTTCATCTCAGCAGTAGTAATTCCAGAAAATAAATAGTAACAAAAAACTACCAAAGCCATGCGCATTACAATTTTTTTTGTTACATTTCCAACTTTAAATAATATCTAACAGATTAAAAAATTCAGTTGTCTAACAGAAAAATAAAATAAAAATTGCAATAAATTAAAGCAGTACCTCAACTAGAACGCGGTAGTAAATTAGCCCATATTCACTCATATAAGGAGCTAATTCCTTGACTTTACCCCAATAACGACCGTCCAACGGCGACAACGCCGTCAAAATCGAATGCTCGATTTCAACAGAACAATCACCATTCACCTTCTCCGTGGTGACATTGATGTCTTTAACGGTGGCTCGTAGAGCACAATCTCTGCGAGAGAGTGCCAAGGAAGCATTTCTAGGATGATGAAGGCAGTAAAGGCTTGAGGGCTCCAGTGGCCTTTGGGATTTGGATGGTACATAGCTGAAGCACGAGAGCTGGTTGCTGTTCACAACCCTAGAATACGAAGAGGCTCCAAAGTCCATGGATTGAAAGGTGTTGAGGTCGAAGATATGGCAGCCACAATTGGAGGAGCTCATGTTCGCGCTCTTTTTGACCTGTTTGGTTCCCGTTTGATTCTTGCTAAAACCCTAGTTCAGTTTGAGACGAAGGGATGTACGGCCCGTTTAGTGGTTCACTACATTTTCTTTTCTTTTTTTGGGACAAAGAAAACTCTACCACTCGATTTCCATGTTATTCACTTTTTTTTTTTTTTTTTTTTTTTTTAATTATTAAATCCAATCAATAAATTATTTTTTCACAAAAGAAAAAGTTATTATTTCTTGAGGGCATAATTATTTTTCCATTTTTTATTTAGGATTTTTATCTCTTTTTATATATATATATAATTTTTATTTTATAAAATCCTATTTTAGATTGGATTATGATTTTTTTTTTTTTTTTTTGTGTGGACTAAGATTTTGGTCCTTTTTTATTTATGAGAAATTAGGATTTTTTTTGTCTTTTTGTGTTAGTTACACTATTATGAGTTTTCCAACACAAGGGACCAAAATCAAAATCTAATATAATGCTAAAGTTTAATAATTAAAACAAAACAAAAAAGCTTATACCATTTAAGAATGAAATTTTAATTTTCTATTATTAGTTACTAGATATTATTATTGCCCTAGGGCAAGTACTTAACTACATTTGCTTATCTTAATAAGTTTGTTTTTTTTGTTTTTTTTTTTTTTTTTTTTATACACAACATATTGGGGGAAGAGAGAATCGAATCAAGGGCCTCAAATGCAGACATCAATGCTCTTAAACATTTGAGATAGAAACTCCTTGTTGTTATGTGTTCGTTTGTAACGAATGTTGTGATATTCAAATAAAATCATGATTATAGTACTTAGATATCTGTGATATTTTTGTTTTTATCATGTATGATATTTTGGTAAATGTATTTTATCATTAATTTTTTTTAATTTTTTTCACCGATATTTTACCCAGATGTTATTTCCCAACACCAAAACATTGAATTTGGTCAATTTATTCCCGAACATATCAAAATATCGATAATATCTCACGAAAATATGGTAATTTTTCTCGAAGGATAGCAAGTTGAATTTGGTCAATTTAATGTAGAAACTATCGAAATATCGACTTTATCTTGCAAGAATCTGTCAACCTTTCATAAAGGATAGCAACCGCACAATAGTCCAACACATTGATTACTGTTTTGTGATATATATTTCTATTATAATGCATTTATACAAATGACATATTTTTCTGTTTCCATTTTTACTTACAACTTTTCTAATCTCTCTTGTGCATATAAAAAATAACTCTGTCTCACAAATATTCTAAAGCCTAAAGTAATTTATATGCTCCTATTATTCTTAGAAAATAGGAAGTCTAGGCATAGAAAAGCTAGGTATATAAAATGATTTGCTTGATAGGCCAATATTAAATTCCCTCCATCCCTTGGATTTCATTTCCTCTTTGCGACCAAAGCCAGTATTAAATGCACTTTTTTCGTGACCAATTTGTTCCTATTAACAATTTAGAAGTACGATTTTTATCCAACAACAAAAACTTGGTATACTTTGCTTTATTTTATTTGTTTCACATCTCTAATAGGGGTATAATTTGAAAACTAAACAAATTTTGTACAAAACCACCCTCTACTCGGAAAACATATCTCCAGAAAATTGTAAATAATCCACTTTAGAACAAATCTGCATAATCTAAATCCATCATAGTTACCAGGGAAAAAACACAATGACAAGGTGCTCTATACCATCGGAAATATATAACGCATACCATAATTCAATCTAGAACTAAAATCATATCTATGGAACAGCCTACAAACAAATTTCATCTAGACGCATCATCTAACCGGACTCAAAATGAAAAGGGAGAGGGGGGTATCTATCAGGACTCAAAATAAAGACGGGGGAGTCCTAACTGGATACAGCTGTTCAATTACAACTTTTGAACAATGTTTGACCCATCTTGATCCACCATTACGTTTGGCCAAGTTGAAAACTTCTCTCAACAATCCTTCGTTACAGATTGGTTAACCTCTGATGCATTATCTTTCTGGCTAGGAGATGGTATGGATCCTCCCATTTTCAAGTCCCCACTTTGTGGTTGCTGTTGCTGTTGCTGTTGCTGCTGCTGCTGCTGCATCTGTTGCTGTTGAAGTTGATGCAGTTGATGCTGCTGAAACTGATGCTGCTGCTTCTGAGAGTGAATTTGGAGCTGTTGAAACTGTTGTGCAGTTAGAAGAGTGTGCATAGCCTGATTGTTTGGATAGAATTGCTGGCCAGAACCAAAAGAAGCAAAGTTCATCATAGGTCCACCATTTGGCATAGCTTGGCCAGTCAGAACTTTCAGATGCTGAATTTCCTCTTTCAGTGCATCATTCAGTGCTACAAGACAAACAAAACAATACTTTTTTTATAAGTCATTTTCATTTGCAAAAGGACCAAGAACAAACAAGAAGTTATATGGACCCAGGACAGCAAGAAAACCTATATTACAATACTCCATGAACAAGATGTTATTGTTTTTCATTTTGTTCCCTGTGCGCCAGTATCAGAACGAAGTAAACTTGTGCATTGGATGTCAACAGTTCAAGAACCATATTGGATTACTTCATTCCTCCATATTCAATTTTCAAACTAAAGTCATTAAATTTTCAATGATGGGGGTAGTTCACTTCAGGTTGGCCAACTCATGCAATAAAAACACTAAACCCATATGAAAATATACAAAGAACCCTTTTATTTAAGTTAATTTCATTACCTTCTGGATCAGTTGAGTAAACAAACAGATCATAAACTCATGACGAAAAAGCAAATATCAAGGGAAAACCAAAGTTCTTTGTATAATCTTATAACATAGACTATGAGAAATTAGATATTTTGTAAATGTACATGCAGCAAGATGTCATCATAAACAGAAGAAACCGATTTTTATTCAAGTTATCAATAGTAAACAATGTCTGCTAACCTACCTTGTGGCATCTTGTCAACTTCCATTATGGATTATGATCTCTAACAAAAATAAAGTATATTCACGTAAGCATCTACTTATTAGATTGTCCATTTTGTACAACATTTATTGTCTCAGCGTCCTTGCATCATGCTAAAGGGAGAAAAGCCTTAGAGGTGAAACTTTCAAAATCCCGCAAACTACCCTTATTTAATTAAATTACTAAGAGATGACAATTTAATATAATAAACAAAAATTAGTAAAACAAAATCGTTCAAATAAAAATTCTAAAGAATTAAAAAATTGAACCCCCGCATAAGGGGGTGTTACCACCTCCCACTCCTTTCTTTTCATTAGTTTTTGTTTTTGGCCTTTATTTCTTCTTATTTTTATATTAAATTACTCTAAAAATAATTCTTCACAACAGTTATTTTAAAAAGCCAATTCGGGCACGAGTGAGAGTGTGCTAAGAGGCTCGTATAAAAAGAACATGAAAAAGATATAGAATATAAAAAGAACATGAATATTAATTCTAATCATGAAAGGAAAAGGGGCCTCACCATCTTGCAAGTGAACCTGTTGCTCCATTGTTTGCAAGCGCAGTTTCAGTTCACTGTTCTCAGCAGTCAGACCATTTGTATCTCTCTGCTCATAAGAAATCCATAAGAACAGTCATTTACATCCTCAACACGTAAACAAGATAAGAATCATAAGTTAAGACATCCAGCTGCGCAGACCAATAAAGAGAAACTGAACATTCATTTTTTAACAAAAAACTATGATAAGCCGATGCAATTTACCTGCAAGAGAGTCAATTGAGCAGACAAGGAAGTAGCTTCTGTTTGCAAGGTCTGAACTTTCTGCTCAAGCTCAGCAATGTACCGCATTTTCCTTTCCTTTGACCTTGCAGCTGACTGCCTATTTGCCCAGATCCTAACGCATGGCAATCAAGGGGAAAATATTAAGCACAATGATGATGTTAAAGTAAAAGGGAAAACAAGGTACACGATCATTTATTTAAATTCCATCATGGGAAAATAACAAGGGGAATATATATATGCTTGATAGATAGATAGATAGAAAATAATTATTAAAAAATCATAAAAGTTGCTTGTGCTCATTGAAACACCATTTTCAAGGTAAGATTAATATATGCTGAGTGAGACTGATATACATATAGGAACTATGTTCTACAACATCTTGGGCAAATGGTTTGAACAACATGACGATGGTTTTGATATCTTAGGATACAACAGAAGTATATAAGATCAATACATAACAAAGGAATGTACATAAAACTAGTTTTCAATTACCAATGACGCCACAAGGGATGACTGTAGTAATTTTCCTACAAGAACAACGTTTCTATTGAACTCCTATTGAGGTATCTTAGTCCAATCAAGTATTAATAATTCTATAAACAATCAACCTGATAGGCTCCAATGATGGTATTGCAGTCCAATTAGAGGAGCACATTGGAAGGAACTTTAAAATTTAAGGGAAAAAAGCCTAGTCAATTAGTAATAGAAATTGAAAATGCATTGACTGCCCTTCTGCCACTAAACCAATGTCAAAGATCTCAAACATTAAACTATTTGAAACAAGTAAGCGCAAAGTTACTCACGACCACAACCTTGAATAGATTCTGAAATAGCTAAGAACTTTGATTGCTAAACTTAAAGAAACAATTACGTGAACTCAAAATGGAAAACATAGACTATTGTTTGGAATTACATAAGCTAATAATTTCAAAATACCAGAATCCTTGAGCCACACAAACATGTCCATGGACCCACAGAATAAATTTTTATAGGGTCTTCATACTTGCATATGAGACACTACTGTCTAGAAATACAGGAAAATTTAACAATAAGAAATTTTATTTTTTTAAGAGATCAACAATACAATTAAGCAATACAATAAAGTATGATAAAAAAATAATAATAAAAATTGTCAACCTAGAATTGAGGACACATGTTGAAATTAAATGCAATAGCAAGGGCAAACCTAAGAAGTAACAGATGAATTCATAGTTAATACAATACAAACTCAAAGTACCATCAAATTTTTTGTATACACAGATCAAACAAACATTAGATGTAGATTCACATGATATATGATTACTCAAGAATTGGTACCTCTTCGCACGTTTTGGATCAATCAGGGCAAGTTCTGCAAGCTTAGCAGCTGAGAGGGCTTTCTTGGAATCAGCTGCAGAGATATCTTCTGAACTGGAGACCAGCATCTCAGGTTTGATGCTTGTTGATCCATCCATCGACTGGCTATGTTGGTGCCTGACTCTGGGTCTCTCATTAGAACCGATGGCAATATTCTCTGCAGAAGAAGTGGGCGCTCTCGATGCTGGTGTTAATGCTGGAACGGGTGCTGCTGCAGAAGATGATGGCTCACCGAATTGAAAGGACGACGTAGCAGACGATGAATTGAATTTTTCCATATCAAGGTACATAGAAAACAAGTCTTCCTCAGTCTCATCTGAAAATGAAGGACCATCGGCACCACCCACAACACCAAGGTCACTATCAAAGCTAATATCATCTGGAAGGGTCAAGATTTCCGAATGGGCACGTCTATGACCCAATTTCCTTGGTGGGTTATCTGGCATTCGGCTAATGTCATGACTAAAGTGACTAGATTCGGCAGACATCCCATGACCAAAATGACCTGAGTCCGCACTAGCACCCGAGGCCAATGGAGGAAATAATGATGATGAAGCTGGCTCGGGTTTCACATTGAAAGGAGTTCCAGCAGGCAAAAAACCTGAGTACCTGCCTGATGGGGGTGGTAAACCCCCACCATGGGCAGGAGACTTGTCCTTATCCATCTATAAGAAACACAACCCCTAAAATTTACCCTCACAAATAGCTCAAAGATACCAAAATCCAAAAAATGCTAACTCGTTCCAAAAAAATCAAAAGCTAAGCCAAAGGATCCAAGATATAAAAAAAGCCAATGTGTTTCCTCGCTTTTGATATATAAGATAAGGAGGTCTCCAATTCTACTGAGACGAACAACAATAAAATTTGATCTTGAAGCTATAAACTCTACAAAGCCTTGAATTCAACACACCAGAGAGCAACGAAAATCCCAGGATACATAAATCTTTCTCCAGACTAAGAGATTCAACCCAACTGAGATACAAAACAACACGTACACACACTCTACAATCAAAAGACTGATACTTGCATAGATACAAACCCTAGGAAATGGAGATCTGATAGGTGCAAATACATACAAGAATTTCAAAAATGAAATAATTGAGCCAACACTTACAAGAACTTCAACTCAGCAAACCCTAGAAACCATCATAGAGCAAAGCACAGCAGCTGAACATGGAAATTTTCCGGGAAAATATTGGAAAGTTTGCGGGCATTTTCTCGGAAAATAGGACATGGGAATTGGGATTATTCTTACAGAGGCAGATCTTCAGATTGGGAGCTGGAAAGTCAAAGAGAATCCCGCAACTTTTGAAGAAAGCGAAATTCGAATGAGAGCAGTCACATGCAGAGCGAAAGAGATCTAAGAGACAGACGAGGAAACGAAGCTTCCAAGTGACGATATAAACATCTTATATATAAACCTTGATTTCGAGTTTTTAGTGACGCGTTTTTCTAGTTTAAATTAATAAAATAGACAATAAGTTTTTCATAAAAAAAGAAAAAAGACAATATGTTTCTATTGCAGCTCAAAACGTTCTAGCCACGTTTCGTGTCTCATTCGCACAAGAATTTTCTCTTGCCATTTTGGTTCCTTTTTCGCGGTAAGGTGTTCTTCAAACTTTGAAATTTTGGCAATTTTATTTTATGATTGTTGTTGTTTAACATGAATTGGTTGTACACGATACGTTCAGAAATACATCCATTCAATTCTTTATCTTATGATTATAATCAAAACTGATTTTGAGATTTTAAGAGCTCCGAATCAACACAAGAAAGGAACCCACATGCCTATCATCACATGAGAAAGTTATGTGTTTCATTTGATTTTTTTTCTTTTTCTTTTCTATTAGTTTTATAAGACCGTCTCTAGTGGAAAGAGGTGAAACCCAACTTTTGGAGTTTAAGCCCTATAGTCTCCCCAACGCATGTACGGTCGAATGGTGTTTGGAATTCATAAACAGTGGTAGCCCAAATTCCACCTCCATTATCAATCAAACATCAATTACACTTGACTTGACCAGTTATCTAAGTTAGCATATCCCCCGGCCTACAAGTCCATCGAGTTCACTCTGCACATGTGGGGCTGGCAGGGCCGATCCATTGATTTTGAAGGCCCCATGCAAAGAGAGATGCTGAGGAATACATATACAAGTAAAATATATTCATAATCCATAAATAGAACCAAACACACCCTTAGTATTATCAATTATATCATAATTCATAAATAGAACCAAATCCATTCTTAGTTACGTCAACTACACTTACTTTCTCATATTCGTAGTCTACTCAATTGACTTATATATATATATATATATATATTAAATGAAGGCAGTTCAAAAACTAATAAAAAAAAAACAAAATGAAGCAACCAACACTCCAAAACTCAAACTATTATAAACAACACTGAGAGAGTTTTGGTCGAATTGAACCACAAAGCTTCGGTTGATTTGAAGAAGAAAAAAAAAGTTCAAAAGATAGATTCAGTTTGTGTGAGAGAAGGAGAGGAGGGCTCAAGAAGAAGACATTGGGAAGGGCAAAACTCATTATAAAAAAAAATAAAATAATAATAATAAAAAAAAAGACATGACGTGGCTAGAAAACATGTTAAAATAATTTCGTAAAAAACCATTTTCTTGTTTTCTTTTGTCACAAGGCTTTTTATTTTTTATTTTTTTAAGAAGTTAAGTGTGGAGAAGTAAAGGCCCTTTTGGGTTTCTTTAATAAATGGGCTTAAAAAAATTTGGAGGCCCTGTGCAGTCGCCCAGTCTGCAGCCTGCACAAGCTATGGGTTGGGCCTAGTGGCTAGTCAGCTTAGTTCCCCTTCCCTTCCCCACTTTTTTGTAGTGCCCCCAGCATGTGTGGTTGGTAAGCTCAATCTCCATGGGACAAGTGTGGTGTGATTTCATTTTAAGTATGTTTATGAGTTTAAGCATTGATATCTATTGCTAAGCATGATTGATTTTATACTTCCAACTATGTCGATTGTTGAGAGGATTTTGGGATTGCAATGCTTATATTTAGCATATACATTATTGAATTAGCTATTTATCTTTATGCCCTTACTAGATGTTATTACTTTCGGTTTGAATGACTTTCACTTGCATCCTAAACTCAACCGTTGTTGAAAAGCATTTTAAAGAGAAAAAAAATTTCAAAAACTTTATTTTCACTCCACTCATTGAGTTATCTCTTTTTTTTTTTTTTTTTTTTTTTTTTTTTTGTCCGTGTTTGCCAAGTTTATCCTAAGGTTGGGTCGTCAAACCATGTTGAGGCATTCTCTTCTACTCTTAACTTGTCATGTTATCGTAGGTGTCACGCCCCTAAATCTAAGGCCAATATTATACTGAAATATGGCACATGATTATGTGGTGCGAATTTAGGAAATAAATTCGCCCCGTTTTAAAACAAATAAACACCAAAGGGATTTCCAACTGCAAATTTTAATTCATAAATGTAAGCTTATTTACACATAAGCTTAACATTTCAAAGTAAAACAAAGTACACTTGCATTTTCAAATGTGAAAATAGAATATTTGGTCATCGTTTAAATAAAGTTCATCCCATCCCAATGAATATACTCGTTGCTTGAAAATAACAAAGGTGTAGCATCATGAGTCACAAAAACCCAGTAAGTATAAACAACCAAGATATATTAATATGCCTTATAAAATGATGATATTAACACAAACATAATTATCATATACTCAAGTAAAGCCAATCTTGAATAAGATGATATTTTCTTCACAATAACATAATATACTTTTCTTCTTAGTATATAGTATAATATTTAATCTTCGTAATATATATAATACGCTCTCTGCATAATATAACACAATACTTCTCTTCATAGTGAATCTCATAGATACAGTACTGGTAATAAATCATAAGTCATGTATTCATCACATGACAAGCCTCAATATACTAGTAAACAACTTAATTGGAATGCATGATTCCGATGGTTAACCCGATTCCTACTTACCCTGAGTCTCGGTTACTTCGATTCCTTCTTATCCCGATTCTTGATTAGTAAACATCCCCTAAACTCATTCATATCCTTTGAATTATTGTTTAAGCACATAACTATTGATGAGACATTTTCTATAAACAACAAACTTGTTGTTTGTGAAAATTTCTAATGGGAGAATATTCACTTGTAGATCCTTCATCCTTTGAGCTTCCTTTTCTCTCTTCCTCAATTCCTGTAAAATCAAAAAAGAGTAAAAGACCACACCCGGGGGGTGTCGGCCAAAGGACCTCTGATGCCTAAGTTAGTACAATTGAATCATTGAGAAACAATAGCTAAAAATAGGTACAAAGTTTTCTCTATGGGGAGAACCAGGTGGCCAGAGCCATGTGTGGTGGCACTTGGCAGTGTGGGAGAGATGAGAGTGGTGAGGTTGGTGGCTAGGGATGCCGTCGGCTAGGAGAGGAGAGAGGTTTCGGGATTGAGTTTCAGATTACATTATGTGTTGTAGCCATGTATTTATAAGACTCTAGCAATCTAGGGTTTTTCAAAGAATATCTTCTTATTTGGAAGGAAAATATTCTTTCCTTTGGGATCAAATCACCAATTAATGATAATATCCCAAACTGAGATAATATCCTAAAGGCTTAATTACATCAATGCCCCCTGAAACTATGGTCAAATCTCACTTTGCCCCCCAACACTTAAAGTGACCCACTTTCCCCGCTTGACCAAGGTTTGGTGATCCACTTTACCCCATGGCGTAAGAGCATCCACAATGGGCTCCTTAAACCACCTCCTTAGACAAATTTTAGGGAGGAATCGTAAAAATGCAACTCCAACCACGCTCCCTATCTACCTCCTAAAATAGGGAGTCCTCTAGAAGCTCCTAAATTTGAGGAGAGAGAAAGGACTCCTAGTGGCTCCCTATAATTTAATGTTGCTTTATTTAATGAGTATTTCAAACCTGTATTTAATGTTAACTATTTTTTATTTTATTTTTTAATATAGATGAACCAATCAAAAAAGAGTTATAGCATTTATGACTCTCCAAATTATGGAGTATGGTTGGAGTTAAATTTTTTTAGAGAGCTCCTAAAATAGCTTTCTTATATTCTTAGCCAAATTTTAGCTAAGAAATAGAGAGCATCATTGTGGATGCTCTAAGTCTATCCAAAACTCTGTTAAATTTGATGATGTGGCAAGGGTGTTTTTGTAATTTAAATATGCGCCCAGTTTTTTAATGAGATGGACTCCATGTGGGCAAAATAAATAATAAACAATTCAATTCCAATAAACAAAAAAAAAAAAAAAAAAAAAAAAAAAAGCAACCATTCTCCCCTCCACTCGAGTATCAACCGTAAACCCATCCAGCCCCCAGCAGCATCCCTACCCATCCAGTCCCACCTCTTCTTTCCGATGTGCAACCTCCTCATCCCCCGTCCTCTCTGTCTATCTCTCTATCTCTATCTATCGCTCAGCACTTATATAATACGCAATTCGTGCGTGAATGTACACGATCATCAAATGTGGATGAACTTCCTCGATCGCCCCTTGCTGCACCACCTATCTTTCAGAAGTGAGACCCACAAAGATCTATATTGATTTAAGAATCGCAGCACGACGAGTGAGCACATCCAAGTCCGGAATTGAACCTGCTGACATCGTGTCGGCAGAATGCCCACAGCCAGACAAGAACCATAACAAACTTTTTCGGAACCATCGCTTGCCCGAGCACCAAAAAAACTGCCAACCTTGATTAAGAGTATTTCTCACAAATCATTTACCTTGCTTGGTTTTGTACAAGATACAAATCAAAGGCTAATTAGCACTTAATAAATACAAGATTAAGTTTACTAATCAAGTGCTGGGTTTTCTTAATCACTTGAATTTTCTTTCTTTCTACCTCTCTGGTGGTCCAAATTAAAGAAAAGAAGTTGCAAACTTTTCTTCCAGTTTGCATTAAAACACTGCAATATTAATGTCAACCGAAAAGCTATGCAAGGTTATAAAATATAGAGCAGTAAATTGAACTTTGGCAGCACTGTATCTTGCTAGCTAGACCCTGTTCCTCACCCAGCGTTGCATATAGTCATGGTGTCCTTGTGCTGCCATATTAGATGACTTGAAATCGTAGTAACTGCAAGAGAGGGTGGTAGAGAGATAATGAGGCGATGGTGAGTTTGATTGGGAGGTGCGCCTGCTAGTTTGGGTGAAAAAGAAGAAGAAGAGGAAAAGGATTTGAAGAAGGCACTGATCTTTAATTGCATTTCATGAATGCATCGAATTTGATATGGGGTTCGATGTGATTGCATTACGCCTCAATCATCATTTACGTTGATTTCGGGGATGTGGGTGGCGGCTGGGGGCTGTGTGGGTGAGTTGATACGCGAGGGGAGGGAAGAATTTGCTGGGTTTGCTTTCTTTTATTATTATTTTATTTAAATTTTTTTAATAAATTTTTTAATTAAAGAATTGTTTATTATTTATTTTGCTCACATGGAGTTCATGTCATTAAAAAACTGGGCCCATATATTAAAATACAAAAACACTCCTGCCACGTCATCAGTTTTAACAGAATTTTGGATGGAATGGGGTAAAGTGAGTTACCAAACCTTGCTCAAGCAGACCAAGCAGGAAAGTGGAGCACTTTAAGTTTGGGGGGCAAAGTGAGATTTGACCATAGTTTCAGGGGGTAATTGGTGTAATTATGCCTATCCTAAATTGATGATATTATCTTTTAAATAAAGATAATATCCCATATTTAAGATAATTTCCCTATTTTTAGTATCAATTAATTGGCCAAATAAATGGGTACAATTAATTGACCTAGGAGATAATCTTCTTGTCCACATGGCACCTTGTAATTGGAAGCTGAATTATTTGCTCCCACAAATGCCGCTAGCTTCTGCATAGGGCTTGTGTGGCATGGAGGAGATGAAAAATATTCTTCGGGCTTTCCAACTGCATCTGAGTTTTCTTCTTTGACTTAGACTCCTTTTGCAAATTGGGCTCCCAACTAGAGTAGGCTTTTGGCTTTTCTTGGAGTTGGGCTCCCAATGGGAATACGCTTGTGATTTCTTCTTGACCTAGGATGCCCAAACTTTATAAATACAAGGGTTCTCTTCACTCTTCTTCAAATTGTGAACTTGTTTTCTCTATTTTCTAGCTTGAGAGAGATCTTGGAGAATCGTACTACTTGTTTGTGAAATAGTATTTAATATATATATATATATTAATTAATTAAATATTTTTTTATTTAATTTATAATATTGGAAGCAGGAGGTAGCTTTAGTACATGCAAATTGCGTAAATGTCTTACAAGTGGCTACCATTAATATTAGAGTATGAAAGATATTTTTTTTTCTTTACATGTATATCTTTTTCTTACCGTCATTAATTTGAAGAAGTTATCCAAAACTTGGATAACAAGTTGTTACCAGTCAATGGGTAAACATTGGATTGCCACCTCTTTTGTAGTTTAAATAGGAAACCTTCTACGTTAAGAACATGCATAGTAATACATGCGAAGAGAAAAAGAAACAAAGAGAAAAGAAAATAGAAAGAAGGAAGGATAGTAAAAGAGGTAGAGAGAAGAAGAAGTATTGGAGGGAAATAGAGTAGAAGATTGGGCTTGTGAATGTGGTGGAAAATTGGGAAACATCTAACATTTCTAGCAAAAGCTTTGGTGTCAAGGTAGGGGGCTTCTTGGGGGTCTTTATAGAGATTGATTTGATTAAATTTTGTGAGCACTATATTATGCGTAATATGATTATTTGGTTAATGTTCTTGTTACAATTGAATGGTTTCCTTGGAATGTTTATGTGTTATTGACTAGTTGAATAATGTTGGCTTAATTGTATATACATTAGTGATATTTTAAATGGTTATATTATTGTGAGATATATGCGATATGTGAAAGGCATAATTATATTATGTCATGGAAATTGGTTAGAGTTATTGGGTTTAGAAAATAATGATGGAAAAGAGGGTAATGGAAATAATCTTTTGTGTAGTTAAGTCTAACTCTTGGTAGGTACCAGATCTTAGGGATCCCACAGTGCAAATGGTTTTTATTGGGTTATGCGGGACTAGCAATAGGAAGTTAGACACAATGACTAACAAAAGGGGAATTATGGGATGATTGAGATGGGTGTTAGTTCATATAAATAGGCATTCAGGACGAAGTGGTATAAGCATGGTATGAGACGTGCAGGTTTTCTTGTCCAGTTATATGAATATATGGGAGTAGTTGAAGAGCATTTGTGCACAATAATTATTAATGTGATATTTTTATGTGGGATTGCATGTCACTTAATTTAGTTATATCAATTTACTGTGAAAAGGTTTATGTCCTTACTGAGCTGTGGTTTCGCTCACCCCATAACATATTTTGCACGTATTGAACTTGAAATCTAGGATTTGAGATGAAGTGGGCATGTCTATAGTGTGTTTAGTGTACATAACTTGTGGTTGAATAAATGAACTACCTTTTTAGTGAACTCTTGGGTGGTTCTAACTTGTAAAATATTGTAATGGTGTAATATTTCGAATATTTTCCACAGGGAAATTTTGTATGTAGAATATTTATTTATTTATTTGAGTGTTCTTCACATTTTAGTTATAGTTTTCATTAAACTCTATAATTAAGGTATGAATCACATCTTAATCCAAAATTAAGTAATCCATGGGTTGGGGCGTGACATTGGAGAAGAGAGGACTTGCTGTGCACCCCAAGGTAAGTCGAATTTGATATATATATATATATATATTTTTAATTCACGACAAGGACCAACTGGGTGGCTTGGCTAGTTGTCTTCGTGATCAGCAGTGGCGGCGATGGTGATGGCGTCGCAGTGGCGGTGGCTAGCATGATCTCCTTTTTTTTTTCCTTTTTTTTTCTTTTTCTTCCGATTGCGGCTCGGGCCAGCTGGCTCGGGCCTATTGGCTGTCCTCATGGCGCAGTGGATGTAGTAGGTGGGGTCCACCTTTTGGATGTAACGCGATTGTAGTCCGCGGTGAAGGCTACAATCGCCTTTCCTTTGTTTGAGCGTCGAGGGGAGGACCAGCTAGGCGATCCAGTAGGTCGTTGTCGTCACTGCAATGAGTTGTCGATGTGCCTAGATGGCGGCTGTTGGACTGCGGTTGCTGGCTATTGCCATGGTGGTCTTCGATTGAGGTCGCTGCTGCTTTTGTTTTGTTTTTTTTTTTTTTTTTTTTTTTTTTTTTTTTAATGAAGCTACGCTGTGACCTGCTGGATAGGTTGTGGCTGGGCTCAGGCCGAGGTGCTGCGCCGGTGGCTCAGGTCGCATGGCCTTTCTTATAAATTTTTTTTTGAACTGCAACTTTAGGGTTTTGACATGCTATCTTACTTGCAATTTTCTTCTCTTTTTGCAGCTTTTTACTGATCATGTATTCCGAGGATGGTAGTCGATCACCGAGTTCGCAAGTACCTCTATACTTGTGGGGTGGTTCCAAGGTGCACAAGAAGAGATTTGTGGCTAATTTGCATCGCATTACGTATGAAGTTTAGTTCCAAAAGTGGCGTGCCACTTATGCTTTTGCCATACCAGATGACATGCATGTCAAGCTGGCGGAGTCTTCGAGCGACGATGCACCTTATGTGGACTCGAGTGATCCAGATGCTAGGATTATCACATTCTGTCCCTTCTATTTCTCCTTGGGCTTCACGTTCCTATTATCAAAGTTTGTTAGGAAGGTTTTCTGCATCATGGAGTGTGCCCCAACCAATGTACTTGAACATCTACCGGGCGATCATGTGCTTCGAGAATTAGCCTTTTCTTCAAGCTAGAGCTGACAGTATGGGAGTTCTTCTACTTTTTTGAAGTGAAGCGCTACGAGAAGTATGCTAAAGTTCGTGCGTGCAAAGCCAAGTTGTTTGACAATTTTAGCCAAGGTGATCAAGTATGGCATGCCGATGTGCTGGAAGTCAGCGGGCGGTGGTCGATGATGGTCCACTTATTCCATCATTTACTACGACAATGTGTCATATTGCTAGTTTGATATGCTTCTTTTTTGTCTGAATTCTTTGATGCGTGAATAACTAAATTCTGTCTCCTTCTTGTATAGATTGACATATGTGAAAGACTGGATTTTGGGCCGGACATGGTTAAGGTTCGCCGGGCTCTGAACATCTCTGCGAGGTTTCGTGAATGACGTTGGCTGTTGAGTTAGTATCAGGAGAAACTCGGCAGTCTGCCTCCTGCCAAAGAAGTTAAGAGATGGAAGCAGTATTAACATGGATGATCTACCCGCCGAATAAAAGGAGTCCACGACTGAACCCCTCTCAAAGAGGGAGGCAGACGCTAAGTCTTCCAAGGATGAAGCTGCAACTTTGCGGGATGTTTCTCTACTAAGGAAGAAGCAAAAACTCCCTTATGCTATGATTAAGTCTTCTTCAAAAGATGTCTCGTCTAGTAGTAATACTCAAGTAGGAGCTGCTCCTTCGTCGTTTGCCAAGGTCAAGCATCTCATCGGTGTGGATATCAAGAAGGTTAGCTGTATGCAGAATGTTCAGGACATTCTGCTTAAGTATCCCACTGACTAGCTTAAAAACTGCAATTTGCCCTACAAGGAAGTTCATTCATGATGTTCACCTGCCGAGAAGCAAAGAGCAGCTGATGTTCCTCCCTGAAGTTCGAATCATCTACACCAATCAAAGGATGAGGATTCAATTGGGAGGGTTGTTTCTCCACCTAGCCATCGTGATTCATCTGTTGAGGCACGAGCAGTCAAACATGGAGTTGATTCAGCACCGCTGACTCCTTTGGAGATGAGGATGGTGGCAGCTAAGAAGCTGAGGGAGTTGTCTACTCTAATGAAGGGTTCTTGGGAAATGCAAACAACTGGTTCAGAGGTTGACAAGTCCAACTCTGTAGGGGATGCATGTGTGTCTGATTTACTCAAGACGAATTTTCTGTCAAGCCTGTCTGCTTGCATCAAGCTGGTTGATCATATACATCATGTTGGCGATCTTGACACCTTCTCAAGTCTTTCCTTGGAGAAGCAAAAAGAAATGACTTCTCATTTGCTTAAAAAATGTGGAATTTTATTTATTTATATAGAAGCTATCTAGAACTCGTCTACTATTGCCCTTTCTTCTGCTCAGCTCAGCAAGTTAGACAAGAAGAATGTTGATCTGACTAGCAAGCTCTCAGCCGAGTTGATTCGTTATGAAAAGAGGATGTCTTAACTGAAGGAGATTATATCTGAGCTAAAGAGTTCCCTTGCTAAAATGGATAGTGAACTCAACTATTCTACTGCTGCCCTGCATAGTTGAAAAGAGGCCTACTTCCGTTTTGAGTGCAAGAATGCTGACATGGCTTATAGTTATGATAAACTTCTGGCCAAGTTTAACTCCTACCACAAGGCTGCTGAACAATCCAAGTATGAGGCTATCATTGACGCATACAATTGGGCTACTTGAATTGCAAAAGTGGAGCTGCTCCTTGTCATCATATTGCAAATGAGGATGTTGACATGCTCTGCTTTGACATGCCTTTTGCTTATATCTATGTTACAGACATGGGGATAGTCGAAGAGCAGGTGGTTGTTGCAACTGAGGAGGACGGTGCCAAGGATGGCGCAACTAATGAAGTGGCGGCAAACTTGGCTGAGCAGGTAGCTAAGGTTGATGAGCAAATGGCCGCATCTGATGAGCAGTAATATGAGGTTTCGCTAGTTGATGGATGGCTACCCACCTTAATGGTCATGGATGGAACAGTAATATGAGGTGGAGTGATTGCTTTAGTCCCATAGGCAAGGGAAAATGAGGTTTCGCTAGTTGATCTTCTTTTGGTGGTTCATCGACCTATTTTCCTTCGGCACCTTCCAGTCTATTCTTCTGGCAATCCCGCATGATATTGTTAGATGCCTTTGCTTAGCCATTGCCCTTCGGATATCTAGGAGTTGACATGTGTTGCTTGATGTTGTACTTTGTAAAGAATATGGTGATCTGCTTGTCAATGAACTATGACCCGTTGTCAGTGACCAATGATTTGGGCAGCCGAAACGGCAGATAATGTTTTTCCACACAAATCACTCCACGTCAGTTTCTTTAGTAGAAGATAGAGCTTTTGCCTCGATCCGTTTAGTAAAGTAGTATGTGGCGACCATCATCATGTCTTTCTTGGCAGGTGCCGGTATCATGAGTCCCACTAAGTCAATGGCCTACAGCATGAATGGGCACGGGCTATTCTGTGGATGCTACACTTTGGTAGGTAGACTAGGTATCGGCTTGTATCACTAGCTTCGATCACATCTTTTTTACATACTCCATGGAGTCGTGTAGCATGGTAGGCCAGAAATAGCTTATGCTTAGAGCATTTTAAGCGAGTGATCTCCCCCAAGAATGGTTGCCACACTCACCTTCGTGGATTTTGCAGAGCACTTCAAGAGTTTGTGGATACTTAATGTAAGTAAGATGAGGGCCGGAGTATAACCTTCAAACAAGCTTGTTGTCCTTCATCTAGTATCTGGCAGCTTTCTGCTTGATTTTTCTGGCTTCAGAATTTTTCCTTAGCAAATTTTCGTTTACCATGTAGTTGATGATGGGGTCTTGCTAGCTGGGATCCTCATCGATCTACATCAAGTTCGGAATTGAACGCCAAAATTGAGTATCCAGCGCCGGATCCAAGACTTGCCAGCACATCTGCATGTGTGTTTTCTACTCGGGGAATTTTGTTGGATAATGAAGGTAGGGAATGCCTTCAAGAGCTCTTGGACTTTATTGAGGTATTGGATCATTCTCGAGTGTTTTGCTATGTATTCACATAAACCTCGATTTGTGATCAGTTGAGAATCTGAGTAGATGGCTAACCTTCTGATCGACAACTCTTTTGTCACGAGCAGGCCAGAGTGCAGGGCCTTGTATTGTGCTTTGTTGTTTGAGGTTGGAAAGCCCAGTGTGATGGCTTGCTCCAACAAAGTTTTGTCTTGGGTGATTATAATGACGCCTGCTCTAGCTCCCTTGTGATTTGACGCCCCGTCTACGTGTAATTGCCACATGTCTTTGGGCAGGTCTCAATGGGTAGAAGAGGTATCTTCTGCTATAGAATTTTTCTTATTTTTTATTACCAATTTCTCTTCTTCGACTGTTGGAGTAAACTCTATAACAAAATCTGCTAAAGCCTGAGCTTTTATACTAGTTTTCTCCTGGTAAAGGAGGTCGTACTGATTGAGTTTGATAACCCATTTCATGAGTTGCTCAGAGGCGTCAGGGCTATGAAGAATAGACCTCAAAGGAAATTATGTCATGACGATTATCCGGTGAGCTTGGTAGTAGGGTCTTAGCTTTCTTGTGAAAAGTACAAGTGACAAAATAAGCCTCTCCATTTTCAGATAGCAAATCTCTACATCAATGAGGGCTTTTGATGAGTAGAATACCAGACGTTGTGCACCCAGCTCTTCTTGGATGAGAGCTGAGCTGACTGTTGAGTTGGACACCACCACGTAGATGAATAAATCTTCGCTTGGTATTGGTTTTGAGAGTAAAGGAGGTCAAGTGAGGTAGGTCTTCAAGTTTTCGAAAGCTACCTCGTAGTCCTCATCCTGTTTGTCTCTTTGTCCTTTCTTCAAGGCTTTGAAGAACAACCTACACTTGTCGGTAGATCTTGACAGGAATCAATCGAGAGTTGCTGCTCTGCCCGTTAAACTTTGTATCTCCTTCATTGTGGCAAGTGACTTCATGTTGAGAATGACCTTGATTTGATTTGGATCTGCTTCGATGCCTCTTTGGGTAATTAAGTATCCCAAAATCGGCCGAATGAGACCACAAATGTGCACTTGCTCAGGTTCAACTTCATCTGGTACTTTTGGAGCAGGCTGAATGCTTCGGTAAGATTCTTGATGTGGTCTGCTTGTCGAGGAGCTTTGAGTAGCATATCGTCTATGTAGATCTCCATAGTCTTGCCAATTTGCTCCTTGAAAATCTTGTTCAAAAGCCTCTAGTATGTTGCTCCGACATTCTTCAGCCTAAAAGGCATGACTTTGTAGTAGTATGTGCCTCTTTCAATTATGAACGAAGTCCTTGTATCATGATTTGATTGTAACCGGAGTAAGGGTCCATGAAGTTTAGTAGTTGATTGCCGGAAGTTGAATTCACGAGCTGATCAATTCTTGGTAGGGGAAAGTTGTCATTTGGGCATTCCTTGGCTGGTTGGTTGGCTTGCCTGGTAGACTTTTTCATGGCAATTCGATTGTCGTCCCAGAGCTCGTAGTGTTTCGCGGGCCCGAAGGCCTCTGCCAGAATCTGGCTGGGAGCGATAGTAAGTTCGCGGTGTAAGTCGTGCTTAGTTGGCAAGTCCTTCTTGAAAGCAGAGGATGTGATTCGGTCATCGTAACCTACGATGTTTGCCTTTTCTGATTTGAATATGTTGCTGCAGTCCCGAAGGGACTCATCATGCTTTTTATTCAGGTGGAACAAGTGGTCACGGTTCTTTTTAATCGTCCGATAAGTAGTGTACTTCTTGGTGAAGAAAAGCGCTAGTTCCTTGAGGTTGTTGATCGATCTGGATGGCAGGGTATAGAACCAATCCTTGGCTGCCCCTCGTAAGGTCATGACAAACACTTTGCACATTAGCGCATATCGGCCATGTAGAGAATCATAAAACTTTTGAAGTACTTCAGGTGGCTCTCGAGATTGGAATCCCATTTGAAGTGTGCGAAAGAAGACGTTGAGAATTGCTTTGGTGGAGCCGCTTACTCGATTTCGGTGGTGAATGATGAGGAGTTTACTTGGTTCACCTCTCCTGTTCAAGTCTCAAATCCAGTCATTGACAAGCTTCTCGACATATTGTGCCCGCATGGCCTACGGTTCACGTCGGTGTCCTCCATGATTCAGGCGCCATTGGTTTACCTCTTCGTTGTCTCCTAGGAGCAGATTTCTTTGATTTGTCCTGCTTGCGCAACATGTTGGTGGATTGAGCTTGAGAGGGAGCCTCCGCAATTTGTCATCGTGAATTGGCCCCTTGGGACAGAGTAGGTGGGCGTCTTTCCTCTCGTATTTCATGGGGATGATTGTGAGGCTGATCTCCTTGAGGGCCTAGTCTTGAGTGAACTATTTTGTACGGGCCCAGGGGGGTTTGAACATTGGATCGTGAGCCTAACCTCTCGAGCACATTGACCCTCGCACTTAGCCTCGATCGGAGACTCAATCTGCTCTGAGAGTGGGTCGAGGATGCATGCGATATGCCAATGTGCTGAACATGCTCCTACCTTTCTCATTGTCTGTTTTAGGGATGGTAATAATACCCGTCGGGTCCCCGGCCCTAACGGGGGGAGTTTTCGGGGAGAAATCCGGGCCGGGTACGGGGATCCTAGAATTTGCAAAATCCCCGACCAAGGATGGACCGGGTATGGGATTGTTATCCCCATCCCTGAACTCAGCCCGATTAAGTAAATATATTTATTTATAATTAATATAATATAATATAATAAATAAAGTTACCTTAGAGAGTCGCTGTTTGTCGCTCCTTATTCCTTCCTCCTACACGGACTGCTATCTTCTCGAATTCTTTGAGCAAGCGATTGCACTTCAAGTTTCAACTGCACATCAAGTTTGCTGTCAGCAAGGTTATCTCTCTTTGATAATTTAATATTGTTTACTTTGTCTGATATGCATGCTTTGTTCTGATAAAAGCTGTGCCTTTTTTGATATGCATGCTTTATTCTTTCCCTTTTGAGAGAATAAAAAGAAAAGAATTAGTTCAATAGAAAGAAAAAGAATTAGTTCAACATGTTCATATTTTTTTTCAATATGATATAACAAAAGGAAATCTAACAATGATTAGTTCAATAAAAGCTGTACCTTTTCGATCTATGGAAACCATGCAAAACCATTGTATGGAGTGCCCTTCAATACCATGCCAAGAGGCAACCTTGCTGGGAATATTTTTTTGTCATGACTCATTCTTTTCTTGTTGTTTAATATTGTACCTTCCAATTGATGTATCAGTCTTCATAAATTTTTTTTTCCTAGGTGGGTTATGACAATGAAGAGACTGAAGTTCCTGAAACCCAAATTGAGGAGGATAACAACCCTACACCAAATGAAAATGATAGCAATCCTACAGCAACTGAAAATAACAACACGGAAGTCACAAGTTCAACTCAAGCTATTGTGAATAAAAGGAAAGGTAGATCTCCTGCTTAGGAACATCTTGACCATAAGTTGTCTATCTTAACTGTAGATAATTGTTTTACAAATGATTCCATGATTGCGATAGTGTTAGATAAGATTTGCTCCAATTCACTTATGTTAGATGGACGTTTATTCCACATGCAGTGTTGTGTTCATATTTTGAATTTGGTAGTGAGAGATGGCTTAGAAGTGATTAAAAGGAGTATTGAGAAAATTAGGTACAGTGTTGCATTTTGGCTAGGAACCCAAAAAAGAGAGGAGAAATTTCTTGAAGCGGCCAGGCAGTTGAGAGTTCTAACCTCTAAAATGTCAGAACTTGATTGTAAGACTAGATGGAACTCTAAATATTCCATGCTTAAGACTGCAATGATATAAAAAGATGTTTTGCCTCGTTTGAAGCACCGTGAGCCATTGTACAAAGAACTGTCTAGTGAAAGTGATTGGGCAAAGACAAAGGAGCTTGTTGATAAGTTGAACATGTTTTATGATGTGACTGTTCTTTTTTCAGGGACCAAGTATCCTACTGCCAATCTTTACTTTAAGAATATTTGTGCTATTAGATTAGCAATGTATGATTGGCTTAGTTCTGAACAAGAAGAGGTGCAAGCAATGGCATTACATATGCAAACAAAGTTTGAGAAGTATTGGGATACAATGCTTGGTTTGATGGGAGTTGCAAGTATTTTGGATCCAAGGTATAAGATGAAACAAATTGAATTTTAATGCCCTCTAATATATCCAAACAATGCAGCTCAAGAGATTAAGAAATATAAAGATATTCTCTATGACTTGGTCAAGGAGTATCAGTCAAGATATCAACAAAGTCAACAAGTGCAATCTGAATCTTTGATTCCTACTTCTTCATCAAGCCCATCTATGCCTAAACTTGATTTGGTAAAGCAATTGGATTGTTTGTTTCTCACTCCACTACCCATGGACATGTTAAATTTAAGTTGGATCATTATCTAGAAGAGTCTCTTTTACGTAGGAATGATGATGATGATTTTGATATATTATGTTAGCGGAAATCAAATGGAATCAAATATCCTACTTTGCATGATATTGCTAGAGATATTTTGGTCATTCCTGTATCCACAGTTGCTTCAGAGTCTCGCTTTTGTACCAGTGGAAGGATTATAAGCCCTCATCGTAGCCGGCTTCATTAAAAAACAGTTGAGGTATTGATGTGTGCTCGTGATTGGTTATGGAGTGAGATAAGAGGTATTAAATTTTTTTTTGTGGTTACATTTTTCATATTTAGTAAAACATTTTATTACTGTTTTCTGATTATTTATTTATTTATTTTAGCTTCAAGCTCTAATGAGAGCGAGGCTAGAAGAGTCACCGTTCAAGATGAAGAAGTTGATAATAATGAGGAGGAGGCAACATTCTTATATTTAATAGCTCTCTTTATTTTTTTAATGGATTTTTCTTATATTTGCCAGTTTCTCATTTTCTTTTAAATAATTGTAATGTCTTTATCTTATTAATTATTATCATTATTTTTTTGTAGGAGTCTACCATTGAAACAAAGAACATCTCTTTGTTTTTTTTTATTAAAGCTACGAATGATGAAGCATAGGAGAGTTCATTGAAATGGTGAAGTTCTATTTGATGACAGAATATTGTTAATATTTCTTTAGGATTGGTTTTCTAATTTAAGACTAGATAAATTTATTGTGCTTACTGAAAAAGTTTCTAAAGATTTGGATTAAGAAATTATTTAAAGTTTTGTGTCATCCTTCTTTGCCTTGTTGAGTAATTATTTTAACAAAAAATATCTTGTGGTGGCTGTTTATAAAATTTCACAATGATGTGATTGTGCTTTAGAAAATTATTTTAACAAGAGATATCTTATTAAAAACCAGGGATTGGGGCGGGTATGGGAGGCACTTCCCCGACGGGGATGGGGATGGGGATTCCCCAAAAAGCCTAAACTGGGGATTGGGGTGGGGATGGGGACAGGGATGGGGAGCGGGGGCAGGGATGGTATTGCCATACCCGGCCCATAACCGGCCCGTTGCCATCCCTAGTCTGTTTGCTCCTACTCGACCTGTATGCGACCTCTTGAACTGCCTGTGGGTGCGTTCGTCCATCCTTTAGCTGCATCTTGTCCTAATCATCAAAGTAGCACACCACAAAGTAGCACACAAATATTCTATTGATTTTCCTTATTAACACTAAGATTTGTCAATTGTAGCATATGAAAATAAGGGTCTTTCCCGCAGAAGATTGTCTTATCTAACCACTTGAAATGTCACGAAAACTGGGCTGCTGTCCCTACTGACCAGCCACCGAAAAATAAATAATTATTATCCCTACTTACACTTATCTAAAGTCTACGAAATTTTATGCACAGATACTAGACACGCAGAGCTACACTCACACAAATTTTTGGGATTTTTAGAGTTGATTTGCTATATAAATTAAATCGGACAGCAACAGGACAGAAACGGATTTTGAATTATAAGAACAGATTATATTTCACAATTAAGAAAATGAGTTAGGGGAAGTGCTATCCACCACCAAATAGTCATGCAAACATGTTATGTTTCAATCAGATTCCTTTTATTTCCGGATGAAGATGCTCAAGTTGGCTCAATGTTAGAACTCAACCTATTACTCTTTCTTATGTAGTATGTTAAGAGAATGACGTTTTCAACTTAACTTAATCCCTAGCATGCAATCTAGAATGGCGTGTTCAAAGATTTAACAAGTAGAAATCATTAAGAACGAAAAGAGTTTGAGTCATCACAAGGCATCGTAAGTACTGGCGTTGTCTTACTTATCCTAGAAATTGATTCACATGTTAATCGCAACTAACAAGTACTACTCTAGAACATATGTAGGTCCTCATTCAACAAGGGCAGGCATACACATATTCATAGCATTAGAATCCTAAATATGCTTACTAAGTATGCATCCGTAGAAAACACATAAAGAATTCATCAACGAGACAAGTAGTGAAGCAATTTTCATCCTTTCATGAAAGAAATTGAAACGAAATGTCATAACACATTTGCAATCATATATGGGGCTTCAAAACAGCCCCTAACTACTAAAAATTTAGTTACACATTATTCTTAAATTAAACCAAAAGAAAGACATGAGTTTGGGAAGGTAAAACCGAAAGAAGAGAATGCCAAGATTTCCTCCTTCCTCCAACGTTCCTGCCATGCCTCTTTGTTTCTTTCTCCAAAGATTGCTCTCCCCCTAAACTTCCCCACTAATAGCTATTTATTGATGACAATAAGTGAGAGAAAATGGTAAAACAATTGTAACTCTTTGGGTGGCCTTTAAGCCAATACTCCCACCTAATCCCCATCTTTAATTCCATTTCCTCAGATATTTGAATAGGTTTCCACTGGCTTGTTCTTGGTTGCATCTGTTTTGGCTGTTAGGTTTATTGGGTTTATTGCTTTCATTGCAGTTACAAACTACTCAGCATCTTGTGAACCTTTCAGTGTTAAAACGGCCATTACTGCTTCTAGAAAAATGATATGAATAATCCACGAAATGCTCCATAGAATAGACATCTTTAGCTTTCCAAGAATATATGGCACGTTCTCTAATTCATTCTGAGCTGTTCGCAACTTGCTTCCAAAGTCAGCTCATCTAAACAGGCAGTTTTGACGAATTTGTGACTTAAAATCCCACTTGAGCTACTTTTCTTTTCTTTGCTTGATAGATCCTACAAAACACAAAAACAAAGTAAATAGCTCAAAAATATAAGGAACTAACTAAGAAAATACAAGTGAATTTGATGTAAAATATATATAAATATGAGCTTGTCACCAAATTGTGGTGACAACCTTAGATGAGCCAATCTTGGAGTTGGAGGCTCATTTGAGTGGAGCGTTTGAGGCAAACAACTCCAAGGCCAAATCCAGTGGGCCAACGAAGGGGTTGGATGACGGACCATCAAAGGTTGAGAAATCTAGGAAGGTTCAGTTGAAGGCCAAGCCTCTAGTCCTCAAGAATCAAGTAGCGACCAAGGTGGTATCAACATCTAAGGTCGATGAGAAAAAAGAGAATGACCATGAAATGGTCGGGAATGTTAGGGGTAAACCCCAAACGAGAGAAGACAAGCCAAAGCCAGAAGAAGACCAAGTTATGGTCGATGTTCAAACACCTGAGACGGAAGAAAAGGCTAAGGCTATGGCCGATATTAAGGCCACAGAAGCTTCAGAAAATCCAAAAGGCACTTTGGCTGATGATGAAGAACTTTATGGGGAAGATGAAGAGTACAGTGATGATGAGTATTTCGAAGAACTTACAGAAGAAGTTATGGAGCAACTAGCTAAAGAACACACGGAAGAGATGGCCAAGTTTGAAAATGAACTAAAAGTGGGCAAGGCCAAGGTGAAGTTTGGGGACTTCGATGAAGTTGAGGCCATGGTCATCACACTTCCGTTATTTTTCGAAGCTCAATAAGGTCAACCAAATTCCATGGATGGGGATGTGTTCGATGAAATCGGATCCATGGTTCAGATGGGAGAACCAAAGGAAATCGAAGTGATTTGGGAAATCCTGAACGTAGAGATGGCTCAGCCTCAAATCGTGGTGCCAAATTTAGAGAAGAAAATGCCGAAGAAGGTGTGCTACGAAATGCCCACTAAGAAGATGGCTTCTCATCTTAAACCTCTATACGTGAGTGCTCATTTTGATGGGATTCCAGTGAGCAAAGTTCTAGTCGACATAGGAGCCACGGTGAACATCCTCCCAGCCTCAGTGATGAAGAAATTGAAGAAGAGTTCAGACGATTTAATCCTGACCGAGACAACGGTCAGTGGCTTTGTGGGAGATACCACAAGATCGAAGGGGATCATCCCACTCCAAGTTAGAGTAGGAGGAAAGGTCAGGGTGACAACCTTCTTCGTGGTAGAAACAACGGCTCGTTTTAGTGCGTTGTTGGGCCGAGATTGGATCCACGAAAGTATGTGTGTCCCTTCCTCGCTTCATCAGACTCTACAATTTTGGCACAAGGATGGGAGTGTGGAACTAGTTCAGGCCGACTCACGGCTTTTCATGGCTTCAGCCAATGCGGTAGAGGCCAGATTCTATGAGGATGATCTTAGTCCTCTTTATTTCACTGGGTCAGATAAGAACGGCCGACCTATGAGAGTCTCGACCCAAAAATTGATAGACTTGGGGCCACACGATGCCCAAGCAGATGGGGAGCACCACACGATGGCTGATTTCTTCTCTCTCAATGAGTAATACAACCATTAAGGAAGAGAAGAGGGCTGTAGTGGAAGACACTTTGAGACGGCTATATGGTTTTTGGGCCGAGAGAGTGGCCGAACATGGGTCCACTGCTCATTTGGTGGAATTCCTCTACGAAGGTCCTGAAGATGATGCACTTGAACTCGAGGAGGTCGAGTTGGCACCAACTGAGATGGATGATTCAAAGGTGAAAGTCCAAGATCCGCTATTGGAGATCAACCTAGGAACGAAAGACAACCATCGGCCGATCTACATTAGTGGCCTAATGGAGCAGGAGCTTAGGACCAAGATGGAAGAGCTTTTGAGCGAGTTCAAGGATTGCTTTGCTTGGGATTACACAGAGATGCCTGGATTGAGTCATGACTTGGTCGAGCATCGCTTACCAACAACGGAGGATTTCAAGCCCTTCAAGCAGCCACCTCATTGAATGTCGACCGAAGTAGAATTACATGTTAAGGAAGAAATTGTAAGGCTTGTTAAAGCCAAATTTATTAGGCCAGCTAGGTATGTAGAATGGCTTTCAAATATTGTACTTGTAAAGAAAAAGACGGGAGCAATAAGAATTTGTGTTGATTTTCGTAATCTCAATCTTGCAACTCCTAAAGATGAATACCCTATGCCTATGGTTGACCTCATAGTTGATGGGGCAGCCAAGCATGAGATCTTATTCTTCATGGATGGGCACTCAGGCTATAATCAAATTTTCATAGCCGAGGAGGATGTCCACAAGACAGCCTTTAGATGTCCCGGTTCTATTGGAACCTTTGAGTATGTGGTGATGCCATTCGGCCTCAAGAATGCTGGAGCCACATATCAACGAGCGATGAATGCTATCTTCCATGACATGATCGGTCGAAACTTGGAAGTTTACATCGATGATGTAGTTGTGAAGTTGGTCTGTCCTTGCAAGTGCACAAGATTAATGTAGTATAGTGTTTGACAAGTCCATGTATCGTTCCCACAAGGATTCCAAATTAATCTAATATTCAAATACCTAAATTAAATCTAACTGATACGTAAGTAAATTTGTAGAGATTGTTGTTGTGAAAGTTTATGAAACAAACAATGAAATTAATAAAAGCAATTGAGAATAAAAAGGTTAAATTTTAAGGTTGAAAAACAATGATGAAGGTCTAGGGTTTCGGAATCAACCACAAGCAATCCAAGTTAGATTTTAATGCATTCAAAAGATTCTTTTGATTCTTTAGATGATAATTCATGTATCTAAGTTCTTTTGATTGCTCCTTTTGCTTGCTTTTCCATCTTTACTATTCAAACCTAGTAAAACACAAAAATTAGTAAAAATGGACTAAAATCACTCAAGAACATAGCAAGAATCTAAGAGAAAGATAATAAAAATGTACAAAATAATGGTTATATCAGAAGTCGGAGTCAAGGCCAGGTCACTTAACTGATCTTCGGTCGACTTTCGAGAGAATACGAAAACATCAATTGAAGATGAATCCAAAGAAGTGTGCCTTCGGGGTTTCAGCTGGAAACTTCCTAGGATTCTTGGTGCACCAAAGGGGATCGAATAGACAAGAACAAAGCTAAGGCCATCATTGATGCACCACCCTCGAAAAATAAGAAAGGGTTGCAAAGCTTACTAGGCCAAATAAATTTCCTTAGGAGGTTTATAGCCAATTCAGCTGGGAAGGTTGAACCTTTCTCATCTTTGCTAAAACTCAAAGATGAAGAGAAATTTAGATGGGATAAAGTCCACCAAAAGGCTTTCGATTCTACTAAGGAATATCTGACAAAACCACCTGTGCTCATCCCAACAAAACTAGGATGACCTTTGAAGCTTTATATCTCGGCCTCAAAAAATTCCATCGGAAGCCTTTTGGCTCAAGACAACGATGACAAGAAGGAGCAAGCGGTGTATTACCTTAGCCGGATTCTAATGGCCATTGAAAGGAAATATTCACTGATTGAAAAACTTTGCTTGGCTTTATATTTCACCGCGACCAAATTAAGGCACTACATGTTGCCTTCCACGGTTCATACAATTGCCAAGATTGATCTAACAAAATACATGCTTACTCAGCCAATCATTAGAGGTCAAATAGGAAAATGGACGATGGCCTTGGCTGAGTTTACCTTTCATTACGTGCCACAATTGGCCGTCAAGGGGCAAGCTTTGGCTGATTTCATGGCCGCTCACCCTTGCATCGAAATAGAAGACATGGACTATTTTTCGATCAACACGTTGAGTCTATTTCCGTGGCGCCTCTATTTCAACGGATCACAAACTTCAAACATGGGTGGAGCTGGCATCATCATAGAATCACCCTAAGGTTTCCAAACTCGCTATTCATTCCAGTTGGACTTTGATTGTTCCAACAATCAGGCTGAGTATGAGGCTTTGATCATCAGGTTGGAGATCGTGAGAGAACTCGGAATAAACAATGTCGTGATTTTTGGGGATTCAATGTTGGTTTTGAAACAACTATCTGGGGATTACAAGGTGACCAGCCAAGCCTTTCTCGACTACCATGCTTTGGCCAGCCAAATGATCGAGGATTTGGATGAAGTGATACTTACTCACCTACCAAGGGAACATAATTCTCAGGCCAACGTCATGGCCCAACTAGCCTTAGGAGTTCATATCTCCGAAGGGCTATATGAAGAACTTTTCAAGGTAGAGAAACGATCTCTTTCTTTCGTTTTTGAAAGAGGGATTTCACCAGAAGTCATGGTGCTAACTGTAACGTCGGATGATTGGAGGCATGAAATCGTATCATATATGAAAGCCCCAAATAGGCCACATAGCCAACAAGTTCGGCAGAGGGCTCGATATTACGTGATAAGGGATGAGATACTCTTCCGCATATGCTCTAACGACTTACTCATGAAGTGTTTGGCCAAGAAAGAACAACTTCTAGCCATGACTGAAGTCCATGAAAGCATATGAGGAGCTCATCAAGCCGTCATCAAGATGAGATGGCTTTTGAGGAGACATGGCTATTATTGGCCAACTATTCTCAAAGATTTTATCGAATATGCCAAGGGGTGCCAAGATTGTCAAAAGCATGGTCTGGTTCAACATGTTCCGGCTGAACCTATGAATCCCATTGTAAAGGTGTGACCTTTCAAAGGTTGGGCAATGGATGTGATCGGTCAAATTCACCCAGAGTCGTCCAAAGGCCACAAGTACATCTTGATGGCCACCGACTTCTTCACGAAGTGGGTGGAGGCCGTCCCGCTAAAGAAAGTAACTCAAGCCGAGGTGTTAGAATTCATCGAGAAGACTATCATCCACCGATTTGGCCTACCCGAATCCATCATGATTGATTGAGGAACAAATTTTATGGGGGAGGCTGTCCAAGCAGCCGCAAGAAATTGGGGAGTTAGAATGGTTCAATCCACTCCATACAATCCTCAATCGAATGGCCAAGCTGAGGCCAGCAATAAAGTTATAAAGGGAATTTTGGGAAAAATGATTGAGAATAATCCCAAAGAATGGCATTCCCTCCTTTCTAATACTCTATGGGCATATAGGACCTCACGAAGGTCTGGTACCGGAATGACACCATTCGCACTCACATATGGTCATGATGCTGTTCTTCCCCTCGAGATATCCGTGAGATCATTGAGGGTGGCCCGTCATGGCAAATGGAGTAAGGATGAGTACAACCAAGCCATGGTGCAAGAGTTGGATGATCTTGACGAAGTGAGGTTGGATGCCTTGGACAAGCTCAAGGCACAAAAGGAAACGATGGCCCGAGCATACGCCAAAAGAACTAAGGCCAAAAGTTTCAGAGTTGGGGATTTGGTGTGGAAGACCATCCTTCCGATTGGATCTAAGGATCCTAAGTTTGGCAAGTGGTCTCCGACTTGGGAAGGCCCATTCCTCATCCACCAAATTTTACGAAAAGGAGCCTATAAGTTGAGTGACCGAAAGTGAGTCCATGATGCACCAATCAATGACCGATTTCTAAAGAAATATTACCCTACGGCTTGGGAGATGGTGGAGAAGTAATCTACCAGAACATTTGAGTTTGGTAGGGTTAGGTTTTTACACGAATAAGATGTTTGAAGTAAAGTAAAAAAAAAGAAGAATAACCAGAGCAGCATCGTATATATAGATATGTCAGATAAGTTCTCTACAAAATAGGCCAAGTAATGGCCAAAATATCCAACGGACTAAACAAAAGCTAGCTCTATCATATATGACGACAACAAAAGGTAAGTCTAGCTGGATACCAAAAAAAAAGAGGCCAACTAATGGCCGAATACATATCTAAACATCAGGAAACAAGCTACGAAGAGCAGTCCTGAAGCTCTCACATGCGCTCTCTCCAGCAGATACGGCAGATGTGATGGGTAGCTTCCTCGCCTCAAATGACTTAACTACAACTGAGTCCTGGTGAAGCTGAGCCTCAAGAGGTCCATAACTTCGAATATCCCTAGAGACCTCGGCGAGAATGGCAGCCTTCCTTTCCTAAAGTTGCCTGATCTACTCATCAATACTCTTAACCTCATGCCACTTCTTATGGCCAAGCTTGACCTTTTGCCTAATAATGGCACTCGTCAAAGCAATCTGCTGCTCCAAGGCTTCACCTACCCTTAGCTCATCTCGAAGGGAAGGATGCTAGGGAATCAATCTTGCCACCTCTTTGAAGAGATGCATGATCGTACGTATTGTAGTCTGATCAGGAAAATAGCCGAAGTTCACCAATGCCTCAATAACGGCTTTGACCTTGTCTCTCTCATCCTGGTCGGCCAAGGATATGCAATCTCGATCTTTGTAGGACCGAAGTAGGACCTCAACTGCAGGATCTGGAAGCACTTCGACCACAGTGGAAGAAGTGGCATGACGAGTGGAAGCCTCCGCAGTAGTGGCAGAAGCATCCCTCTGATCGAGATAAGCAAAGATGTCGCCAGGGGCTTGCCAATTAGATTGTATGAATATCAGAAGTTCCAAATTATGGAAAAATGAATCAAATAGATTGATAAGTGATGCTTACATGGTCCAGAAGTGACTGAATAAGGTCATCTTGGTCTGTCGATAATGGTTGCTCACTGCCACTCTCAACTAAAGCTCCAGCTATACATGCCTGAACGGAAGAGAGATCAGGCATAATAGGTTCTCCAACCTAGCTTGAGATCAAATAAGTTGGGATAATATTTAAACATTGAAATGCAAGATGTCAACACATACCTCAGGTTGCTGATCTGTCAGAATAGGTATGGACACATCTGGTGACGATTGAGGGATCTATGATGCCTGCTCATCGCTTAGTGTGACTGGGATGGCCGGAAGTATACCACTAGCATTGGCCATCTGATTGGCCGAAATGGTCTGATGATCCACAACATTCACCAAAGTGAGGAAATGTAAATTTTTGAAAAGCTTTGGAATATGTAAAAATCATGAACTGTGTAGGATTACCTGAAGAGTTCAAACATCTGTGGAATGGCGGTTGGGTCTTGGGGATCTGAGGAGTGATATGGAAAAAATTTGAACTTCCTCTCTAACTGTCGTTGGGTCAACTGAGGTGGTCTCAAAACTAAAAGAAACTACCTAAAATGGTTCAAAGTTTAATAACGGGACCGGGGGCAAGTTAATCATATATAAAACCTCGATGGAGTTAAGATTCCAAGATTACCTAATGATCTGGAATGTGGGACGGGTCATCAATGACTCCGCGATCAACCTCGCAATTTCCTGATGGCTGGGTGACTTGTTGAGGCTCGGCCATGACGACATCTGGATTGGTGGAAGGGTTGACACCGATAACCTCCGTCTGAATTTGCCAAACAAAATTTATAAAAATAAATAAATAAATAAATAAATAAATAATCTAAGTATGGAAATTAGATCGAGATGGGCCAAAGAAGCTTATCTCAACTTCAGCCTCAGAAGTAGCGGTCTGTCCACCAACTTCAGTCTCAAATATGAGATTTCAAAATTCCTACATTTAAACCACAAGTTAAGAAAATACTAGGAATAAAGTGGGAAATGTAGTGAAAATGAAACTTACCGAAATGGCCGAAGAAGAAACGGTTGAGTGAGTGGCCATGGTCAAGTGAGTGGGATTGGGTTGCTCTACTATCCTGCTCGAGCCTATAAGGCCAAAGTCTTATTATTATTATAAATAAATAAATAAAAAAACCGGATCATACCTGGGGGCAATGGGTTCCTTGGGATCTTTCTCGGTCGAGCAAGGATGATGTCATTGGCTGGTGGAATCTCAACATCGTAGTCGGGGGAGTTACAATCCTCCCCAACATCTGGAAGAAAACATCGGAAATATTAGCTTCTAAAAAATCCAAGATTAAATGGGAAATGGCCATAAGTCCAACAAAAGTTGGCTTACCTTGGGTGGAGGGAAGTGGCCTCTTCTCACCCTGACTATGACTAGAGTCAACACTTGCCTCTTTGTGGCTATAAGAGGTGAAGATGTGGGAAGACTAATAAGACTAGCATATAAAATATAAAGCGATGACTAAAAGTTTACCTTGCTTAAAACTGTAATAAGTGGAAGAGCAAGCACAACCCCAGAAGATCCTCTCCATATGGACCTCAGAAGGTTGGGAAAACCAAGTGGCTGATATTTTCCCCCACCAAGCCTTGAATGATTCGGTGAAGCCAAATTCGGGGTCACGGGTCTGGAAGTTAAAAACTTTGACCAGCTCATGATTAAAGTTCACCACGGAATTCACCTCGCTTGCTTTCTTAAAAGATACTCTCCATGAGGAAAAATAGTTGTGGGAGTCAACCATGGGAGATGGAACACCCTGAATAAAATCCATCTGACGACCAACGACAGTAGGATAGTAAACCTTGCAGCCGCAAGGGTAATGGTTCCTTTTGTTCAATGCAAGGCCATAAGGAAGATCTCGACTGATTAAGATACTTGCCTAAAGTTCTCGTCGTTCTTCCTTGGTCTCCAGTGTGGGGATGCTGGCAAGGTCCAAGGCCAAATAATATGAGTAATGATGATCTAAGCGCATGGATAAGTCACTAGGTGACCTCTGTGAATATCTATAGAAAAATCAAAAGCAGTCCTCGACATGGTGTTTAGGCAAGGGGAGGCTAGCAATCGATTTTCCTAGAAGTGAGTCACCCTGTAATGTGACATTGGCTGGACCCAATTCCGAGAAGTAAACTTGGAGCCATAGTTGAAAAACCAAATCGGGCCTGAAGGGTTGCATGACATGGGTTTAGGCAAAACAATATCATGAAGGCATCTGTAAAGGTAGGCAATATAGGACCCAAGGCCACTGCTTGGCCATCTGCAAGAGCTTCAGCCAAAGGTTGGACTTCCTTGGTGACTTGGCTGGATTTTGAGCAAGTCAAGAATTTGCATAGCCACACTTGAAGAAAGGCTACATGCTCTGTGTAAGATACACCATTTGTTGAACCTATCGGAGCTCTAGAGGATGACTCAGTGTAGCCAAAGTGGGTCTTGATCCAGTTGTTGAAATTCTTGTTGGGCTTGTCATAGTCCGGCTTCAAAAAAGGTTCCGGATGGTCGGCCGCTGAATAAATCACACCGTGTGGACGAAGGCCGGCGATAGCGGCCAGATCAAGTAGAGTGGGGGTCATCATCCCAAACCGTAATCTCATGCAGTTAACGGAGGATGACCAAAAACATAAGCCTGCAATGATGAGTGAGCAATCACAAGGAAAGTCCTCGGAGGTGCAAAGAGCCAAGACATCATAGATCCCATTTTTTTTGCCAAGAAGTCTTCAGTTTTGGTTCCAAAGCTTTGTACCAATCATACCAACTTTTCTTAGGATCAACGTCGGCCTCTGGGTTGGGTTTCTTGGCTTTGGACTTCTTCTTAGCCACATAGTCAACCTCATAAGTTTTTCATGGCCAACCTTTGAAAGGTCGAAGGGCTTCCCAAGTTGATTTCCAATCGAACTCCATGGTAAGGCAGAGGATCATCACTTTGTTCGGCCCAAATCCTCACCACTTCATCTGGAGGTTGAAGTGGGTAGAAAGGGCCAAGAACGTATCTTGGTACATCACCTTGTAATTTGATGGCGTAGGATTCCTCAGGTTGTTGTTCACTTTCAGCCATGACCTTCTTCAACTTGGTCAAGTGAGAGATGATGGACTTAAACTCTGGATCCATCCTACAAACATAAATATTGTTTGAATTAGGAAAAATATATTGGCAAAAAAACAAAAATTTGCCAAGAACATGAAGAACATTCAAACTTTCAAAAGTTTAAAAAATGAGCTTCCAATGGCCACCATTCATCAAAATCACAACAATATCAATCGGAAAAGAGTTCAACATACTTGAAAACTTGCAAAATAACGGATTTGGTGGTAATTTGAATGGTTCTTTGGCCTATCAAGTGGTGAATCTTGGAAGCAAAGTTTAGGTTTGGTGGGAGAAAGTTTCCTAAGAGCAATGACAATGGAGTTTTGAGTATGGAGAAATGTTTGGAGCCAAATTGGTATTTATAATGCCTAGGTTTTCTAACGGGTATGAAGTTCAAAGGTCTCTCGAGAATTGATTAGGGTATCTCCTTAAATATCAATTTAACTCAAACACCATAAATTGCTACAGTGAAGCATGAAGTTGAAACATTCGGAGAAAACTAAAAGTCGTGAGAATTTTGATTCACTTACCCTTTCACCAATTGAAGGCCAAGGAATCAAGGGGGCAATGTTTGGATGTGGTCACCAAATTCAAGCTAAGCCAAGTGGTCTCAATTCCAAACCAAGTCAAGTGGAAACCCAAAGGCCTAGCCAAAACAAAGATATTGTTATTTATAATAGCAATAGTCAAATAATAAATAAATAGAATGGCAAGACCCACAAGCTTGGCTTGGGGCCAACCAAGGGATTTAAGAGAATGAAGAATTCTCACCACCAAAAATAAGCTGGAGTTTAGGTTTTCTTCAATAACAATGGCAACTAGAATAGTAAAAAGGAAAGTGAGTTATTGAGCTGAGATTTTTTATCAAAATCGTTTATGTTCTTAATGAAATGCGAGATTACCTGTTCGCTGGTTTGTTGAATCTGCTGTTTGATTAACCCTTTCATGGGCACAACAACTGGGTCTCAAACCCTTGGATGATAGCAAGAAGGCCAAAGTTAACCCCCACGTTGATATTTGTTTTTGAGTTGAAAAGTTGGCCCCACGTTAATATTTGTTTTGTGAGTTGAAAAGTTAGCTAGTCAAATAGTCAACCTGTTGCTGATCAGATTGCAAGTTTCAATGACATTTTGAAACAATTGGTTATATATATATATATATAAACCAATTCCCATAAAAAGTTGGCTGTATATATATAATATCATATCTATATATGATAGACCAATTGACGTTTTTCACTTGGTTGGGAGGATGGCTTTTAAAAAGGTAGTTGTAAGGATGGCCAAATAGGTGGCTGAAACCAAGTCAAGATCTTGGCTTCCCAAGTCATTGAGTTGGCTGGAGAATATGGAAGTCTTGGCTGAATAGATGGTTTGGACATGAGAGAACCCATGTGGGTTTACCTTGGTATTCTCAAACTTGGTTCAAATTGGCATGGGTATTAAAAGGCTGTGAGCAATGTACGTGTTGCATATTGTACTTTGTATATGTATGTGATAATATAGTAAATTAAAGGCCTATGGCTTGGAAGGTTGGGGATAAAAATAGAAGGCCAACTAAGTGGCCTACGAACTCCCTTTCTCTATCTAAATATATTTATATATGACAATATTGGCATCTTAACATATAATTATTTTGTCATATATATATATACATATATATATATATATATATTAATACTGAAAACTAAGAAGTCATGTAGACCTTAGCCAAGTTTCTTGGATGGACTCATTGGAATTCCAAGTCACCCAACATCGGCGGATTATGTTCAATCAAAATTAGAGACCCCATAACCCACAACGTCTCACTAGATGTTAAGTCCAAGTCCTTGGACGTCCAAGCCCGACCCAAGGAAGTAGGCCCAAAACCTCCAGATGTTTTCACACATGTGGCGAGATCCATCCAAGGAATGCAATCAAAGAGAGTGATGTCAATCTGGAACGTCCCTAAGGAGGAGAGAATCAATTGATCAGATTTGCAATCCGATGATCTCATTCGAATCAATTCCATGAATTTAGGAAGCTACACAAGGAAAGATTTTGAATGAAGTTGACCTTTGGCCATTTAATGGCCAGCCCATGAGCTGGCGAATGGCCCTATATAAACTACATCAGACAAAGAGCAAAGGACCCCAACATCATACACAAAAACCTACTTTTTGTCTTTCAATTTTCTATCCCTAGACTAGGTTTTCATTTTCCAAGCAAGTAGACTAGATCAGTTCTTCACTTTCGTTAGTGTAAGTTTAATTTCTTGTATTTTCCATTACGTTGTCTTAAGACTCAATTTTATCGCTTTATTTTTAATTGTTACCGAATTTTCTTTAAGCTTAATTTAATTTCAAATTGCTTTATTTTATGCCTTTATCATTTATATCGTTCTTATTTCGTTCTTCGTTTAATTTAAGTTTATCTATTGCTTTGATTTACTTTATCGCACTTCAATTCTTGTTCTTAAGTTTAATAGCATATTTTAATTTAATTTGCATCACTATCATTAAAAATCTCAAAAATATTAAAATACCTATACAAAACCTAACCATCTTCGACTCCGAGGAAGTGAAAGAACCTAGGCTAAGAGGAGGTTCCTTGCTTGGCCGATCAATCGGCTAGTTAGAAGTCAGAAGCGCGAACACAACAATCCAACCTTTTCCATTCAAGCTAGTCAGTGGCTTGGTGGTGGCACGCCTACGCAATCTAAAAGAAGAAGAACAAAAAATTCCTTCAATCAGCCTACCCGGCCGAAAAGAGGGAAACAGTTACAAGCAACAAAAGGACGTAGATTATTTTGATACCTTTGCTCCGGTAACAAGGATTGCCTCAATTAGAGTCTTGATTGCTTTAGCGTCCATCTACAACCTTGTTATTCATCAAATGGATGTAAAAAGTGCTTTCTTAAATGGTAAATTGGAAGAAGAGATCTTTATGGATCAACCGGAAGGCCATGTTGTTGAAGGTAAGGAGTGCAAGGTATGCAAACTTGTAAAATCATTGTATGGTCTGAAACAGGCTCCCAAGCAGTGGCATGAAAAGTTTGACAAAGTGCTACTTTCTAATGGGTTTCTGATCAATGATGCAGATAAGTGTTTATATTGTAAATCTACTGGTAACTCTTGTGTAATTATCTGCTTATATGTTGACGATATGCTCATTATGGGAACTAATCTTGAGATTGTTATAGAGACCAAATCTTTTTTAGCATCAAATTTTGATATGAAGGACATGGGTATAGCTGATGTGATTCTTGGGATCAAAATTACAAGATATTTTGAAGGAATTTGTCTATCTTAAGAACATTACATTGAGAAGATTTTGAGGAAATTTGGATACTATGATTGTAAGCCTCTTTCTACACCTTATGATGCAAATACCCAATTGAAGAAAAACAAAGGTGAAAGTGTATCGCAGTCTGAATATGCTCAAATCATTGGTAGTTTGATGTGCTTGATGAACTGTACCCGACCTGATATTGCTTACGTAGTTGGGAGGTTGAGCCGATACACTCAAAGTCCAAATAAGGAACATTGGACTGCCATATCAAGAGTATTGAAATATTTGAGAGGCACAATGAACTTTGGATTGAAATATAGTGGATTTCTCGCCGTACTTGAAGGATATAGTGATGCTAATTGGATATCTGATTCAGATGAGATGAAATCCACAAGTGGGTATGTGTTTACAATTGGTGGAGGTGTAGTGTCTTGTAAATCTTCTAAACAAATGTGCATAGCTCGATCTACTATGGAATCAGAGTTCATCGCCTTAGAAAATGCAGGTACAGAGGCTGAGTGGCTTAGAAACCTCTTAGTAGATATCCCTTTATGGAAGAGACCAGCTCCATTTTGTGTCTATGCATTGTGATAGCTAGGCTGCAATAGCCTGAGCTCAGAACAAAACTTATAATGGGAAAAACAGGCATATACACCTAAAACATAACATTGTGAGGCAGCTGCTTGAGACAGGGGTGATATCCATAGAATTTGTTAGGTCAGACATGAACTTGGCTGATTCTCTAACAAAATCACTATGGCAAAAGCTAGTGAGTAATACATCGAGGGGGATGGGACTTATGTCTATATCAACAGTCAACAGTGATGGTAACCTAACCTATGTGAAGGGAGATCCCAACAAGTTACTGGGTGATTGGGTGTGCACTATCAATATATATTCTTGAGAGTCCCTCCCTATGGTGTAGATAGTGCAATACTACAACGCTTAAGGTTGAACTTATGGTCTTAATGAATACCATAGCCCTTATGGGTGGGGTGCTTGATTGTAGTGCAAACTCTCTAGAGCACTCATGAATATCCAGGTAGGGCGCATGGCCTATTCACGCCAACCCGCTCGAACAAACTTGAATCAGAAATTTAATGTGGGGACTTAGTCCTTTGATTCACATACATAAATCTTGGTTCATAGAAAACTTATTTTCACCAAATTTTTGTGGATCATGACTATCTTTCCTAAGGTTGGTTCATAGTCCAAAAGACACTAGTCTTAATGCATTGAATTTCACTTTTCCTTGGGACTTTCCATATTTTGAAATATGTGGGGGATTGTTGGTTTTTTTCATCTTAATGAGTATTTCAAAATATGTTTTAATACCAAATGTTTTAAAATTCAAAATCAACTTTAATGTTTGCACGTTAGCTAATTTGATTTAATTGCTTTCTTCAATTTGAATCTTTATTCTGATTGCTTGATAACGTTTAATTGGTTTAATTGTGGAAAATACTGTAGACCCACTCAAATATCATTTACTTGTTTGTTTGTTCTAGGCATTAAATTATGTTGGCTATCTTTGTTTTTAACGTAGACTTTGCCTTCAATTTATTTGATTCCTACAGGGAAAGCTTTTGCTTATATAATCACTTCGATTTGCTGAAGGTATTGATTACATAACCGCTTGTGTTTATATATATTTAATTGGTCTATTGATATCAATATTCAATTTCTAAACTGTGCCACCATTATTTATCAAACGGCAAAATTTTGTCTTTAATGGCCAACATCTCTTTGGGGTCAGCAATTTCTATATATATAGCCTTGGCTATTTTGGCTTAACAGATATCTCAATTCGAGCATTTTTCTCTCAATTTATGTCCTCCCACATTATTTCCATTCCTCACAATTTTCATACAATTTTATTGTGTTAATTTTATTTTATGTCCAAGGGAAACATTCAAGTGTTCATCTGATCCAAGTATTGCGAGTGTACGTTTACAAGGATCAAAAGTTGTTGTATCCTGGAGGGTAGGACGTCATAACCTACTACACCGAGATATTATCTCAGAGGAGCAGATCTACTCTTAAGGACAGTGACTTACACGCCTCAACCTACTGTTCGTGATCAAAGGAGAGAATCCACAACCAAGATTCTCCAACAAAATGACGACTGCAACTGTGGTAGAAGCCATGATGCTGCTAAGGTTATGGGTCACGGTGTCGAAGGCGGAGAGCGGCAGCTGCCGTGATGTCGTGGAGACTTGGATCCATCGCGGATTGCGTCGTCATGGCGATCTTGCTTCTCGTACGCTTGCTTCCAACCATGGTTATTTGGAAGCCTTCGGTTAAGTCATGAATAGAAGTAAGGGCAAGCGTTGACAATAACTCGTGCTCTCAATGAAAGCACCAAATGGTTGTGCGAATTTCTTATGGGAGAATATTCGCTTGTACATCCTTCACCCTTTGAGCTTCCTTCTCTATCTTCCTTGATTCCTGTAAAATCAAACTGGAGTAAAAGACCACACCCGGGAGGTGTTGGCCAAAGGCCCTCCGATGCCTAAGTTAGTTCGATTGAATCCTTGAGAAACAATAGCTAAAAAAGACTACAGAGTTTTCTCTATGGGGAGAACCGGGTGGCCGGAGCCGTTTGTGGTGGCACTTTGCCATGTGGGAGAGATGAGAGTGGTGAGGCTGGCGACTAGGGATGTCGTCGGCTAGGAGAAGGAGAGAGATTTTTGGTTTTTTTTGGTAGGGTTTCGGGATTGAATTTCAGATTACCTAGTGTGTTGAATGTAGCCATGTATTTATAAGTCTCTAGCCATCTAAGGTTTTTCAAAGAATATCGTCTTATTTGGAAGGAAGATATTCTTTCCCCAAAATCTAGAGATTGAGTCAATTATGTTGAAAACTAAAGCTTGAGTAATTGAAACAATAATTGGAAAAGTGTGTCTTACTTATCAAAGCTCTAAAATTGGGCTTATATAGCCTTACAAAGAAACTGAAAGCAGGAACTTAAGCAGCAAACCAAGCCCACGTCTAATATCTAGACTGATGGAATTCCCCTAGAAACTAGGATAACAAATAAACAAACACTACCTCACGTCCCTAACACCTAGGGATTATTAACAACTAACTTGACCAATTCAACTAAAACATAAATACTTGAAAAATCCTAACACTTTCCCTTAAACTGAATATCATACAAACATTCAGTTTACATCATAACTTGAACAAACCCCAAGGAGACCACGCAGCTTCTCAAATGTCTTAAGCTTCAAGGGCTTTGTTAGTATATCTGCAATTTGATTCTGACTTTGGCAATGAATCAATTCAACAACACCTTCTTTTGTGAGATCACGAAGAAAATGAAACCTGATATCGATATGCGTACTTCTTCCATGTAACATTGGATTTCTTGAGAGTTTGATAGTAGAGATGTTGTCGCAATGAATCAAAGTAGGACTTTGTTGAACATACCCCAATTCTTCAAGTAATCTTCTTAACCACACAGCTTGACATGCACAGGAAGCAGCTGCAGTAAACTCAGCTTCAGTTGTGGACAACGTGACCACCTGCTGCTTCTTTGAAGACCAAGAAATTGCCCCAGAACTAAGCATGAAAACTTGACCTGAAGTTCTTTTTCTGTCATCGAAGTCCCCAACAAAATCACTGACATTGTAGCCAACTAGACCCCTGCTTTTACCTCTTTTATAAAGAACACCAAAATCTGTAGTTCCTTTCAAATAACGAAGAACCCTTTTTGCAGCTTGGAAGTGAAGTATAGTTGGAGCTTCCATGAATCAACTAAGGAGACTAATGACATACATCATATCAAGCCTAGTAGCTGATAAGTACATCAGAATACCTACAATCTGCTTGTAGTATGTGCTGTCAATTCTTTCTCCTCCAAAATCTTTTGTGAGTTTGAAGCCTGGGACAATTGGATTATGAACAGGATTGCAATCAAGCATTTGAATCCTTTCAAGGATCTCTTGTGCATATTTTTTTGTCCAGTGAAGACTCCATTAGACGTTTGTTTGACCTCAATACCAAGAAAGTAACACATTCTTCCCAAATCACTCATATCAAATTCATTCATCATGGATTTTTTGAACTCAAGAAACATATCATCGTTATTTCCAGTGAAAATCAAATTATCCACATATAAAAAAACCACCAGAATTTTACCTCCCTTTTGATAAACAAAGTGTGTTCATAAGGACACTTCTGGAAACCAGCCTTGGAGAAATAGGATTCTATACGACTGTACCAAGCTCGTGGTGCTTGTTTCAGTCCATATAGAGCTTTCTTCAATCTGTATACTTTCTATTCATTCCCCTTCTGTATATAACCTGGAGGTTGATCAATAAAAACTTGTTCATTCAACTGACCATGCAAAAAGGCAGATTTCACGTCTAACTGAAATATTTGCCAAGAATTCTGAGCAGCCAATGACACTACCAAGCGAATGGTATCTAGTCTTGTAACTAGTGCAAAAACCTCAGCATAATCAATTCCATATTCTTGTGTATATCCCTTAGCCACCAAACGCGCCTTGTATTTGTCAACTTCACCTTTTTCATTTAACTTTGTTTTGTATATCCACTTGACCCCAACTGTTTCTCACCCTTAGGCAAGTCTGTTAATTCCCATATCCCATTCTTCTCAATGGATTTGATCTCAACATCCATAGCCTTTCTCCATATGTCTGTTTTGACAGCATCATAGAAGGAAATGGGATCATTATCTGCAAACAAGGCAAGGTGTGGAAAGGCTTCATCATCTGATAGTTCATCACCACTGACATAATCCATTAATCTTGTGGGCTTCCTTGTTGGTCTTTTGAGGCGTTGAGATGGCTGAGCATCAGTGTGTTGAGATGATGAACTTAGTGGTTGTGTTGCGGTTGAACTGATTGGCAGTGAGCTTGGTGGCTGTGCTACAAAGGGACTAGGTTGTTGTGCTTGAAATGGACAAGGAGTTTTTTCTTCAGTAAGGTGAACATCCCTGGGCTGCTCACTTGCTTCTGTGTCTTCTTCAAAATAAGTCAAAGATTTTGGCTGATTGGTACTACTCCAATCCCACGTCTTGCTCTCATCAAACTGCACATCTCGACTAACAATAATCTTCTTAGTCACAGGATTGTAAAGCCTGAAAGCTTTGGACTCCTCACTGACTCCAAGAAAAATGCACTTCATGCTTTTGTCATCAAGCTTTGTTCTTGTTTCATCTGGTATATGTGCATAACCTATGCACCGAAAAACTTTAAAATAACCAACTGATGGTTTATGAGTAGACCGTGCTTCTTCTGGAGTCATATCCTTGACTGCAAATGTGGGACTTCGATTTAATAAATGTACACTCCAATTTGTAGCTTCGGGCCAAAAATTCTTTGGGAGAGCTATCCTTGCCATCATACTTCGCACCATATTTAGGATAGTGCGATTCTTCCTTTCTGATACACCATTTTGTTGTGGCGTGTATGATGCAGTAAGTTGTCTCTGAATTCCGTTTTCCTCACAGAACTTTGCAAAGTCATTAGAATTGAATTCTCCACCATGGTCTGTACGAAGACTTTTGATAAAGTATCCTATCATCTTCTCTACTCTTGCAGGACTTGTTCTGCTCTCCATGCTTGCGTGTTTGCGAAAGAATAATGATGTTGTTTACCCACTATGCACTCTTGACATATTTGAGATGGACAATGAATTTGAGGAAGGCCTTTTAACATATTCTTCTATTGAAGGGTCTTTAGACCATTGAAATTCAAATGCCCATAGCGAAAATGCCACAACCAATTAGTGTCTTGCACTCTTGTTGAGAAACAGCTTGGAACGCTCTTGTGTGTATACAATGGAAACATACAATTTTGTGTCATTTTGACTTCAGTAACTAAGCCTCTTGCTGGGTGTCGAACCTGACAGTAGCCTGCTTGAATAATGATTGTGTGCCCATTTTCTAACATAGAAGACATTGACAATCTTATACACAGTATTCTCATCAATATGTACTTGAATATTTCCTTTGCCCATCACAGATATGCTTGAATTATCTCCTAGCTTCACATGCTCTCTAAAATCTTCATTTAAATTAGAGAATAGAGGTTTGTTACCACTCATATGATTGCTACATCCAGAATCCAGGTACCAAATATCGGGTTTTGGGTTCTTCTCCTCAATGTAAGCCATCAGTACTTCTTCTGATTCGGCATAATTTGATTGTTCTTCCTTTCGGGCAGATTATGGGCATTCATACTAATAATGACCATATCTGTGGCAACGGTAGCATTCAACATTTGACTTGTCCCACGTTCCTTCATGTTCAATTGTCTGGTTTTCATGCCAGCGTCCTTTCCCACGTCTGCGACCTCTTCCATGACCTCAGCCTCTTCCGCGGCTGTTCCATGTGGATGAATTTCCACAACTATTGTCATCACCTAGTGAGACCTTCAATAATTTCTCTTAAACAACCCGACTAATCATTCGTTGTTCATGAACGAGTAGAGAGCTCTGTAGTTCATCGATGGAAAGTTCAGTAACATCTTTGGATTCTTCAATTGAACATACAACATAATCAAACTTGGAGATCATTGAACGGAGGATTTTCTCAACAATGATTACATCTTCCATTTGTTCTCCATTCATACGCATCTTGTTTGCAATTGTCAGCATTCGTTCAAAATAGTCTGTAACAAACTCGCCTTCCTTCATGGTAAGAATCTCAAACTCTCTGCGGAGAGCTTGTAGCTGGGCTCGTTTCACACGAGTTGTCCCTTGATACTTTTGGTTCAGAGAATCCCAAATATCCTTTGTTGTATCCTTCTTGAGGATGGTCTCTAGAGTGACATGATCAATGGCTTGAAACAAGAAATTTTTGACTTTCAAGTCTTTGACCTTCTGATTTGCCAATGCCTTTCTTTGTGCCTTAGTGAGAATAGTTTCTGCAGCAGCTTCGGTGATGCAATTTTCCCCCAAACTCCAGTACTCTCTGGACTGCAAGAAATTTTCCATAAGCAAACTCCAGTGATCATAGTGTCCATCTAACCTTGGGATTGCTGGTTGTACAAAACCAGTGTTGTCACTCGCCATGGTGATCTTGCTGCTGCAAAATGCAAGCTACTGCTTCTTTTTTACTCAGGCACCAATGGGGGCTCTAATACCAATTGTTGAAAACTAAAGCTTGAGTAATTGAAACAATAATTGGAAAAGTGCGTCTTACTTATCAAAGCTCTAAAGATAGGCTTATATAGCCTTACAAAGAAACTTAAGCAGCAAACCAAACCCACGTCTAATATCTAGACTGATGGGGTTCCCCTAGAAACTAGGATAACAAATAAACAAACATTTCCTCACGTCCCTAACACGGATGGATTATTAACAACTAACACTACTACAAAAATCGAAATAGACGACGGGAAACCACCGTCGGGTAGAAGGTTTTCCAACCATCGTGAAATCGACCGCCATCTTTTGTACTAACAACAACGACGGTTAATAACCGACGTTGTTAAGGAATTCAACGTCCATATTTATTACTAACCGACGTGTAATTACTATACAATTAGCCTAAAATGAAATCTTTGACAACATTAGACGACGATTTTATGAAAACCGTGACGTCTAAAGGCTGTTACATGTCAAGATCAAAAGAAGAACCGACGTACAGATAATTATCCACGTCTCTAAATGAAGGAAAAAAGACTTGGATAAGCTAGAAACCATCGTGGTTAATTTTTACTACGTTAAAATAAAAAAAAATAAAAAAAACCGACATGTGAACCATAAACGACGACGTACACACAAACCAAATGACGTTTAAAGAGTATTACATGTCATTTGTCTTTTATTAACCGCCGTAAAATAACATAACCATGTCTTGCACCAGGCATCACCGATGCTTATGTATTTATCCAGGTCGCGAACTATAATACAAACCATCGTGTTAACTCATTTCCATGTCTGTGTTTTGCGAGACTCGTCGTTTAAATCGTATAAAGAAGGCCTTTTGCGAGACTCGTCACTTGTTTTAAATAACCGATGTCTAAAATATTTAAAATGACAGAATATTACTCAATATCGACGTACAAAATTCACTCCCACGTCGGTTTATGTCAAAGGCTGAGGTTATAAATATTATTAAAGGCGTGGATAGGAACATAACCGACGTGGATTATAGATTCAACGTCCGTTTCTTTAAAATAAAGGACGTGGTTAATTACTTCACTACGTCTAGAGATCCACCTGCTTGACGTTGTAATTACTTACCATGTCGGTTTTTATTACATAATGACATGGTTGCCCTTTTAAAAGTCGCTTGTTTGACCTGCCTTGACGTATGTATGCGCGGAGACGTCAATTGTTTTAGACTAGCCAACGTGCAGAACATCTGTCATGACGGTTAATGGAACTAAACGACCTTTATTTTGAGCTTTTGACGAAGGTGTATTTTAAGCAAACCGTCTTGATTTCTTTTTCAGATGTCTGTTTTTTGTTTTACGGTTTGTTGCCTTTTTGAAACCCGACGTTGTTTTTATCTTAGGCGTCTGTGTTTCCATTTTTTTCCCTGACCATCGTACTTTATAGCTTTAACCCAGATTTTTTAATTTTTGATTTGTCATGCCCAAAGCCTGCATAATGAAAATGTGATAAGAATTAAAATGTTGTACAGAATTATTAATTAATGTCATACAATTAACTGAATAACTAAGGTCATACATTACAACAATCAATCAATCCATATATCTTCACATCCATCTCTAATATTTTCATTCCCAAACTCACCCACTAGGTCATCAAATGTGTCAACATTTGGTATCCCTCTAGTAAATGGCTCACACTCAATTCTAGTATCACCTAGCACATCATCACTAATAACATTATTATATTCTCTATTAGGCATTGATAACACTACCGACCAACCACGATGCATTGGGTTGTCAACATAAAATACTTGTTTGACTTGAGAAGCCATAACAAATTGGTCGTTCCTATGGCCAATTTTACTCAGATCTACAAGGGTAAATCCAAGTTCGTCGACTACAAGGCCCGAAGTGTTATCTATCCAATCACACCTTAAGACTGGGATTCTAAACTTTTGGTAGTCAAGGTCCCAAATTTCTTGAATAACACCATAAAAACCCATATTGCAGACAATAGGGTTTTTATCCTTGGCACTAGCAACTTGCATAGTATGTGCAAGTAAATAAACTCCACTATTTTGGACAGTTCGCACATCATCTTGTGCCTTGGTGTTAAATTTAACACCATTAATAAGATAGCTCCTATATGATGGCACTGACATGCTTGGACCAGCTGCTAGCCACCTTAAATTTTATGATATGCCATTATGCTCTTCCCCATTAAGTTCACTTTGAATCTGCAAATTAATCATATATACCTTAATTCAATCTAACATATAGAATGGAAGAAAATTAAAAGTTGAATATGCATGTCATTCAATAACATACATATACCTTAAAGTGGAGCCATTGAATGAAAGTGCTATTGTGCTTATCTTCTAGCCACTTTGTTCTCTTTCTAAATTTTGGATAAGTGGTCTTGATGTGGATCATATGTTCCCTACATTCACACGAAAAAAATCAAGCATTATGATTCATTGTATATAAGATAAACATAAGGAATAATAATAAACTGCAAGAAAAACATGCTTACAAAGAAAAACAAACTGCAAGAAAAACAACGACGGTTAGGTAAAATACAGACGTAAAATGAAAGTTCAAACGACGGAAAAAAAAATAGAACCGTCATACTAATCTACAGAAACGTGGATGTGTTAATACGACGTGGTCATTAACTTAAAACGACGGTAATTAAATAAAACTGTCGTCGTATTATAAATTCATAAAAATACCGCCCAGTTTTCTCTCTTCCAGTTCGTTTCAAGTTAGATGAAGGTTTTTCTTTCAAACGTCGTATTTATTAACACACCACGTCGGTTATTATGAATATCCGTGCTATTGAAATAGAACGAATTTAATTACCATCGTGGTGTGTCAACAAAAACGTCAAATTCGAGGAAAAACCAGTCGTCCTCACATGACCTGTGAGTGCGAACATTGAAAGATTTGGCATTTTCAAACCTGAGTCTTGTTTCAAACATCAGTGAGACTCGTTCTTTAAATAAAAAAAACTTCAAATGAAGAAAAAAACTGAGTGAGAAAGTTTTCAAACCTTTGGCTTGCAAAGAAAGTTTCCTTCGGAATCAAATTTTGGAGACGAAGACAAGGAAGAACGTAGAGGTTGAGAGGGAAACTGAGAATCATAAATGCAGCTTTTCAGAAATGAGAGGGAAACTGAGAGAAAACTGAAAATTTTAGAGAGAACGTAAAAGTTTAGGTCAAGTGACAAAAAAGTTTATATAGTGTCCCAAAGATAAGTACAACGACGGTGGTCATAAAAACCGCCCTAGTATGTCGTTACCACGACATTAAAATAATATAAACTGAAATGGTTAGTAAAAAGCCTTTTGACTTTTTGTATTCCGAAAACGACGTGGTTAGTTGGGCTCTACACGTCAAAAGTTTACTTTTGAATAAGTGATTTTATAAGTTCCCACGTCGTTTTTTTATATGAAACCGACGTGGTTTTCTAAAACCTCATTGCCTTTAGTTAAGCACCGACGTTGTTTGTATGTTTAATACGTCATCCGTGTTTCAAGAATCGACGTGGATTCCTTTGTTAAACGGCGTTAGGTTTAATATAACCGACGTGGATATGAATTTTTTTTTATAAATTGAGTTTTTTTCCATGATTTCTTTCATTTTCAGTTTTCAATTAGGGTTACAACTTCTTCTTGCCCTCTGTCTCACCTCATAGGAGGCAATTGTTTGGATGTTGGTTTGTGTGTATGTATGTTTGTGTATCTGATTCACAAACATACATACATCACCAACGTTCAAAAAAATTTCTCTCTAAATGCAAATCTGTTGCTGCTGTCGTCAAATTTTAGAGGTAAATTTTTGGATGTTGATGTGTGTGTATTTGTGTCTCAATCAATCTCTAAAATATTGTCTCTTTGAATGCAAATCTATGGCTGCCGTCGTCAAATTTTAGAGGCAATTGCTTGGATGTTGATGTGTGTGTGCGTTTGTGTATCTGAAAGACACAAACACACACACATCATCAACTTCCAAATAATTGCCTTTCTAAATGTAAATTTGTGGTTGCCGTCGTCAAATTTTAGAGGTAAATTTTTGGATGTTGATGTGTATGTGGCTTTGTATATGTCATCAACCTCTAAAATATTGTCTTTCTCTGGTCCGATTATGATGAGGAACAGAGTTCCATCTGGTAAGATTTCTTAACTCTTGGGATCTCAGATATGATTCTGACGACTGTTTTCTATATAAACCATCGTGCTCAATTCTTGTCATTATGTTGGTCTACCATCGTAGGATACCAAAATCAAAGAAATAATTAGTAAAAAATAATGTAATTAAGACGACCATTTAGGTATAAGGGTAGACGTATAAAGTAAATAAATACGACGTAATTTTCACTTCACGATGTGGTAAATTTTATTATACGGCATTAATTGAACAAACCAACGTGGTTAGAGTTAAAGATACCGTCGTAGTATGGTACAAGAAATAAGTTGATAAATTTATTTTTGCTGTTGTTGTAAATTTATTTAAGACGGCGGTATTTTGTAATTTACCGCTGTGGATTTTTTTGAAATTATACAACGAGGGATACGAAAACTTGGTCGTCGGAGTAAAAACGGCGACTGTTTCTTTAAACCGTCGTCTTTACTTTCTACGTTGGTTTATTCATACCTTCTACCGTTGTTTGTGGGCTCAGATTTTACTATGAGGAAAACCTTTTTCGATAAGACGTCGCTTTTTAAATTAGGTGTGTCATTTTTTAAAAACAGCCATTGGAATCCCCATTTTTTATATGTTTAAGTTAATTTTACACGCGGTTTTATAAAACCGTTGTCTTTTCAAACACAACGACGGTTTATGTTAAACCGTTGTTTTTTTTTTGTCGTCTTTTTCACTTTTCACTTTTTGATCAAATCACTAATTGATGATAATATCCCAAAATGAGGTAATATCCTAAATTGATGATATTATCTTTTAAATAAAGATAATATCCCTATTTTTAGTATCAATTAATTGGCCAAATAAATGGGTTCAATTAATTGACTTAGGAGATATTCTTCTTGTCCATATGACACCTTGTGATTAGAAGCCGGATTATTTGCTCCGACACTTGTCCTTTGGTTAAACTGAATAATTTGAACATATGATGGTTTCTACAGCGACTGGGTCTCCTGCTTTCACGTTTTCGGCTCACCGACCTTCAGAGAGTCTAGGTGTCATGAAAGATGGTCCTTCTAAACGTTTCCGTTCTGAGCATTTTGCTCCTCCTGAAGGGGATGATGATGGTGGCATGGATCAGTCTAATCAAATCCCTTCCATGCCAGATGTCAATTTCAAAGATAAGTTACTGATCTCTTCTTGTTTTGAATATACTAAGGCCCTATTTGGTTCACGGAATGAATTTGAGGGGAAATCATTTCCCATGTCATTTCCCAAGGGATGGGAAATGGAAGATTCCTTTCTCACATTTGGTAATGCTAGGATAGTAACCGGGAGATATCACTTTATTTCCTTCCCATGTTTGTTTTGAGTAGGAATGGAAAACAAAATTTGAATAAATTTTCAATTATACCCATATTAAATCAAATAAGAAAAGAATGCATTTAATGATATATGGTAATTCTAAATTGTTAATGGGGAGAAAATGGTCATGAAAAATATTTATTTAATATTGGCTCATTTTCCCAAACTTTCCCATGAATAGGGAAAACAAAACCCAAGTTGGGAGGATGACTTCACTTTCCCCTTACTTTCCCATGGGTCAGGAAACGATTTCCCATGTCTGGACTTACCAAACATGGGAAAGCAATTGATTTCCCATTCCGAATTGGAATTGGAACCGGATTAAACCGGTTCGGTCCGGTTTTTGGTCAACTCGGTTTTTTCCGGTTTTTTTCGGTCCAGTTTGGCTCGGTTTTCCGGTTTAAATGCCCACCCCTAATTCAAAATGTCAGCTCCAAACATCAACCTTTTCCAAGTGCTAGAAGCCAAAGTACAATTATCATCATAAGCATCAAATCAATAACTACCCCTCAAGTACTTTTTCCTTAGCATAGCAATCCAGAGACCAAAATCCCCAGCAACAATTCTCCAACTAGCTTTAGATAACATGGCTTGATTCATAAGAGAAGCCTTTTTAATACCCAAGCCTCCCAATCGTTTAGGCAAACAAACTATATCCCACTTGACTAAATGAGCTTTATGAAGGTTCTCACTACTTTCCCAAAGAAATCTTTTAGAAGACTTGTCAAGCTCTTCACAAACAACTTGAGGAAGCTTAGCCGCCTGCATAGTATAGAGAGGAATAGAAGAAGCAATAGACTGGATTAAAGTGATTCTTCCAACCATAGAAAGCAGTTGACTTTTCCAAGAAGAAAGTTTAGCCTGAACTTTTACAAGAACCGCCCTATACGTAGCCTTAGTAAACCTCCCTTGAACCAGAGGGACTCCAAGATATTTCCCCATATTAGCAGATCTGGTAGCACCACAAATCAACTCAATTTGATCAACAAGCTCAGATTTAGTATTTGCAGATATGTACAACAAAGATTTCTCAAAATTAACTTACTGCTTGGAAAGCTCACAAAACTGATCAAGAGAATTCTTCATCACCATCGCTTGCTGTACAGAAGCCTTAGCAAAGAGAATCAAGTCATCAACAAAGAAAAGATGCGAAATTAAAGGACCAAACCTCGTTGTCCTAACAGCTTTCCAATCCTTCTTTAACACCCTAGCAGTAATAATGTGACTAAGTTTTTCCATACATAAAACAAAGAGATAAAGGGATAGATGGTCATCTTGTCTAACACCTCTTTGAGGTTTGAAACTCTCAGTAAGCTCCCCATTCATAATGATTTTGTAAGTGACACTCTTAACACAGCTCATAATAAGTTGAAAGAGAAATATCCCCAATACCAATTTCTGCAAGACTTTGCTCAATGAAAGACCATTTCAATATGTCATAAGCCGCCTTAGATAGGTTCATTTTCCAAGCTATATACCCAGTTTTACCTCTAGGTCTATGGAATCTATACAAAACCTCTTGAGCAATGAAAATATAATCTGAAATTTGCCTTCCAGGAATGAAACTAACCTGGTTGGGGCTAACAAGCTTACCCATAAGGGGTCTGATCCTTCCAACAATGATCTTAGAAACAACTTTGTGAAAGGTGTTACATGGACTAATTGGACAAAACTGCAACATGCTCTGAGGTTAGTGATTTTAGGAACCAGAGTAATAAGAGTACTGTTCAGAAACTCTGGAACGGAACCACTAGAAAAATACTTAAACAACAAAACTTCAATATCTTTTTTACAAAGATACCAACAATTATGGAAAAAGATAGCAGAAAAGCCATGAGGACCAGGAGCTTGGTAAGGTCCAATATAAAAAAGAGCATATTGCACCTCATTTCCAGTCAGCCTCAGGAGTTTGGGGGAAAAAGAGAAGGTAAAGGAGTGCTAATAATATCAACAGAACCATCCAAAAAAAAACCATTAAAATACTCAACATCAAAGGCTTTCAAACCCTCTTTACTAGAGATCCAATCCTCATTATTATCTTTTAGCCTTTCAATTCTATTCCTTCTTCTTCTTACAAGAGTAGTAATGTGAAAGAACTTGGTGTTTCTATCCCCACTTTGAAAGAACTTGGTGTCCAATTTATTAGAAACAGAGTCTTCTAAATTCTTCCTAATGAACTTAGCAAATAAACAACATTTAAGCCACATTGCCTCAAGTCTGAAAGGCTTAAGCTCAAATGAAGAAATCTTATCAGAAACAAGGCTAATCAAAAGAGGACTATGATCAGAACATCTTGTAGGTAAATGCCTCACGAAAGCTTATGGAAATAAAACCCTCCACTTCTTCTAGGCATATACCACCAAAGAAGCCTACAACATCAGAAATTTCAGCTTTAAGGAAGCCAAGTTCAGAAACGACTTTCCTAGTTCTACTGGAGCTAATTCTAGGCTCCAAAATAACCAACATGTCCAACTTATGTCTATATTTAAGATTTTGCATAGCAAGTAAGGATCTTTTATTACATGCCCCTCTAATATTTCAACAATCAATCATCATGATGGAATGGAAAATATTAGGATAGGGCAAAAAACCTAATCATAATTGGCAGACAAAGGCCCCATAAAATTGAGACCTTAAGCCTTACCATCCTCTATATAACAAGCAGACACATCATCAATCAAAGCTTCACCAACATCAGAATCTAACTGCAAACTCTCAGAATCCCTCAAGTCCTGAGTTTCCATATCCTGATCAGCAACTCTAGAATCCCTAGAAGTAATATAAGGCTTAGGAATGAAAAAAGAATCATTACTAAGAGCATCAACCTTTAAATTTTAATTTCTTTTAGCCTTTAAATTTTATTTTTATTTCTTAATTATTTATTTGTTAAATTGAATTCAAATATTTATAATTCTTTATTAATATCTTAACAGTAGTTTAACGAATTGAATCGCATTAGCTAACACAATAAACATGAGCTAAAACACCAGGAGCATTTTAGCATGTCATGATTTTCCATAATTTTTTATTGGATTAACATCAAAAACCCCCTCAAGGTTTGGAGTCATTCTCAATATGGGCCATGGAATTTGAATTTCATCAATTTACACCCTCAATGTTTTTAAATTTAAACCTTCCATTAAGTTGACCGTTTAGTCAGATGTTAACTGATGACATGTCTACTGTAAGACCCATCTACTAATTAATCCCAAAAAATAAAAAATTTTAAAAACATTATATATATATATAAAGATTAATAAAAAAACCCAGCGCCTTCACCACTCTCACCCCCTCTCACTCCAACCCTAGCCCCTTTCCTCCTTCGCATCAGCGCCGGCGACATCGACACCATCTACCTCTGCACCCTCGGAGGCATCGGTTCCAATACTACCCATCGGGATCGCGAGAAGAACCTTAAAAAAAAACCAGCCTCTTCCCTACCCAACAACCCAGCGGCCCCACCACCACCCCCCTCTCGCACCGGTTCCAGTCCCGCCCATCAGGATTGAAGGTGTTCGCCTTCCTTGTGCTTTTAGGCCATGAAATTCATAGACAAGAAAGGCTCTAGCGTTGAATCAGAAGGCCCACAGAGCCAAGATCGAAAATTTTGAATATTCCTCCATTTTTCTCAGATATTGAATTGCATAATTTTCTTTTTATTTGATTTTTAATTTTCAAAAAAAGAATAAAATCCAAATTTAACTAGGACCTCTATTTCCATGTTTTATACTGCGGAAGTTCTGGTGGTTTGGAATACCTCCACATGCTGGGAATCATCTACATGGACCTAAAACTTGAGAACGTGCTGAATTGAGGGGGGTTTGTTCCACCAGTGAAGAAAGGAGCTGGCTTGAGACTGTCATTGGGTATATTTCTGGTTTTTTCATGGCTTTTGGTTGTGCAGAGAAAGAGAGAGGGGGCTGGGGTTAGTGCGGGAAGCGGTGGGGAACTGGCGTGGGGTGAGGAGCTGGGTTGTTGGGAGGGAAGGGGCTGGGTTTTTCGAGCTTTTTTTATTTTTAAATTTTATGTTATTTTATATATATATATATATATATTTGAATTGGTTAATAGGTGAGTTCCACAACGAACACGGTATCAATTAACGTCTGACCAAACGGTCAATTTAACAGAAGGTTTAAATTAGTTAGATTTGAAAACGTTGAGATGTAAATTGATGAAATTCAAATTCCGAGGCCCACGTTGAGAATTTGAGGGGATCTTTTGATGTTAATCCTTTTTTATTTTTGGCATCATAATGGCCTACTAATTCTACCAAAACTAAATTTGAATTAGGTATCAGATACCTTTCCCTAAAAAATGTCTCGAAATAGAATGATCAAAAGTAGTAACAATGAAAATTCATATGTCCGGATTACCCGGTCAAAGCTATTCGATATTTGTATTTGCTTTTAGCGTCTGTAGATTTTGTACAGGGATACATCAAAGCATGGAACACACTAGGAGCTATCTAGAGCTCTTCACACATAAATAGGTTGTTATTCTGCTTACAGGCCAGCATTGAGAAAATGAAATTCCAAATGCGCAAAATATATATCATTTAAATACAAAGAGGACTGCTATGGTCAGTCGCCCAACAATACAAACACTCACATGCATGATGATCCTTGCACTGGAGTTTCCATGTAAAACATGTCAATCCCGCAATCTTATTATCAGAAGATGTAGTCGGGCAGTTGGAGGGGGAACTGCGCCACTGCAACATCAAATGGGCCACCCTTTGGCTCCCTCAAACTAAAACCAACAGAAACAAAGATGTAACTAACTAGCAAATGTTAATCATGATATCAGTTCAATAATCCCTTACAACACATTCGAATGGGAATTGAATATTTATGTCCATGATTGTTACAAGAAAATTATATGCAAACAGTCATAATTTGTATATTCATATAGAGCTGAAATCAAAGTTCAGAATACACAAAAATCAAGTTGGTGAAAGATCAGCCAAGTAGAAACATTCTTCAACATAACTACTTTGATATGGTGGAAGATGCATCTTTGTAGCCCCTACTAACATAACACAAACTCCTAGCTTTCAGGGCTTTGATTCAACTATCCTCTCCTGCTCCTATTACTCATCTAACTACCCCATTTCATGTCCCAAACTACGCTCCTAAGCAAATCAAGCTCAAAGGGGTGTTGTTTTGTTTTTTTTTTTTTTTTTTTTTTTTTTTTTTATGAATGCAATGCTCTCTTCTAAGGTTCATCATGCGTTAAAGCAATTTCTTTGAAATTCTACATTCTAAGCAAAGTTCTCACTTATCCGAACCTTCTTCAACCAGCAAGTCAACAGGCTCAGTATGGCTCAACTAAGATCCCAGTCATATGCAAGGTCAAAATCTGAACTAAAAGCTTGAACACATATCTACTTAGTTCAGGTGCTTGACACTGAAGAAGTAAAAAGTTAGGAGGGAAAGAAAATCATACAGTATTTTATCTCTTCTCAATGAAAAAAGCCTAAAAAAGCAGATCGAAGATGCAGAAGCCCTAGAATTTTTAGTACATGTGGATAAAACATAAAGAACTGAAACATTTTCTGCAAACCCCCTTTGCTCCAAGGTCTGTACATAACCACAGTAAAATGTTTCGACCAAAAAAAAATCACAGTAAAATGCTTTTCAATCAACACTTTGCAGACCACATAATTTTTTAGGAGAAAATTATCATATGCATAATGTATTCAGGTCGAGTACCTGCCAGGGATAAAAGCAAAAGAACCTTCAATAGAACCGGAAGAAAATGGTAGAGGTGTGCAACTCTCATAAACAAATTCGCTGTCACCTGGATGCAAAAGTGGGTACTGCAAACACGAAAGTATAAGATTTATAGCAGAAATTTAGCCACCTTCAATGCATAGTTTAATTACAAGCATAAGTTTATCTTCAATATCTTTTTTTCATTTTTCAAACACTTGTCTATAAATAGGTTAGATGAAACATTACTTTTTCTGTTTGAGAAGAAACAAAAAATTTATTAATAAAATGTCAAAAACTGCAATCGGGCTGGGGACATGGAGTCGACTCTGAAATTACACTAGTGAAAAAACACAATTTAATCTACCTAAACTACACATAAAGGAAAAGAATCAGGCTCCCAAACTTAAAACCACAATCAAAGTCTTAAACATTGGTCCTTACGGAAACAATGGAGATCCAGAAACCCGGAAATATCAATAAGATATCGATATTGGTAAAAATTGAAAAAAAAAAAACAAACAATGGAATTTGTGAGAAAGCTATGGAAACTTTGAGATATGTTTATTTGATCAATTATCTACTAATTTGATAAAAGAAATTGATAAAACTTAGTTGCATGGTGGGCTTGTGTTACTGAGATTGAATGTGAGACAAGGCTGACAGGCAATGTTACTTAGAAGGTTCACTAGTTACTACAGTTTAACTAAAACACATCAATTTCATTTATAATGATTTGTTACAATTGTTTGTTATTCATATATTTCATGGTGAATTAATAACAGTATTATTTAAACCAATTAAGTAGTTAACAATAATAAAATAAAATAAATAGAGAGAAATTAGAAACAGATATGGAGAATGCCGAATTCAAGATTTGCAAAAAAAATACAAAAAGATTAAGTAATTGAGAATAATAAAGTTACTTTAAGCTTTAGGAGATTTGTGGGTAGGTCATTTTTCTATGGAATAAGAGATAATTTCATTAAAAAATCTGACAAAAATTTGAGAATGAGAGAAGCTTACAATTATACAATATTTATAAGAGTGGAGGTGAGTAAATAGTTGGTGGGATCAGATGTTATAAATTATAGCTTACCTTAATAGAAGTCAACCTTTTCTTTCATATAAGTATAATACGAATGTATGATAAATTTTTTAGAGAAGTTAACCAAATCAAACGTTCAAACAATTGGAAATATCACCCCAAAAATTTCGCAGAAAAAAAAAGGAAAATATTGATGAAAAAAATCGAAAACAATATGATAAAGTGCAGTATCCTGCCAAAATATCAGGAAGTGAGAGAAACGAAATATCGGCCACAACATTATCAATATTTAAGACCATGACAATGATACATCAACTGATAGCTTTACAGTTCAATAAGAAGGAAGACTACCTGAACTCTACAGTGACCGAAGCCCAAAGGGCAGACCAAAAACTAATTTGACCACAGAAGCTCACCCTCCCCCAACTAATCCTCAGAAAACCTTCTATTTGACTCCATCCATATGACCCAAAACAGAAGAAGACCTTGAGAAATATATTTCCATGGACTTCAACTTGAATCCCCTCAATAAGGGTTTAGCATCCCAACCATTCGTAGCAACTCCATACTTACTCCAAATCAAGCTTACACCACAAAGACTTGGCTTCCAAAGGGTATCTCCACAACCACTTCCCAGGCAAGGCTTTATTCTCTCCACTAAATTGCCCACACCTATGCCCCCATCTTGTTGCTTCTATTATAGCCACCATGCTATCTTTCTTTCTGTACTATCTACCCAACCACAAGATATTTCTCATCAATCTTTCTAGACTCTTTGCCGCTGCAATAGGAATTTTGAACAAGGACTAATAATAAATTGGATGCAACACACTTGAATTAAAAGTGAATCTGCCAGCTCGTCATTTTTTTTTATATTTTCCTTCAAATAGCAGTGTCCTTGTTAATTCGCTCTATGTTAGTGACTTAATTAATTTCATGAGGATATATGGGAGGAATCTGATTTCTCAGAGTATTACCAGGTTCATAAGCAAACAAGTTCTCAAGTACTATTATTCATAAAAAGGAATGTAGATGGATTTTTAAAAAGTTAGGTCTCACGATAAGACTAGCACACTTCAGGCAAATAAACTATATGGACTAAGCAGGTCATTAGACTAGTAGCTCTAACACATAACATCAGACGCTTTGTTTTCTTGAAACAAAAGCATCAGAAGATTGTTATAAACTATAATTGAAATACGTTCTAGGGTCATGTATTTGGAAAAATAATAATAAATCCATCCATTTAAAGATAATGATAAATCACTTGTGATCTGCTAAAAAAAAGAAATAAGGGTGTCAATTAAGATTCTGTAAAAAATATATATATATTTAAAAACATTGGACAATGGAAGTAATTGACCAAGTGAAATTGTACCTGTCCTACAACAGCTTCTGCATTAACATCACCTACCACGACATCTTTAGCACGGATGATCCAGTGCCTACAATGCAGTTGGCAAGAGCTGAATGTCATTCCATTGATGATGCATCCTTCAGGAAGAAGGGACATGCGGATTGAATAAGCAAACAAATACTTTTCAGAAGTATGTTGGAGGTTAGCCAGTTCCGGGACAAACACAGCAGAAGCACGAACCTAAGATAGAATTCAAATAAGAATAAATTTATATAACAGAAAAGTGTAAGTAGTCATTATAATTGCATTCAGAATTAATGTCAAATATATCATTATAGAGAACAGGATTTTTGTAAGAATAATGGACAGGCCAATAGAGTATTAGAACAATAAATATAACTGTAATTTTTCATAGTAATGTACAAAAACTTAATAGTTTCTCATACATTGCAGGTGGAGGGATGCTGCCAGTAAAAAAAATATTTTATCCAGCCTGCCTGAAGCTCATGTCTGACACTTGAGATGCCTAAGATTTTTTAATATGTGGAAACTAGTGGGCCCTGTTTCAACAACATAGACACTACCTGCTTATTTCTCAAGACAAGAGGTAACGAGGAATTAAATATGGGTTTGCTGACTTGAACTGAGACATGGTCACAAACTACGAGCAGTTAATTCTCGATGCCAGTGCCCATTTGACAAAGTTAAATTTGTTCATTCCAATATACATCAAATGCCACATATACTTGCAATATTTGCTTGTTTTCTAGTAGGCCCAAGAGAGAGGAACCAAAAGAAAATTATTATGCAAAGAATTGCACATGCACATGTTCAAACACACACAATTGCCTACCTTTACACCATTTGTTATCGCAGTGGAACAGAGAGGGGATTCTTCTGGAAATTGACTGATGCTTCTGAAATTTTCTTCTTGACGAAGTTTAATAATGCCATTTTCTAAACGACGGCCGTGTTCTTCTAACCAAAGCAGCATTGCATCCTGCTGTTGATCAACACTGCAATCATGAACTGAACTAATCAACGCATTCGGTACACAAGGAAGCATTTCCCCATCAGCTCGAAGATTTCTGGTACCAACATAGAGTTGACCACTTGTACAGTTCAGGAAAAACTTCTTAATATATGTAAAAGATGCAGCCACAACAACACACTTCGATCTGACAGAAAAACCCTGTTTGCGTGTTATCTCCTCTGTTTCTGAGATGACCTGACGTAAAGGCAACAAATACACATTTATCAAGAGGTCATAAAATGAATAACCACCTATGATGCCCAATGGACAGCCAACCCCGCTATTTTGAAAATGTTTGTCCTCAAAATCTTGACCATCATGAAAACGATAGAGGATCCTCGTTGGGAGAGGAAGTTTCACTTTCAAGATTTTCTCCAACTCTTGAATATCAGCTTCTGATGCACCCTTGTTCAGTGTAGACTCAGCCTCTGGAAAATTAATAGTCAACCAGTTTCTAAGTTTGTCCCAACATTTTTTGACTCGCTTCACAAGCGACCAAGGATACATATTAAAGGCTTCACGCCATAATTGGTAACTTTCCTGGAGAGAGCAGGTGTGTTAGTACAGAGATAATATCCTTTTAACAGATATCAAATATATAACCAACTAAAAAAGGCCTCAATTCTAGTTACTTCAAGGATGAAACATTAAACCACCATTTCCACAAAGCTCCATGAGTGTTAGACAATCACTAGACCCCAAAAGAATAAGCTGTTAGGGAATGAGTCAACTGTGTGTATCTAGCATGCCTCCTCTAGCCCCCATTGTGTACGTGGAGAGTTAAATGCAGACAAAGAGAGACATACAAGTGCATCCCCATGGTGCACCTTGAAAACCAGTGAAGGAGTTCGGGAATGGAGATTGGAGGTTTTGAATCCAGGACCTCTGCAGAGTAAAGCTCTGATACCATGACAACCAATAGACCCCAAAAGATTAAGCTGTTAGGTAATGGGCCAACAATTTATCAAGCTAACAACAAGGGCTAGATTTCTTGGAAATTAAAAACATCTCTCACACCATGCGACGAGGACCAAATATGAATCTATAACGCAACTTAAATGAAAAAATAGACACAGAAGTTGACTGTGTGAAGTGCATAAAGATATAATTGCACATATATAGACCAGTAGATAGTACTTATCGTCACTCAAGGGGCCCATTATAATTAGCCCATAAATGCCTAAGAAATAATGCTGCTTAAATAGTATTGACACTTTAGACTCAAGAAGCAAGTTCGAACGTGCAACAAAACCAAAAGTACCATATGTCTGGAGTATTTTAACTAGACCCCATAAATTACAAGGTTATAATTTCATAGGATAATTGCCCAGACCACTCCTTGGAATTTGAGTCTTTTACCCAAATTACCAATCAACCAATCAGTCATGTTGATATGCAGTCTGTGCAAAAGTTTATGATGAATTTCCTAACACACATCCACAAATGAAATCAATCTAAACACAAAAGAGAAAGACTTTGGAATCTTTTAACAACATTGCAGTCAAATGAGGACCCCATGAAACCGACCCAGAACCCAAAATACATAAATAGGCACTAACTCACCAGCCAGACTGAAAATTCTGTAAGTTTCCTATTTGCCCATGATCACAAACTCGGGAAATTTGACGCCAAATAAAAATTTAATTCAAAGGCAACAAATTTGAAAAGAAATACATGGTTTGTCTTTAAGTGGTAAGAATTTGATGGGAATACCTTGAAAGAAGGGATGAGGTTGCCATGAGGGTCGAGGGGTTGCGAAAGGTCGAGGTCTCGAGCACAGAAATGGGACCAAAGAGACTCTTCAGAGGCCGAAGCTCTGAGTTTCTTGCTCACGCAGGCTGCTCTTGCTGAGTTTTCGGCTTCTAACTTGCTTAGGATTGTGTGTAGCGCTAGATCACCCACTGCCTCCAAACCCATCATCTCTTGCTTAGGCTTCTGCTGCGAGAGGTGTACTGCTACTTACGCTCTCCAAGGCAATGTCAGAATGTTCTATAGCGACATTTGTTTTTGGGTACACTCGGCCGAACCGACCAAATAAATTTGGGTGCATTTAATTGACATTTTAAAGAATTATTTTGGAACAAATAAGTCTTGTGGTTGTGGTATTTAATTAAGATTTTCAAATAATTTAAACAAGTTTTATGGTATTCCATTAAAGGGAGTGTATTCAATTAGGATTTTAGAGCATTTAAAAAGATTTTGTTTAAGTGCCAGCGTTCATAGAACTTGATGGAACTTTATAATTCGTATAGAACTTGATAGACTTTTAAAAAACTTCGGTATAATTTTTTAATAAACTTTCTTAAGATTTGTATGGCTTTTATTCCGAACTTTGAATATGGATATGTTTACACATTGGCCTCTTATGTAGGCAGTATATTTCATTTTAGGGAAATAGCTCAAAATACCACCCATTTTATAATTTTTTGTTAAAATACCACCTTTCCCCAAAATTTTTAAAACTACCACCTATAAATACATCTTTATTGTAACCGATTGCACCCATATCACAATTTCATAATTCTCTCTCAACTCTCTGTCTCTCTCTTCAGCCCGTCTCTCTCTGTCGCTGAGCTCTCTCCGTCGTGTAACTCTCTCTCTCTCCGACGCAGTCGTCTTCTTCCCTCAGGCATCCAAGCTTAACTCGACGGTTCATCCACAAGGTACTGTTCATCTTCCTTTTCTTAGAAATTTGGGGTTTTTGTGAATTTGTTTTATGGTGTATGGATTTGTATGAAATTGGTTTAGGGGTTTCTTCCAAATTGGTTTAGGGTTTATGGGTTTGTATGAAATGGGTTTAGTGGTTTCTCCAGAGTCTAGGGTTTGGAATTGATGAGTTATCTGATCTGGGCATCAGATCACCCAAATTTGTTTTTCTTTATTGTGATTGTGATTTTAGGTAAGGATTTGGTGATGGGTTTTTATTTTGGATCTTCTGATATCTGATATGGTTTTAAGATTGGTTTCATATCTATGATTTTGGTTAGTGTTAAAGTAAATAAATGGGTATTTCATTCCTGCTTGCTAAGGATTGAGTGATGGGTTTTTGTTTTGGGTCAGCTGATATGGTTTTGAGATTGGTTTCATATCTATGATTTTGGTTAGTGTTAAAGTAAATAAATGGGTATTTCAAATGGCATAAAAAACTTCAAATGCGGGCCATGGATGATGTTCAAGGGGTTCTTACTTCTTTGCATTTCCTTGCACAAAATCATGAATTGATGAAAAGGAGTACAGAGCAGATGGCACTATACAATTGGGTTGTGTGTGCACTGAGAGAATATGGCTAAAAGTAAAAATTGTGAACTTTTTACTATTTTCCAAAAAAGCTCCTAGTGAAGTGCATGACATGTGCTGAAAAGTGGCATAAAAAACTTCAAATGCAGAGCAATAGGCTCCTTAAATACACAACTTTGCAAAGCAAAATGTTATTTTAGATATAAAAAAAGCTCGTTTGAATACAATAGTGGGGTAATATGCTCTTTGAATACAATGATATAATAATAGGCTCTTGATAAGTGCTGAGTTTGTTTTGTTTTGTTTTGTTTTTAAAATATGTGACCTTAATTATGAATTTGAATGCAATATTTTTGAACAATTGATTTATAATAGAAAAACAACATGCACACATTCTGAACAACGACTCTTTGATCATAGGATATTGGTATTGCTAGCAGTTAGTTAATAGTATTTGTGTCCAAGAAGACCCCATTGTGAGCACAACTTTGACAGAGTGGTTATAGAGATAAGAGGTGCTAAGAAATTAGATATTCTGATTTGTTCAATTACATTGCACCATCTTATTATAGTTACAGCTAACCTCAACTGGCTTAGTGAACAGTTGTAACTGATAAAAGAGTTATAACTAGCACTATTTATTTGGATATGACAATTTTCTAACTGGCTTTGAGCCGTTGAATTAGTAGGTCAGTTGTAAATAGCTGGGGTTTTGTTTATGCTATGTATTTTTTGTTTATTTTTCACTTAATATCCAATAATAGGCTGTTGATAAGTGTTGATTGTTTATTGCTTGTTATTGTCTAGATTGCAACGGACTTAAATTATTTTTATAATATTGGCGTGCAGGGAAATATGGTTTCTCCAATTAAGTTGATGATTGCAGAGGAAGAAAACAAAGACTGCAATTAGTACCATAAAGGAGAAATTCAGTCAGCAACAGCTACAAAGGTTTGAAGAGAGTTGTTTTGGTAATCTCCTACTGATTGAGGACCTGAAGTGGACTTCGCCAATTGTCCACGGCTTGTTGCTGAAGAAGGCTTATCTGAAGACAGTTTCCCAAGTGAACGAGATCAAATTCATCATTGGCAATAAGGTGATTCAATTCACAGCGCAACAATTTTGCGTCGTCACAGGGCTAAGGTTTGGAAACCTTCCCTTCATTCTGATTGCCACTAATGAGAACTGCTCATCGAAAAGGAAGTACTTTGGCAACGATAAAACTGTCAACCTTTTGGAATTAGAAAAAGCCTTCGTCGACTGCGCTGATGAGGACGATGTATTAAAGCTTGGATTTGTATACTTTGCTATTTTTGTGCTGTTGGGGAGTGAAAAACATGTCCACATTGACATGTGATATTTGAAGTTGGCTGAAGACCTTGAAGAGTTTGTGAAATATCCATGGAGTGTTGTGTCTTATGCCAAGAAAAATGCGTAACTTCTGAGGGCACTTTGTGCAGATTGCCAGCGAGTGAAAGTGCCCAAAAAAGCTGCGAAAACGAAAAAATCTGAAAAGAAAGCAAAGACAATGGCAACTGGTAGACCAAAAAAGTACCACCTCAAAGGTTTTGCCTTTGCACTTCAGGTGAGCAAATTTCCATTCATGTTTAAGTTAAATTTCATTTGTTTACAGTGAGTGACGTTTTCTTCCTCAAACCAGATTTGAGCTTATGAGGTATTTCTAGTGTTGGTTGCACTACATTTGGTGCTGCACGAAGATAATGCCTACATCCCTAGCATACTACATTGGAGGAGCAATAGTTCAGCTCGTTTTCATGAGCTAATGAGCCAAGTATTCGAGAACCATGAGGTTAGTTATGTTTCTAATGATAATGTTAGGCATATGAAAATATAATAAGTTTACTGATATGTATATTGTCTATGTAAATTGCACGTTGATGTGCAACTTCTCCGGCCAACTATAATTGACAAGCAGCGGCCCTATTGTACTTGGGATGACAATGTTGACGACACTGAAGAACTTGTTGAGTTGTTTGGCGATGAGGCTGAACAAAAAACCAGCACTTCTGCCTCTGTATAAGAAAAAGATGATGACATTGACGAAACTGCTAGCCTTCCGTCGTCTTCTAAGGCAAGCATTACCTTGTTTACAATATATACGTCATAATACCGTAGGAAAATAACTACTATATTTGGGATATATTTTGGAATTATTGTAACACTTGCATTATAACTGAATGCAGGGTAAACTCGTGTCCAATGAGTTACGCACTTTGAAGCGTGACTTTCAAAGGACAAAGGATGAATTGGCCAATGTAGCCCGTTCAAATAAAGCGCTTCACAACAGAGTTCATGAGTTGGAAGAAATGGTACGCAATGAGTCATTGAAACTGGAAAGAGAGTTTGCAAAAAGTAAAAAATGTGTGGAGGATTTCGGCAAGACACTCGCTTAAATGGAACACGATTTTAAGCTGGAGATAGAGTAGCTAAAAAAACGAAATGGTGGGTTCAATGAAGGTGGGGAAGGACATGAGGACCTCGGTAGTCCTCATATGAATGAAGGAGGTGACAATGACTTATTGCCATTACATGACTATGTTAGTCCGCCTACAAAACCGGCAGCATGGAAACACAAGTCCCCGGTGATGGAGCCGAACCTTCCGCAACCATGGTAGTCGAAGAGGCATAAGTGGCCGCTTCAGTTCCTCACTTACAAGTGCATGAAGCAGCTGAGCAGGTAGAATCCAAGAAGCTGCCTACCCTGGAAGATGTGGTCGGGTGTGACGAAATCTTCAAAAGACTCTTGTTTTTGTTAGAAGATTGGAAAATAACTGACAGTGTGCCATCGAGAGGTCCGATGAATCCTCCAAGTATACCCAAAGTTAGTATGGCTGGTGATGAAGAAGGTAGTGTGAGTGTTGAAAAAAAAGAAGTGGAAGGTAAAAGGTGCAGAAAGAAGCGCCCAGCCTAGACATTGTTGAGTCCATTTACTGATCATTTGAGGAAGAAGAGGACGATGAGTGTGTCGAATGCGATTGCAACCCTGCCATGTTTTGATCCATCAAAACCCCTACCCATTGAAGATGTGAAGGCAATAATAGAGTTTTGCACTGCTTGGAAAAACGATATCAGGTTAGGATTCTTTACCTTCGAAATCCAATATTCAAGTTATTCTAGTATGTACTCATATAGTAATGAGAAAATGTAGAGTTTGGTTTAATATACATGTGTATATTTGTCATGAACAAAGTCAGAATTATGAGATGAGTACAAAATTCACCGTTGCAAGTTTGCCTATTGTAGTGCGGAGGTGCAGTTGGAATCATGTACTCAGTGGGGGCTAATTTTTTCTACAAATTGATTGATGATACGGTATGGATTAGCTCAAGGGTAAGAATACACAAATCTCTACTTTATTACGATAATTCAATTGTTTTCTCACCTTTATTAAGTGTACAGTTGTATGAAATTGTGCTGAGATTATATACGTCAACTTTCAGCACCTGGACATGGCAACCTTTCTCATCCGGAAAAGGCAACTCTCTCATCCGTTGCTATTTGGAACTCACTGGACAATGGCAGATTGTTGCTTGCAGGTAAACATGTTACCATGTTACATTCACTGCTTCATTTGCTTTCGGTTGTCATTATGTAATATGCCTTCATTTCAATGTCTGCAACAATTTCTAGAGCCGGTCAAAGCGACTGCCAAGAAACGTGGATCGAAGAAGGCAGCTGGTTCAAACACCATTGACCTTTCACCCAGCAAGCTGAACAATATACATCACTTTGTGCGTGATACGTGGCAACCCGGGTATGGCCAAGCTTGGACAAAAGTCTGGAAGGTCTATTTTCCATATAATCTTACAGGGTCCCACTGGGTTGCAATCAAAATTGATTTCGTCAAACATACTGCAACTATGTATGACTCCTACTCTGATTTTACTGCCATTTCGAAGCTGGTTACACATCTGCACCCTATTAGCAATACGCTGGCACAAGTGCTGTACAATATGCACTTTTATGAAGGTTCTGAGGTTGAAGAGGTTAAGCAAAAGGGGCTGCAGATGTCGAGCTTTACACCATTCTCAGTTTGTAGCATTAGAGATGTGCCACAACAACGAGATGGGTAAGATTTGTGAATTTAGTGCAGTTTATCGATATTTTACATAACTGCAGTTCTAATTTCCCAACTTATTAGCATGACAGTACGTCTTGCGGAATCATGACCGTAAAATTCATCGAGCTTCTCAGTGCTGGGATTTCGTTGGATCAAGTTGACCCTTTGAAGAGCAAATATTACCGACTGAAGCTTGCAATAGAGGGTTTAATGGGGGAGGCATATTTATGAGGTAAATGTCTTAATGTTTGTGAATTGAGTTCAGTCTGGACTTAAGACTTGGGAATTCACTGTGCTCATTAATTATGTCAGGAACTCGATTTGTAGAAGATGCAGACGTAGATGCTTTGTTGGAAAATCTTGCCTTTTTGCTAGAGCTAGTTGGTTTAGTTATTATGTGTTCCAAGGTGAAATCATTTCCCGAGTCTTCGGGCCTGCTGTATATTGTGAGGTGTCATATTGTATAGTCTAGAAGCAGTGGCTAATTGCCTTACATGGCACACACACTGTTTCAATTTTGAAGGTTAACTATTTTGTACACCTCCATATATAAATATAGTTGCTCTTTATGGATGCTTGCCTTACATGGTATAACAGTTTGCAATTTCTGGTCATTTTTGTAGCCATTGTTCACATTTTGTCTCAGTGGTTTTGTTTGCAATTTATGTCATATAGGTATATTTCATTTCTTGCACTGGGAATTTGTTAGTGGACTTAGTGAAGCATACAGCTTTCTTAAGATTTCTCAATTTAGTTTTGACTTAGTTCCGTTTAAATAAGTTCTGCAGCAATTCTACTTTTCTACTTAGCATTATGTTGTTATTGGAATTTGGAACCTCATATTGTTTACAAAGGGTTAAGATATACTTTACCACATGACCATTTCTTTTGTTGGGGAGTTCCTGCAAAATGCAGAGGAGCTTATAAGGATGGGCCTGCACCCAAGTGAGATCATAAGTGGGTACAATAAAGCTAGAAAAAAGGTTTGCCAATGATTTGCTAATCAGTTACTGATTTGGGTTATTAGAATTCTTTTGTTCTGATTATTTACTTGCTTGTTGGAATATTGTAGACGATCGAAATCCTAGATGAACTGGGAAGCCACATATCCACTACAAAAGGTTTCTTATCTTTCCTTTTCAGTCAATGGTTGGTTTCAAGAGGATAACAGAGTCACAATGCCAACCTTTTTATTTTTTATTTGTTTTACAAATAGTATTGATGGTTTGCATTTAAGATTTTTACGAATTATAGCATTCGGGAATAAGTGAGGATTTCTTTGGATAACTGATAAATAGTAACTTGGAAACATCTCGACTTCAAACATTTTGGGTATTTAATGAACTTTAGATAGTTCTGTTTCATTAATTTATTGAAATCCATATGTTTTAGTTGGCCAGGAAGTTGTTTCGTATGAGATATAGGTATCAATCTTCTTTCTTGGGTTGTTTGTTGCAGGTTCTTTGCTCTCAAGTATGCTGCAGATGCTGCCTGCACTGTTTTGTGTGTATGACAATTGACTATATGTGCTTGTATTGCAGGTTAGGGATCTTTTGTTCCATTTTAGTAACAATTTTGTTTAGGAGAAAAAGCAACATATTGCAGTTCATGCTTTGGAATTGCCACTCTTCTGTTACGATGGACATGTGGTATGCCCTTGTTGGGTAGGTTTGGATTGAAACCATGGTCGACTGCTTGAGCCATGTTTAGTGAGAAGCTTGAATGGATTTTCTTTTATGTTGTATTTGGCCCTTCTCTTTTCAAGCATGCCAAAAATCATCCTAGTTTTGTAATATGTGGTTTGTGCCCAATTAATTTACCGTGGATCTTGCATTTTTGTACCCAATATTTGATAGCTACCTTCTTTTAAACGAAGATTCATTGAGGGAGAGAATTACTTTCCTTTTGAATATGAATCGATGTGCAACTCCAACTATCATTTGAAAGGTCAACATCAATTCATGCTAATATAAGGATGGATAACAATTGTCGTGTCCATGAGATTTGAATTAAGGATTACTTTAAACAAAGTGTTGACTGGTATTATACCAAATGGCCATTGACATACGATATAATAGCAATAGTTGGCCAATATACATCACTATAGAGGCAATATTAGAGCAATATAACCACAATACGATAGCACTAGTATTACAATATACATGCTATAGGGTGGTGATATGCATACACTATCTACGCAATACAAAGGCAATAGTAAGGCAATAGGCATACAATAGAACGACAATATTACGTTAATCTACATACAATAAACACACATCCATTACAGACTATATTTCACACATGCAAAATAAATCGCCACCAAACCGTAACAATACTATCCCGCGAAGGGAAAAGGAAGGCAACAAAAGATCCATGTACTCGGGTGAGATGAATTGAAGCAGCACTCACCCTTACTAGAGGTCCATCAAAAGATCCATGTCTTTGCCCTTCCTCCTTGTTGCATGCACGAGGCTATGATGAGCCATTCCCTCTGCACCCATATTGAGCACCTCCCAGACACCAGCTACATCAATGTCACTTCAATTGTAGTCTGGTGAGATGACTGAAGCATAATCTCTGAAGATTTCGAAGCCGTTGTTGAAACATTCAACCATTTCATGGTTATATTCTTCAGATTGTGTGAATTTTTCGACGGCATATTTCTTTGCCTCTCCAATTTTAACTTTAGGGACTCTAACTCTTTGTTTCGACTTTTTGCTTTTAGAGTTTGCTTCACTTCTCCAGCATATGCTTTGTTCAACTTGTTGGCCAAGTTTCTCATAACTTGGCCATGAATATCACATTTAGTCTCCCACCAATCTATTGCCTTAGACAAATATTGGAGGTCGTGCTTGACAGCTGAGATTTTGTCAAGCGGATCATTGCTCTCAGCCTCACTTCCAGATGAAGTGGGATCGTGATTGGGAGTCAGAGGTGGAGATGGGAATGGCACATGCCACAGCTGGTCCCCCGGGTAGCTGACATGGTCGTTTGGAGGGCGTACATCAGACATCATTAAGTATTGTAGGGGACAATTCACAGATGTCGACTGCAACAAAACAAAGAAAGGTACATTCAGTCTCCAGTTGTAAACAACAATATGCCTATTGTAGTGGAGAATGTTTGCCTTTGAGAAACAGTACTTACCTTTCCTGTTAAGAAGGTGGCTATGCTGCACTTACATATAGAAAGCTGAAGTTATATGTAGGAACGTATATGAAGACTTTATTGGGTATTTAGTTGGTCATTCAATTGATGGGATTGCAAACTACAACATTTACTCCTTGGCTGTAATTTACAACAGTAGAGCATTACATTAACAACAATAAAATTGGCTTACAAACGAATTTACAGCAAACCTTAAGGGGTAATTGGAAAATACCAAAATAGGAAAATAGCAAAAGTGCAAACTTGGAAAATAGGAAATAAGGAAAATTGGAAAATTGGAAATAGAACAAAAGGAAAATTGGAAAATTAGAAATACAAAAAAAATGGAAACTTGGAAATTTGGAAAAATGGAAAATTGCAAAATTGCAAAAGTGAAAAATTGGAAATAGGAAGAAAGGAAAATTGGAAAGAGGAAATTAGGAAATAGGATAAAGGGGCACTTGGAAAATAGGAAAAAAAGAAAGGACGCTTGGCAAAATTGGAAAATTGGATATTTGGATAATTGAAAATTAGGCAACTTGGAAAATTGGAAAATTGGAAATAGAACAAAAGGAAAATTGGAAAATTGGAAAAAAAAAAAAAAAAAAAAAAAAAAAAAAAAAAAAAAAAAAATTAGAAAAGAGGAAAAATTGGATTATAGGAAAATTGGAATTTGGAAATTTGGGTAATTGGAAAAATTGGAAAATTGGAAAATTGGAAAATTGAACGAAAGGAAACTTGGAAAATAGGAAAATAGGAAATAGGAAAAAAAGGAAACTCTGAAAACAGGAAAAATGGAAAAAAGGAAGAAAGGAAAAAAGGAAAAGTGGAAAATTCGATATAGGAAATAGGAAAAATGGACACTTGGAAAATAAGCAAATTCGCAAATTGAAAAATTGGCCCCATTGTATTGGTGGGCTCCACCTCTATTAGAGAGGTGGTACAATTGTGGTATGAAAAATGTGGTAATCCTAGCATTACTCAATTGAAAAATAGGAAATAATGCAACTTGGAAAATAGCAAAATTGGAAATAGAACAAAAGGAAAGTTAGCAAATTGGAAAATCGGAAAATTGAAAAAAGGAAACTTAGAAAATAGGCCAATTGAAAAAAAGAAAATTGCAAAATTGCAAAAAAACAGAAAATTGGATAATTGAAAATAGGAAACAGGGACACATGGAAAATAGGAAAATTGGAAACGAATTGAAATTGCGGAAATGGGAAATAAGACAATTACCATATTGGACAATTTTAATTACTTTCTCAATTACGCAAAGTAGGCAAATTTTTTTAAATTAGATAATGGCAAAATAGGAACATTGAAAAATTGGAAAACTGGAAATAGAACAAAAGGAAACTTGGGAAATTGCAAAATAGGAAAATAGAAAATAGGAAAAAATAGGCAAAAATAATGAAAAATTGGAAAATAGGAAAATATGAATAATGGAAAAATGGAAACGAATTGAGATTGCTGAAATGAAAAATAAGAAAATAACCATATTGGTCAATTTGAATTAGTTGGTGAATTAGGCAAATAGGCAAATCCCTTATTTGTATTACATAATGGGAAAATTACCAAATTCAGAACATCCAAATTAGAATATATTACAAAAAGGCATATAGTCAACTAGGTAATAACTCCCGCCCAATACTATCCCGCCAATCCCTCCCGCCAATTACCCCCCCAATCCCTCCCACCAATAACTCTCTCAGTTACTCCAAGTCATTAAAACCTGCCTATATTAATCAACCCAGCTGTTTGAAATGAAAACTTCCATCACATTAACTCCTGCTTGCAGCTATTACCTTCCCCACTGATTTCACTCACATCGTATTTAGTCCCCCTTGTTTCCAATTAAGTCCTACACCAGCCTACAATAAATATCGAAGACCATGGACCATAACCTCACACCAAACCCAACGCTTTCAATTACTGAAGGAGGGGAGACTGAAACAGAAGCCAAGTCACCCAATTCACTCACTGCAAACTTGGTCCATGGCATGCAGCAATGTCGATGCAATACCATGTTTTGGAAAAATCTCCATGCAGACATAGTTTCAAAAATTGTGGTGGGCCAAGCTAGATGGGGTGTCCTAAAAAAGCGCACAATTCGCTCTCGTTATCATGCCCGCATGCATCTCTTACATATAAAGGCAATGGAAGGAAAAATTGAAATTGCCCCTGCCACTGCAATTATGGTATTCAAGGAATCAGAAGAAATGGCCAAGTTGAAGCAACAACAAGTGGAAAGCGGATTCGAACTATTTCGTAAGTTTGCAAAAATAGTGGATCCGGCAGGAAACTGGGGCAACATCACTGTGGCCGGGGTCATGAATTTCATGATTCACGGTCGCCGCACTTGAAGAGTATGCAACTTCGAATTTGTCAACAGTAGGGAAATGGAACTATGAAACCCCCCATCTTTTTGTATTATGTAACGATGGGGTGGGCTGTTGTTGTATTATGTACGTTTGGAAATTGGATTTTATGGAATGATGATGCCTCTTTTTGTATTTGTGCATATACAGTTTATCATGTCCAATTCAGTGGCGATATAGCAGCAATAACTATACAATAAACACATGCGTATAATGGCAATATTATATCAATAAGAGCACAATAAAGTAATAATAGAGTTGCAATATGATCCTAGACGTACTGCATCAAAATGTTTTGTATATTAGTTGGTCCAAAAAAATACAAATAAATAATAAACAAAAAGTAATTACAAACTAGAAAAAGGATGAAGTATTCATCCCTTAAAAGACATATGGCCTACATTACAGACCTTAAAAATGAACTCTATATATATAATGCATGCCTTGTAGCACCATCACATCCCCCCCAAAATTACAGAAACATGACACCCCAAAACCTCATGCTCCTTCCTCTTTCAACCCCTAAATTATCCATTGGATGCCCAATACTAGATGACTGCTTGGGGGGTGGGATACCCTGCAACTCCATAATAGAATTCGTAGGGGAGAGTGGTTTCGGGAAGACGCAGCTTTGTCTCCAACTTACGGTACGAGCTCAACTCCCACCCTCACATGGCGGACTAAGGGGCTCCTCCGTCTAGATATTCACAAAATTCAGCTTCCCATTTCGTCGATTGCAACAACTAGGCAACCTTTATCATGCATCATACCCCAACTTAATAAGGTTGGAGCCATTGGAAGACATATATGTTCATGGCATTCATGATGCTCAACAACTCATCCATGTCCTTGGAGACATAGAAGCATTTATTGCCATTGATCACACCCGCCTACCTGTGAAACTCATTGTCATTGATTCTATTGCTACATTGTTCTGATCACAGTATCAGACAACACCGGCAGATTTAAAAAAGTGGTCTGAAATGTTCTTCAACATATCTGGGACATTGAAGGGTTTAGCACATAAGTTTGGGTTGGCGGTGTTTGTCACCAACCAAGTGGTGGATTTTATTGGGCCACATGATGGAGTGAATGGGGTGAGGTTGGGAAACTTGGAGTCCCTAGACATATCAGGCAGACGGGTGAGTCCAGCTTTGGGACTGGCGTGGGCACATTGCATACATTCAAGAGTGTTCTTGGCAAGACATGAGCAATCTATTGGGGTTAACATTCGTAATGCTCCTTCAACAACTATATGTAGTGAAACACATAGGACATTTCACCTTGTATTTTCCCCACATCTGGCCCATGCGTCGGCCGAATTTGTAATCAGAAAAGAAGGTATAGTCGGAGTATCACGGTAACTGTGTAATAAAGGAATCCTAAGCACTTTAATGTTTCGGATCCATTTGGAATTACATTACAGGGCCTTTAAGTTCGCACTCACAATTTACATTGCAATGGCAATACCAGTACAATATAATAGCAATTTGGAAGCAATACAACATGCTGTAGCAATGCAAACCAAATTATGCAAAATTAAAATAATTCCCATTCAACATAACACGAAATCCACCACAAATAAAAGTAAAGTTTACATGACCTACAAAAGCAACACAAATCATATTGTCTAAGATACATTGCGCAATGGAATATTGTTTTTACAGGTGCTTTTATTGTGGCCTGTAGAACCGCACCTTGAGCACTTTCTTGTAATGGTGCCCTCTCCTTGCGAGAGAATTCTTATCATCTTTCGTCTGCCTGGCATGACCCTTGCCATGGGAGGTAGCAGAACTCGACTTCGAACATCTTCAGGAATATCCCACATTCTGTGAGGCTATACTGGGTAGATGCTATCCGAATAAGCATCCATCCAGGTTTTCCGAGTGTAATACCGAGAAGCCTTTGAGTATACATTTATGTTCAAGAAGCGGCAAACTGCAACTACATGCTTGCAAGGTAGCTACTCAAGATGAAACTTTCTACAACTACAACTGTTGTTCGTCAAATCTATGAGGCCGTCCATATCACCATCCAAAACATTAAACTATGCGTTATTTAATTTAACGACATTCATCCTTGCAGCATCCTTCAACCTATTCCTCAATTTCTTCTCTCCAAAATTGGGGCACAATGTTGTTGTGCAATTCAAAGCCAACTCATGACGTTCGGTGAACCATTTCACAAGGAGATTAATAATTTCCCCTATCAAATGAACCACCGGCTGAATCCTTGCAAACCTAAGGACTGAGTTGATTCACTCCACAATATTTGTTGTCATTACATTGTAGCGGCGTCCATCCATGTGAGCTTTAGACCACTTATGTAACCCTGCCTGTTCAAGATATTGAGCAACATGTTCCTTTCGCTTCATCTTGCGAAAATGACAATCAAATTCAGCAATGGAATAAGATTTCACAGCCTGCTTAAAGTGCATAAGTATTTGATCACGCTTTTTCAACCTGCAAGTGCGTTTCATGTTCCCCTTCATATGATAAAAGCATATGCCATGTTGCGCAGTTGGAAAAACTTTGTTCCACACATTCTCTATGCTAACATTGCGATCAGAAATAATAACAAGATTGGGACACTCACCAATGGCTTCATAAAGTTTAGTGAAAAACCAATGCCATGATGCATCCGTCTCCAAATCCCCGATCCCAAAAGCAAGAGTATATATATTTCGATTACCATCGAATGCATTTGCTACAAACATAACGCCCTTGTACTTGAATTTTAAATGAGTGGCATCCACGGCTATCACTGGGCGCATGGAAGAACGAAACCCTCTAATACATGCGCCAACCGCCATAAATAAATACATAAAGTGATTGTTCTCATCAGTTTGGATGTGTATTTTTATGCTGGGCTCCAATTCATAGCAATAAGCTGGAAGGATATAATATGCCTCCTCCGCTGATCCTCTAATGGATAATAGAGCTAACTCCCTTGCTTTCCAAGCTTTCGAATAATGGATGGTGAAACCAAAGTTGTGTTTCACATATCTCATAATGTCACTTGGTGTGATCGTAAAGGGAAGGGGACCAGAAAAGAAATGAACTATTATTTTTATTAATAAACAACCATAACCCATGACATCTAAAGTAAAAAAAAGGGAACATATAATTCTAACCTCTTAGGCCATCTCCAGCCATGGGTTATATCCCAAATATTGCAAAACTCATCTCCAGCTATAGGCTAAACAAAATTTTAGCCAAATTTGGAGGGCCACCTTTGGCCCTTTAGCCCTCCAACCAGGCCACATGTAGCCCAGCTTAGGCCTAGGGCAAATATTTTGTGGGTCCCATGCATGTGCTTTTAAATGTTTTCAATTCATGTTGTTTAAGAAAAAAAAAGTATAAAAAAGTATTGGTCATGACCGTTGCAGGCCAGACCATTGAAAACCAATCCTTGTTTTTTTATATAAATATGGTCACCTTTTTAAATGTCAATTCATGTAATTAAGAAAAAATTATAAAAAAAATAATTGGTCATGACCAGTGGAGGTCAGACCATTGAAACCCATCCTTTTTCTTTTCTTTTTTTAATTTACATGTGGTCACCTTTTTAAATGTTTTCAAGTGTTGTTTTTAAAAAAAAATTATAATTAAATTAAACAATATATAGTTGTAGAATGTATGAGTATTGTATCATAATTTTTTCTCGAAATAATAAAATATGAAGGACCCTAAAATATAGCTCTGTATGGCTGGAGATGAAAAAATTTAGCCCGGCACTATTCTTTAAAAAATTAATATTTTGGAGGGCTAAATTTTTAGCCATGACATTTAGCCCTATGACTAGAGATGGCCTTAGCTCCTGTCTCTGATGTGGAGCTTGATCTAACTATTAGGGGTATTGGAGCTTTGAAAGCTCCTGGTCCTGACAATTTACAGGCTATCTTTTACCATAATTTCTAGGATAAAACCAAACTGTACTTGAAGAATTTAGTTAATGAGTTCTTGGTCAATAATGTCTCTCTGCAAGATGTGAACCATACAAATTTAGCTTTGATTCCTAAGGTCAATGTTCATGAGTCTGTTGATCAATTTCCTTCTATTAGCTTATGTAATGTTTCTTACAAACTAATTACAAAGATCCTAATCAATAGGCTGAGACCTATACTCACAAAATGCATTTCTAAGAATCAAGGACCCTTTGTCCCAAGTAGATCAATCTTTGACAACATTCTCATTGCTCATGAGTTTTTTCATGACTTTAAGAGAAAAAAGGGCTTTCGAGGAGCTACGGCTAATAAGCTTGATTTAGAAAAGGCTTAGAGCATTTCCAGCAGCTAAGGCTGGACTCAGGCTGGGGGATTAGGGCCAAAAAGGGGTTTCCAGCAACAAAAGCTGGCCCATGCAAGAGGTGGGGGCCACCAGATTGGGCTGGCCTGAGGTGGAGTTCAACCCGCGCACGAGCCCGAGGCTTGGGTGATGTCATCACTGACGCCAGCCCTTGCGATTTGAATTTTTTTACCGTTGGTGCGTGCAATGCACGTACCAACAACAACAAAAAATAACACCCTCGCGCTATAGTAGCAGCCAACAGCTAGCTTCCACGTGTCGATGTCTGGGCTCTCCAATTTGATTTTTTTCCACCAATCCAACGACAGCCAACTTTTGTGCAATAAAAAATTGAAATTTAAAAAAAAACAAAAACAAAAAAATTACTAAATTTTTTTCTTTAAATACCAACCAATACTCTTCACTTTTAACACCAAATCCTCATACATTTTCTTCTCCTTCTACTATTATTCACTTTCTACACAATATTTTTTCACTTTCATACCTCCCACACCAGATTTTCTCTACATTTTCATTTATCAAATTTTCATTCTCCATTCTCAAATGGCAGACATGCAAGAGGTTTTGGAGAGGCAAGAGCGAGAAACTAGAGAAAGAATGCGTAGATGAGCTGCAGGCAAAAGGGCGTAGAGAGAACTAGATGAGCAAATTGTCATAGTAGTGGCTTTTCTTGATGAAGAAAACCAGAGCCGCCGTGGTTCATGAGAAGGTCGTGCCCCGAATATGAATAAACATAGACATTCTCGAAGTAAGAATCTTATGGAAGATTATTTTATCCCAAATTCTTTGCACTCTGATGTTCATTTTTTAGCGCGATATAGAATGTAACCCCATTTGTTCAATAAAGTCATGCATGATATTTGCAATTATGATGAATACTTTGTTCAAACGAAAAATGCTACTGGAAATTTGGGACTTCTTCCCGAGCAAAAGTTCACAGCTTTTATACGAATGTTGGCGTATGGGTCATCTGCTGATCAGGTGGATGAGATTGCCCGGATGGGGAAGTCCACTAGTTTGGAGAGCTTGGTGAGATTTTGTGATGCAGTGGAAACTCTGTACACTAGGGACTACCTGCGCAAACCTACGCCCAGGGACCTGCAACAGCTTCTACAAAAAGCCAAAGCACGAGGATTTCTTGGAATGATTGGTAGCATCGACTATATGCATTGGCAATGGAAGAATTGCCCAACTGCTTGGCAAGGGGATTATGGAAATAGGAAATGGCAGAAAAGTATTATCCTTGAAGCCGTTGCTGGATTCGACACATGGGTTTGACACGCCTTCTTCGGAGTTGCCGGATCTCAAAACGACTTGAACGTCCTGGGTCAATCCCCAATGTTCAATGATATTTTGAGAGGTGAAGCCCCGAATATCACCTATGAAATCAACAATACCATCTACCAGAATGGGTATTATCTAGCTGACGACATCTACCCAAGGTGGACCACATTTGTGAAATCAATTCCACATCCCCGATCCCAGAAGCAAAAATTATTTGATGCCTATCAATAGGGTTATAGAAAAGATGTGGAGAGGTGCTTTGGTATTCTCCAAGCCCGGTGGGCTATTATTAGGGGCGCGATGCGTCTGTTTGATGAGGAGGTGCTGAGGAGCATAATGATGACATGCATCATCCTCCATAACATGATTATGGATGATGAGTATGATTACGATGCTGCAGACGTGTACGAACCGGATTCCATAAACACGGCCTTGACACGAATTTATGAAAAACCCATGGGGCCAAATGGAGAACCAGTGCAGCATGAACCGTTGGTTAAGGGCGGTAGTTTCATGCCCCGTATGATTGATTGATACACGGAGATGCAATCGTCGTATATTCATGAACGATGTCAAGTTGACTTGATGGAGCATTTATGGGTGGTGAAAGGCAATGAAGGTGAATGAAGTGAAGTGAAGATGTTTTTTTTAATTTATTATGTTTATGTTGTATTTTTAGTTATGCTTTGTTTTTTTAATGCTTTGGTTGTGGTTTGTTTATTTTTTATCTGAATTTTGAATTTTGAAATGTATCTGAAATTTGAAATTTGAAATTTATCTGAAATTTGAAATCGAAAATCTTATCCGAAAATTTTATCCGATTATGAGATATGAATAGTATTGACACGTAGGAACCCAAAAATCTTATTCGAAAATATTATCCAAATTAATTGTTTAGGTAAAAAAAGTTGTGAAAAAAAATAAAAAAATGAGTAGTATTTGCCATGACAAAGGACAACTGTTGGAAACACACATTGCTTTTTGCAAGGGCAGCCACTATTCACGTGAATAGTAGCTGCCCTGGCAAAGGGCAAACTGCTGGAAGTGCTCTTATAACCTACTTGATTGGGGTTATATTAGATGTTGCCTTACTCATTATGGGTTCAATAATGCTTGGTGTCACAGAATTATGAACTGCGTTACTAGCACTTCGTTCTTGATTAAGATTAATAATGGCACTTCCCATGGTCATTTTAAAGCTTCTCGTGGTATAAGGCAAGGGGATCATTTATCTCCTTACATTTTTATCTTATGTATGGAACCCTTTATTAAACACTTTAATCTTATGGCTATGTCTTCCAAGACACATGTGGGTCTTCTTTCTTCTCTTTGTGGATTTCGAATCTCCTTGTTTTTGCAGATGATTGTCTTCTGTTTGTGAGAGCTACTTCGAAGGCTGCTAATAACATTAGCAATCTTCTTGAAAATTTCTCTACAGCCTCTGGGCAAAAAATTAATTTACACAAATCCACGGTGTTTTTCTCTGCTAATGTTCACAATAGAGCCATAATTACTCTCTCTAACCTCCTACAAATTCAACATAAAACTACATTAGGCCGGTATCTAGGCATTCATAACATTGTTTCTTGGAAAGACCCAGATAACACTAAACTCATGATTAAAAGAATCCGCAACAAGTTTGCTGGTTGGAAGGCTCAGACCTTGTCTAGAGCTGGTAGACTCACTTTAATTAAGGCAAGTGTTTCAAGGATCCCCAATCACACTCTTGCTTGATTTAAATGTCTAAAGGAAGTTAGGCAGACCTTTTTTCTAGGGTAGTACGGGAATAAAATCCCCCAAGTTTCGTGGAAAGACATTTACCTTCCTAAGCCCATGGGAGGTCTTGGAGTTCGTTCTGCTGCTCATTTTAATCAGGTTGCTCTTGCTAAGGAAAGCTATCTTAGATGCTCGTTTTGTTCTTTCTAAAGGTTTGAGGTGGACGGTGGGTAATGATCTTTCTATTCCTTTCTAGACTGCCCATTGGGTTTTCCCTTTCCCCCTTATTGAGTTGTTTTCTGATATGCAGATAAATTTTATTGATCATAATGTCTAGTTTCAAATTTCATACCAAATCAGACTTGGAACAAAGATAAACTACTGGAAGTTGTTGATGAAGATATTTGTGAGAGAATTCTTACTAAAGCAGATCTCCTGAAGAAAATGTGGAGGATCACTATGCCTCCTAAGGTGAAGCTTTTTTCCTGTTATTTATCAAAAAGAGACTCTAAGTGAGAAGTCATTTGCACAGATTTCTTCTTCATGACAACCTTGAGTGTCCTTTATGCAAAAATCAACCGTCTATTTTTCAAGTGCCATTTTGTTATAAGCATCTGGAGATGTACCTCGCTCCTCCCGTTATCTATCCTACAGGATTTTGATTGTGTTTCTTGGTTATCTACCCTCTCTAGTACATCCAGTAGTGATGGCCTGTACACTCTTACTAAAGCCTTACTGATTTGCTGGCAAATTTGGGATACTCGCAACAAATTTGTTTTCCAAGACATTTCCCCACATCTTGCGAGAGTCCTACATGTTGCTGGTCAAATTGGTATGGACTATTGGAAACTTAATTTTATATATTCCTCTAGTATGCAGCAGGTGAAGAACATTAAATGGGAGCCGCCTCCAATGGATTGGATCAAAATTAACTTTGATGGTTCTGTTCGCAATAATAAGGCTGCTACTGGTTTTATTATTTGGGATTGGAATGGACATGTGTTACTTGCTGGCGCCAAAAATGCCGGTCAAGCTTCTATAACAATTGCAACGTCTCTTGCTTTGCGTGATAGTCTTGCCCATGCAATTCATAATGGGTTGCGCAAGATTTGTGTGGATGGGGACTCTAAACTAGTTATTGATTGCATCAACAAGAAGGTCTCTATTCCTTGGAGTATTTTATTATTAGTTCAAGATATTTGCCTGCTGGCTTCATCTTGTGAAGAAGTTTTGTTTATTTATGTCTTTCGAGAAGCCAATTTTATAGTAGATGTTGTCGCTGATTTAGGCCATGGCCTCTCCACTTCCCGTGTTTAGGTGCATGGTCTGCCTATGTGCCCCCGTAGTTATCATTTGTGATTGTTCTTATTTCTCCATTTCTAAAAAAATAAAATAAAATAAAAAAGGAGTGGAAAAATTCAACAATGCAGTGAAAGAAACAGGCGAGGGAGAAAAGAAAAAAATTGTTCTTTTCCTTAGTCTTTTAGTTTTCTTGGGTGAAATGACACACTTTGTCTATATTTGGGATTGGTTAGTATGTCAGTTCCATAGTGGACACGCAGTGGCAAAGTCAAGATTTCATGTGTGTGGGGGCCTTTTACAAATTATAAAGAATCAAAAATTCGAACTCACAATACGTACAAAAAATAGTGTATATATATCACATGTCAAGAATTATATTGCTTATTGGTTGCAATCATAATTGTCCTCGACAGAGGGATATACAAATACATTCTAAGCAAGAAAAATTGCAAGAAATAGACAAAGAGTAGTGATTTATCAAATATCTTTAAAGCTTTTTCCCCCATTAAACCCAATAGAAAGAAAGGAAAGAAAACATCAAAATTTCACAAATTAAACAAAACCATAGGTCCCTTTATGCATTCATATCATACACGAAAAAATATTGACTAAGTATGAAAAATGGTTTTTCGGAATAATCATTTTCTCAAAATAATTTTTGGCGGCTTTTATTCCTTACACATCAAATAAGAAAACTTGATTTTATGGGATTTTAGTATGAAGTATATATTGACTTAATGAGCCATCATTTTTAGCCTAAATCATATTTTACACTAAAATAGATTTTTCATATTTTGATTTGGTGGGAATTTGATTTTCTAGTATTTTTATTTGAATCCAAATAGGGGTTACTTCCTTATTTACATTGTAAACTTAAGTAAATGGAGTAATATAAAAATAAATTAAAGTAAAAGGACAAAGACATTTTGGCTCCGCTCATGTGGACACATCATCAGTTAATGTCTGATTAAACGGTCAACTTATCGAAATGCTTAAATTAGTCATATTTAAAAACATTGGGGTGTAAATTAATAAAATTGGAAATCTTAGGATCCATATTGAGAATGATCCCAAACCTATAGGGGCAATTCAGTCCGTACAATATTAAAAAAATTATTCCTTTTAAAAATAAATATTAAAACCAAAAAATAAAGTCTTAAATTTTTTAATTTTTAAAAATAAAAACCCCAACATTTAAGACCCCTTCCCAGCCCCCGCCCAATAAACCACCGCCACAACCAGAATGACCCAAGCAATAGCAACCACCGCAAGCGGCACACCACCTCCTCTACTCCCCACCGCCACCTCGTGCTTCCAATTGATCCCATGATTATTGTTCTGTTGGCTCTGACCATATCTCAAGTTATTCATAAGACTGCTGCTAAGTGACATCCCATCTCCTACTGCTCCAACTGTACCCAACACCACAATCAGCATATCTGAAAATCTTCATCACCACATAACTTCTTCCTTTACTTCTTTGGCTGCTGCTCTCATCTGATCCTTTCTCCACTACCAATATCTCCTCTCTCCACTACCAACATCAAACAAACAATTTGTCCGTGGGTATGGTGGTGGTGCTTTAGATGGTAGAGGGATATAGGATAGGAGGTGGCGGTGGGGAGTAGGAAGGGTGGTGTGCGGTTTTTGCTGCTGCGTAGGTCATCGTGGTTAGGGTGGTGGTTTAGGGCAACTCCAGCGAGGAGCCCAAGCCAAAAAGTCAGTTCCAACGGGCCACTTTTGCATGAGCTAGAGGTGGGACCCACGAAGACGAGCTAGCCCGAGGGCAACGCAAGCCCGAGGGGGGAGCTGACGTCAGCCATGAAGTCAGCGCGCGGTTCAAATTTTTTTTACCGTTGGTGCGTGCAGTGTTGCGCTCCGCCAACGACTAGAAGACAAATGTCATCATCTAGGAGCTTTGATCTCCTTCTTTCCTCCAATCCAACGACTGGCCTTTTTTTGGTTATAAAATTATGAAAAAAAATTGAATTTTTTTTTTTTTAAATACCAAAAATTTCTGGAATTTTTTTTTCTATAAATACCTACCAATACTCTTCACTTTTAACACCAAATCATCATACATTTTCTTCTCCTTCAACTATTATTCACTTTCTACTCAATATTTTTTTCACTTTCAAGTTTTATTTTTCTTTATCATCTTATGGCTTGTTCCATCGAAACTGGAGGGGCATGAAGCATCATGGAAGATGTTTTGTTGTGTGAGTGTTGTTGTGTGAGTGTTGGGTCCAAATTAGTCATTGTCCCGTCATGGGCAATGAGATGAAATTTTGCCATATGTGGAGAAAAATTCATACCGAATTTTGTGAAAGATCGGGTTCAACCCGTACGGAAATGGCATTGTCCAGTAACTGGAAAATTCTCAATAAAGAGTTGGGGAAATTGAGAGATGTCTTGGCAAAAGCAAGGGACAACCATAGAAGCAGGAAAAATCTTAGCAATGAGGTATAATATTTGTAATTTTCGTTTTATTAATTTTAATGTCCTTTTATTTTTTTATTTTTTAATGTTTCTTGCATTTTCAATATTTTGTTAATATTTCTTGCATTTCCAATATTTTTTGCCATATGTGGAGAAAAATTCATACCGAATTTTGTGAAAGATCGGGTTCAACCCGTACGGAAATGGCATTGTCCAGTAACTGGAAAATTCTCAATAAAGAGTTGGGGAAATTGAGAGATGTCTTGGCAAAAGCAAGGGACAACCATAGAAGCAGGAAAAATCTTAGCAATGAGGTATAATATTTGTAATTTTCGTTTTATTAATTTTAATGTCCTTTTATTTTTTTATTTTTTAATGTTTCTTGCATTTTCAATATTTTGTTAATATTTCTTGCATTTCCAATATTTTTTTTAAATGTTTCTTGCATTTCCAATATTTTGTTAATATGTCTTGCATCTTCAATATTTTGTTAATATTTCTTGCATTTACAATATTTTGTTTATATTTCTTGCACTTACAATATTTTGTTAACATTTCTTGCATTTCCAATATTTTTTTAAATGTTTCTTGCATTTCCAATATTTTGTTAATATGTCTTGCATTTTAATATTTCTTGCATTTACAATATTTTGTTTATATTTCTTGCATTTCCAATATTTGTTAATGTTTCTTGCATTTCCAATATTTTTTTTAAAAATAGATTATGCAAGCACAAATGTGGTTTGGTGCTATTGGGCAAGGCAAAAAAACTTTCAACCATGACCAATGTTGGGAAGTGGTGAAGAATTGTTCAAGATTCCGAATTATTCCAACGGGTCCGACCGTTGTGTTGAACGAGACGCCACTCCACGATTCATTGGCATCGGATTCGCCTATGGATTCCCCAATGAGTCAAGACTCACCCATCCAAAAGGAGCCAAGGCCTATTGGGAGAAATGCGGCGAAGGTGAAGAGAGGGAGTAATTCTGGTAGTAATACATCTAAATTTTTGGAGAAAATTGCAAGGTAAAGCACCATGAGAATTGAAATAGACATGAAAACCCAAGAAGACGAGAGGGCAATTCAAGTAGAATATGCAAAAGAAAGGGAGTATGTACACAAAGAAAACATTGAGAAGAAGGATCGGGAAACCATGGCCATGGATACAAGTCATATGTCCCTTGAAACAAAACAATTTTGGAAGCTAGAACGAAGAGATGTTATGAGAAGAAGACTTTTTCGTGACGATGGACCTAGCAACACGGATTGGTTAAATGATCAAAACCATTAAGTTAGTTATATATATATATATATATATATATATATAGTTCATTGTCTTTCATCTCATTGTATTTTAATGTTTTGTTTTAAAAATTAGTTGTAATTCATGTATTTTATTTAATTAGTAGTAATTCTTAATTACTTGTAATGGTTTTCTTTGAGTGAATAAAGAAAACATTCAAAAAAAGACCTTTTTATTCAAAACATTCCATACATAAAAAAACCACAACCAAAGCATTAAAAAAATAAAACCACAACCAAAGCATAACTAAAAATAAAACACAACCAAAGCAAATAGTATAAATAAAAAAATTCACGTCACTTCATTCACCATCATTGCCTTTCACCACCCACAAATGCTCCATCAAGTCAACTTGACGTCGTTCATGAATATAAGATGATTGCATCTTTATATATCGATCAATCATAGGAGTCATGAAACATCTGTCCCTAACCAACGGTTCATGCTCCAATGGTTCTCCACTTGGCCCCATGACCCTTTCATAAATTCTTGTCAAGGCCGTGTTCATAGGATCTGGTTCATACACCTCTGCAGTATTGTAATCATACTCATCCTCTACAATCATGTTATGAAAGATGATGCAAGTCATCATTATGCTCCTCAAAACCTCCTCATCAAACATGCGCACCGCACCCCTAATAATAAGCCACTGGGCTTGGAGGATACCAAAACACCTCTCCACATCTTTTCTGTAACCCTCTTGATAGGCAGCAAACAATTTTTGCTCGGATCGAGGATGTGGAATAGATTTCACAAATGTGGTCCACCTCGGGTAGATGTCATTTGCTAGATAATACCTATTCTGGTATACAGTATTGTTGATTTCATAGGTGTATTCGGGGCTTCACCCCTCAAAACATCGTTGAATACTGGGGATTGACCAAGCACTTTCAAGTAGTTTTGAGATTCGGCAACTCCGAAGAAGGCATACCAAACCCATGTATCGAATCCTGCAACGGCTTCAAGGATGATACTTTTTTGCTTTTTCCTATTTCCATAATCTCCTTGCTAGGTAGTTGGGCAATTCTTCCATTGTCAGTGCATGCAGTCGATGCTACCAATCATTCCCGGAAATCCTCGAGCTTCAGCTTTTTGTAGAAGCCGTTAGAGGTCTCTGGGCATAGGTCTGCGCAGGTAGTCCCTAGTGTACAGAGTTTCAACTGCATCACAAAATCTTACCAAGCTCTCCAAAGTAGTGGACTTCCCCATCCTGACAATCTCATCCACCTGATCAGCAGATGAACCATACGACAGCATTCTTATAACAACTGTAAGCTTTTGCTCAGGAAGAAGTCTCAAAACCCCAGCAGTATCACACTTTTTAACAAAGTATTCATCATAATTGCAAATATCATGCATGACTTTATTGAAAAAATGGGGTTGCATTCTATATTACCTTCGAAAATCAACATCAGAGTACAGAGAAGTTGGGATAAAATAATCTTCCAGAAGATTCTTACCCCGAGAATGCTTATGTCTGTCCACATTCGGGCCACGACCGACTTGTGAACCACGGCGGCAGCCTTGGTTTTCTTCATCAAGCAAAGCCACTGCTATGATAATTTGTTGATCTAGTTCTCTCTACACCCTTTTGCCTTCAGCTCGTGTACGCCTTCTTTCTCTAGTTTCTCGCTCTTGCCTCTCCAAGACCCTACTCATGTCTAACATTGAGAATGGAGTATGAATTCTAAATCTGAGAAATGAAAATATAGAGAAGATCTAGTGTGAGAGGTATGAGCTGAGCCTCTTGTTTTATAGAAAAATTTAGGCAGATAGAGATGACACGTGGTGCAATTTTAGAGGGTGAAAATCTTATTTGAAATTTATCAGAAATTTGAAACCAAAAATTTTATCCGATTATGAGATATGAAGTTTATAATAAATATTGACACGTACGAACCCAAAAATCTTATCCAAATTAATTGTTTATGTACAAAAATTTGTGAAAAAAAAATTGAATAGTATTTGCCATTTGTCATGGCAACAGGTTGAAACACACATTGCTTTTTGCAAGGGCAACCACTATTTACGTGAATAGTACCTACCCTCACACCCCCCCTCTCCTCCCTTCACACACCCCTTCTCCCTCTCTTTGCCCATGGGAAATGGGACAAATGGGTGGAGTTGTGAAGGAGTCAGGTAAGACCCAAATGCTGGGATTTTTATTTTTAAATTATTAAATTATAAGATTTTACTTCTTTTTTATTGGTTTTTAATATTTATTTTTTAAAGGAATAATTTTTAAATATTTTAGGGACTGAATTGTCCCTCCACAAGTAACAAAAGTTTAAAAAATGGCTAACATCATTTTATCCTATGAAGATTTGGGGTCATTCTTGAAATGGGCCACGGGATTTCAATTTTGTCAATTTACACCCTAACGTTTTAAAATTCGACCAATTTACATATTCCGTCAATTTGACCGTTTAGTCATCTGTTAAGTGATGAGGTGGCAAATATGGGGTTCATTCTTTTAGCTTAAGTGTAATTAAATATTAAGAAATAATATTTAAAAACTAAAAATTTTGACTGATACAAAATAAAATAAAATAAACCTATATTCCCTTTCTCTCTCTCCTCTCTCACTTCGTCAGGCAAGCCTTCCTCCTTCCCCCATCATGTCCCTTTTTTTCTCTCTATTTCTATTGGCAGCCCAATCCTTCATACCACCCACACACCATCTTGCCCAGCCACCTCTTTCAACAAAAACTTCTCATCACACCCATCATTCTCTCTCTCTACACGACTAACTCCAAGCCCAACCACCTTTTCTCTTCTCTCCTCTCCCAATTTATGTCTTTCCAATCCAACCAAAACAACACAAAAACAAATTCTCAAACCCAACAGCAAAAGAAGAAGAAGATGATGAATGGGCTTTTCTGAAACAAAAGCAAAAGCAAAAAACAACACTCACGCATTAAAATAGACCACAAACCCTAAACCTCATCATCATCACCATCACCACCATCACTCAACCCTCTTCTTGGCCATGAAATTGAGATCGAGTTCCTGCCGATTCCACCCCCCTCCCCCCGCCGGCCAACAGACGTCTCTAGTTTTCCAACTGACCAGTCTTTCTTCAATTAATTACCATCTGGGTCGACCCCAGATTAGCCCCAATCTCCTTTGCCACTGTCAAACGCCACCGTTTGGACCCCACAAGCATCAAGTTAGGGAGATTATGTTTTTGAAGGCTGAGAATGGGGTGTGGCGGCTAGATTTCAATTGTTGTGCTAGGCAAGATGGTGTCAGGGTGGATATGGAGGATGGGGCTGCCGAGAGAGAGAGAGAGAGAGAGAGAGAGAGAGAGTGTGTGTGTAATAACCCAGTCCTAATTAGATTTTTAATTATTAATTTATTATGATAAAAGACTATTTTGCCCATGAAATATTTTATAGGGTTAAAAGTTGACTTTTTGATTGAGGTGGAATTTGGAAGCTTCAATTGTACCGTTGTGCAAAGCATGCCGAGATAAGTCTGTAGACACGTAGTGGGCTCAAATCCGAGTTGTATTGAGAAAGATACTATCAAAATTCAAGTAAGGGCAGAATCATAATTTTGCCAAATTGGATTTTTTAAAAACAGAATCTCTCTCTCTCTCCCCGATTGCACACCACCCCCCCCTTCGAATTTTCTTCCAGCCCATGAGATCGGTGCCAAACTGACCGGCCCGGCCCCGCCGTCACACCCCAACCCATCACCGTCGTTCCAGCTGCCGGAATCCGCCCAAAATCAAGTCGATTTTGACATATTTTTTTCACCTCTCGTTCTCCCTCCTGCGACCACCAAATCTGACGAGTGAGGTATGGTTTCTCACCTATTTTTGGAGCTCTAGCTAATGGTTGGGAATATTGGAACGATTTCTAGTCTAGGTGGTTCGATTTACAACCCTAAGTTCGGCTGGTTTTCCAATCAGATTTTCGGCCACTTGCTGTCCGAATTGGACATTTCCGTAGTTAAAGAAAGTGTTCCACTCGTCGAGTAGTAGCTGCAGGTGGAAGGGTGGGTCCCAGTTTGGAGATTTGCCGGCCACTAGTATCGCTTAGGACACCCATGCACTACCGACGCGCAGACACTGTAATAGGGATACATTGTGTTCCAATGCGATCTCCTGGATGTCACGAGCGCATAGTTGTTCTTGGATTTCAATTCGGATGTCGTTTGGCTATCGAACGGGTTTATGCTATTGTGCGTTATCCGGGTTCGATATGCTCGGACCGTTGGATTGGGTCCAAATTAAGATATGTTGATCTAGGCACTTCTAGGATCTTGTAGGATTTTGTGGATCGAGAATCGGAGCCCCGAATGTTCTGATTCAATGACTTAAAGTTTGGGTTTCGCAATAACCGTCCGATCGTGAGCAATTCGACCGTTCGATTCCGACCAAATTTGCAGGGCAAATATAGTAAACCTTGTTGAACCCATAGGAACTCATGGACCGGAAATCGGAGGTTGTGGGCCCCGCGGACCATGTTGACCCAATTTAGGAAGTTTGACTCTCGGTTGACTGTGAGTCTTCCGAGATAGTATTGCCCTTCGAGTAGTGCTAGAATGACTGTCTGTGAACTATTTTGATTATGTATGGATCATGTGTTTATGTTATAAGATTTTGTTGTTTTCCTGAGTGGTATATTAAGTCTCGAAGGTTATATTGCTTTTTTATTTATTTATTAATGTTATTGTGATTATTGTTAAAAGAGTACTTGACCTAGTGGTATTGGATGATTTAATGCATTTGAGTTATTATATAATAGTTTTTGCTCTCAAAGGATATATATTATATTATGATTAGTTATGAAAAGTTGAGAAAAGATTTGATATATAGATGTGTGGAATAAGGGGGAAATCTATGATAAGTTTTGGATATGGTTTTCAAACCCATCACAGGAGTACCCCCCAGTTGCCTTGAAACAGTTTTGTTATTTTTGATAATGCCCCACGAGTTCGGGGACGCCTGAACCGTGTGGTGTAAGGATTGCAACTGGGGTTGATTTGGTGTCTCCGATGCCTGCGAAGATTACGGCTTGAGTTGACTTGGTGTCTCCGAGACCTGCGAGGATTGCTGCTCGGTTAACTTTGTGTTTCCGAGGCCTGCGATGATGGAATTGACGGAATATTATTGGAATTGACGGAATGTTATCGGAATTGATGGCATATTACAGGAATTGACGGAATATGAATGGGGGTACGTCCAGGTGGAGAGTTTTCTAAGTTTTAAGGATTTTATACAATTCACAATTAATTTCTTAAGCAATGAGTTTGTTTTATAAGCAAAAAAGGAAAATATATGTTTCAATTAAACAGTTATTATTAACATTAAGATTTCACGTGGTCAAAGTTATTTTAATAATTTTCTCGTTTTCCTACTTATCTGTAATAAGTTAATTATAAATCTTTATATATATATATATATATATATGCATAATATAATATAATATATATGTATTTATAATTGGGTTTATATAAGTTTCGAAGGAAAGGTTAAAAGTGTCTTTGGCGGTTGTTTGTTTATTTTTATTTTCATCTTTATTTTTATTATATATATATATATATTAATCTAAGCCAGTAATACATAAATTGATTTATAAATGAGAGGAAGTCCAGCGAATGGACTTTTGTTTTATAAATGACTTTATGCAATTAAAGTTTTATTATTTGATCTTGAATGAGTTATTATGAATTTTACTTTCCAAACATGACTGTTTGATTTTGAATATTTTATTATTATATCTTGTTTATATTTAGCATGGCTTGGAAAGTAGGAAGGATAGTGGCAACATAATTTAAGGATGGATGAGAAATGATTTTTATGACTTTCCGGGAAATGTTTTAAAACCACTATAGGTACACATGTTACCTTCAAAATAAATGTTGCCTTTGGAATAAATGGTTGCCTTCGGTTATGTCACCGCGTTGGACAGTTGCCCCACGAGTCTTAGGGATATCCGAACAGTACGGAGCGAGGAATGCATATCAGGTTGACTAAATGTCTCCTGAGTCCTGCGAGGATTGTGGCTTGGTTCGACTTTGTGTTACCAAGGCATGCGAGGACATGTCACAAACTGTGTGACACGAGGAATTGACGGTATAATGTGGGAAATAACAGAAATTAAGGAATTGACGGTTATATAATGGGTACACCTAGGTGGAAATGAAATATTGATTTTTCAATGCTTTAAAGTGATTTAATAATTTATGTAAATGTGTGAAATATTATAGGGAAATAGCCTAAAATGCCACCCATGTCATAATTTTAACTAAAAATATCACCCCTTCCTAATTTTTGTACAACTACTACCTATAAATATAAAATTATTGTGCACTTATTGTACCCATATCAGTTTTTCAGAAATTGGCTTCTCTCCCTAACTCTTTTCGCTCTGTCTCTTCGGCCCGTCTCTCTTCCTCGTGTACCTCTCTCTCTTCGACACAATCATCTTTCTCCCTCAATGGTGGCTGTTCATCCAAGCCTAACTCCATTGTTGACATCCACGAGGTACTGTTCATAAACCTTTTCTTTGAAATTTGGGATTTTTGCAAATTTGGTTTGTGGTGTATGAATTTGTAAGAAATTGGTTTAGGGTTTTAGCGTTTAGGGGTTGCTCAGAAATTGGGTTTGGGTTTATGGGTTTCTATGAACTAGGTAATAACTCACACCCACTCTCACTCGCTCACAGGCACTGTTCACAGAAGGAAAACTCTTCATTTTGTCACAGAACGTTTGGGCTTAAGAGGAATCGACATATTGATGGGTTGCAATGTCATGATTCGTTTATCAACTGTTGTGTTAAGAGGATATTTACAACAGTGTGTCTCGCAGGTGTAGGAACAGGTAGCAAATTAGTTTTTCTTTCCTTGTTACACGACTAATTGACTAAGTTTTAGACTTTTAGTGTATTGCAGTATGGTTATCTTTGGAGAACTCAGAAGTGGGCTTTTAATGGTCTTTGAATAAGGTGTAGGATTTAGCTGATTAAGACAAACTAACAGCATACATACACATGTTCAGGTTTTGCTGCTCGTTAGTGGTTTCCCATCTGTATCTGACTATCTTGCTTTAATTTTTTCAGGAAGGGTTTGCATTTGCTCATTGCACAACCTGCAAGGCTCCTTACCATTTGAGAGTTCATGTTATTGCTGATAGAAAATGGCTGTTCAGCTTGTAGGTCATTAGTAATTTACTTTAGTTGCTTTCTTCACTTTGATAGCTGGCATTGGATGTTCATTTTGAAACATTTCTATTAATTTATGCAGGTGATTGCTTCATTGGCATATTTGGTGTATCTAATAGATGGTTTCCAGCAATTCTGGCTTCGTCTTGCATGGTGTATCTAAACGTTTGGGCTTCGTTCACCTTTGTCTGGGTAAGTCCCAACTATCTATATTGTTTGATGAGATTTTAACTATTGAAATGACTGTATTAAACATTCTTATGCTGGACAGAACACAAAGAAGCACCTGACACAGAGAGTCCAGAATTTGGACGATAAATTTCTGGAGCAGAAAGAGATCTCAAAGTCGATTCTGGAGAATGTATGTCATTTTCTGCATATTATGAGCTTTTAGTTCTTAATTCATAAATTCAAATTAAAAAACTTCTAGTTTGATGAGGCTTAAGCAAAAACTTCTTACATTATCAATATGGATTTACTCAATTCTTACATTTTTGGAATACTGTGAGATCCTTACACGTAATCATAATATTTTTTCTGATTGTGTAGAAGGCTATTGGGTAAGGACTTGACTGGTTTGAGCTTGAAAGAATTGCAGCAACTAGAACAGCAATTAAATGAAGGATTATTGTCAGTGAAGGAGAGGAAGGTTCTATTATATTTTCCTTTTTCATTTTTTTTCCTTTCAGTTATTCAGTAGAGATGTCAGATTATGTTGCAGATTGTAACATGTACTAATTCCTGCAATCTGAAAGGCCTGAATATATATTCTACTATTTCAGGAGCAATTACTAGTGGAGCAACTAGAGCAATCAAGAGTACAGTTACGTGGAAGCACAACCCAATTTTTTAGTCTTTTTTAAAGTTAAAGCTGTAATAGTAGGACTGCATGGTTTATGCTGAAGTATCACTTTCTATAGAACTAAAGAAGAAAATTCATTTCTCCAAACATATGAAAGCGGCAGTTTTTCTTGAAGTTTACTAAAGATACTATTTTGTTTCGATTAAGCTACTTTTACTTTGAAGTATGGATACTCACAATGATTTAGAGCAAAAGAAAAGAAAAAATAAAAAGAGGAAGGGATATGACAATGAAAAGTGACAGGAAAAGGAAGAAAGTGACTAATCTATAATTTAAAGTTTTTCCTTATATACTTATGTTCTGGTTTTTAAAAGCTTGGCTTTATGGTATAAGTTGCACAATGACCTTTCATCTACGCTGGTATGTATAGAAAAGACTAAGTTTATTTATTTATTATCAACAAAACGGACAATTTTACCCGGTATTTAATTTTCAGCTATTTGTTTCCTCCAGGAACAACGTGCTATACTTGAGAATGAAATGTTGCGCAGACAGGTAAACAACATTCTTCTTGCTAATGAAAATTTGATCAGTTTCTGACATTTACTTCCCTGTGAGTGATTTGTATATTATGTAATGTATTTGTTATGGCCTATACTTATATTGTAGGTTGAGGAGCTTCGATGTTTATTTCCACAAACTGACCGTCAAGTCCCATCCTATCTGGAATATTATCCGGTGGAAAAAGAGAAATCCCTTGTAAACCATGGTGTCACAAGCCCAGATTTGGTCAGCAATTTTGCATTTGAGAATGGAGATTCTGACATCACCCTGCATTTAGGGTACTATTCTGTCCTTATTAACAAAATAACCTTCAAATAAACTGCAAAACTGTTGTTGCTTGTTGTTTCTTGTGCATCCTAGGCTACTTAATAGATTTAGATAATATTTCCGAGTTGCCTAGCCCATTGCTCAGCGGTGGCCGAGCATGGAAAATTTTAGGGAGAGGTAGAGGGAAGCAAAGTAAAGTGTTAAAAGTTTATTACTGGTGAACTAAGTATATAGTACTTATCCATACTGCGAGTAAAATTGATTACTACTAGAAAACTAATGTAAACAACGCAAATGTTAATTTCAATATGGTCAAACTATAGTATCTTTTAGATGTGCTTGATATTCTTTCAAAGAGTAGAACTCATCTATGATAAACAGTCATATTGTTTGGCTGATTACAGGGGGGAACTAATCTGGCTCCCACAGGAGGGATTCTATTTCCTTCTTTTGCAACTACTGCCTTTTCACAGGACCTTACAGGGCTCCCTAGCTATAGGTTAACTTGATTTTGTAGCCTTTTATTTTGCTATGATCTTATTTAGCTTCTCTTAGAGGGGTTTTGTCCTTTTTGTTCCTCTTTTTTCATGTATCCTTTATCTATTTCAACAAATTTCTTCGTATCGTCGAGGTTTTATATAAATAAAAAATATAAGTAAATAAATATGCCCAACTGTACAATCTAGACTAAAAGGCCTCAATTAAATTTTGGGGATGGATTGTGGTTAGGATGGGCCGGCCAAAATATACCCCAGCCCTGTTAAGGAAACTTTAAATTTATTTGCTCCTATGATTTCTTGTTTTACAGTTGACGCAAAACAAGTTTCTCAAGTGAAAATTAACATTGTTATCTAAGTGGCGGAGCCATAGCCAGGCCTGCCATGGCCCTGGCCCCCCCATTTAATTTTTAATCTATTGTAATATATAGCAATACAATTACTGTAATTAGATTAGTGATGGCCCTCCCAGTTCAAGATGAAAAATCTATGTGGAAGTGATTTGAAATTTTGGCCCCTCCATGCTAAGAATCCTAGCTCCGCCACTTATCTTATTCTGTTGGTTGTACATCTACTATCTTTTTGCCAGGCTGCCAAGTGATGTTTATGGCAAGAGGAAGGCTCCAGAAAGAGAAGCTCACTCCCATGACTCAGGGAGCCAATTAGCCCTATAATTGTTTCTGAGGTTCTCTTTGCCATAAAATCAACAGAAGCTATAGATGAATTTCATACAGTTGAGAGTGTAGCTTATTAGCTTTCATCGAAAGGTCAGTAACTTGTAAAAGAGAAGGTAGAATCCGTAGGTGACCTGAAAATCATCAATGTAGAGGCATAGAAGTTTCTTTCTTGGGAGGTTTGGCTTATGGAGAGGAAGCTGCTCTAGTTAGTTATACTTGTTTCCTTTGTAATTTGCTTTGAGGCCAGAAAATTATAAAAAAAGATAAAAATGTAATATGTTTTGGATATTTACACCATGAGATTGGGGGAAGGGAAAGAGGTCAAATAGGGATTCCTTTACACCATGAGTTTGCATTCTTGAACATTGTAATGGAGCCAATCTGCTTGTATGCATATCTGATGCTTTCTGCTGAGGTTCCCATTTATGTCATGCCTCTTTTTTCTTTTTTACTTTGCTTTTTTTCTTTTGGCTTGTCATATCTGTGTGCCAAATAGCTGCATTTGGCACTATGAACTGACTCGGTGGCAGTTACAAATTAACATAGGTCTTAATTCTGGAACTGCCATTCATAAACTCTATCTCTGTACTTAACCCAGTTGTTTTTGCAGGTCGGTCTCAACCAAGTGTTGATTGCAATATTCTAAAGAAGATGACCATACACTGTTATTTTATGTAGGTGTACGTATGAGATGGCTTAGGGCCAGTTTGGCATTGCTGTGCTGTGAAAATAATCGCTGTCAGATTTGCTGTGGGAGAAATCAGCTGTGAGATAAAACAGTTTGGCGTTTGATAAAATTTTTGTTAAAAGTGTTGTTGGTATTGATTTTACGCATAATCAAAAAATGATTGCCGCATAATCATTAAACCCACCGCATCTTCGAAACTGATTCCTGCATAATCAGAAAATGAAAGCACCTCATTAGCTGCTTTGCCTTATAGCTTTCTCTCACAGCAATTTTTAACAATAAGTGATTTTCTCACAGTTTACGAAACTGGTTGGGCTTCTCAAAATTTTTTAAAAATCACTTATCACCCCAAATAAGCAATGCCAAACTGGCACTTAGCTTTAATTGGTTTGGTTGTTCCAAGTTTCATGTACACAATCTCACAGTAACTGCCGAGTTGTTTTTCATTTCATGTATTTCTCTGTGGTTTTTATTCCCCTAATAAGCTTGAATGGATTTTCTTTTCTGTTGTATTTGGCCCTTCTCTTTTCAAGCATGCCAAAAGAGAGCGAATAGGGGGAGAAAGAGACAGAACGAAGCTAGAGAGAGACAGAGAGAGAAAGAGCTGCGCTACAAAAAGAGAGCAAAGAGAGAGACAGAGAGCTGCGATAGACAGATACTAAAGAGAAAGAGAGATTTGCTAGAGAGAGAGAGCTGAGTGAGCTAAGAGAGAACAAAATTTCTGAACATGTCAAAAATCAGCAATAAGTGGACAATAATTATATTTTTATAGGTGATATTGTAATACTATTGCTATTGTATTGTGGTTATATTGCTCTAATATTGCCTCTATAGTGGACATATATTGGCCTAATATTGCTATTATATCGTATGTCAATGGCCATTTGGACTAATAACAGAGTCTCCACTTCATTGAAAGTAATCCTGAATTCAAATCTCATGGACACGACAATTGTTATCCATCCTTATATTAGCATGAATTGATGTTGACCTTTGAAATGATAGTTGGAGTTGCACAAAATCTTAAGAATATAATCATGAAATGGTTGAATGTTTCAACAACGGCTTCGAAATGTTCCGAGATTATGCTTTGGTCATCTCACCAGACTACAATTGGAGTGAAATTGATGTAGCTGATGTCTGGGAGGTGTTGAATATGGGTGTTGAGGGAATGGCTCATCATAGCCTCGTGCATGCAGCGAGGAGAAAGGACAAAGACATGGATCTTTTGATGGACCTGTAGTAAGGGTGAGTGATGCTTCAGTTCATCTCACCCGAGTACATGGATCTTTTGTTGCCTTCGTTTTCCCTTCGCGGGATAGTATTGTTAAGGTTCGGTGGCGATTTCTTTTGCATGTGTAAAATGTAGTCTGTAATGGATGTGTGTGTATTGTATGTAGATTCACTTAATATTGCTGTTATATTGTATTTGTATTGCCTTAATATTGCCTTTGTATTGTATAGATAGTGTATGCATATTGCCACCATATTGGATGTATATTGTAATACTATTGCTATCGTATTGTCCTTATATTGCTCTAATATTGCCTCTGTAGTGCACGTATATTGGCCTAATATTGCTATTATATTGTATGTCAATGGAATTTGGTCTAATAACAGTCTCCACTTCATTGAAAGTAATCCTGAATTCAAATATCACGGACACGACAATTGTTATCCATCCTCATGTTACCATGAATTGATGTTGACCTTTCAAATACATCGATTCATATTCAAAAGGAAAGTAATTCTCTCCCTCAATGAATCGTCGTTTAAAAGAAGGCAGCTATCAAATATTGGGTACAAAATGCAAGATCCACGGTAAATTAATTGGGCACAAACCACATCTTACAAAACCAGGATGATTTTTGGCATGCTTGAAAAGAGAAGGGCCAAAGTTGGATAAAATATTTTGGGATGGTTGAAGATTCTTGGACACCTTTTTTCTTTTCAAGTAGTTTTGTAGAAACAAGTTCTACACATGGGCTTTTATCGGCTATATTTTAAGGCAAGTTCTACACGCGAGCTTGTATCGATTATATTTTGTTATGAAAAAAGTAAAATTACTCTATGCAATTGTAAGATGGTGCAAGATCGGTGTCCTTGTCATAAATTTGACAACATTAAATTGGAAAATATGACCTTTTTCACGGCTGTGATCAATTGCAACTAATTTTGATATTGTAGTACACAACAGGGTTACCTTGTGAAAGAGTGGAAATATCCCTATATATCTGAATTTCACCCTCACGCTATAGATTTTTTTATATGGTTTATTGGCAACAATTCAGATAAAATTTTCCATTGTGGAAGACAAGTTTTCTGATTGTATAGGGAAGCATTGCACAAGTTCTCTTTCATTGTTTTTTTTTGTATATAAAGCCTGGCTTGTACTTGATGAAGTGCGAGAAATGATGCAAAAATTTGCACAAAGCAACCACTGAATGTAATTCAAACCAGCGCCTTTGTTGTATACTACCAAACTGTTTGGGCCTAAATTAAACGCGCCCAGCCCAACACGGAGAAAGCCCAGAATAAAAGCTACAGGACTCAAGTAGTTTGGGCTTTTGCAAAACGGAAGGCAAAGCCCAAAGTCCAGAGAGGCCCAGCCCAAGACTTATCAAAATGTGGCAAGCAAACTTGGGCCCCAAAAGAAAAGCAGTTACCTTTGGGCTCCAGACAAATCAGAATGGGCCCAGCATGATTAAAAGAAAAGGAAGAGACCCGTTTTTAGAACCAACGTGACTACCAAAATGGAAAAGTCAACAAACTCAACTGAGTTGATTGAGAATTAATTAAAGCAGGTCAGTGGCAAAAGGACTTCTCTGAATTTCTGCCACCAGAAGATCAAAATCCTTCTTATATATTCAAAAATATTGATTTCACTCCAAGGAGGCGCCATCCTTTCAAGAGACACGCATGCCATATTTTCAAAAAGAAGATAAGCAGGAGGACAGAGAGTTGTTCATCTGGGAAATCAAACTAACCATCACGATTGAAAACTCACAAGGGGCAGTTAAAGTGGGAAAAGGAATTATGCTTCTTTTAAAAAAACAGGGAAGTGATCTCAAAGATTGATTGATAAAAGCCTATCTGACATAATTAAAATAAATCCTTCCCTCTCTTGTATCTCTTTGCAGATCTTTGAAAGGATTTGCCGCCCATTATTAAAAGAATCACTCTACTCCAGAAAAACATTTCTTATAAATACAAGGAGTGAACAGGGCAGACAACAAAAAATCCTACATTCAAATCATCAACCAAACAAACAACTCAAAATCAACCAAAAGCTCACTTGAATTCCAAGTGAAACCAGCTTTAGATCAGAATTCCCAAGGTTCAGACTTAGAAAATAAGTCATTTAAAACGAGATTTCTCTCGTTACAAATTTGGTTCAGCAAAAAACCAAGATAGGTAGAGCTTGAGCTTTTCCCAAACATGAAAACCTCAACAAATTTCACAGTGCAGTCTCTAGCCCACTGAAGTCCTCAAGAACAGCTACTTCTGCCCTCTCAAACTAAAGAAGCCGGAGTTCTGCCCACTCAAAAGCCTCACAAAAGCTTGAAGTATATTAAAGCTCTGCCAAAATTGACCTTTGGTATCGATTTACAGCTGAAGCTTAGTAGTTGAAGTTGTTAACAGTTCAGTCCAGCCCAGATATTTTCAGTCAAGATCGGATCAGAGTCTCCCATCTAGACAGAAATGGAGTTCTAGCTGTCTTTTTATCTTTCTAGCGTGGGTATTTATTTTTATAGTTTTGTAAAAGGCAATTCTGCCTAAGACAGCTTAAATTCCATAAATCATTCTGGCCAGAACAACCTCTTTTTACTGAGATAAATTGTTAAAGTCCTCACCAGTCTGAGGCAAGAAAAGAACTTACTTGGGAGATATTCCTCACCCAAATTCACAATCGTTTGTTTATAGAAATCAAGGCGCAAGTTATCTACTCTAGAATAAGTCTGCTAGGATCTTCATTGCTAGCAGTGGCACGCTCATACACCAAAGAAAGCTGACTTGTTGACCATTCAATGGTTTTCAAGGCAGTGGGGAACTTTACCCTTCCATCTCAGGAGAAATCACAAAACGGGGTGAACACAAACATCAAATGCAAATTAACATCTATCTCATGGTTTGGCTACAAATGCCACCAAGCACAAGCTCAACTTATAAGTTTGTAACCCTAATTTCATCGATTGAATCTTCACCTACATTCATAACACTTTTTACCATACATAACCAGCACTGTTTTACAAACAAGCCTAAAACCTTCATCCTGAAGATGGATAACTGGCGGCAAATGCAAGATCCATAGGATCGAGGAACAAAACTACAGCTACAAGCATACAACAAAGCCTGGTGACTCAACTACAGCTACAAGCGTACAACAAAGCCCTCAGGTGGGAAGTTCCAGCAGTCCACAGCATGACAAACAACGTACTCGTTTACAAAGACAATAACCAAGACAAGATGATAACCTAGGGCATCGGATAGCATCATACAACCCTAAACCCCCTCTATAAAAAACATACATCAAAACCTAAGTTTTCTCTTACTCATCAAGATCCTAGAACCCTGACAAAACTGGCAACCCGAAACATAACTTCTAATCAATCACTACCACTAAAAGGCCTTGATGTTTCTAATCTAATGTTCTAAAACTGATCTCTCGAGGTATTTAGGAATTATTTGGATTCGACACCCACACCAAATTTCTGTACTTGCTAGCAACATAATGCATTCATCCCTCTAATACTCTTTCCCCATTGTTAATTGTGAATCAACAGCTGAGAAGTAACAAGAAGATAAACATTTATACATATGTTCATTTGCTAACAATGAAACAAGTAAATAACATACTCCAATGCAGTAGCACCTATTTAGATGATAGAAGAAACTCCAATGCAGTACATAAGTGAAAAACACAGCTCTTTTGCAGGGCAGTAAGAAACAAATTTTTTTTTTTTTTCTAGCAGTGATGAAAAGTAAATACAGTTAAGACAAAGAAACAAAAATGGTAAAAGTGCGATAAATCAACCCAATGAGACAAACCAGATACAACTCTTTCTCACCAAATTCCACAATGATTTTCAGTTATTGAAATAGAGAGAGAACTGACAACACATTTTAAAGACAAGCAATTTATCAATGCCACTGCGAAACATTGTAACATCAGACTCAGCAAATTGTTTTGATAGGAAACATTAGATCTGAATCATAATTCCAAAATCATTAACTTCTACACTTTCAAGAGAAACCCTACTCAAGATCACAAATTCCAAAACCAAAAAACTGCCCGTATCCTCTGGAAAATAAGATCCCGCCATCCTCTCTCCGTATTCTCCACCACAGTCGCATTCCCATATCTGCATTACCAAAGGCACCAAAACAAAGCAATCAGCATTTCATTAAAGAAAACAATATAACTCACATACTCCCAATCAATCCAACTAAAACTGAAAATAACCCATTAATTAAAAGTTCAAATCAAAACCAACCTGTCTTCCTCAGGAATATCCGAATGTGTTAGCTTGACAATAGTGAGCCCGGGTTCAGGCTCTTCAAGTTTAAGCCTCACCTGAAAAAATTCAAACAAAACACACTCAACCCACAAATCACAAAACCATTTAAAACCAACCAAGAATTCATTCCAACCAGAAAGAAAAACACTTGACATATCGTTGAATCAATGCCATCAGGCCAACTCCCAAATCTCCATATCTGCACAATCAAACTCCCATTCTGCAACTCCAAATTGGTACCCGTCATCGACCCATCGAAAGTGCTAATCTGCCCACGAACCTCCTTGCTTATCTTGGCATTGCTCTAACTAAAAACCTTCCATCTATTCTCATCCATCAAAATCTCAAACAAATCTTTCGGTCTGCAACTAAACTTCTTAGTCATACTAATCGTCTTGAACCTTTTTTTACTCTCCTTCTTCTTCACCTCCTTCTGTGAACAGTGCCTGTGAGCGAGTGAGAGTGGGTGTGAGTTATTACCCAGTTCATAGAAACCCATAAACCCAAACCCAAGCTCTGAGCAACCCCTAAACACTAAAATTGATCAAATTTTCATTAGCAAGAAGAATGTTGTTTACCTGTCTGCGCAACGTTTCATTCTCAAGTATAGCACGCTGTTCCTGGAGGAAACAAATAGCTGAAAATTAAATACCAGGTAAAATTGTCCGTTTTGTTGATAATAAATAAATAAACTTAGTCTTTTCTATACATACCAGCGTAGATGAAAGGTCATTGTGCAACTTATACCATAAAGCCAAGCTTTTAAAAACCAGAACATAAGTATATAAGGAAAAACTTTACATTATAGATTAGTCACTTTCTTCCTTTTCCTGTCACTTTTCATTGTCATATCCCTTCCTCTTTTTATTTTTTCTTTTCTTTTGCTCTAAATCATTGTGATTATCCATACTTCAAAGTAAAAGTAGCTTAATCGAAACAAAATAGTATCTTTAGTAAACTTCAAGAAAAACTGCAGCTTTCATATGTTCGGAGAAATGAATTTTCTTCTTTAGTTCTATAGAAAGTGATACTTCAGCATAAACTATGCAGTCCTACTACTACAGCTTTAACTTTAAAAAAGACTAAAAAATTGGGTTGTGCTTCCACGTACCTGTACTCTTGATTGCTCTAGTTGCTCCACTAGTAATTGCTCCTGAAATAGTAGAATATATATTCAGGCCTTTCAGATTGCAGGAATTAGTACATGTTACAATCTGCAACATAATCTGACATCTCTACTGAATAACTGAAAGGAAAAAAATGAAAAAGGAAAATATAATAGAACCTTCCTCTCCTTCACTGACAATAATCCTTCATTTAATTGCTGTTCTAGTTGCTGCAATTCTTTCAAGCTCAAACCAGTCAAGTCCTTACCCAATACCCTTCTACACAATCAGAAAAAATATTATTATTACGTGTAAGGATCTCACAGTATTCCAAAAATGTAAGAATTGAGTAAATCCATATTGATAATGTAAGAAGTTTTTGCTTAAGCCTCATCAAACTAGAAGTTTTTTAATTTGAATTTATGAATTAAGAACTAAAAGCTCATAATATGCAGAAAATGACATACATTCTCCAGAATCGACTTTGAGATCTCTTTCTGCTCCAGCAATTTATCGTCCAAATTCTGGACTCTCTGTGTCAGGTGCTTCTTTGTGTTCTGTCCAGCATAAGAATGTTTAATACAGTCATTTCAATAGTTAAAATCTCATCAAACAATATAGATAGTTGGGACTTACCCAGACAAAGGTGAACGAAGCCCAAACGTTTAGATACACCATGCAAGACGAAGCCAGAATTGCTGGAAACCATCTATTAGATACACCAAATATGCCAATGAAGCAATCACCTGCATAAATTAATAGAAATGTTTCAAAATGCACATCCAATGCCAGCTATCAAAGTGAAGAAAGCAACTAAAGTAAATTACTAATGACCTACAAGCTGAACAGCCATTTTCTATCAGCAATAACATGAACTCTCAAATGGTAAGGAGCCTTGCAGGTTGTGCAATGAGCAAATGCAAACCCTTCCTGAAAAAATTAAAGCAAGATAGTCAGATACAGATGGGAAACCACTAACGAGCAGCAAAACCTGAACATGTGTATATATGCTGTTAGTTTGTCTTAATCAGCTAAATCCTACACCTTATTCAAAGACCATTAAAAGCCCACTTCTGAGTTCTCCAAAGATAACCATACTGCAATACACTAAAAGTCTAAAACTTAGTCAATTAGTCGTGTAACAAGGAAAGAAAAACTAATTTGCTACCTGTTCCTACACCTGCGAGACACACTGTTGTAAATATCCTCTTAACACAACAGTTGATAAACGAATCATGACATTGCAACCCATCAATATGTCGATTCCTCTTAAGCCCAAACGTTCTGTGACAAAATGAAGAGTTTTCCTTCTGTGAACAGTGCCTGTGAGCGAGTGAGAGTGGGTGTGAGTTATTACCCAGTTCATAGAAACCCATAAACCCAAACCCAATTTCTGAGCAACCCCTAAACACTAAAACCCTAAACCAATTTCTTACAAATCCATACACCATAAACCAAATTCGCAAAACCCCAAATTTCAAAGAAAAGGTTTATGAACAGTACCTCGTGGATGTCAACGATGGAGTCAGGCTTGGATGAAGCCAATTTCTGAGAGAGACGGGCCAAAGAGATAGAGCAAAGAGAGTTAGAAAGAGAAGCCAATTTCTGAAAAACTGATATGGGTACAATAAGTGGACAATAATTTTATATTTATAGGTGGTAGTTGTACAAAAATTAGGAAGAGGTGGTATTTTTAGTTAAAATTATGAAATGGGTGGCATTTTAGGCTATTTCCCAATATTATATATAAATATAAGTATGCCCGTTCGATTTCTGTATGAGTATAGCATGTGAATGTTAATGAGCATATCACTAACATGAGAACTTGGATTGATTTACAATTGCAATGGACAATAATAATTGACGATATATACAAGTACAGTGTAAAAAAGGAAAGAACTACGTGTGGCTTGATCCCTTGTTAAGGGTATGTAGGTAACCTAGGGTTACTAGGTGCAACAACTAGACCAAGTAATTGAAAAGTTGTTCAGCTTAGTTATATTGAAATCTGTTAACATATTCTTGTTGTTTCCAAAAGTTGGGGTTAATTTCCGTTGGTAGCATGATTTATTTGTTTTAAAGAGGCTTGAGGCCATAAAGATTTGAAATTGATTGCATGAATTCTATTATTGTGTATGTTAAACGGTTGTGGACATTTAAATTGCTTGTTGACATGTGAAAATTTTGGGAACTGAGCAATTTACAAGGGATTCGACAAAAGTCCAACTTGAAGAAAATTTGGTTTTTAGTTAGAATGGCAATTCGGTCATTTGTGCCCTGCACCCGCCAGGTGTCGAACACGCACAAGGTTCGACTCAGATTCCAAAGTGGAATTTGTGTCGGGTCATGTTAGAGAGAGGGAAATGATGGGGGAGAAGGGGTTGCCAGATTCCAACGAAGTGAGGTAGGAGAGAGAGAAACGAGATATCGGTTTTTATTTTTATTTTAATATATGTTGAAAAAAATTTAAAATTTAATTGCACCTAAACTAAAAAAGTGGACCCTATGTTTGCCATGTCATCACTTAACAGAAGACAAAATGATCAAACTGATGGAACTTGTAAATTGATCGAATTTTAGAATGTTAAGGCTTAAATTGAAAAAAGTAAAACCCCGTGGCCCATTTCAAGAATAACCCCAAACCTTCAAGGGGTAAAATGATGTTAGCTCTTAAATTTTTTTGATAGAAATTGAGCATTGTCCTTAAATTGAAACCACATGAACCTTAGTGGTAAAGGTAATAAACCACAATGACCAAAAGTAACTTTTTGCCTTTATTTTACTTTATTTTGGGTAATAATTAAGCTAACGAAGTTGAAAACATGCAAAAGAAAAAGCGGACTAGGCTTGGGCCCAAATTGTTCAAAATTGGTTTAATTTGGTCCAGTTTCATCGGTGATTTTTGTCAAATTCAAATTGAACCAAAAACAATTTCATTGATCAATCCAACGCCTTAGTTGTCATGAGTATTTTATCTTTCTTTCACAGGTCGTGAAATGTTTGTGCTTGCGGCCATGAAACATTTACAACGGCTACTTGAAAAACGCTTATATATTTGCCATTGAAAAAATAAAATAAAATAAAATAAGAAAACCCGCTTGTGTTACCCCTTTATATATATATATATATATATATATATATTTGTTTTTGCCTTCCAAAGCTTGTGTTAACCTTCAGTGGTGATTGATTAAGATTTGCTCTAGCTAATTATGTTTTTTTTTTCCAAGAACAGTAATTCTTTTAAGTGTTCACATTCTAGCCAAGGTTTTCAATAACAGTAATTCTTTGGTCTACTTGAAAAAGAGAGAACTTGTTATCTATCAACTCACAAGTTGATTGAGCATCTTCAAAAACTAAATAGAAACTGAGATTATGAACAAAGAGGGTTGAGATGAGACTAACAACTTAACTATATTCTAAATTTTTATTTTTATTTTATAAAAACAAAAACAAAAACAAAAAAAGAAATACAAAAAACTAGGAGGATACTATTGTAATTATTTATATCTTCTCCAAAAACTGAAATTAATAAATTGAACCTCTTGAGTGGTTGACCATGGGATCAAGCAAGTCGTTCCAACCAGACCCTTAAACAGATTGTCGATATATCTCCTCGATCGAGTTTCCAAAATACCTACAGGTTTTGATTAGAAATAGAAAAGGCTGGTCAAGTACGGAAAATAATAAAACAAAACATCTTTTTATCTTAATTTTATATTGCTATAATAATTATCGCTCTTATCAAACTCTTAATTCAAAGCACTTGTTAACAAATTAATCAACCCAACAAATGAAATTGAGTAATCTAATGTAAAACATTTTGCTCCATTTGCAACTTTTAGGGCATTTAATGGTGACCCAACTAATTACTTCACAGTTGATTAAGAAAAAGGCTTGTAGTTCAAGTGATTAAGAGCAATTATCTCTGCACCTAAGATTCTAGGTTCGAGTTTCCTTTCTCTCAAAATCACTTATATCACTAATATCTTTATCCCACCTATTTGGACGCTCAAAAATTGACAATCACAGCCACATCTAAGGATAAAATTCCGGTCTTCGCCGCCGCTTTGTACCCGAAAAAGAAAACGAAAAAGAAAAAAGAATAAAAAATGATATCGCTCGTAGGATAAGGAAGCCTTTGGCTATCTTGCCTCCATACAACAGAAGACAAGTCGGAGCATTTGCGATTTTGAGGAAGCTACAAAATTGAAAATGTTGGTCGCATTGGGAGCCATGGAACAAATCAATGGTGACGTTGACTTATAACAAAAATAAATAATAAATAATGACACCCATTGATCAAACGCAAAGAAAATAAGTTCTTGAATTTTCTTAGAAGGCAAATTATGAACCTAAAAACGCCTAGAAAAACATGGTTTTCAAAAAGTCGTGCAAGGATAATTTCAAACAGAAATCGATCCAGAATGAACAGTTTTCTATTTGTTTCTTCAGCTGGTATATATAATCATTTTATAGAATCATGATGTTCTCATCTCCAACAAAAATCCAACAATCCTTGACCTCACTTGCAGTTCAACAGGGAAAAAAAATGTTTCCAGCAAATCTAAGCACTAATTCAACTCCGACAAAGCACAATTTAGAAAACTTTCTGCTTGGATAGACTAAGTTTTACTTCAACATATCAGAAATTCAACAATTACGACTAAACGATTCATATTCAACATTCTCGGGATGGCATATGTATAATTTTCACTCAAACCAGAAGGCAAAATAAGCACGGCGCGCTATACGAACTTCATTGGGAAAAGAAGAAACAAAATGATTTGCATAGTTGCCACAATTCGCCAGTGTAACTTCAAAAAGACTATACATCCAATTTCTAACACATTTTATTTGTATATGTTTCTTATTACCATTTTCTCTTTTTCTAAAGAACCATGTATGTTTATATAGATGTGCTAAATTAAGACCAACAATAGGTAATTTTAGTTTAACATAATTAATCAAACAAGACGCGACACAGAATCAGATGGAGCTGATTATGTAAATATGCCAGGCTAATGAAATTCTACCCTAGTTTATATATTTATACTATTGCTCCTTTGCCCTAGTTGCATTTTTTTCTCCAGGTTCTGTATTTACATAGGTGCCTATATTTACATTTTCTATAATTACCAGTATATGGTCATCATAATTTATCAGATAGCTCTATAAGATTGACGGAAGATAAGATGTGTTTTTCTTTCTCACACGAAAGTACCCAGTCATCTTATTTTCTTTTTCCTTGCATCATGAAATCGCTTTCCCTTAAACCACTGGGTCACAACCTCACAAGTGCAATGGGGAAAACAAGAGAGGGTACCGAATTTCTAACCTTCATGTTCTTTCGTTTCATGATGTAAATTATACCAAGTCTTCAGTTTAGGAGGTCACAATAATCTAAATAGCAGATAGCTGACCATACCCATGCCTATACCAGGAATACTGGAATGCTCTCCTTTTGTAGATTGTACATAAATTACATATTAGGAAATTATTAAGGACAGTATATCAGGAAACTATTTATACAAAGGTTCTCAGTAGTTTTCGGAATTGATCTCTAAACCCAAAGTGCAAAATGATTCAGCATGGTTTATACTCTTCTCTAAATTTTGTTTCCCCTCCCCTTATTCTAGACTAGTGCTACAAGTGAAGGCTTACATTAAAATATCAAAATGCATCATTAAAAGTTAGAATTGATTTGGTATTATTTGCCCATTAGGTTATGAATTTTGACAATCTCATCCCATTTTCGACCCAAAGAAAAAAGGAAAGGGAGAGACAGAAATAGAAGGATTTTAATTCATATAAAATTTTGACATTACTCACAATTTACTCTCAATAAAAACTATT